TGGACGTGATGGTGTCTGGGAAGTGGCATGCTCGCCACACAGCTGGCTCTCCGAAGCTTGCAACTCCCAAGGTCTTCAGTCGAGGAGAATCAATCTCCACTTTGGCTTTGATTTGTACCAGCCAGCTACTTGGGAGCGTTTGAAGCAGCTCCGTGCTCAACGAAAACCCAAAAAGATCTGGCTCAGCTTGCCGTGCACCAAGTTTTGCCAGTGGACTTACATCAACTATGCCTCTCCTGAACGTCAGGAACTCTTGAAACAATATCAACGGAGAGAACGCAAGATGTTGTGGTGCATGAACTCCTTTGTCCGTGATGCTCTTCTTCAAGACCCAGATTGTCAAATCTACTATGAATGGGTGTTTCCTTGTCGAGGCTGGCAAGAAGCTCCCATGTTGGACTTGGAGAAGTACATCAACTCTATTGGACTTCCATGGCTTGACTGCCGAGTTGATGGGTGTCGCTACGGCCTCATGGACAGCAAGAATGAAGGCTTCATTCGAAAACGGTGGCTTATCAAAACCACCGATGAGCAGTTCCACCTCAACTACAAGACCAAGACCTGTTTGGGGTCTCACAACCATGTTTGGATCCAAGGGCCTGAAACGGCTCGATCGGCATATTATCCTTGGCGTTTTTGTCAGTCAGTGGCTCGTTTTTGGAAACAGCAGTTTCTGTCTGACAAGCATTTGAAACTTTTGTACGCCAAGGAAGACTACGCGGATCCTCTGTGTCAGTCCTTGGACGTTGAAGATCCTGAACAAGTTTTACTACCAGTTTTGGCCGCTCTCCCAGCACAACAAGAAGATCTACCAGATGATGAATCACCAGAAGGTCTTCCACATGAGAGGTCTGCCCAGCCACCTGCAGATCCTGCTTCTGATGAACCAAGCTCTGACGAGCTCAAGAAGTGGCAGGCCAAGATCGCGGCCTACCACAAAGCTGCTGGTCATCCGACCAATCGCAACTTGGCCCGCTTGGTCAAGAATGCTGGCCAACCTCAGTGGAAAATTGATGAGGTGATGAACTACAAGTGTCCTGCCTGTGAATCCATCAAGCCTGGTGGTACGAGCTCTGGCTCCATTCCACCTGCCTCTACAGCTCCCATGTTCAAAGCATGGCAAGCTGTTGGAATGGACACTTCGGAATGGAAGATTCCTGGATCAAGGCTGAAGCTCAAGTTCCTTCTGATCATGGACTTGGCTACGAAGCTGCGTGTCCTTTGCCACATCAAGACCTATGAGAACTTCAAGCAAGAAGGTGAAACTCATCAAGACATCATCAGATGTTTCTCTGAAGGATGGCTAGGTCACTACCCCAAACCGAACTTGGTGGTGATGGACAGCGCCAACACCTTTTCCACGCCTGAGTTCTCCCAGTTTCTTTCTGAGCTGAACATCCAACAGCACTTCATCCCTGAGAAGGAGCCCTGGGCGAACGGTGCTGTTGAAGCTGCAATCCAAGATGTGAAAACAACAGCTACGGCAATCCACCTCGAAGACACGGGTCAAGACCCAAAGGTGACGCTAGCTTTGACTGCTTCCTCTCTCAATGCCACGGAATTTACTGCTGGGTTTAGCTCTTTTCAATGGGCATTTGGCAGTCAATATTCTCTTGCTGATGAGGACTATCGGACTTTCAGCCAGCTTGATACCACCATGGACTTTCAACGGTTGGTTCAAGCTCGACAAAAAGCTGAAGAAGTAGCAGTCCGCACTCGAGCTCGAAGAGTCCTCTCCAAGCTCAGCAACACTACAGTGCGCCAGCCTCTTAGAACCTTTGAACCTATGGACTTGGTCAAGGTTTGGCGACGATACCAACCAGCTGATCAACATCTTGGCAAGCGTGGAGGGTTGAAAAAGTCTGGGCGACCACACTGGATTGGGCCAGGCCGTATCATTTTCCAAGAGGTCCTGCCCCATCAATCTCCTGATGATGCTCGACGCCATATCTGCTGGGTGCTCATTGGCAAGCGGGTCATGCGGTGTTCGGTCCATTCCATCCGACCTTGCACACCAACTGAGCGTATGGAGTATGACCTGACCAGCGGAGAAGATCCATCGAAATGGAAGACATTGGCCGACATCATCCCCAAGCGTGAGTTTGAGGATTTGGCTGATGATGAACCAGGTCCTGATGAAGTTGAATGTCCAGATCTTCCTCTACGGCCAGATCAAACCACACTGGTTCCTGTGACGCGAGCATGGCGGAAATCAACTTACGGACCAATGGATTGGCGCCGAATTCCACGAAGCTCTCCACTGGGTGTCGGCGATGGACTTCGAGACACCAGAGCTTTCTCTTATGTGCCTGCTCCGCAACAATCAAAAGCTGCTGCCTCTTCTCCTGTTCTTCCACCTGCAGATGCTGAGCAATCAGCCCCAGCATCACCTGGCTATGATCCTGGCACACCGATTGGTGCCACGGCCAACACTGATGATGAGGCAGTGAATGACTATGGTCCTATGTTGGATGATGGGCCTTCAGATCCACCTGACTCCAAGAAATCACGAGGCTCCTACGACCTCAAATGGGTGGAACAACTTGCTGCTGAAGCTGACATGGAATCCAAGGCCTTGGACTTTATGGCCGCGCTTCAGCAGAATGATGAATGCCTGGTCTTCAACATCGACTTGGACTTTCAGTCGCATAGGCAACAGAAAGTTTTTGAAAGGAATCCAGTGGCGTATCTGGTTCGCAAACTCAACAGCTCAGAAGTCAATCTTCAGCGTCTGGGCCCTGCAGACCTTGAACTCTTCAGAAGGGCAAAGCAGAAAGAAGTTCACAGTTTTATACAGAACCAAGCAGTACGTCGCTGCCTCAACAGCAGCGAGGTGAAGGAGGCCTACTCCACGGGCAGAATATTGAAAGCCCGATGGGTACTGACCTGGAAGGCTGTTGCTCCAGATGAAAAGACCGCCGCTGAGGAAGACAGGGACAAGAATCCTGACAGCGTCGTCAACGCCACAGCCACGAAGAAGGCGAAGGCGCGCATTGTCCTCCTGGGCTACCAGCACCCCTCTCTTCTTGACAAGGGGTTCAAAACATCAGCTCCGGTGCAGAGTTCCTTGGGCAGAAATATGCTCTATCTACTCGCCGCGACGCACCAGTGGCGACTACATGGCCTGGACTTAGCGACGGCATTCTTGCAGACAATGCCTTATACTGAGGCCGACAGCAAGATATGGACAACAGGTGTCCAGGAACTTCACGATGCACTCCAGATCCCACGAGACTCTGTCTTGCGTATTCTTCGCAACATCTACGGGTCAACAACGGCCCCAAGGGGTCTCTGGCTTGATCTGCATCGTACCTTAACCTCCTTGGATGGCCGTGCTGCACTTGGCGAACGTTGCCTATGGCTTTGGTTCAGCAAGCACGAGAAAGACATCACGGGCAAGTTTCCTCGGCTCATAGGAGCCATGGGTGGTCATGTGGACGACTTCCACAGGATCGGTGATGACACATCCTTGGAGTGGCAACAGATTTGCCAGAAGATAGATGCCTCCTACAAGTGGGGAACTATGAAACGCGACAGCTATCGTCATGCTGGAAGTGACATCAACACCATTGAGACCAAGAATGGCTTCAAGCTGCGCATCGATCAAGATGCCTATGTTGAATCACTGCCGGATGTCAACATTGATCCAGTTCGTCTTCGCAGCAATGGTCCTTTGACTCCTTCTGAGGTGGCTGCCTGTCGTACCTCTCTTGGTGGACTTCAATGGCTAGCCATCCAATCTCAACCTCAACTCTGCTCCAGGTGCAACATTCTTTTGACTGAGATTGTAACAGCAGGCACACTGGAACATGCGAGGGAGATCCAACAAATGATTGGCGAAGTGCGCCGTGAACCTCAACACCTTGAGTTTTTCAAGCTGCCAACTGTGGAGCGATGGAATCAAATGGTTTTCATCACTATGGGAGATCAAGCCCACAACAATCGCCCAAAAGGCGATAGCACTGGTGGACTTGTTACACTTGCTGCTGGACCTGAAGCTGTCTCAGGGTGTGTGTGTGTCCCATGATGCTCCTGACCTGGCGAAGCTGGAAACTGAAGCGAAAGGCCATTGCCTCCAACGACGCAGAGGTGCAAGCTGTTTTGGAAGGTGAGGACCAGAATTACCGGGTCCGACTTCTGTGGACTGAAATGCATGGCGCTTGTTTTGGACGTCATGGACAGCGTGATGACTTGGTTGAAGCCACCGAAAACCAGGTGAGATGTATCAAGGGCATCATTTGCACGGATAGCCGTGGTGGATATGATGCGGTGGAGGTGAACGAATCCCCTCTCCTTGGTCTTTCAAATCTCCGAGCTGCCCTTCAAGCATTTCAGCTTCGAGACAACTTGCAGCGAGTTGGAAGTGAACTTCGCTGGCTGGCATCTGACTATGATTTAGCAGACTCAATGACCAAGAAGCGCAACGACAGCCGAGATGGCTTGATGAAGTTTTTGCGTCATTGGCATTGGAGTATTGCTTTTGATCCTTCTTTCACTGCTGCCAAAAAGAACAAGCGTGCCGGACTGACTGCTGTAAAGAAAGTTGATGACGCTTTGCATGGTCTCTTGCGCGAGCCTTGCAGAATGATGACACAGTCAATGCCGCTTTGATTGAGCAGCTGCTGATTTCAACTGAGAGCGTCAGTGAGAGTGATAGTTTTGAAACCTGGCAGGATGTGATCTATGAGCAATCGAAGTATTGCTCAACCTTCTTTTGTGCTGGTGCAACATGTCCAGCTCCTGACCTGCCAGGTACCTTCCTTTGCCAATCAGCATTGCCAATCTGAAACTTGGATGACTCCGTGATGCTTGGCTCATATGACCATACGGGTCTGTAGGGGCCCCTTTGAGCACTTGATGGTGCGATTGTACGCACACCCGCTGTGCATGGAAAACATTTGCTGAGCCTTGCGCTCGCTTCATTTGCTGTGCTGTTTGATTGGTGGGGCTGTGGAAACCCCATTTGGTTGAGAGCTCAATCTGCTACCAGTGTGCACCCGCTACAGTTTCCCAACGTTGGAAGCACTGGGGACGCATCCAGCTTCAATCACTTCCTTGTCCACCTTCAGCAAGATGGCCTGGTTGCGGACATAGTTGAACTCATTCCAGCCCAGTAGGAAGATGGATCCCAGGAAGAGCAAAATCCCAAAGCAAACTCCGCACAGGGAATTGCCCATTCGCTGGCAAAAGTTTTCCCTCTCCACGGCGACATTGGGCCCAAGGATTCCACATTCCCAAAACCCACGGCATTTGCCCATGGGCTCAGCCTTGGTTTTAGGAGCGACGCTCCGGTATAGGATCTGATGGGACTGAACCGAAAAGGACTCTGAAAAGATGGCGATTTCAACGAGTTGATCTGCTGTCATCAGCTGTCAGAAAAATACCAACAAGCATTGCCTTCTCTCCTCAATAATAGCCATTCTACCATATTCTACCATCATCATTCCTCATGAACATAAACATGGCAGAAGAAGGGTAGATCGATGTGGCCATCCCCGCCTGCTTGTACAAGCCGTAGAGCTTCAGCTTGTCCTTGGCAGAAACCCACTCAAAAAAAAACCATGGAAGTCCGGAATTCCCTACATGTTCAACACATAATAGTGGTATATATAGGGAAATTCAGTATAGTGGTATATCCTATAAAACACTATACTATAGTGGTATACTATATACAATATAGCCTAAGCTGTACCAAATGCTCGCGGGCCTTACCTTAATCCGTAATCCCGGAATCCGTCTCAGAAGCCCCAAAGAGTCGAATCCGTAATCCGAGACCTAGTCCGTAATCCGGTTTAAAGCATAGATAGGACGGCTGCCTCCCTTTCCCTGTCCCTTTCCTTGTCCCCGGAACCCAGCAAAGCCAAGCAGCAGGCCAGCCACCAAAGCAACCAGCCCAGGAACCAGAACCAAGCAGCCAGCAGAGCACCCAGCAGCAGCCCAGCAGCAACCCAGCAGGAGCAAAAGCCGCAGCAGGAGCAGCCAACCAGCACCGTCAGCGCCACAGTGCTTACATCTTTCTTCTCCGCCCCCGGGGGGCCACGATTGGCAATTGGCAGCCCGGCGCTGTACTAGAAGCACCGGGCCCCGTAGTCTAGTGGTTAATACGTCAGCATCATGCATTGTCGCTGGGCAATCTAGTGGCGAAGGTTAGAAGTTCGAATCCTACCGGGTCCGTTCTGCAAGGCGGTGGTGCGACCAAAGTGTTGCGTTTCCAGCGGTGCTTGGCCAGAGCTTTGTGTTACCAATGTGCTTTGCTCTTTGCGCTTCCTTCCTCCGCTCCCTTTGTTTGGGGCTGGCGGTTTTTAGTTCTGTAAGGGAAACTTCCGCCACCGCGGGCTAATCCGTAAACCGCTAATCCGTAAACCGGGTAATCATTAAGGATTAACTTGGATCAGGCTAGATAGCAGTGGTATCCCTATAGTAAAATGTGTTAAATCCAGCAATGCGCGGTGATTTCAAGGCGTGGCTTTGCATTGGGGATCTCAGTGGCATCTGACGTTGATTCATGAGTGACCTGCAACCCACCCTTTCAGCAACACTGTAACATACTATAACATCTAACCACCAAAAGCAGTGGATCAGATCCATTGACTGACCGTGTTTATCCATTAATTTACAGTACACACCTCTCTCTCTCTCTCTAATTTACGCCTAGTTTGATCTAGTTGACCAAGTTCAGTCCTTGACTCAGTCACCGTCTCTCCCAAGCACATGCCACCATCACAGCCGGAGACCGAGGTGCATCTGTGCTGGCGGAACCCTTGGTGGGCGTGCCTTTGGCAATCAGGTTCGCCGCAGCCTCGAATTTCGCTTCCAAGTCCTGCACACTCCCGCGCAGGCGGGCAAGGTTGATGGCTGGCCCCCCGAACCTGACGGGTTCATGGTTAATGTTTAACATGAAAGGAACATAGACATCCCCATAGGATCCATGTATGGTATATATGCTAACATTTGGGGTATATTGATGGTAAATGTCACCATATATAGCATACATGGATCCTATGGGATCATAAACCATTGGTAAATGACTTTGAACCATGACCAATGTGCTCGGCTACTGGAAGGTACCAACATGGTCTGGACCCTGATTAGTTCCCATTAACCAATTCTTGACAGTCACTACTCCGACATACTCCGACCTTCAGAAAACCACACTTTGCACTCCCTCATATGACTGACCCTGAATCTGTCCGACATGTCGTCAAGTTTTTGCCTGCGACAAATTCCCTTCACAGTTGAACCGAAACCGGCTGCGATGTTGGCCAGGTGTCGGCCAGGGGGAACGGGAAGCTTTGCCAAGGATGTACTTGAGATATTTTGATATTGGGGGGAAGGGATTACACATGATTATGGAATAATGTCTTGGATATGACAGGAATCATTTAGATAGTATCGTTGAATAATGTTGACTAATTATCTATAATACTGGGATTGTATAGCCATATAAAGGTAATAATTATTCTATCCCAATGGCATAATGGGAAAACATTAAGGATTCAACGTGTTAGGCATTGCGGCATTACGGCATTGTTATAGGAAACTATATCAGCGAAGCCTCTGAGACTTTGCCCAAAAAAAAAGGAAACAACAGGTGACATCAGGCGTCTCTGGGAACTGCTTGCCATCAATTGGCATTCCAATGATGGGTCCCCACTGCTGGTGGGACACTTCCAATCAAGTCCTGCCAGAAAAAAACTGATGTCCCTGCAGCCTCTGTAGATATTGCCAGTTGACCGCTAATGCAAAAATCAACGGGGCTACCAGAATAGTATTTGATCGTATTTGATCTGTTCATGAATTCGGGGCCCACGTTGGAGGTATTGACTTGTAATTTGGAAGGGATGAGTCATCGCAACCAGAGCGCAGCCTTTTTGTCACTGCTCCTCTGTATAGAAGGACATGTGCAGCATCCAGTGCGCGAGAAGGTGCCATGAGATTTGATGTGATTCGAACTGATTTGAACTGCATGTTGTCATGTTGTGAATAACCAAAGATTCACGTTGGACAGCCCCCAAAAGGGCCATCATGATCCTTCTCACCACTAGAGTCACTAGATTCCAGTGCAAATCCTGCCCCAGTGCCTGGGTGGCAGGGCCGCAGGCCGGGGCCCTCACGCAGATCGCAGCTTCCATCCATCTGATGAAACAGTTGGGCCTGGCGGGACCTGGCATCTGGTCACTAGAGGTGCCATGATTGGAGGTGGCACGGTGGACCCCCTGTGCCTCATGGTGGCGTAATGCCGAACTTCTCCGTTTGCGCTTCGACTTTGGCAATGTACTCAGTCATGGCCTTGCTACCGCAGAGCAATGCTGGGTTTCGTAGTGGGCTCTACATGGATGGGTCGCCACAAGGCAAACAAAGCAAATAGGATAGGTAGCAAGATAGATAGAAGGACGGATCTGTAAATGAACATACATACTGATAAATACAAATAGATGAACACTAACCAGATACATACAAATACTATAGATACACAAACTACATACATACCAATAAGTAAAAATGAACATACATATATGACAAATATTATGATTCTCATTTGGACTTTTATACACAAAACTCGACTAGATTAAACGGGACGGTGGGATGGAAAAGCAAAAGACAGAAAATCCAATATTAATCCCATTCCCCTAATATTAAACACCAATGGTCCCAATATGTGGGTATGGCTCAAAAAAACGGGTATGGATCGTTCCGCGGGTGATCCGGACGTATGGATCGGTCTGGATCACCTGCGTTTTGGTATGGATCATGGGGTATGGATCGCATGTGGTACCGGGGTATGGATCAGAACCTTACATTTTGAGCCGCAGCCATGTGGTTCCATCCCCTACCAAACTATGGTTTGCAGGGAATGTTTAACATGATGGGGAAGGAATTGTTGATAATTATTGACGATTAATAGCCATATAGTTTCGCATGAATAGTCAAATCTGCCAACTCCACCTCGTTACTAGTACCTTGTTTAATCTTGCTCCAAATTGTGCAGATGCCTGCAATACAATACTAAGAATACCTTAAGAATTTGAGGGACCCTCGGCCTGTTGTAGTGTAAATTTGCCTGTATTTAAAAATGAGAATTTGAGGGACCCTGGACCTCAAGCTTTCGGATTCTTCACCAGCGCGGGCTGTACTATTAATCATGTTTAACCACTATCAATACTATCCACCAGTAAAAGCCGCTATAATCATTTATAATCCATTATGAACCACCATTAACCATCAATAATTATCAATAATTCATAATAATAGCATCAATATCATTGTCAATATCCATCAATATCCATCAATATCCATCAATATCCATCAATATCCATCAATATCCATCAACATCCATCAACATCCATCAATATCCATCAATATCCATCAATATCCATCAATATCGATCAATATCCATCAATATCCATCAATATCCATCAATATCCATCAATATCCATCAATATCCATCAACATCCATCAATATCCATCAATATCCATCAATCATCAGCCACTCTGAATCTGGGATTCTAGCCGTTTCCTTCGACTTTCCTTTGCACTTCTCCCATGCCTGGAGGATCATCATAGCAGGGATGGGAAATACTTAAACAAATGTTGGCAAAACGATGTCATAAACCATCCATAGGTGGTAAAAAAACATGCCCAAATGGGTGGTTTACTATTGTTTTGCCATGTTTTACTCATGATAATAGATCAACGTAACGTAGTTGAACATTGTTCAAAGCAGCAACCAGACTTGGTTTCAAAACTCTACAACGTTCAAAAACTCCAAACATGACACCAACTGTCACCAACTGTCACTAACCATCCCCATCCCACACAGGGATCCCGAGTAGGCAGTCCCTGGCTGTGCCTCCCATTTGGCTTTGGTTTCCCACTGGACGGACCATGGCTGAGATGTGGTGTTGTCGCCTTCTTTGGCCTGTGGCATCACGGATCGTGCAAAGCATCATCTATGTGTATCTCTGAACGGCCAGAACGGCCATGTCCATTTTCAATGCAAGTGCGACTTTCTTTGAAATGCTGTTACAAGTAAGAGCAAGCATATGCGTGAATCCGCTTTTTCGCAAGCGGCTGCCAACTTGACTCAACAATCTCGATCAATCTCGTCCGTACTGGGTGAAACAGCGCCGCGTTTAAGTTTCAAATGATCACTTGGAAGGTCTGTCCAGGAAACACCCCTTGTGGTACCTGAACTTGTCGTTGAAGTCCATCTGGGCATTGCACCATGAGCATTTGTCCAGGCACGGCATTTTGAGGACACACCACCTGCACGTGCTGCTGAGGTGCTGGTGCCATGTTGATCTGCGGTGCCATGAAGGGCTGCGACATGCTAGGCTCTCGGGCGTTCTTGCGGAACTTGTTGCGTAGCACCCCGGCACCACAAACGGCTGCAGCTGCAACCAGCAACAGCCCAATGCCAAGGATGGGCCTGGCCATCAACCAAGCAACACCAATGACAGTCAATGAGAGGGCCAATGAAATCAAGCAGTTCATGCAACACAAAGCACATCCAACCATCTCTCCGATCATCTCGCCGCAACAAGGAACGATCTGTGGCATCAGTGCAATGGGCCCTGTGACAAGTTGGAGGCCCAACCACATCAAGATGAAGCCTACGAAGCGCAAAGCAATGACCATAGCACCATTCTCACTTTGCTTCTCGTTGATCATGTCCGATTTGGATAAGCCACCCATTGAGGCCCAATCTACCAAGGACATGGTACCAGGCAACTGGGTGTCCCAGGGTCTCATCTGAGCATTGCTGGTTGACATGGCAGCCTACTTGGCGATGATGGCTACCTGCGTCAGGCCAAACTGGACCTGGGACTGGGTGAAGGTGGTCCGGACGTCGCCAATGGAGTTCTGTCCTGGGACCGAACTGAACTGCACCGAAGTGGCGTCCACCTGCACCAGCTGCTTGTTGGGCAGCAAACTGGTCCTCTGGCCTGAAGGAATGGTCACTGGCACCGATGGAAAGACACCCATCTCCTTGTTGTCCAGAAAGTAGAGGGAGTCTGTGGATGAACCCATTCCCACTGTGCCATCTGGAGCGTTCAAGGTCTGTTGAAGCGAAGTTGGAATGGTTCCAGAGTTCTGAATCTGCGAGCCACTCCTCTGGCAGCCGGGTCTCCAACTGGGGTAACAATAGAAATTGGAGGAAGACTGAGGAGATGAGACCCACTCCAAGTTGTAGTCATAGGTGCAGTCCTTCTCCCTGCCGCCTCCTCCAGTTGAATGACTGCTGCAACTCTTGTCCTCGGTCCACTGCAGGATGGTAGAGTCCGCCTTGAACCAGGCGCCCCGGACTTCCCCTGAGAATGACAAGCCCATGCTCTGCACCTGAGGGTCTGTAGTGAAGTCATAGCCACGTTGGACAACGCATGAGGCCCAAATGGGTTTCCCAACATTGGAAGCACTGGGGACGCATCCAGCTTCAATCACTTCCTTGTCCACCTTCAGCAAGATGGCCTGGTTGCGGACATAGTTGAACTCATTCCAGCCCAGTAGGAAGATGGATCCCAGGAAGAGCAAAATCCCAAAGCAAACTCCGCACAGGGAATTGCCCATTCGCTGGCAAAAGTTTTCCCTCTCCACGGCGACATTGCCCAAGGATTCCACATTCCCAAAACCCACGGCATTGCCCATGGGCTCAGCCTTGTTTAGGAGCGACGCTCCGGTATAGGATCTGATGGGACTGAACCGAAAAGGACTCTGAAAAGATGGCGATTTCAACGAGTTGATCTGCTGTCATCAGCTGTCAGAAAAATACCAACAAGCATTGCCTTCTCTCCTCAATAATAGCCATTCTACCATCATCATTCCTCATGAACATAAACATGGCAGAAGAAGGGTAGATCGATGTGGCCACCCCCGCCTGCTTGTACAAGCCGTAGAGCTTCAGCTTGTCCTTGGCAGAAACCCACTCAAAAAAAAAACATGGAAGTCCGGAATTCCCTACATGTTCAACACATAATAGTGGTATATATAGGGAAATTCAGTATAGTGGTATATCCTATAAAACACTATACTATAGTGGTATACTATATACAATATAGCAGTGGTATCCCTATAGTAAAATGTGTTAAATCCAGCAATGCGCGGTGATTTCAAGGCGTGGCTTTGCATTGGGGATCTCAGTGGCATCTGACGTTGATTCATGAGTGACCTGCAACCCACCCTTTCAGCAACACTGTAACATACTATAACATCTAACCACCAAAAGCAGTGGATCAGATCCATTGACTGACCATGTTTATCCATTAATTTACAGTACACACCTCTCTCTCTCTCTCTCTAATTTACGCCTAGTTTGATCTAGTTGACCAAGTTCAGTCCTTGACTCAGTCACCGTCTCTCCCAAGCACATGCCACCATCACAGCCGGAGACCGAGGTGCATCTGTGCTGGCGGAACCCTTGGTGGGCGTGCCTTTGGCAATCAGGTTCGCCGCAGCCTCGAATTTCGCTTCCAAGTCCTGCACACTCCCGCGCAGGCGGGCAAGGTTGATGGCTGGCCCCCCGAACCTGACGGGTTCATGGTTAATGTTTAACATGAAAGGAACATAGACATCCCCATAGGATCCATGTATGGTATATATGCTAACATTTGGGGTATATTGATGGTAAATGTCACCATATATAGCATACATGGATCCTATGGGATCATAAACCATTGGTAAATGACTTTGAACCATGACCAATGTGCTCGGCTACTGGAAGGTACCAACATGGTCTGGACCCTGATTAGTTCCCATTAACCAATTCTTGACAGTCACTACTCCGACATACTCCGACCTTCAGAAAACCACACTTTGCACTCCCTCATATGACTGACCCTGAATCTGTCCGACATGTTGTCAAGTTTTTGCCTGCGACAAATTCCCTTCACAGTTGAACCGAAACCGGCTGCGATGTTGGCCAGGTGTCGGCCAGGGGGAACGGGAAGCTTTGCCAAGGATGTATTTGAGATATTTTGATATTGGGGGGAAGGGATTACACATGATTATGGAATAATGTCTTGGATATGACAGGAATCATTTAGATAGTATCGTTGAATAATGTTGACTAATTATCTATAATACTGGGATAGTATAGCCATATAAAGGTAATAATTATTCTATCCCAATGGCATAATGGGAAAACATTAAGGATTCAACGTGTTAGGCATTGCGGCATTACGGCATTGTTATAGGAAACTATATCAGCGAAGCCTCTGAGACTTTGCCCAAAAAAAAAAAGGAAACAACAGGTGACATCAGGCGTCTCTGGGAACTGCTTGCCATCAATTGGCATTCCAATGATGGGTCCCCACTGCTGGTGGGACACTTCCAATCAAGTCCTGCCAGAAAAAAAACTGATGTCCCTGCAGCCTCTGTAGATATTGCCAGTTGACCGCTAATGCAAAAATCAACGGGGCTACCAGAATAGTATTTGATCGTATTTGATCTGTTCATGAATTCGGGGCCCACGTTGGAGATATTGACTTGTAATTTGGAAGGGATGAGTCATCGCAACCAGAGCTTTTTGTCACTGCTCCTCTGTATAGAAGGACATGTGCAGCATCCAGTGCGCGAGAAGGTGCCATGAGATTTGATGTGATTCGAACTGATTTGAACTGCATGTTGTCATGTTGTGAATAACCAAAGATTCACGTTGGACAGCCCCCAAAAGGGCCATCATGATCCTTCTCACCACTAGAGTCACTAGATTCCAGTGCAAATCCTGCCCCAGTGCCTGGGTGGCAGGGCCGCAGGCCGGGGCCCTCACGCAGATCGCAGCTTCCATCCATCTGATGAAACAGTTGGGCCTGGCGGGACCTGGCATCTGGTCACTAGAGGTGCCATGATTGGAGGTGGCACGGTGGACCCCCTGTGCCTCATGGTGGCGTAATGCCGAACTTCTCCGTTTGCGCTTCGACTTCGGCAATGTACTCAGTCATGGCCTTGCGGTAGCAAGAGCAATGCTGGGTTTCGTAGTGGGCTCTACATGGATGGGTCGCCACAAGGCAAACAAAGCAAATAGGATAGGTAGCAAGATAGATAGAAGGACGGATCTGTAAATGAACATACATACTGATAAATACAAATAGATGAACACTAACCAGATACATACAAATACTATAGATACACAAACTACATACATACCAATAAGTAAAAATGAACATACATATATGACAAATATTATGATTCTCATTTGGACTTTTATACACAAAACTCGACTAGATTAAACGGGACGGTGGGATAGAAAAGCAAAAGACAGAAAATCCAATATTAGTCCCATTCCCCTAATATTAAACACCAATGGTCCCAATATGTGGGTATGGCTCAAAAAACGGGTATGGATCGTTCCGCGGGTGATCCGGACGTATGGATCGGTCTGGATCACCTGCGTTTTGGTATGGATCATGGGGTATGGATCGCATGTGGTACCGGGGTATGGATCAGAACCTTACATTTTGAGCCGCAGCCATGTGGTTCCATCCCCTACCAAACTATGGTTTGCAGGGAATGTTTAACATGATGGGGAAGGAATTGTTGATAATTATTGACGATTAATAGCCATATTATAGTTTCGCATGAATAGTCAAATCTGCCAACTCCACCTCGTTACTAGTACCTTGTTTAATCTTGCTCCAAATTGTGCAGATGCCTGCAATACAATACTAAGAATACCTTAAGAATTTGAGGGACCCTCGGCCTGTTGTAGTGTAAATTTGCCTGTATTTAAAAATGAGAATTTGAGGGACCCTGGACCTCAAGCTTTCGGATTCTTCACCAGCGCGGGCTGTACTATTAATCATGTTTAACCACTATCAATACTATCCACCATTAAAAGCCACTATAATCATTTATAATCCATTATGAACAACCATTAACCATCAATAATTATCAATAATTCATAATAATAGCATCAATATCATTGTCAATATCCATCAATATCCATCAATATCCATCAATATCCATCAATATCCATCAATATCGATCAATATCCATCAATCCATCAATATCCATCAATATCCATCAATATCCATCAATATCCATCAATATCCATCAACATCCATCAATATCCATCAATATCCATCAATATCCATCAATATCGATCAATATCCATCAATATCCATCAATATCCATCAATATCCATCAAAATCCATCAATATCCATCAATATCCATCAACATCCATCAATATCCATCAATATCCATCAATCATCAGCCACTCTGAATCTGGGATTCTAGCCGTTTCCTTCGACTTTCCTTTGCACTTCTCCCATGCCTGGAGGATCATCATAGCAGGGATGGGAAATACTTAAACAAATGTTGGCAAAACGATGTCATAAACCATCCATAGGTGGTAAAAAAACATGCCCAAATGGGTGGTTTACTATTGTTGTGCCATGTTTTACTCATGATAATAGATCAACGTAACGTAGTTGAACATTGTTCAAAGCAGCAACCAGACTTGGTTTCAAAACTCTACAACGTTCAAAAACTCCAAACATGACACCAACTGTCACCAACTGTCACTAACCATCCCCATCCCACACAGGGATCCCGAGTAGGCAGTCCCTGGCTGTGCCTCCCATTTGGCTTTGGTTTCCCACTGGACGGACCATGGCTGAGATGTGGTGTTGTCGCCTTCTTTGGCCTGTGGCATCACGGATCGTGCAAAGCATCATCTATGTGTATCTCTGAACGGCCAGAACGGCCATGTCCATTTTCAATGCAAGTGCGACTTTCTTTGAAATGCTGTTACAAGTAAGAGCAAGCATATGCGTGAATCCGCTTTTTCGCAAGCGGCTGCCAACTTGACTCAACAATCTCGATCAATCTCGTCTGTACTGGGTGAAACAGCGCCGCGTTTAAGTTTCAAATGATCACTTGGAAGGTCTGTCCAGGAAACACCCCTTGTGGTACCTGAACTTGTCGTTGAAGTCCATCTGGGCATTGCACCATGAGCATTTGTCCAGGCACGGCATTTTGAGGACACACCACCTGCACGTGCTGCTGAGGTGCTGGTGCCATGTTGATCTGCGGTGCCATGAAGGGCTGCGACATGCTAGGCTCTCGGGCGTTCTTGCGGAACTTGTTGCGTAGCACCCCGGCACCACAAACGGCTGCAGCTGCAACCAGCAACAGCCCAATGCCAAGGATGGGCCTGGCCATCAACCAAGCAACACCAATGACAGTCAATGAGAGAGGGCCAACGAAATCAAGCAGTTCATGCAACACAAAGCACATCCAACCATCTCTCCGATCATCTCGCCGCAACAAGGAACGATCTGTGGCATCAGTGCAATGGGCCCCGTGACAAGTTGGAGGCCCAACCACATCAAGATGAAGCCTACGAAGCGCAAAGCAATGACCATAGCACCATTCTCACTTTGCTTCTCGTTGATCATGTCCGATTTGGATAAGCCACCCATTGAGGCCCAATCTACCAAGGACATGGTACCAGGCAACTGGGTGTCCCAGGGTCTCATCTGAGCATTGCTGGTTGACATGGCAGCCTGCTTGGCGATGATGGCTACCTGCGTCAGGCCAAACTGGACCTGGGACTGGGTGAAGGTGGTCCGGACGTCGCCAATGGAGTTCTGTCCTGGGACCGAACTGAACTGCTTCGGTGGCGTCCACCTGCACCAGCTGCTTGTTGGGCAGCAAACTGGTCCTCTGGCCTGAAGGAACGGTCACTGGCACCGATGGAAAGACACCCATCTCCTTGTTGTCCAGAAAGTAGAGGGAGTCTGTGGATGAACCCATTCCCACTGTGCCATCTGGAGCGTTCAAGGTCTGTTGAAGCGAAATTGGAATGGTTCCAGAGTTCTGAATCTGCGAGCCACTCCTCTGGCAGCCGGGTCTCCAACTGGGGTAACAATAGAAATTGGAGGAAGACTGAGGAGATGAGACCCACTCCAAGTTGTAGTCATAGGTGCAGTCCTTCTCCCTGCCGCCTCCTCCAGTTGAATGACTGCTGCAACTCTTGTCCTCGGTCCACTGCAGGATGGTAGAGTCCGCCTTGAACCAGGCGCCCCGGACTTCCCCTGAGAATGACAAGCCCATGCTCTGCACCTGAGGGTCTGTAGTGAAGTCATAGCCACGTTGGACAACGCATGAGGCCCAAATGGGTTTCCCAACATTGGAAGCACTGGGGACGCATCCAGCTTCAATCACTTCCTTGTCCACCTTCAGCAAGATGGCCTGGTTGCGGACATAGTTGAACTCATTCCAGCCCAGTAGGAAGATGGATCCCAGGAAGAGCAAAATCCCAAAGCAAACTCCGCACAGGGAATTGCCCATTCGCTGGCAAAAGTTTTCCCTCTCCACGGCGACATTGCCCAAGGATTCCACATTCCCAAAACCCACGGCATTGCCCATGGGCTCAGCCTTGTTTAGGAGCGACGCTCCGGTATAGGATCTGATGGGACTGAACCGAAAAGGACTCTGAAAAGATGGCGATTTCAACGAGTTGATCTGCTGTCATCAGCTGTCAGAAAAATACCAACAAGCATTGCCTTCTCTCCTCAATAATAGCCATTCTACCATATTCTACCATCATCATTCCTCATGAACATAAACATGGCAGAAGAAGGGTAGATCGATGTGGCCATCCCCGCCTGCTTGTACAAGCCGTAGAGCTTCAGCTTGTCCTTGGCAGAAACCCACTCAAAAAACAAGATGAAGCCCACGAACCCGAATGCTCACACGTATGTTAATGGTACAGATGTCAAAACACATGGATATGCAGTCACGCACAACACTTTTCTGCAATAGTTTATTTGAACTGTCTTGTACATATTTCCCCTGTTACCAGTCTGCAGTGTGGAGTGTAAAGTGTGGAGTGTAAAGTGTGGAGTGTGGAGTGTAAAGTGTGGAGTGTGGAGTGTAAAGCGTGGAGTGGGGACTGTAGAGTGTGTAAAGTGTAGAATGCGAAGTGTAAAGTGGAGAGTGTGGAGTGTAAAGTGTAGAGTGTGGAGTGTGGAGTGTAGCGTGTAGAGTGTGGAGTGAGGAGTGAGGAGTGTAAAGTGCAAAGTGTGGAGTGTGGAGTGTAAAGTGAGGAGTGTGGAGTGTAAAGTGTGGAGTGAGGAGTGTAAAGTGTAAAGTGTAGAGTGTGGAGTGTAAAGTGTGGAGTGTGGAGTGCGGAGTGTGGAGTGTGGAGTGGAAAGTGTAGAGTGTGGAGTGTAGAATGTAGAATGTAAAATGTAAAGTGTGAAGTGTAGAGTGTAAAGTGTAGAGTGTGGAGTGTAAAGTGTAGAGTGTCGAGTGTGGAGTGAGGAGTGTAAAGTGTAAAGTGCGGAGTGTGGAGTGTAAAGTGTAGAGTGTGGAGTGTGGAGTGTGGAGTGGAAAGTGTAGAGTGTGGAGTGTGGAGTGAGTGTGGAGTGTGGAGTGTGGAGTGTGGAGTGGGAGTGTGGAGTGTGGAGTGTGGAGTGGTGAGGAGTGTGGAGTGTAAAGTGAGGAGTGTGGAGTGTAAAGTGAGGAGTGTAAAGTGAGGAGTGTAAAGTGTAGAGTCTGGAGTGCAAAGTGTGGAGTGTGGAGTGCGGAGTGTGGAGGGTAAAGTGTAGAGTGTGGAGTGTGGAGTGTAAAGTGAGGAGTGTGGAGTGTAGAGTGTGGAGTGTGGGGTGTAAACTGTGGAGTGTGGAGTGTAAAGTGTAGAGTGTGGAGTGTGGCGTGTGGAGTGTGGAGTGCGGAGTGTAAAGTGAGGAGTGTGGAGTGTAGAGTGTAGAGTGTAGAGTGGAGTGAGGAGTGAGGAGTGAGGAGTTTAAAGTGTAAAGTGTAGAGCGCTGAGTGTGGAGTGTGGAGTGTAAAGTGTGGAGTGTGGAGTGTGGAGTGTAAAGTGTGGAGTGTGGAGTGTAAAGTGTGGAGTGTGGAGTGCAACGTGTAGAGTGGAGTGTGGAGTGTGGAGTGGGGAGTGGAAAGTGTAGAGTGTGGAGTGTGAGTGGGGGATGTGGAGTGTAGAGTGTGGAGGGAGGAGTGAGGAGTTTAATAAAGTGTAAAGTGTAGAGTGCGGAGTGTGGAGTGTGGAGTGTGGAATGTGGAGTGTAAAGTGAGGAGTGTGGAGTGTAAAGTGTGGAGTGTGGAGTGCAAAGTGTAAAGTGTAAAGTGTGGAGTGTGGAGTGTGGAGGGTAAAGTGTAGAGTGTGGAGTGTGGAGTGGAAAGTCTAGTTTGTGGAGTGTAAAATGTAAAAAGTGTAGATGTAAAATGTTTGTGGAGTGTGGAGTGTAAAATGTAAAAAGTGTGGAGTGTGGGGTGTAAAGTGTAGAGTGTGGAGTGTGGAGTGTAGAGTGTGGAGTGTGGAGTGTAAAGTGAGGAGTGTGGAGTGTAAAGTGTGGAGTGAGGAGTGCGGAGCTTTCCCCATAGACACGGCGACGCCACAGGAAATCCAACGACTCGAGACGAGACACGTGGATGCAGAAAAACGAGCATTTCGTACGAGACTTCCTCCAATTTTGACATTTTCGACACGTTATCAAACACGTTGGAATGTCGCAAAGTGCCACGCCTGCCACGCAAAACGACATGACAAGCTGCTTGGAAACCTTCGAAAAGGAGAGGTTTTGCGGCTTCCCCCATAGACACGGCGAAGCCACAGGAAAACCAGAGACTCGAGACAAGACACGTGGATGCAGAAAAACGAGCATTTCGTACGAGACTTCCTCCAATTTGACATTTTCGACACGTAAATGTCGCAAAGTGCCACGCCTGCCACGCAAAACGACATGACAAGTGCTTGGAAACCTTCCAGGAGAGGTTTTTCCCCCATAGACACGGCGACGCCACAGGAAATCCAACGACTCGAGACGAGACACGTGGATGCAGAAAAACGAGCATTTCGTACGAGACTTCCTCCAATTTTGACATTTTCGACACGTTATCAAACACGTTGGAATGTCGCAAAGTGCCACGCCTGCCACGCAAAAAGGACATGACAAGCTGCTTGGAAACCTTCGAAAAGGAGAGGTTTTGCGGCTTCCCCCATAGACACGGCGAAGCCACAGGAAAACCAGAGACTCGAGACAAGACACGTGGATGCAGAAAAACGAGCATTTCGTACGAGACTTCCTCCAATTTTCATAGTTACCAACATGACAAAAGGAGAAGTTTTGCAGCTTCCACCATAGACACGGCGAGGCCACAGGAAAACCAGACATGCCAGAAGAGACAGGTGGGAGCACCAAAACGAGCATTTCGTGCGAGACTTCCTCCAATTTTCACACTTTGTAGCTTCAAAATCGACGTTTTCCTACGAGTTTTCCTTAGAACGTGAAAATTTGCAACCTCAAAATCGATGTTTCGTGCGAGGCTTCCGTCAATTTTCAGCACATGTCAGAAAATGCCACGCCTGCCACGGAATTTGCACCTTGTCGCCACTTGACGCAGCCCTGCCAATGCGATTTGCAAAAAACGCGCAACATGACACGTCTAAAGTGCCGCGCCTGCCACGAAAAATGGCGATGGACACGTCCAAAGTGCTGCGCCTGCCACGAAAACTGCAACACATCTTCTGAAAACGTCGCAAAAGTATTGCGCCTGCCACGCAAAACGACTTTCGACACGTTCCAGAACACGTCTGAATGTCACGAAGTGCCACGCCTGCCACGCGAAACGAAGCAACGACACGTCTGAAACCTCCAAAAATTACTACCTCTGCAGAACTTCCCATAGGCACGGCCATACGGTCCTCGCGCGGACGGTTGCGAACGGTTGCGAACGGTTGCGGACGGTTGCGCTCGCGAACGCAACGTCGAGCGAACACACCCTCAACCCCCAGACCCCCAGAGTGAAACGGGAACCCTTGCTACGCATTCGGGAAAAAACCATGGAAGTCCGGAATTCCCTACATGTTCAACACATAATAGTGGTATATATAGGGAAATTCAGTATAGTGGTATATCCTATAAAACACTATACTATAGTGGTATACTATATACAATATAGCAGTGGTATCCCTATAGTAAAATGTGTTAAATCCAGCAATGCGCGGTGATTTCAAGGCGTGGCTTTGCATTGGGGATCTCAGTGGCATCTGACGTTGATTCATGAGTGACCTGCAACCCACCCTTTCAGCAACACTGTAACATACTATAACATCTAACCACCAAAAGCAGTGGATCAGATCCATTGACTGACCATGTTTATCCATTAATTTACAGTACACACCTCTCTCTCTCTCTATAATTTGCGCCTAGTTTGATCTAGTTGACCAAGTTCAGTCCTTGACTCAGTCACCGTCTCACCCAAGCACATGCCACCATCACAGCCGGAGACCGAGGTGCATCTGTGCTGGCGGAACCCTTGGTGGGCGTGCCTTTGGCAATCAGGTTCGCCGCAGCCTCGAATTTCGCTTCCAAGTCCTGCACACTCCCGCGCAGGCGGGCAAGGTTGATGGCTGGCCCCCCGAACCTGACGGGTTCATGGTTAATGTTTAACATGAAAGGAACATAGACATCCCCATAGGATCCATGTATGGTATATATATGCTAACATTTGGGGTATATTGATGGTAAATGTCACCATATATAGCATACATGGATCCTATGGGATCATAAACCATTGGTAAATGACTTTGAACCATGACCAATGTGCTCGGCTACTGGAAGGTACCAACATGGTCTGGACCCTGATTAGTTCCCATTAACCAATTCTTGACAGTCACTACTCCGACATACTCCGACCTTCAGAAAACCACACTTTGCACTCCCTCATATGACTGACCCTGAATCTGTCCGACATGTCGTCAAGTTTCAGGTTGGCAGCAGAATCTTACTCTCGAGCCGAAGTGCTTCTGGAGGTTCACGTTATGTTGTACGATCTGCCAAATCAGCACTCTCGAAGTCTTTCCACACACTGACCAGGATGAAGGAGCGGCAAAATGAACAAATGATGTCATCCAAATAATCTTGGAAAAACGGCCCGTAGCACTCCACAAATCAATTTGCGACCCAATCCTCCCAGGATCTCCCAGGCATCACAGCAGAAACATCAACATGGCCGCAACCACCAACCAACCTATGATGAAACCACAAGCGCGCAGCATTTTTTATCAGCTAGGTGCGCCGGGCAACGGCCCAGCGGGTCCGGAACCTGATGGATCAGATGTTTTTTTTGTTTAAGACCTAGCGACCCACAAATGCTGGGGCCCTCCACATAAGATCACATAAGCTTGATTCATGATGATTCATGATGATTCATGAAATTTTGAGGATGTTGAGAACAGAAAAACATGGCATGTCGTTCATCAAATGTCGAGGGGTGGGGACCGGAATCAATGATCTCGCAGTTGATTTCCTAGTTTGATGGGTCCATAGCCATATGATAGGCCCATCTTATGACGGTCACTCTCTGACTCCGAAACACCCCCAACCAATTCAACTGCTGTCAAATCCCACTTTTTTGGTGGTTCCAGCTCCACTTGTTGGAACTTTTTGAAACTACACACAACACATGTTGGTTGGATCATGTAGACTCACCATTCTGATTGCTTAGATCGGCAAGTATACGCCACACACTTATCCTTTTTGCCAGCTTGGGGGTTCTATCTCTCTGCATGCATTTTGATGTAGGTTGTACTCTTGAAATCTTGAGGTTTTAGGGTTTCATATGGTTTCATGCCCTGATCATCCCTGATCCACCGGTATCTCTGCAGCTTCGAGAAGCTGAGCTAAGAGGCTTTGACAAAGGCGCCAGATTCGGCCACGGCTGGACCTGGCCCTGGAGCACTGGCAACCTGGTGGATCCATGTTGATCCTGGAGGAAATCTGAAGACATTTTGCTGCATTTTTTGCTGAACATGGCTGCTATTGTTGTTCTGTTATTATCGCATATCTAAAAATGGATTGGTTTTCTTGGGATAATCTTAACCGAAAACCATCGATTTTCCCATTAAATATGGGGCTGTCCTGTAAAAATTCCCGAAAAACCAATCCAATGAATATCATAATCAGATCATCACATGATGTTTTTCTGAATCCACTTGTTAGCTGCTACAGCAGCAGCCCTCTGAACCCTCTGGGCCTTCCACATGGTGGTGGAATCCTGGGGCATAGATATTAGTGTAGCTACTAGTGCTATAGATAAATAGAACGGCTATGCGTCAAAGGGTGCATCCAAAACAAAGGGATGGTTTACCAAATTAATGACAAAACATATCAAAAACATGTTCATTCATTCTGGCACAATCCAGGCAGTCACAGGAACAGCCACCTAGAGTCCTGACGGGTGCAGGGTGCAAACTCGCTGGTCATCAGGGCAGCCGACTGATCAGCGTAGAAAATATGCAGGACATTGGCCGGACCCAAGGAGTTTATGAGACAGGATATCTGGATGTCCCACATGCCCATCATGCCCGATGACAGTACTAAAAGCAGATAGCTACGACCCTGACTGGCCGAGCCCTCTGCAAAAGCTTACTGCAGATGCCTCTTTTACAGGTCTGGTAGGCAACTTTGGCCCTAGTGCTCTGATAGCGGATTGCCAGCAAATATTTGCCACTTGTTCGGCCTTTCCTCGTGGATAGAATAAACATGTCAAGCTGGGACTAAAGGTTCATCTCATGAGGCGGGAAGCAACCAAGATTGCAACATTCGTTCTGCTACCTCTTGTGATTGATATTCACATCGATGACATCTGGCAAGCAAACAAAAAAACATCCTTTCAACTCTCCAAGTGACTCCAAGTGATGGGCCTCAAATCTATTACAAAGAAGTCAAGAACCAATTTCTGCTTAGAAAGTTTCCAGGCAAACATTTGCGCCGTCAAACAAAATAGCCCTCAGCTGCACCTCGGAGGGATGGCTAAGCATGGCCAGCAGCATCTCTCCCATCTGCCCAAAAGGGAAATCTGTTCATCCTGAGGGTCAAACAAGTATAGTCCGAAATAAAGGAGTCCGGCTTCACTTTCCTGGAAAAAATGACATGGGTGAAAAATGATGCAATCCACATAGATGGTGCATTACTATGATTCAATGTCGATCGTATGTGTATGTATGTATATATGTGCGCGTGTGTGATTCTGTACAGATATATATATATATATAGATTATAGTATATTAGTATATCCACCCTTCTCTCTCTCTCTCTCTCTCTCTCTTTCTCCGTAGCCATCTCGTTCGACTGCTGGAGGCAGCACGAACATGTGATGTATAGCTATACGAATGTACCTTAAAAAAAAAATAATAATAATAAAAACATATATTTAAACTTTAAACGGCTACATAATGCCATACCATGCCATATCTGTATGAAATCACTGAATATATTGAAATACAGCACAAGTAATGGTAAGTTATATAATGATAGTAAAATGGTATAATACACACACATATATATTATATGGGTGCGTACATGAACATAAACAGTAATAAATAAATAAATATATATATATATAATCAAAGTGGGATGGGCCAGCTTCCCTTTCATTTACAGTCAGCCCTACAGAAACCGGATGCCGAGGCTCAACTGTGGCAATGACAGGTCTGAGTTCCTCAGCAGAACCGGTACCATAGTGGTTCTGGAGGAGGCCCGACATGTGACCGTACATGCAATCAAACAATCAATGTAAAGAAAAATCAACTAATAACATCTAATAACTATACATCAGACATATTGATACATATATACACATGAACATGCAGAATGCGAACCATGAGCCCCAAAAAAATGAAGCCCCAAGCACGCTGAATCATTAATTTTCAAGGACCGTCTCGTGTACACTGGCTAGGATCGACTTTTTGTCGACCATTGGTTCCTGCCTGTGCCATGCACATTGACTCAAAAAATCTCAAAGGTGTTCGCCTAGTGTCATATGCAAAGGGCCAACAAACGGGCGAAAAACAACGTTGCAACCTGAACTGAACCGTCATTCCAAGCCAACTCACAAATCCCAATGCCCACAAGCAAATCACTGCACGCAACATAACAAGGATGCAGTGAACTTCAACCCAGTTACATCATTTTACCATTTACATCCCACTTACCATTCACCTAGGACGGTGACCGAAGCAGCAAAATTCGCGGCACCGCATCCAGGGCCGCCACGTCTCCCCCGCGCGGAGCATCCGTGCTTGTTGGAGTCGACGGAGGTGGCTTGACCTTGCCCAAAATTCACACAGAAAACTCATCGGATTTTTGATCAAAGATTTAACTTATTAAACATTAAACCGAACCCATTAAAACCCCCCAAAAAAGAGCTTGGACATGTCCAAACCATTGAAAATCATGAATAATTGGATGCAAACATGTTGTTTTAGTTACTATTTCGTAGTTGTATTATGTGGTATTCATTCTTTGTAGGTCTCCAACTTTAGTTCGTACATGTGGGTACCGTCGGTGTTTCATTCCCAGTAAGCTGATGGACGGGCATGATGGAAAGGCCATGGATGTATTTGTGATTCTGATGATCCTGATGGATCTTCTGAGCATGGTCATGTGTGCTACAAGGTTTGACCCTCTTCACGCTGATGGCCGTGGGCAGCATATGGAAGCTGCAAAAATGATCACAGGATGTCATTTCACCAGGGCAGGAAAGGCCATGGTCCCCTCTCCGAAATTAGATTTTCCAATAATTTCCAATACTATGAACCACCATTAGCCATCAATAATTATCAATAATTCATAATAATAGCATCAATAATTCATAATAATAGCATCAATATCCATCAATATCCATCATCAATACAGCTTTTTTCCCAAATACATCCAAATACTGTATCAATTCCAAAGGCTGCTCAGCTAAACATTCCTAAACGGCTGCGCGCAGCATTGAAAAAAGGTGCCTCTCTCTGTGCCAGACGTCAAAGCGGTCCGGCAGCATCTAAACATCCAAACATCATGGCATCTCCCGTGCGAACATATGTGATGATCGGCGATCATGTATGTGATGATCAGCGATCATGGATGATAATGGGGACATTCCAACTGCCTTTCGTTATCGTTTTTAACAGTTAAAAAGTGCAATTCGGGGAAGCGATAGCCACAAGATTGGCAGACGACTTCGTCGATCCACCGGCACTGCGATGGTGGGATGTTCTCAAAGTGCTCCGGTGATTTGGATGATGTGGAGTAATTACCCCAAAAAAAAGGACACCTCCAATATGATGATCACCAGCATTCATGACATAACTATAACTATAATTAAGATTAATTAATTATATAACTATAACCATCTTGGTCACCTAGCTGCTATCATGAATTATCATTGAGCTATGGTCGTCTCTGAACTGCCTTGAAAACATCCTTGGACTATCTTGGAGCTATCTCCCGGCTGTGCCATCGTTCAGGGCCCCGCGTTCTGTAGCAAGGGCTCAGGTTTGTTTCCGCGACCTCAGGTGAAAATCCAAAAAGGGAATCTCCCCATAATTTTCGGGCTAGATCTCTATTTGGTAGCAGCATGCAACAGCATATTCATAGATTTGGGTGGTTAACAACATTATGCAACATTATAACCATTGCAAGTTTTGCAAATAACTTCTTATCACATCTCTCAGGGCCTCTCTCTCTATCTATCTCTCTCTCCTCTCTCTCGTTTTCTTCCACAGATTCCCTGAATATGTTTTGAGGGTTGACTCCCCACCCTCCGATCAACAACCAATGGGTCCTCCGGGTTGTTGAGTCCCTGAGCATCCCTGCGTTGGATGGAAGCCACACCGAAGCCCAGCAGCGCTGCTAGGAAGGCGTAAGACACTGTGCAGGGAAGAGCTGTGGGCCTCAGCTGACGGTAGAACTGGGCCACTGGGCACAGCCATTGGTTCCCCGTTAACCATGGATGATTATTTAACTTGTTTGGGGTGGTCACCTCCGCCTCCATTTTAGGAAACACCCATATGGTGACATTTACACACCTTGACCCACATCGTTCTTGGTGGGATCAGTATCTCCGACATCATTGGGTCACGAATGGTCACGAGGATCGAATCAATCCCAATGCGAGACTCTATGCAGTATCCAATCAATGCTGCCAAAGTATGGGTATGTTCTGTCTTAGTGACTTGGTGATGACATGTGATGACCTTCACTTAGCACTGCCAGCCCCAACCGGATGGCTCCCCGAGATATCATTTTAGGTGCCCACCATCAGTCATCCAGGTGACCCTGTTTGAATCATCAGAATGCCAACAATGAAGGGTCCTGGGACTGGCTCTGGGGGAGAGCCAAAAGGGCAGCATTGTAAAACATAACTGGTTGGGGGTTTCAACCCCTCTGAAAAATATGAGTCAGTTGGGGTTATTATTCCCAACATATGAAAAAATAAACAATGTTCCAAACCACCAACCAGATAACTAGTTGAATCCATTTGAGGAACCTGTTTTGCCCTGGGAGAGTATGTGGTAATATCTCATAAATTTCACGTGTCCTGCGCTGGCACCAAAATTTCCACCAACATTGATGACCTCAGCGTCCAGCAGTGGAAGAACAAGCAGCCGCCACTGCACACTGACAGCAAGTACAATACCCTCTGGTAAACTAACATAGCTATTGAAAATGGCCATTTATAGTGAGTTTTCCCATTAAAAATTGTGATTTTCCATAGCTATGTTAAATTACCAGAGGGTACGTCATAGCAACGAAATTAAGAACCCCAAGCCTTCCCCGAGGCTGACGCCCACCCAACAATCATCCCTTTCTTCCGACGCCTTTTGCCTTTTGCTGAGTAGATTTTCTGCGTATATGGCTGGGCAGATTTGAAGGAACCATAAAGTCGCTCAGGTAATCTCAGTTATTAACTTCCAGGTGTTTATCATCCAAATACAAAGGACACACTTTGATTTTGGATGCTTTTTGTTATCCTGCAAGAAGTTGCCGAGACGCTGCCAGCTGAACCCCACTGGGGCTACAGTGCTGGTTCAACAAAGTACTGCAGTAGGTCACCAGTGGTCCACCTTCAAAGATGCTCTTGGAACAAAAATGCTCCTCTTAGCTTAGCATGGCTAGAATGGCTAGAAAATAGACATGAACAAACTAGAACTATCATGAACTACCCTCTGGTAATTTAACGTAGCTATTGGAAATGGCCATTAATAGTGGATTTTCCCATTAAAAATGATGATTTTCCATAGCTATGTTAGTTTACCAGAGGGTATATCTAAATACTATCTAGAACTCACTTCGAAATTGCGATAGGCGATAACCCCAGTTGAATAATCTACGAACTTTTTTTTTTGCTGAGAGTGTTGTGCCCCACCTGCCAAACCATACCATGCAAGGGCCAGCACTGTGGCAATCACCGAATCCGTGAAGGGAAGCCAAAGCAAAAGGCCAAACAGCACAGCAAAAACCTGTCCACGAGCCTTGGTGGGGATAGGAAGACACGATCAAGACTTGAATCTGGAATCTACCATGATAATACCATGACTGGTTGGTGGTTTCAACCATCTTGAAACATATGAAAGTCAATGGGAAGGATTATCCCATATATTATGGAAAATAAAAAATGTTCCAAACCACCAACCAGATGATATACAGTAGATGTTTTTGTTTGTATGCGCCATTGCATAAGAATATAGATGACATACACCAGGCTAGCTTGCAGTATATCTGTTTGTCAAGCACATGTTTGCTTCGCGCCTATACCTTATGATCCTTGTTACCAATTGCAACATGTAACATGCATTAGTTCTCTGGACATTCAAACGTTGACGAACTCAAGCTGAGCTGGAAGCCTGTGGCTTCATGCCACCTCCCTGGTGCCTTCAGTGGCTTCAGTGGCTTCAATGCATTCCAAAGGGCTAGATCCCACAAAGCAAAGTATTGCCTGGGATCCAGTGAGTACATCTCAGTGGATCTCAGTGGGAAACTGGGCAAGCACAGATTCTCAGATGCAACAGCCAAGTGACTGGTATCTGGAAGCACTGAAGGAGCCCAGCATGAGGGAACCCTGCAAAAGGCTCACAAGCAAAGGTGCCATGGATCGGTCGTGCAGCTCCTGGACAAGGGATGTCAGCGGCAGAGCATGGCGGAGCTGCACAGCTGAAATGTGCTGTCCCCGGTGATTCAAGGAAGAGTGCTCCTAACCGCAAGATTCCCACATCTGTCAACATCTTAAAGTCTGAAAGAAGCTGTAGAAAATAGTGCGTTCAAGGCTCGTTGGCTGAGTACGATACGATCCAACTAAGCCTTGCGGACAAATTTCACTCTGACGAATTCTGACTACTTACTGCTTCAAGAATGACAATGATAAGAGAGAAGCTTCAAATAGCGGCCGTGAAGGCAAGACAAGGTTCAGAAGTCCTCGATTGAATGTGCCATCAGCACACATGGGTGAACTAGAGACTAGTGTACGCACGTGCCGCTGTCTGCCACTATGGTTGTAGAAACAGAATACCATCATTTTCATCAGGACCGCTCTGCCACAAAGGATGCAACATACCATCAAGTACAGTATCAATCCACCACTCGACATTCTGGTAGTGTAAGTGAGTCGGACTGACTTAGGCATGAGAAGCAAAAACGTTTGACGCCTTAAATTTCTGAAACCCAGAGTTGTGGATATCCAGGCTCAAAAAAACACCGTCCACGCAATTTAAGGAGCTCCATATTCATTTGTATGAGGTGTTATATTATCCAGCATCCTGCAAAAGAATGAGCCAAGCCGAGAAACAAAGCAGAACTGGCTCCAGAAAAGAGGAACTGTGCCAGTGCAGCAGCTATCACTGCCATCCACTGGCGCACGGCCTTGCTAGGGGAATCGCCGGGCTCCTGACTCGGTTCAGCGAGCTTTCCTATTCATGATGCACACTCAACAAGGATCAAAAATGTTAGTTAAGTTTGGAGAGGTGGTGCAATCCGGGCTGAAATTTGAAATCGGCCGGCCGGCCGCTCATCGTGGAGTGGCTGAATCGGCCGGCTAAGTTTGATCAAGATTGATCAAAGGATGATACTCTCGCTGTCAACATACTGTCTGCTGATTTTCTTGCAAAGCCTTAGCTGTGGTGCAGCAGCAGTCTGTCCTCCTCTTCTTCTTTTTCAAAGCTTCTCTCCACTGGTCGAGTGGGCGCCTCCACTGATTCTTGGCCATCAGAATTGAAAAGGACTCAATCAATCATTGCCATGTTTGGCTTTGTGTTGTTTTGACTATTGGTCACCCAGAACATTTCCCACATGCAAGCCATCTGGGCAACATCTTGAGCAACATCCTACTGTCCTAGGCAGCGAACTCACCTGGCTTGCCAGTAGGAACGCCAGCGGCGGGAGCGAGCAAACGGCCACAAAGCTATACTCTACGACTGCGAAGCCTTGCAAGTGCCTTGGGGCAAGGCCGTGCATGAAAGAGATCTTACACTCCTATGCAAATGATTGTGGTTCTTCTATGCAATATAAACAATCATAAATTATAAATGTATCTAATTGCGTTGGCACATGCAAAACGCAAGCGCATTCTTTACTGCAAGTGAACTGGTAAGTTCAATGTATAGAATGAAAATGGAAGAGTGTCTGTCTCTGTCTGTCTCTGTCTGTCTGTCTGTCTGTCACAGAGTCTGGCTGTCTGTCTGTCTATCTATATATATCTATCTCATTATCTCATTATCTCATTATCTCATTATCTCATTATCTCATTATGCAACTTAAAGAAAATCCGCGCATTTCCGTGCCATTCTATGTAATTCCGTCTTGTTTGAAACAGCCCTGTTGAGGACACGCTGAAGACGCCAAGGCGCAGCAGCTTAAATATCAGTGGCAACGCTGCACTGGTCATACCAAAAGCTCCATTGCAGGTCGCCAGCACAGGGCCCACCTCCCCAGGTGACACGTCAGCTGGTTGGAAGTTGCTACCCTGTTTAACTTTGAAGGGAGCCTCCAGCCATTCAAGCTACAGTATGCATGGTGCAACATATGTTATGCAACAGCTTTGGAAATGTTTTTGTCCAGACGACTCAATCACTGAATTGGTGCAAAGATGTTCAAAGTTTGGAGAAAAATCTAGAGGAAACATGAGGAAACTATGGGTTGTACTACCAAATGTATGAGTTTCCTATGCTTTCCTCCACGAGGGCCCTGCTGGATTCGGCGGATCTTGCCTCCTTCCCAGGGAAGCTCCAGCAGGCAGCAGAGACTGTGAAGGAAACCAAGGCAGAGCCCACGCAACCGAGAAGAAAGAAGTTGGCTGACCTGAAATGGATGTTTGATTGTGTAACTGTTGGGTTATTTCTTGGAGGATATCTTTGGGATATGGCTGTGGATAGTCTAGAACTCTAGATTTAAAATAGTTCAGAGATGCTCGTTCTGAGTTCTGTAAGTAGAGATAGAGATGCTCAAGCTTAATCGCCCTTGTGACAGCTTGAAGACGCCTTGGTGTCATTGACGCATCTCGAATGCGCATAGCCTAATGGCGGATCAGTTTACCCCGTTTTTTGGGCGGAAAAACAAGCCAAGCTGCAAAACCCAAGCATTGCCGGTGGACGCTGAAAATGGCACAGCAATCACGGACAAAGCTGAGCCTCGCCAAAGCAATGCGCAAAACTGATGAAACCATTCGGATCTCCGTGTGACCCCCCAAACTTCCGAAAGAAACTGCTTGATCTTAGTCGGAAACACAAAAAAAAATTACTCTACTTCGTGTGATCCCCACCATGACATGTCAGGACGTATATTTGGACATATATTTAGTATATTCTGACATCCTATCTGACATATATTCTGGCATTCTATCTGGCATATATCCTGACATTCCACCTGGCATTCTATCTGGCAGTCTATCTGGCATTCTATCTGACATATTTTCTGACATTTCATCTGACATATATTCTGGCATTCTACCTGTCATTTATTCTGACATATATTCTGGCATTCTATCTGACATATATTCTGGCATATATTCTGGCATTCTATCTGACATATATTCTGGCATATATTCTGGCATTCTATCTGGCATTATATCTGACATATATTTTGGCATTCTATCTGACATATATTCTGGCATATATGTTGGCATTCTATCTGGCATTATATCTGACATATATTCTGACATTCTATCTGACATTCTATCTGGCAGTCTATCTGGCATTCTTTCTGGCATTCTTTCTGGCATTCTATCTGGCATTCTATCTGGCATCCTATCTGACATTCTATCTGGCATTCTATCTGGCATTCTTTCTGGCATTCTTTCTGGCATTCTATCTGGCATTCTATCTGGCATCCTATCTGACATTCTATCTGGCATTCTATCTGGCAGTCTATCTGACATTCCTACATGAGGTCCGGCAGGGAACACTTGGCATGGATACTCGCGGTTGAGGTCCGGCAGGGAACACTGGGCGCGGATGGTCGTGGTTGAGGTCCGGCAGGGAACACTGGGCGCGGATGGTCGCCGTTGAGGTCCGGCAGGGAACACTGGGCGCGGATGGTCGCGGTTGAGGTCCGGCAGGGAACACTGGGCGCGGATGGTCGTGGTTGAGGTCCGGCAGGGAACACTGGGCGCGGATGGTCGTGGTTGAGGTCCGGCAGGGAACACTGGGCGTGGATGGTCGTGGTTGAGGTCCGGCAGCGAACACTGTGGATCGCGGGTCGCAGTTGAGCAAGGACGACGAGGACGACGAGGAGGACGAGGAGGAGGAGAGGAGGAGCAGGAGGAGGAGGAGGCAACTGACATAAAATCTAACAACCCTCACCTGGCAGGTAGGGAACTAAGTCAACCACAAATATCCTGGATTCGTTGGATTTTGATGTTTTGTCCTATTTCAGAGCAACCAATTGGTTCTGAGGAGCTGCCAATACAGCAACTCATGGCCAGCTTGATGGGACACACGTCGCAAAGCCATCCTCCTAGCATTGTTCCTGGGTTCAAAGCAGTGGGAAGTTGACCATCGGAAAATATATGAACATGATTGAACATGCACATGAAGAATGATGAACACTGGAACACATATCCAAATAATTCCAAATATAGTATCTCAGTATATCTCAGTAGGTTTTTTCGTTATGATCTCTCTCCCGTCTCTCCAAGCTCCAAGCATAGCGCACCATGCTGCCCAGGTGCCAAAAACTGCTCCAATGGCACGACCAAGAAAAAGGTTATGCAGTTGCAAAGCATTTTCCACGTGCATCCGTTCGGCCAGGTCGTTCAGCGTCAATCCCACAATGACCGTCTCAGCGAGGTGAAACATGTTGGAAAGTTGTTGGAATCTCTCGTTGTGGGCAGCTGAAAGTCACGAAAAAAAGTCTATCGGCAAATGGCTTGCATACAAAGTACCTGCCATTTAAGACATGGAACTGTACAGTAACTCCAATACTGCACAAAGCAAGCGAATCTCAGGTTGGAAAAGCACTGCAACCGTGAGTACTTGCCGACCAGAACCTACGTACTAGTAATGGTCCAGCAGTTCTTTTTTTATTGCGTGGAGTAGTTTTGCTGCATTTTCCAGTTATATACAGAGATATTGTAGATCGATCTTTGCCCTGATGGGCTTGCAAAAATCCCCGAAAATGGACCAACAATAGGTACGCGTGCACAACATGACCAGTCATGATTCATGATGGGCACATATTATATACGGTAATGTAGTACGGATACATACGGATACGTACTTGCTCAACTTTGATTTGGCTATATGGCAAGGCTCTCGCTTCGGGCGCCCACTCATGTATCGCTTCGGGCGACTGCTGTAACTAGCACTTTTCCTACGTCTACGTATTGGTACGTGCTACTAGTAACTATATCTCGTTACAGCACACTGCCACCTACAGTAGTAGGATCATCATCATCATCGTCGTCGTCATGATCATCACCATCATCATCACCATGATCATCATCACCATCAGCAACATCAACAACAACAGAGATCTGATCGCGTGGCATCATGTCGGTGTGCAAGTGCGAGAGAAGATCTCATAGCGTAGCATATATGTGCCAAGAGCGAAAGGACGTTATCACACACACCCCACCACCGAGGTCCAGTAATTATGTAAGTAGAATGATCCCTCTCCACCCCCCAACTAAACCCTAAATGGCTGATTGTAAGTAGAATGATCCCTCCCCCCCAACCAAACCCTAAATGGCTGATTCCACCGATTGTGTGAGTAGAAGGATCTCTTACCACCCCCCCAAAAGGAACCCTCAGTGGCTAAATTTTTACAGCTTCATTGAACATAACCTTCCACCCCACCCCACCTCAACCCCACCCCAAGGGGGATTGACATGGGTGCCCAAAGTGATGCGTCTGCCCAAAGTGAGCCTCCCAAGTGTGAGGAGTGTGCGATTTCTGGGGGGTGCCCAAAGTGATGCGTCTGGGGGTGCCCTAAGTGATGCGGGTGCCGTTCTGAGGGTATCTAGCACATTCAATACATAGCTGCAAATGCATGTATGATGTGCGCAAAAGAATTTGAGACCGTGAAAATTGTAAGGTGACCTGCCCAACCCACACAGTCAGCGCTGCTGCCAAGTAACTGTCAAGGACTGGTATGCAATCCTTGGATCAGGTGTGTTGGTGGTCCGTTAAATCCTTGTCAAAGGACAGGAAGTTGAAAAAGATGTAAAAAATGCAAACAAATACTCCCCAAACTTCATCATCTTGTGGTGTATTTTGCATATATCCTGAGGGCTTGGGGGTGCCAAAGTTCTCAAGCTCTGCAGAAAATTAATCATGGGATCTTGCAAAGCTTCGCTGTGAAACAGGTCCATGCCCGAATCTTGGATCGTACGCTGTAGGCTCTGTAGAGTTTGGGTGGCCCTGCTGCCATCAACAACAAGCCGGCGGACCAGCACCCCAAATTGCAGAGGATTCAGGAATAGATGATTCTCAGAAATGAGTTTGCAGTTTGACGTCTTCTACACAAACTACATGCCATGCTAGGAGAATGAGCACGCACCAGCCTGTGTGATTGTGTTTGTGTTTGATTGTTTGTTGTAGGACCTTGATTTTGCAGTAAACATGCCAGAGTTCACTCACTTCCAAGTATTCGCTGCAGATTCCGGTGGTGTACTTTCCCGTCACATTCCTGTGCATTTAAATGTCACGTCTTTGGTGATGGCTATTCCGCTGAACATCTGCAGGGAGCCAAAAGCATCAGCCACTTGAGTCCAGCTATCCCTGCGCTGGTTTTCTTTTTCATTTGAACGGGGGGACTTGCCACCATCAACCAATACACAGGCCATATCGATATAATTTAGTCTATATTAATAGTCTATATATGTCTATATACATCGTATATCTTCTGTCTTCCCCAGACATTAGCATGTGAAGAGATTTGTCATTTTAGTCATTCAGGTCCTGTTCAGGTGATGTATACAGATCCCACATACTGCGGCTGGACAAACGACGACGAAGTCTTGAGCTCCAGGCTGAGACGTGGATTGCCGCGACATCAGCCTCCGGCAGGAATCAACATTCCCATCATTCCCAAACCCTGGGCATCCATTGGTGCCATTTATATAGATCGTTTAGTGTTTAAAGTTGTATCTCAAAAGATCATAAAAGATCTAAACAAAATAGTTCTTCTGACATCTGACGCTGAGACTGGTGTTGCGTGTTCCATGTGCGCGCCAAAATTGGAGAGTTTTGAGGGATTGAGGCCATCACCATCAGGATTGCTGGTCTCATCTGGTTGGTGCTTGGGTGCTTGGTTGCTTGCCCCTCCCCTCCCCAGTCCTATTGCAGCATCCCAATCTTTGTTGCTACCTTACAATACCTTACATCTCAAAGCTAAAGTGATAAAGTGGATATATAATGTTATAGATGTGCCTGACATATATGGTTGCCGTTGGGTGACAAGATAGAAAAGCAACTAAACATGCACATTTTCGTTGATCGATCCGACGCTCTGTGGCCACCACAGCTGCACCTCGTCTTCAACGAAGCCGTCTTGCGGCGCGCCGCACCGGCGGCCGGCCGCTCCAACAGCAGAGTCAGCTTTTTGTTGGACCTCCGGATGATTCCGGATGCCACACCCAAACCACAGCAGTGGTGGTTCCCATCTGATAACTCTCGCCGTTTTCTGGAATAGATCAAGGAAATGCCAAGGAACGCAGTACGGAAAAATCACCGACCCAAAAATGTCACAACCATTTTTTTTTTGCTAAATCTATAGGTGGCCTTCTGGCCCTGACCCCCAAGGATTCCAAGACATTCCAAGTCTCGGACGACCGGATGGCTCTGGCGGTTTCCATGGCACTGCCCACCTTAGTTTTCACGGAGACGAGAAGGATGCCAAAATGGATGGACACGGGTGGAAAATGCGGAAAGTGGAAACATGTGGAAACTAGATGGATGATGATGGATGGTGGCTTAAAAAACCATGCAAAGACACGTGGACGGGAACTACAGCTACCGCTCTTGTTTCGACTATGTAAGACAAGGCACCGATGTAGAAAGAAAACATAAAAAAAAAGGTTGGCAATTGGTGCCGCTTGAGCGTTCTATGCGTCTTCGTGGCATTTAATCCTCTTCAGTTAAAGACAATACAGCTTAAATATATTGTTCTTCAGTCAGTGGAGCGTCCTGCAACAAACAACCCCAGCATTGTCCTCTCCATCGCAAGCATCGGTCTCAGCTCTGGACTCTGATATCCTTAAAACCGCTTTTGCGGTAGCCTGGCCCAAAGTGAACCACTAGGCCACTAGGCAACACAGCGTCAAGCCCATGCCACACACAGCCTACAACGAGATCGCCAGTCTCAATGCCCGCAACATTGGCCACCTCGGGTATACAACCTACAACCGAAGCAGGTTGGTAGTTGCATCTTCAAGATTTCAATAAAACCCTATCACCAGATTTTCCATATCCTCCAATAATAAAGTTTGTGTTTTGCGCTCCTGTCAATGGTCTGATTGCACCTCCATCAGCCACCATCAATGAGAAAAAATCCCCACGGGTTTGAACATTTAAGCCTTTCTTGAAGCTAATCAGAAACTGCTCCATGATCATTGCATGACCTACAGAAGTCTAGTTCAGAACCAGGTCATGGTGCGCATTGATCTCACTATATCTCACTAGTGATGCTTTGTTGTCCCTCAACTTCTTCGGTCCACTTCCAGTGGCATCCAAGTAAACATCTGCAACTCGGACCTAAATCCCACGTTGTTTGTCAGTCTGGGTCAATTGTCGAACAACATGGTTACAGGACGTGCTGGCAGGCGCTAGGGTGTACCCTGAGCACTGCACAAACTACACACTGAGATTCCCTGCGTTATCGGAAGACCAAACCTGCAACCTTGAAATCAAAAGTCAAGTCATGTCAAGTCACAGTGCGAAGGGCAAAATCAGTCAAAATCCAATCCAGTACAATGTGATGTCATGAGCTCTGAATTTCAGAAAGAATTTCAATATCAAAACATATCAAAACATCAAAGCCTCACCATCCACCATCCATCACCTGACAAGGTAGCTGGGTCATGCTGGGTCCCCAACGAGCCACTTCCGGCCGCCGCAGGGCGTACGACGAAATGCTTCTGCAGTGTGGGCCTCGGGGTCCCCATTGCAAATTTGAGAGGCAACGACTAGCAACGACTCAAGGAATCTTGAGTCAAACCGCAAGCCGGGCTCTTGCTGCACTGAGGAAAATTTGGGGAAACCTCACTGTTCACTCACGTTCCTTAAACCATGGCAGCATCATTCAAGCCATCGCAGAGGCATGAATCATTGGAGATCCCAACTTTTTAGGGTGGAAAAAAACAACTTGAAACCACTAGCCACTAATTAGACAACAAAATAAAACTATATGTTTTACAGTTGCTTAGACTTGCCGCTGCGGTCCATCAACCTGCATTGATAGTTCGCCCGGGAACAGCGTGCCATGATTTCATTGAAAAGAGGGCTTGGCAAAAGGAACAACGTGAACCCTGGAAGCTATAGAATTTCAATAACGGACGAATTTAGAATGAGTCATCCAAGACAGGTATCGGTATATAGTGACGGACAATCACTTAGAACGTATTTTGGAAAAATTTTTCTGAATATTACTGCTTTTTTTACGTTCTAAGCCTTGCACTTAGAACGTCGAAAACCATACACTTAGAACGTCCAAATATCAAGATTCATCACTTAGAACGTACCGGGGATTTAACACTTAGAACGTGTCTAGGTCACTGATGATAGTGGAAAGGCTTGTGAAATCTTTTATCTCTAAGTGTTGGATCCAGCAGCTAATTCCGTAGGAAGCATAGACATAATTTCGTACCATTTGGCTTTTCCCTCCCATATGATGTGCAAACATTGGCGATCTTTTATCTCTGAAACACTCTACCTTTTGGTGCTTTTTGGGGGTTCTGAGTTCTGATGTTCTAAGTGTTGGATTCAGCAGCTAATGCCGTAGGAAACATAGACATAATTTCGTACCATTTGGCTTTTCCCTCCTATATGATTTGCAAACATTGGCGATCTTTTATCTCTGGAACACTATACCTTTTGGATCCTTTTGTTGCTTTTTGGGGGTTCTGTCGTTCTAAGTGTTGGATTCAGGAACTAATTCTGTAGGAAACATGGACATAATTTCGTACCATTTGGCTTTTCCCTCCCATATGATTTGCAAATCTTGGCGATCTTTTATCTCTTGAACACTATGCATTTTGGTGCTTTTTGGGGGTTCTGACGTTCTAAGTGTTGGATTCAGCAGCTAATTCCGTAGGAAACATAGACATAATTTCGTACCATTTGGCTTTTCCCTCCCATATGATTTGCAAATATTGGCGATCTTTTATCTCTGGAACACTATACCTTTTGGATCCTTTTGGTGCTTTTTGGGGGTTCTGACGTTCTAAGTGTTGGATTCAGCAGCTAATTCCGTAGGAAACATAGACATAATTTCGTACCATTTGGCTTTTCCCTCCCATATGATTTGCAAATATTGAATTGGCGATCTTTACCTCTTGAACACTATACCTTTTGGTGCTTTTTGGTGGTTCTGACGTTCTAAGTGTTGGATTCAGCAGCTAATTCCGTAGGAAACATAGACATAATTTCGTACCATTTGGCTTTTCCCTCCTATATGATTTGCAAACATTGGCGATCTTTTATATTATCTCTGAAACACTATACCTTTTGGTGCTTTTGGGGGTTCTGACGTTCTAAGTGTTGGATTCAGCAGCTAATTCCGTAGGAAACATAGACATAATTTCGTACCATTTAGCTTTTCCCTCCTATATGATTTGACATTGGCGATCTTTTATCTCTGGAACACTATACCTTTTGGATCCTTTTGGTGCTTTTTGGGGGTTCTGACGTTCTAAGTGTTGGATTCAGCAGCTAATTCCGTAGGAAACATAGACATAATTTCGTACCATTTGGCTTTTCCCTCCCATATGATTTGCAAATATTGAATTGGCGATCTTTTATCTCTGGAACACTATACCTTTTGGATCCTTTTGGTGCTTTTTGGGGGTTCTGACGTTCTAAGTGTTGGATTCAGCAGCTAATTCCGTAGGAAACATAGACATAATTTCGTACCATTTGGCTTTTCCCTCCCATATGTTTTGCAAATATTGGCGTTCTTTATCTCTTGAACACTATGCATTTTGGTGCTTTTTGGGGGTTCTGACGTTCTAAGTGTTGGATTCAGCAGCTAATTCCGTAGGAAACATAGACATAATTTCGTACCATTTGGCTTTTCCCTCCCATATGATTTGCAAATATTGGCGATCTTTTATCTCTGGAACACTCTACCTTTTGGATCCTTTTGGTGCTTTTTGGGGGTTCTGACGTTCTAAGTGTTGGATTCAGCAGCTAATTCCGTAGGAAACATAGACATAATTTCGTACCATTTGGCTTTTCCCTCCCATATGATTTGCAAATATTGAATTGGCGATCTTTACCTCTTGAACACTATACCTTTTGGTGCTTTTTGGTGGTTCTGACGTTCTAAGTGTTGGATTCAGCAGCTAATTCCGTAGGAAACATAGACATAATTTCGTACCATTTGGCTTTTCCCTCCTATATGATTTGCAAACATTGGCGATCTTTTATCTCTGAAACACTATACCTTTTGGTGCTTTTGGGGGTTCTGACGTTCTAAGTGTTGGATTCAGCAGCTAATTCCGTAGGAAACATAGACATAATTTCGTACCATTTGGCTTTTCCCTCCCATATGATTTGCAAATATTGGCGATCTTTTATCTCTGGAACACTATACCTTTTGGTGCTTTTTGGGGGGTCTGACATTCTAAGCCGTAAGAAACATAGACATAATTTCGTACCATTTGGCTTTTCCCTCCCATATGATGTGCAAATATTGGCGATCTTTTATCTCTGGAACACTATACCTTTTGGTGCTTTTTGGGGGTTCTGACGTTCTAAGTGTTGGATTCAGCAGCTAATTCCGTAGGAAACATAGACATAATTTCGTACCATTTGGCTTTTCCCTCCCATATGATTTGCAAATCTTGGCGATCTTTTATCTCTGGAACACTATACCTTTTGGTGCTTTTTGGGGGTTCTGACGTTCTAAGTGTTGGATTCAGCAGCTAATTCCGTAGGAAACATAGACATAATTTCGTACCATTTGGCTTTTCCCTCCCATATGATTTGCAAATATTGGCGATCTTTTATCTCTGGAACATTATACCTTTTGGTGCTTTTTGGGGGTTCTGACGTTCTAAGTGTTGGATTCAGCAGCTAATTCCGTAGGAAACATAGACATAATTTCGTACCATTTGGCTTTTCCCTCCCATATGATTTGCAAATCTTGGCGGTCTTTACCTCTGGAACACTATACCTTTTGGTGCTTTTTGGTGGTTCTGACGTTCTAAGTGTTGGATTCAGCAGCTAATTCCGTAGGAAACACAGACATAATTTCGTACCATTTGGCTTTTCCCTCCTATATGATTTGCAAACATTGGCGATCTTTTATCTCTGGAACACTCTACCTTTTGGATCCTTTTGGTGCTTTTTGGGGGTTCTGTCGTTCTAAGTGTTGGATTCAGCAGCTAATTCCGTAGGAAACATAGACATAATTTCGTACCATTTGGCTTTTCCCTCCCATATGATTTGACATTGGCGATCTTTTATCTCTGGAACACTCTACCTTTTGGATCCTTTTGGTGCTTTTTGGGGGTTCTGACGTTCTAAGTGTTGGATTCAGCAGCTAATTCCGAGGAAACATAGACATAATTTCGTACCATTTGGCTTTTCCCTCCCATATGATTTGCAAATATTGGTGATCTTTTATCTCTGGAACACTATACCTTTTGGTGCTTTTTAGGGGTTCTGACGTTCTAAGTGTTGGATTCAGCAGCTAATTCCGTATAGGAAACCTAGACATAATTTCGATTCCACTTCGAATTCCAATTTTCTGCAATATTTTAATTGCGTTATAAAAGGAAATTCAATTGATTTCGAAAGCGAAAAAACTAGTCTTTTTATTAAGGGTTTAAATTTATTATTAGGATCCGCTTCGAAATCCAATTTTTGGCAATATTTTAATTGTGTTATAAGGAAATTTACCTGATTTTGAAATCGAAAAAAACGGTTTTTCTTATTAAGGGTTTAAATTTATTATTTAGGTCCGCATCGAAATCCAATTTGTGGCAATATTTCAATTGCGCTATATAAGGAAATTTAATTGGTTTTGAATCGAAAAAAATAGTTTTGTTTTATTAAGGGTTTAAATTTATTAGGGTCCGCTTCGAACTCTAGTGTTTGGCAATAGTCTTATTGCGTTATAAAAGGAAATTTAATTGATTTTGAATCGAAAAAACTAGTCTTTTTATTAAGGGTTTAAATTTATTATTAGGATTCGCTTCGAAATCCAATTTTTGGCAATATTTTAATTGCGTTATATAAGGAAATTTAATTGATTTTGAAGTCGAAAAAAATAGCCGCTTTATTAAGGGTCTAAATTTATTATTAGGGTCCGCTTCGAAATCCAATTTTTGGCAATATGTTTAATTGCGCTATATAAGGAAATTTAATTGATTTTGAAATCGAAAAAATAGTTTATATAGCGACGGACAATCACTTAGCACGTTCTAAGTGTTGGTTTACGTTCTAAGTGATAAATGGGCCTAAGTGATATTTTGACGTTCTAAGTGATGAATTTTCCCTACGTTCTAAGTGATGAAATTTTGCTACGTTCTAAGTACGAAAAAAAAATGGAAAAAATTTTACGTTCTAAGTGATTGTCCGTCACTATATGTCACAAATGCCTTTGTCAAATATCAAAAACCTAGGCAATCTGCTCCAACGACATCGACTCTTGATACTCTTTAGCTTTGTATGTCTTTGTACAGTCAAAGCATTATCAATGTACAGTAATAAGCTGCGTGCCTCCCCACCCAGGCTGCACTGGAAACATATTAATTACAGTAATATGACGTCACCATTTTGATTTGCTGAGTCAAGTGGCTCAATCTCGAGCTCCCATTGCCTTTGGCAAGGAATGCCTTGGAAAGCTGCTGTCACTGCATCATTCGCAGGTCTGAAACGTCGGCCCCACAGCGAGGATCCAAGTCCGCTACGCTCGCTTGAAGCAGCAGCCCACCTGGCAGAGTTGGAAACTGCTGTGCATCGATGTTGCAATTGAGTTGGTTTAAAGGCAAGCCTACGGCCTTTAAGGGGTTTTACCATGGTTTTTCCCATGACTTGAAGATATTTATTGACAATGTTCATTAGTTGTCCAGTTATCCCATTCTAGAAGTGTCAGAAAACTGGAAAACGGTCCGCCTTGGCTGGACGTGAAGTACTCTGAAGGTCAAGGTCCTCAGTCACCCGACAGAGATCTGGTGTTTTCAACAAATCCCTATATTGATCAAGAGCATCTTGACCCCAGGTAGGTTGGAAAGCAAGTACAAATCCCAGACATTCTGGACCATCTTGATCCATGAAGCTGCCGAATATGATGTTTCAACATGTTTCAACGTTTCAGTTCAGCTACTTTCTATACTTTCTATTGAACTGGAATTGAGATCAATCCCATGGCCGCTTGCTGCCAGACACGTGTGTCGGCTGGGCCTCCAGGCTTGTGCATGTCAACCGTGATCTGTCGGGTTTTGCCACGTCCAATGATACTCTCCGCACAGGCCTTCAATGGCGGTGCTGGTGGCCAGGTTCTGGATCTCTAACTGTCTCTAACTTCCACCCTGTTGGTGACAACATGGTGGGCGGAATGTATTCACCATCACAGAAACCTCCCAAGTGGCTTGCTATCTATTGTGCTTTGGATGATTTTTGGGATTTGCACAACTCTTTCCAACTCCAAACGCACCAAGGTCATATCATAAGAGTACACAATCCATGGGCAGTAAATATCTTCACCATTGTTTTTTCACCAAATTGGATCACAAAGTGGAACATTGGCACTCCATGGCACTCCCAATCAGTACACTCAAAGGGATCAAAAGGGTTTGTCTATCTGTCTCAAAATTCTGGATAGTCCATATACCCCGATTTCCGGCCAGTTTATATATTTTGCGGGGAAGTCCACGGAAAGATTGTCATTCCATGTTTTTACCCTCTGGTAATGACACATGGCAAGGGAAAATCCCCTATTGATGAAGGTTTGAATGGGAAAAGCATACCTAACTATAACAATTACTGTAACTAGGCAATATTTTCCGTTTTGGAGGGTAGTCTGTGGGACTTTGGGGTTCCAAAGGTTCAAAGAAAGCCATCACCCATCAGCCTTGTCCAGGAGCATCACACAGCCGTGATCTTTCAACACTGCATGGCACTGCTGCATCAACTGTCGAATGGAGCCCGCAGCATCGGTCCTGTGGCGTGACATCCTACATCGTGCCGACGGTACAATCTTGAAATGTCAGGCAATTGAATTCATTGAAAGTGATTTCAACACAACTATATCAAACCTTAAGGTTTCTTGGTGGGAACAGCATTGCTTGCCATGCGAACGTCGGAGGTTCGATGGTTCGATGGGCCAGACATGGCCAGACCTTGTCATGAAGCAATCAATCAACGTCTTTCCCACGATGGCATCGAAATAGTTTGCTTCAAAGTAACTGGCCAGCTGAAGGGCCTGGCACAGCTCGCACAGCTCCAGGTCAGTGATGGTCCAAGACGGAGCTACAGAGAAACACATCCGAAAGCCTCTTGGATTCTTGGATATCTTTCGAAACGCGGGGAGCAGGACTTTTAGATGGCTTTGGTGGATTGCAAACAAGTGAAAACACGGGAGTTCTGAGACAGATTGCAAACAAATGTGTTCTAAACAAATGAGAAAAACATAGAACAACTATTAATGTCCTTCAGGTGCTGAGTAGAGAAACAAAGAAAAAAAGACACCGGAATCCCAGTCAATCAAACAGGGCTCCCTGTAGTCTCCCCGGGGTCCCGGCATCCAAACATAGCCAGTCGATGTCAGGGTAGCGAGATTTGTTGGCATTGATCACTTCCTCTGAGAAGTCGACCCCAACAACATGCACCTGCCGCGGTTCATGGCAGCTTCAATGGCAGCTTCAACGGCCTAATGGTGGTTCCAGTTTTGAAAAACCCAAGGTTCGATTGCAAACGAGACTGAACTATCTATATACTAGCGCTATGTGTCTGTTGATCTTTATCCCAATCTCAGTCCATTGCACACTATTGCACACTGACATACACATGCATGCATAGGCACATGCTGAACCACTAGACCACATTACATTGAGCTAGCATGCGTGATGAATCCGTGATGAATATAATACAGCAATTCATCATGTTCATCATGTTCATCATGTTCATCATCATCATCACCATCACCATCACCATCATCATCATCATCATTATTATCATCAATTTATCATCATATTATCATCATATTATCATCATTCTCATCCTCATCCATCGCCATAGTAACATATAGTAACCATGTGTTGCCAGCACTCCAAGTTTCGCACCCCAAAGTCCCGAAGCATGGCTGCCAGGTGCGAACAGCCGCAGCCCAATTCACAAACCCTCAGGGGTTCCTGAAGAGGTCGACATGGGCATGGCTGGGGCCCTACATGCCCATAAGAATGGTTCACCTAGCATTCTAACATACATGTTCCGCATTCTTTTTGGCCTATTGAAGTGAAGTCAAATTGGGCTTTCTCTCTCTCTCATTCTCTCTCTCTCTCTATATCAAACATCGGTGTATATACAATTGTATACATATACATGAGCTCCCGTCAAAATCCTTTACATGTGAGTAGTTGCTAATACTAAAGTACTCCTGCAATACTAAAGTCCAATTCAATTCATATATGCTGCATCTGCCCATGGCATGGCTTTGTAGCTGCCCATCTCTCTGGACTGGCCTTGGACTGTGGAAGCCGTTCAAGGACCTTGGGACAGCTAGGGCTGTCACCACGGGGCCGAAGGATGGAACTTTCTCAGCACCACACAGCAGTGATGGCGTTGAAGACCTGAGGATTTTCCGGGACCCGGTGGAGCTTTTTGGACGTGGGAGCCTCAAAACCACAACATCAGATGGGAAAAACAAAAAGTCATTTGACCAGGTCCGACAACTACAGAAAAGATAGATTACGGACATGTTCAGAATTGACATATATGCAAATCACATGCCAATTATAAATGCTTTAGCATGCAACTTTTTGCCAACGGCTTGACCGCTTGACCGCTTGACCCATCCCCAGGTGTTTCATGGCACTTTGGTCGAGCTGCAAGGTCATTCACTGGACCCGACCATTCAACGTTCCCGGCATCTCCTTGCTTCTTGTACCACCTTGGCTGCTGACGCTGGAGAGATGTGGTTTCAAAATGTTTCAGGCAAATTTTCATCTGAAGTGGCGGCTAGCGGAAGGATGCCATGTATGTGTGCACCCTTATGGTTACAACATGTTACAACGTCTTTGGGACAAACGTTCATATCTAAAAAACATAAAACGGCAATAAGGTTCAATCTGTATAATCAAATATAATCAGTACCCGCCAATCCATCCAAAATCCCACCATGAACCTCTCACTAAAGAGTCAGGTGTCCAACCCATATGCAATGACATATCGGCACATCATGCTAAGTAAGGAGAATGAAGCTGACAAGCTCCCAAGAAAACCTGGAAAGTTTGGCCCCGCTGCGTCACCACCACCACCACCAGCAGCAGCATCATCACCATCACCATCACCATCATCGTATCTGCATAAATTATAACCAACCGGAACGGAACAGTTCGGCCATTCAGGACCTTCTAGTAAGGTCGCGTGAGGTCGCAACATCACATATCCAGATTTTCCCATTATAATATATCCATGATATCCTCCATTTTGCCACTGTGCTTCCTCAAAAAATAAAGTCCACATTCCCATGAATTGCATCCCTTACCAGTATTTTTGATGTCCGAATCCCCATGCTTCGCTGCTCCCGGTGGCATCACAGGTCATGCCTCTGAGGCCCGAACTCATCCCAGAAACTCCGCGTCTCGTAGCGTCGCACCCGTGGGGTGCTGGGAGCCCTCGGCTCCGTATGGCTTGAGCTGGCGACGGAACTGCCCGTGGCAGTGCTACCTGGCGCCCAAGGGGTATCCACCATGGTTACCCGGTAACCCTCCAGTAAATTAACATAGACTCTGGCAGTGGTTGGAAGATTAGTTCTAAAAATGGCAAAAAGGTTCTTGGGTATGGTTGAAGATGATCATGGTAAAATAAGTGGACTTGGGTATCTTATACGGCATATGATGCATATGGGTTAGTGGGCGCACCACATTAAGATATTTTAAGTAGCATACCATATTATAGTACAGTACACCATAGTGCTCCCCGTTGTAGATGTGGTGGAGCCCCCTGGTGTGGGATTCCAAGCATTGCAAATCTCAACTGTAGACAGCACAAATCCTCATCAAATACTTCTGCCTTTGCTGCTATTGCGGCTGGCAGTTTTGACCATGGCGCCTCTTGTTGTGACTCTGTCAGAAAATCGATTTGAATGACCACTGCTACACCTTCGCCGCTTTGGAAGAGCATTGTAGTGGGGCGTTCTTTACGATCAGTTTCGTGTTCCAACGTAAACATTCTGAAGTTGGGATCACAAGTTACGTGTTTTTCTTTACTTGTCCACTCAGAATCATTTGCCATTTCTCTTGAGCCAGCAATGCAGCGCCAGTAATTAAGAAAGTAGAGGAATTCTGTACCAAAAGGCCAGGAACAATGGTGCTTGGCATCTTCAGACGATGACCGTAGGTAGAGAGTGATGAACAAGAAAGAAATCATACCGGATGAGGAATGGGTTGGAACGCGGTCCTGTTTTGTTGCGTAGCACCACTGACTGATGTAACACATTTACAGACCTTCCAGACATTTCCAGAAAGTCAGCGGGAAAGATCCCGGTGACACGAAGCTGCACGCGACAAGGCTTCAACCAAATAAGTTGGAGCGGGCCCCTGAATGGACACCATACCGGGCGTGGCCCGGGGCACATGAGCCGATAGCCGATAGCACATGCAGAGACTAGTTGCTTCCCAGTCAATGTAGCGACCTCCAGGGGAAGTCGGGGGCTCGATGCAGTGGTGTATCCCCAAGTGGCCATGGCTTGGAGTTGGAACATCGTTTTGATCCAACAAGAACTGGCGCGGTTCTAAAGCTGTGGCTCAAACAATAATTACCTATGAAAACCAAAAAGAACCTGAGAAGGGGGGAACGAAAGCCAGCATCCCATCTACCCCTATTTTCCACCAAACTTTTCACCCAGAGACTCTTCAATACATTTCACCCATATACTTTTCACCCAGAGATTTTTCACCCAGAAACTCTTCTTGCACAGACTTTTCACCCATATACTTTTCACAAAGAGACTCTTCACCCAATTTTTTTCTTGCACATACATTTCACCCATATACTTTTCACCCAGAGATTTTTCACCCAGAAACTCTTCTTGCACAGACTTTTCACCCAGAGACTCTTCACCCAGAAACTCTTCTTGCACATACTTTTCACCCATATATACTTTTTACCAAGAGACTTCACCCAGAAACTCTTCTTGCACATACTTTTCACCCAGATACTTTTCACCCAGAGACTCACCCAGAAACTCTTCTTGCACATACATGTCACCCATATACTTTTCACCCAGAGATTCTTCACCCAGAAATTCTTCTTGCACAGACTTTTCACCCAGAGACTCTTCACCCAGAAACTCTTCGTGCACATACTTTTCACCCATATACTTTTTACCCATATACTTTTCACACAGAGACTCTTCACCTAGAAACTCTTCTTGCACATACTTTTCACCCATATACTTTTCACCCAGAGACTCTTCTTGCACATACTTTTCACCCATATACTTTTCACCCAGAGACTCTTCACCTAGAATCTAGAAACTCTTCTTGCACATACTTTTCACCAATATACTTTTCACCCAGAGACTCTTCACCTAGAAACTTTTCTTGCACATATTTTTCACCCATATACTGTCACCCAGAAACTCTTCTTGCACATATTTGTCACCCATATACTTTTCACCCAGAGACTCTTCACCTAGAAACTCTTCTTGCACATACTTTTCACCCATATACTTTTTACCCATATACTTTTCACACAGAGACTCTTCACCTAGAAACTCTTCTTGCACATACATTTCACCCATATACTTTTCACCCAGAGATTCTTCACCCAGAAACTCTTCTTGCACAGACTTTTCACCCAGAGACTCTTCACCCAGAAACTCTTCTTGCACATACTTTTCACCCATATACTTTTTACCCAGAGACTCTTCACCCAGAAACTCTTCTTGCACATACTTTTCACCCATATACTTTTCACCCAGAGACTCTTCACCCAGAAACTCTTCTTGCACATACTTTTCACCAATATACTTTTCACCCAGAGACTCGTCACCCAGAAACTCTTCTTGCACATACTTTTCACCCATATTCTTTTCACCCAGAGACTCTTCACCCAGAAACTCTTCTTGCACATACTTTTCACCCATATACTTTTCACCCAGAGACTCTTCACCTAGAAACTCTTCTTGCACATACATTTCACCCATATACTTTTCACCCAGAGATTCTTCACCCAGAAACTCTTCTTGCACAGACTTTTCACCCAGAGATTCTTCACCCAGAAACTCTTCTTGCACATACCTTTCACCCATATACTTTTCACCCATATACTTTCACCCAGAAACTCTTCTTGCACATACTTTTCACCCATATACTTTTCACCCATATACTTTCACCCAGAAACTCTTCTTGCACATACTTTTCACCAATATACTTTTCACCCAGAGACTCTTCACCTAGAAACTCTCCTTGCACAGACTTTTCACCCAGAGACTCTTCTTGCACATACTTTTCGCCCATATACTTTTTACCCAGAACTCTTCACCCAGAAACTCTTCTTGAACATACTTTTCACCCATATACTTTTCACCCAGAGATTCTTCACCCAGAAACTCTCCTTGCACAGACTTTTCACCCAAAGACTCTTCTTGCACATACTTTTCGCCCATATACTTTTTACCCAGAACTCTTCACCCAGAAACTCTTCTTGCACATACTTTTCACCCATATACTTTTCACCCAGAGACTCTTCACCCAGAAACTCTTCTTGCACATACTTTTAACCCATATACTTTTCACCCAGAGACTCTTCACCCAGAAACCCTTCTTGCACATACTTTTCACCCATATACTTTTCACCCAGAGACTCTTCTTGCACATACGTTTCACCCAGAGACTCTTCACCCAGAAACTCTTCTTGCACATGCTTTTCACCAATATACTTTTCACCCAGAGACTCTTCACCTAGAAATTCTTCTTGCACAGACTTTTCACCCAGAGACTCTTCACCCAGAAACTCTTCGTGCACATACTTTTCGCCCATATACTTTTTACCCATATACTTTTCACACAGACTCTTCACCTAGAAACTCTTCTTGCACATACTTTTCACCCATATACTGTTCACATCTTTTCACCCAGGGACTCTTCACCCAGAAACTCTTCTTGCACAGACTTTTCACCCAGAGACTCTTCACCCAGAAACTCTTCTTGCACAAACTTTTCCCCCATATACTTTTCACCTAGAGACTCTTCACCCAGAAACTTTTCTTGCACATAATATGGTCCCACATCGGAGCCTCAATTTTACTTTTCACCCATATACTTTTTACCCATATACTTTTCACCCAGAGACTCTTCACCTAGAAACTCTTCTTGCACATACTTTTCACCCATATACTTTTCACCCAGAGACTCTTCTTGCACATACTTTTCACCCATATACTTTTCACCCAGAGACTCTCCACCCAGAAACTCTTCTTGCACATACTTTTCACCCAGAGATTCTTCACCCAGAGACTCTTCACCTAGAAACTTTTCTTGCACATATTTTTCACCCATATACTTTCACCCAGAAACTCTTCTTGCACATACTTTTCACCCATATACTTTTCACCCAGAGACTCTTCACCTAGAATCTAGAAACTCTTCTTGCACATACATTTCACCCATATACTTTTCACCCAGAGATTCTTCACCCAGAAACTCTTCTTGCACAGACTTTTCACCCAGAGACTCTTCACCCAGAAACTCTTCTTGCACATACTTTCACCCATATATACTTTTTACCAAGAGACTTCACCCAGAAACTCTTCTTGCATATACTTTCCACCAATATATGTTCAATCTTTTCACCCAGAGACTCTTCACCAGAAACTCTTCTTGCACAGATTTTCACACCAGAGGACTCTTCACCTCAGCGATTTTCACCCAGAAATCTTCTTGCACAGACTTTTCACCAGAGACCTCTTTCACCTAAGAAATCATCTACTTGCCACTATTATCATCCAACAACACCATCCGACTCTTCACCCAGAAACTCTTCTTGCACATACTTTTCACCCATATACTTTTAACCCAGAGACTCTTAAACCAGAAACTCTTCTTGCACATACTTTTTACCCATATATTTTTTACCCAGAGACTCTTCACCCAGAAACTCTTCTTGCACATACTTTTCACCCATAATATTTTACCCAGAAGAAACTCTTCTTTGCACATAAACATTTCCACCATTATACTTTTCACCCAGAGACTCTTCACCTAGAACTCTGCTGCACATACTTTTCACCCATATACTTTTCACCAGAGACTATTCCACTAGAAACTCTCTTTGCACATACATGCACCCATTATACTTGTCACCAGAAATCTTCACCCAGAAACTCTTCTTGCTGCATACTTTACCCTATATTTCACCCAGAGGCTCTTCACCCAGAAACCCTTCTTGACATACTTTGAACCATATACTTTTTCACCAGAGACTATTCTTGCACATTAGTCACCCAATACTTTTCACCCAGAGACTCCCTCTTCACCCAGAAACTCTTCTTGTGCACATACTTTTCAACAATATACTTTCACCCAGAGACTCTTCACCTAGATAAAATTTCTCGCACATATTTTTCAAAATATATTTAACCCAGAGGACTCTGTTGGCACATACTTTTCACCCATTACTTTTCACCGAGAGACTCTTCACCCAGAAACTCTTCTTGCACATACTTTTCACCCATATACTTTTCACCCAGAGACTCTTCACCCAGAAACTCTTCTTGCACATACTTTTCACCCATATACTTTTCACCCAGAGACTCTTCACCCAGAAACTCTTCTTGCACATACTTTGCACCCATATACTTTTCACCCAGAAACTCTTCTTGTACATACTTTTCACCCATATACTTTTCACCCAGAGACTCTTCACCCAGAAACTCTTCTTGCACATACTTTTCACCCATATACTTTTAACCCAGAGACTCTTAAACCAGAAACTCTTCTTGCACATACTTTTTACCCATATATTTTTTACCCAGAGACTCTTCACCCAGAAACTCTTCTTGCACATACTTTTCACATTTTTTCACCCATATACTTTTCACCCAGGGACTCTTCACCCAGAAACTCTTCTTGCACAGACTTTTCACCCAGAAACTCTTCTTGCACAGGCTTTTCACCCATATACTTTTTACCCAGAAACCTCTTCTTGCAAATACTTTTCACCCACATACTTTTCACCCATAGACTCTTCACCAAGAAACTCTTCTTGCACATACTTTTCACCCATATACTTTTCACCCAGAGATTCTTCACCCAGAAACTCTTCTTGCACAGACTTTTCACCCAGAGACTCTTCACCCAGAAACTCTTCTTGCACATACTTTTCACCCATATACTTTTCACCCAGAGACTCTTCACCCAGAAACTCTTTTTGCACAGATTTTTCACCCAGAGACTCTTCACCCAGAAACTCTTCTTGCACATACTTTTCACCCATATACTTTTCACCCAGAGACTCTTCTTGCACATACGTTTCACCCATATACTTTTCACCCAGAGACTCTTCACCCAGAAACTCTTCTTGCACATACTTTTCACCCATATACTTTTCACCCAGAGACTCTTCACCCAGAAACTCTTCTTGCACTTACTTTTCACCCATATACTTTTCACCCAGAGACTCTTCACCCAGAAACTCTTCTTGCACATACTTTTCACCCATATACTTTTAACCCAGAGACTCTTCACCCAGAAACTCTTCTTGCACATGCTTTTCACTCATATACTTTCCACCCAGAGACTCTTCACCCAGAAACTCTTCTTGCACATACTTTTCACCCATATTCTTTTCACACAGAGACTCTTCACCCAGAAACTCTTCTTGCACATACTTTTCACCCATATACTTTTTACTCAGAGACTCTTCACCCAGAAACTCTTCTTGCACATACTTTTCACCCATATACTTTTCACCCAGAGACTCTTCACCCAGAAACTCTTCTTGCACATACTTTTCACCCATATACTTTTCACCCAGAGACTCTTCACCTAGAAACTTTTCTCGCACATATTTTTCACCCATATACTTTCACCCAGAGACTCTTCTGCACTACGTTTCCCCATATACTTTGCACCAGAGGGAATTCTTTCACCCAGAAACTCTTCTTGCACATACTTTTTCAACCAATAATATATGTTCCACATTTGTTACCCAGAGACCTCACCAGAAGAAACTCTTTCTGCACAGACTTTTCACCCAGAGACTCTTCACCCAGAAACTCTTCTTGCACAAACTTTTCACCCATATAAACTTTTCATCTAGAGACTCTTCACCCAGAAACTCTTCTTGCACATATAATGGTCCCACATCGGAGCCTCAATTTTTCCATTGTGTTTCCATCCCATCAATTTCCGTCATTTTACTCTTATTTTACTTGGCATCATTTTGGTCCCACATCAGAGCCGCAATTTTTCCAATATGTTTTCCATTGTTTTTCTCCACTTCTTCATCATAGTCCCTCGATTTTTCCATTGCTTTTCCATCGCTAATGGTCTCACATCGAAGCCACATTTTTTTCATTTTTTTCCATTGCTTTTCCATAGTTTTACTCGACATCATTTTCCCCTCCATTCCAGTCTCCCCAGTGTTTTTTTCACAGTTTTTCCTTCAGTTTTACTCAATCGTCCCATAGTTTACGCTAGGCTATCAATTTATCCTTCCATTTCATCAATGTTTCCAGTGTTTTGCCATGGTGTTACTCGATTTCTCCATCATTACCCTTCTATTATCTCAGTGTGTCTAACGCTTACACAAATGCACCTCCCACAATCCCTACCGTTGCACCGTATAAACGGTTTTGCTCGTTTCTTCCATGGTTTTATTTCCGTGCTTCTACTCCATAGTGGTCACACATCGAAACCGCATTTTTTCCATTGCTTTTCCATTGTTTCACGCGTGCTTTACGCGATAATGGTCCCACATCGGAGCCTCAATTTTTCCATTGTTTTTCCACCCCATCAATTTCCATCCTTTTACTTTTATTTTACTTGGAATCATTTTCCAAGCGTTCTACTCAAATTTTCCATTCTTTTCCCATTGTTTTATATGCTATCAATCTATTCTTCCATTTCATCAATTTTCCAGTGTTTTGCCATGGTGTTACTCGATTTCTCCATCATTACCCTTATGTTACCCCAGTGTGTCTAACGCTTACCCAAGTGCACCTTCCACAATCCCTACAGTTGCACCGTATAAACGGTTTTGCTCGTTTCTTACATGGTTTTCTTTCCGTGCTTCTACTCCATAGTGGTCACACATCAAAACTGCAATTTTTCCATTGCTTTTCCATTGTTTCACGCGTGCTTTACGCGATAATGGTCCCACATCGGAGCCTCAATTTTACTTGGCATCATTTTACCCTCTCCCTATTCTTTCCACCGTTCTTCCTCGCGTTTTTGTGCGATCAATTTATCCTTCCATTTCATCATTTTTTCATCATTTTTCCAGTGTTTTGCCATGGTGTTACTCGATTTCTCCAGTGTGTCTAACGCTTGCCCAAATGCACCTTCCACAATCCCTACAGTTGCACCGTATAAACGGTTTTGCTCGTTTCCTCCATGGTTTTTTTTCTGTGCTTCTACTCCATAGTGGTCACACATCGAAACTGCAATTTTTCCATTGCTTTTCCATTGTTTCACGCGTGCTTTACGCGATAATGGTCCCACATCGGAGCCATTTTACCATCTCCCTATTCTTTCCACCGTTTCTCCTCGCGTTTTAATCAATTTTCCAAGCGTTCTACTCAAATTTTCCATTGCTTTCCCATTTTTTTCCATTGTTTTATGTCAAAGTCCCTCCTTTTTTTCCATTGTTTTTCTCATCATTTTCCCCTCCTTTCCCATTTTTTTCCCATTGTTTTATGTCATATTCCCTCATTTTTTCTATTATTTGTCTCATCATTTTCCCCTCCATTGCAATCTGCCCAGATCCACCTCGGAGGGCGGACCAGGGGGGAATCGATACCCCAACGTCACCCAATTGCCACCTGGTACATAACCCTAAAAAAGTTTACCTGCGTCCACCTTTTTTACCACCTATTTTCCTCATTTTTATCCGATTTCGGGCGCTCTGCCCCCAGACCCCCTTAACTCACTTTGTTCGCATATAGAACTTCGCCTAGCCTAGCGGCTGGCTTTCGTGAAAAAACACAGGTTTTAGGGAATCAAACATCGTAAAATGTAGAGTCATTACCCCCCAAAAGGGTGAACCCTCATGGGCACTTTAAAGCTTCTCTTTAGGCAAGAACTTCCTTTGCTCTGCGTATCGGTTTCTCATTTTAACGCTTCCTCCACATGCACTATTTGTGCAATTGTATGCTGCTCACTGTAGAAAGATTCTGCCAGTTAGACTTCATGTGAAGCAATATGAAGTAAGTGAACTCTCCAGAAGTACAACTAATGTGGTAAACCCACTAATGAACCATCCCCAAGTCATCACCATTCTCATGGGTGCTATGTTTACCAGTAGTACCCGCACGAGGCGGGGCGGAAGTTGCCTTAGGGATCCGCTTAGTCACCACTTCACCACTTCCCTTCCTCACCACTTCCCTTCGTCACCACCCTGTGTCATAGCTTCTTATTCTTTTGTTATGTATTGTTATGTGATGTACCACCCTTCATCAATGTCAAGTCTCACAATTCTATTTGTCCGTAACACAGAAGTATTGCTTCCCAACTTCCTTTGACCATCCCAAGATTTATGGCATTGGGTTGCCCACATACTGCAAATTCCTTGGCTTCCAGACTGTGTAAGCGTCTGCTTCAGTTGTGCTGTCAAGGCCTTATGTTGGGCTGCGTTGTCTCTACCAGGGGTCGGGGGTTACCCGAACAAACGTACTCCACTGATATCATCGGTATTCAAACCCTCGCTAGGTCAGGCCAAGGGGTCATTCTTTCGGCATTGACACCCGCATACAACATGCCAGTTCTCAAAATGGCTCATCGCTGCTGAAACCATCAGGATTCCCACAATTCCAATGACTGGATCATGGGACGGTGCTTTGACACAACACTCCAAGCTGTCCGGCACGTCGCATTGCCATTGCAGCCTCCTAGGCGTGACAACGGCTGGAAAGTGCAACTGAAAGCCAAGTATTGGGAGATCCTGCTGCCATGGCTGTGAGTTCAAAGCCCTTGAAACTCAGCAGGAATACATTTGAAGGACTATGTCTATGCCAACAAAGGGCATGGTATGTGCCAAGAAAACTCCTTCTCATGATCATGGTTTGTTGTTTCCCCAGTCCCATTGAATTCGAAGTGGAACACTCATAACGTTGAGTTATACAACCCTTCGCAAATAGCAAGGTTCCAGGAATTTGTTCCTCGAACAAGAAACTCTAAATGTGGGGGATTTCACACACAGTTCACACATATCTTGGGTGCTCAAAGAAAAGCACGCCCTGTTGCTATCCATGTCTTTTAGAAGAAACTATGCCTGATGGTTTTTTGTGACCTACACTGCCTATAGGGCCTATAGGGCCTATACTATATACTAATTTCTCCCATAACCATCCTATTTTATGTTTACTTCAACATTTACCAATGACGACTGTGGGTCCTCGGCATTCGCCTGTGGAGTCTCTTGCACCTTGGCAATGGATCGAGTGGTGAAATGGCACCATAGGCATCCATAGGCGGGAACACATGCCTCATGATAGATTTATATTCATTCAACTGTAACTATCATTAGACTATACATCTATATATATATATATTATTGCAGTACCTTCAAGATCCAGAAACAGAACTTGACACAATTGATTTGGTGTCGATGAAGTCATGCCTTGGTGCCCCACTGGATTGCCTCGCAGCTCGTCAGCCAGCTTCCGCCCTGGTCGGCACTGGCTGAGGTTGAGCAGGTTGGATTCCCCCAACATCGCCGAGAAAGAAAATGACAAGCGATCAAAAAAACTCAAAAAACAAACAGTCAAACAGTCAAACATCAGGATTTTTGTTGAAAACCCAAAGGCCCCTGACATATCTTGATAAATATCTTGATATCTTGATGTGAAGCCACCACAGGGATAAAGTGGAGCTTCTGCAGGCTAGTTTTTCTGTGGATGATGGGGCTATACTGTACTGAAACAACTGAAATACATAAGTTTTACCCTCCAGTAGACTAACATTGGAAATCTATGGGCTTCCCTTGGAAATGATCCACAAAACCGTGCGTTTTCCACTTAAATATGTCAAATATTGCTATAAATAGTTTCCTGAAGCCATTGAATTATGTAGTACTCTTTCATCTCTTTCCAAATAGCTTACTGTAGGGAATGATGTTCTATGTTTCGCAGCGAGCCGACTTTGGCACCAGGCCTGCTTCATCCACAGGAAGAGCCGGCTGGCCAGCACCTGGCAAATCTGGCAGGACAATTTGGCAGGGGAACATCCCATCCCATCATTCCTGGATGATGTCCCTTTAAAGTTCTATTAAGACCTAGGTTTTCATATGTTTTAGGAGAATTATGGTACTGAAGATCTTCGATCTTTGCTTGCCGATGCCCATGCCCTGATCCTTATCCAAAACTGCTACTTGGATCTACTTGGGTCTTGGGACCTCCACTTTCCATCCCCATCCCATACTGTAAACGATTTGAGGTGTGTTTTTGAGAGGTCCCCAATGTTGAGACGGGAAATGCCGATTGGAACCCCGTTTTGGATGTTTTGGGCGATCTCCGAACCCATCTCTCCAAAGCAGGTCAGACGTACAGGCACGTTCCGCTGCACGTACAGCAGTGCCCCCCAGGGCGCTGTAACGACTGAGCCTGGTCAAATTGCCAGAAAATCAAGGATGCGAAGTCATAGACTGTCCAGTCCAATGAATTCAATGATGGGACTCAACAATTGGAGAGATATCTAATTAGATAGTGGTCGCCCACTGGGGTTAGAATTTCGCGGAAAATGGTGATTACACTACGCATAGACACATGTATTTTCGATTGGGAATGCAGCACCTGGCCCAGGGTGGACACCAGGCTTCCGTCTCCCACAGAGGATCCCGACTCCTCTTCTCTTTCCCGCTTCTTCTTTTCCATCAAAGCTTCGCCTTGGCGATGCCACAAGCAACTGCTGCTAATGACACGCCGCTAGTCTTGAAAAATGGTCTTATATCACATGGCATGGATCGAAATGGCTAATCGCCCGCAAAACATGGGAGATGCATAATGGATAAAACACACACACAAACACACATACAAACACATGGATACATATATATATATATAGGTAGAATTAATTAAATATATAATATAATATATATGTATCAAAATGATTCAAAATTGCATATCCACATCAAGTATTATCAAAAGTATCAGTTTCAGTTTTCCCACACCGTGGATCAAAGCCAAATCCTCTGGGACGCCCAGACGCTGTCGCCTTAAATGCTCGGCCCGCGCCTGTCGCTCCTCCTGTAGGAACGCAACGCTTAAATCTCTAGGTGTGCCTGTAGTTTCCGCAATCTTTGTCAATTTTGAATCATTTTGCGAACAAATATTATGTTAATTTAATCTGTATTTAATCTTTATTTCATGCTAATTTACAGTATGTTATTTGCTCAGACGCAAATAGATACGCTTAGAAATAGCTTCCGGATGCTTCCGGTATATCCGGTATTGAAGCGTGGCAACGGAAGATCATGGAAAATCCTTCATTTAAGATATTAAGATATTAATATGTTCCCAGCTATAAACCTCCATGTAGGCCAAGGGATCCAAGGGGGCCGTGAGGATTTTCCAGCCACGTTTGATTTTGCTCCTCTGAGGGCTGATTGGGGTTGGAATCGGCTTGCCGACCTCGGCAACCAGCGACCAGTGGGCGGGTTGGGATCATTCTCCGCCCAGTGGGTTTAAAGTAACAACTGTTTGAAACATGTTGAAACCACCAACCAGCATAAGAGTATCTAAAAATGTCTAAAATGTCTAGAATATCCCAAACATTTGCCGCTACAGAATGGAAATTGATTGCACTTTAAGGTATCATTGATGTGTAATTGGTATACCATTTGGACTTGCTTCATCATTCGGGTGTGTTCAGGGCGAGTCCATCATTTTGAGCCATCGCATCCATGGTCACTGAACTGTCTGGCTGCACAGTTTTCCAGCCACGACGCCACTCTTTTGGTGAGGCGTGCGAGTCATTAGCGACAGAGAATCCGAGAATCCTAAGCCTTTCCGTGGTGGTTGCAGTGCAACAATACTGAATGTTTTTTGTTTTAGACATATTCTGCAGAAGACAAACAACGCCCACAAATTCGATTTCATGATCTGTGATGAATATGCCATTCCACACAGTATGTTTGGAATTGGGGTTGGTTGTACATGGTTATACCATGGAGGGGCGGACAGGTGCAAATGTTCGAAACCACCAATTCGGGATTTGTGGCCATGTCTTGAATTCAAGACTTTTCACTGCTGAAACAGTGTGCCGGAACAACAATTTCAGTTCCGTCTTGGAAACTGTATACCGAACTACCACTACTCATCTCTTTAATATATTTCAATATATGGTTCGGTGACAGATCTTCGGAAAGTCTGAGTCTGAGTCTGAGAAACTGCATGTTGTTCCTTTCACATCCTTTCACTGTGACTTTACCCACCAGCTCAAAAAAGGAATGCTGTAATGCGCAAGCACCAACAACACATACCAACAACTCAATCACGTGAAGTTGATTGCAAGCGGTGGCCATTTCACCCCCATCTTGCAGCAAAGGACCTACTTTGGGCCAGTGGGGTCCAAACCCCGCAAGCTGTCTGCTCAATGCACATCCCTGCAAGCGTAGTTGAGAATCGCAGTGTAATGATCAATGTTGGATACATGGTTACCCTTTCGGCAATCAAACATGGCAATGGAACACCCGTCATTTAATCATAGAATGTTCTAGCTTCTATAGATGATTTTCCCATTAAAACATCCATTTAATAGGGCAATTTCAGATCCTTGGGGGATACAGCTGTCACCTTTGCCCTACCGTTGCCTTTGGAGAACCGCAGGTGACCTCAGGTAACCCGTTGTGATGCCGGCGCAGGTTATACTGCTTTGCCGGCCCAATCCTGCAGGGCTAAGAGTGAGGCAGAGTGAGACCATAAAAATGTCATAACACTATATGACGATATTATTCATATATTTGATACATGTGTTTGCTGTTTTTCAATTCTCATATGGTTTCACTGATTAAAGATTATGATGCATATATTTCATGTATATGGAGGATATCTGTAGTTTGTATAAAAATAATATTGTAATTACATATAGTAAATCCTATCCAACGTGATGAAACATGTACATCCAATCGAAAAAATGTACATCCATTACATCCATTACATCCATTACATCCATTACATCCATTCACTTCTTCATCTTTTTCTTCACCTTGGTAGCCATCTTTCTTCCGCATCCCGCATCCCGCCGTAGCGTTTTCAACACCGCTTCACCTTCTCAGCGATCCGTTTCCGGCGATCCAGGAAGGTCAGTAGCCCGGCCGCGCCCAACATCAGGAAACCGGCCACAAACCTGCAGGCCGAAGGATGACAGGGAAATGGGCATGTATACCTATAATATATACAGATGCTGTACATTATATACAATATATATAATAGATGGAGATAGATGAAGACCAACATTAATGTAGACATGGATGAAGGATGATGAAGGTATGTTTACAAAAATCAAATGCATTCATCTCTCTCTATTGCCATCCCGAAGGATCAGCTAATGTACTCATGTATCTATTTATCATTATCTATCTATATATATATATGTTATTTATCTAAATTGTCGAATCCTACAATAATATTGTCAGGATAGAAGTGCTGGCTGACAGTTGAGCAACCCCCACCAAGAAAATCATATCAGATCTTGATCCTCCAAAGAATGAGTCTCAGTTTTAGAAATAGACCGCCACCAGTTGCCGGCACCACTGGCTCCAAAGCAAGTCTGGTAACCGCAAATGTCACATAATGTCACATAATGTCACATTCATGAAAAAGTGGGCACTGATGAAGGGAAATGCTACAATTACAATCAAGACTTTGGTCTTCAGTTCTCATATGACGGGGTGGCACAACATCATCTTTTCTGACGCTTGGGGCGAGTGGCAGAAGAATGCAAATGCAGAGCCCAATAAATGCCTCGGCTAAACGGCAAAGAAAGGAGAAACACTAAACTAGTTAAGTCGTTCAAGTCCTAACACTGTGGTGCCAAGTTCCTATTGAAATGTTCCTTGTATGCTACATATGACCCTCCGGCAGCTTCTTTCGCTTTACATGCTTTACTTTTTTTGGCAGGTGGCTTACAATTGGCTTCAACCCCCTCTGCATGCTCTAGCATGGTCGCGAGGCTTTGCAACACAATGTGTTTTTTTGCAAACCCATAGGTCCCTCAAGTGAGATGAGCTACCAGCCTCTCCTGATGGATTTAAGTTGCCATGCTTGAGATTGGATGCCATCAGTGCTTGAAGTCTGTTGTCCGGTGGACTCTGTAGACCCCCATTGCAACAGAGAAACAGCAAATCAACATGTCCTATGAATGGTAAAGTATGGTAAAGCAACATCAAGGATAAGTTTTTTTACATGTTTTTACGTCAACACAGCGAGATGATAGGTAGAATATGGTAGAATGAAAAATGAGGTAAAAGATTGAAAAGGGGATTGCATCCACCAACATATGTCAAATGTCTGCATCCTTAAAGGATCTGTTGCCGAATAGCCCATCGAAACATATCCCAACCACCAAATGCCGGGACTTGTCTGTGCCACTTGATAATTATTATCCGATTATCTTCCAGGAATCCCAGGCAAAATGGGCATTTCGAGTTGCTGTGTTCTGGATCAGTTGATCCTGCTCAGAAATACCCATTGCGAAGATCCCGCAGTTTCCGCGCCCAGCGCTGCACACAGTGTCCTCTTGAGCCGGAAAAAGCCGACAAAGCCTAGAGGATGCGCATCGTTTCTCTGCTTTGTTGGATACTCCGATGATACTCCACATGTCTGCACCATGAACAAACTCCACTGGTCCAAACAGCTGACAGCTGCACTGGGTGGCCCAAACGCGCCGCCCTTTCCTTCACTGCAACTGTGGCAGTTTCCTGCGACTTTCGATGATTTCATCGGAATTGCCGATGGATGGTTGATGCATTTGGCCTTTGGAATCCTGCCACCTGTTTGACAAAAGCTTATTAGGTAAAGAACAACAAAACAACACGGAAAAGCTCCAAACAATTGGCGAAATCTTCGCAATGGAAATCAACATATTGCCACCAACACACCATCAATTGAGGTCCAAACATCTATGCGACATCTCTCAGCCTCAAACGTCGGATTGAGAATGGATGATGGTTAGATGAAGATGACTATTGGATGGCTATTACACATGGTGATTAAGTGACCAATGACCAATTCGCTATTTATACATATTACATAAAATGTTTGCTAAACCTTTTGCAATCAAAGAAAAGCCTTGCAGGCACATCACAACATGCACACCTCGCTCCTCCGGAAATTCAAGCCAAAGTCAGATTCCAATAGTGATTCTGCACCAAAGACAACCAAAGACAGTGTCAGTGCACATTTAGCAAGCCACCGAGTCTTCCTCGCGGACCTCTCTGGGGCCTGGCGTAGGCTACCGTAGGGTATCAGTACTGCCTTGGAAGCAAACCAGGAAAAGATGGAAAAAAATCTGAAAAAATCTTGGAAAATCAAACCCTCAATGGGTTTCAATTGGTCACCCATTGCCAATCTTTCAAAAAAAAAAAAGGGCCTGAATTGGTTTGGTTGCAGTTGGTAACCGATTACCCTCTGGTAAACTAACATAACTATGAAAAATCACCATTTTCAATGGGAAAATTCACTATAAATTGTCATTTTCAATAGCTATTTTGACATAACCAGAGGGTACTTACCAAATAATGTTACCAAGAAAATCATGCCGAAGGGAGACATAGAGAGACCCATCTAGAGTCCATCTCCCATCATCTCCCTGGAATGATCTACAGCGATTGGACCAACTCTGCTTTCCAATCTGACCTTCAGGAGCATGCTGATAAGCCTCCAAAAAAAGTGTATATTTATGATTATGAATTATGATTATGATTATGATTATCATTGTTATTATTACTATTATTACTATATTTATTATTATTATCTCTCTCTTTCTCTCTCTCTGTGCATACATATGCCCAAATCATATCCCGACATAATCGTCACACTTCAACAAACGGTTCAATTACTAATTTCTCTGCGTTCCGCTCATCTAGAATTGACTGCGCATCCAGATTAGGTGGGAGAATCAGGACTCCCTGTACACTGTACACTAAGCTTTGAATCGGGGTGCATTGCTTCAATAATGGATACATTGGCGTCCTCTGGGTCATAAGACTAGTGTGACGCATCCTTCCAAATGACACACCGAGCCGCCAACCCGAGCCGCCTTCATCCAACGGGCGCATCTGAAGCGTTGCAGGTAGAAGCTCCTACCATTTTGGCAGTAGCAGTTAGGTGCGTCAGCTACTCTCAGCCCCAACGATCATCATGCGCATTGATAATTCGGAACTCTTACCGCAAAGAAAAAAAGAAAATGAGAGGTCTCAACAATCCTCAGGCAATTCATTGGGGCCAATCAATGGCTTTGAGACTTGTACACTGGATGAGCGTGTCTATCCTATCACCCCCAAGGTGGTCAGTGCTGCATCCTTTACTCTTCTCGCTCTCTAGCTACTAGGCCACTAGTACATACCTCGTTGATTCCTCTCATTTTCCCAAATTTTCCCACATTTTCCAGGGAGATTCCCACATTGAAAATAGGGCCCTCCTGATGCTGTTGGATGATCTGAGCTGCTTGTAGAGCCGCCTCTTGTGCAGCTTCCGCCTCTGCCTGGAAACAACGAATCCTATTGGACTCGACGCTGCAGATATCAAGATATATGATGCGCACAGAGAGAGAGAGAGATGATATATATATATAATATATATATAATATATATAATACATACACACCCACCCACACACACACATAATATATATATATATATGTATATATATATAAATAATAATTGTATATAATAGACAGTGGGTATAGAGTGCAGTTCTTTGATTGACTTGGATTGAGAGTTCCATAGTGTTGGCATATCTATGGTTAATTTTTATAAGTGGAATCACAGGAGTTATACGTTGCCAAGCGCTGACGTGGATGACGTGGCGTCCTGCGCGGACATGCTTTCCGCTTGGGCGCTCAGCTGCGCCTTGGATCACTGGGGATGATCACAACAGAAACGGATACCCTCTGGTTATGTCAACATAGCTATGGAAAATCACCATTATTCATGGGAAAATCCACTATTTCTATGGTCATGTTCAATAGCTATGTTAGTCATAACCAGAGGGTAACATGGAAGGAATGGAATGATTCTCGGTCTCCAGTGTCTTCTCAAGGAGTTCAGCAGAGCTACTTGCAAGCAAGGTGAATAAAATGGAATATGATTTTGGTTGGTTCGTTCTATACAGCAGATGGCATACCCCTCAGGCGCTAGTTTTCCTCTCGCTTTGCCATATCCTTTGCCCTTTGACTTTGACCTCGGCCGATGCTGCAATGGGTACCAGTGAAGGTGTGGTTTGGGCCGTGGGAATTTGATGTTTCTGACGTGCTGGCTCCATGCTTAAAATCCAACAGCTTGGGAAATGGCTGGACGAGCCACGGGAGGGTTGACATGGACTAAACACGTCACGACTAGTACGTAAACACTTAAAACAGAATCATTGCCCGTGTCCTGCATGCAATTCGCTTGCAGTCCAGCTCAAATGGCATCAGCACAACAATTTGAAGCAAGAGGCTTGCCACTGGGACCACCATCACTCCACTTTGCTTCTTCGGCTGCAAAGAGAGAAACGCACGCATCAGTCAGCGCCTGCCACTCCTCGGGCTCGCCCAAGCTGGTGGGTTTTATCATGAAATGGTCAACATCACAAGGTTGCGGTGACCGGGTGTGACCACATGTGGTTCTGATGGGGGGTTGTGACCCCTAATTAGCATTGGAATTCGACATCACAAAAATATACAAAAATACCATCTCAAATCAGATCATATGCTGGTAAACACTTTGACATCAGGTCCCTGATACCTGACACAAGACCGTTGTTGCGACACTCCGTCCCCTGAAACATCCTCCCGACCTCTGCCGTCTGGTCTGCGATGGGGGCGCTGAACCTTCGCGCTGCGGCACGGTGGGCAGCCAGTGCTTGCGGATCTAGGCCACGCAACTCACCTGAGTAGAGGATGCCAGAGTATGCCAGAGTCCTCCCATGGGATACTTGGATACTTCATGAGCAGTTCAGAACCTATGAGGGACAGCCGTATTTTAATGCCAATTACTATAGTGACCCATCGAAGTTGGGATGGCGGTGAAGGACTTCACCTGTCACAGGCCACATAGATCCCTTCTGCCTCTGGCGACTCTGGCGAGTCCATGGGACACTAGGCAAAGGAGCCACTAAATCGATTTGAGGGAGAGAATGCAGATGAATGCAGGAAACTGAAGTTTTAAGATTGGTCACTGTAACCATCAAATTCGGACCTCCTGCAAGTTGTCCCTCAAAAAAAGCAATTCTGGGAAACATAGAGCCCACCCTTTATCACCCTGAAACATCCTGAAACATCAGCCCCTTCTCCGTGAGACATGTGACGCAAAGCTCCGATATCATGTTCCAAATCTGCACCCACCAAGTCCCACCTGCGACCGAAACTGTTGGGGTCATGAGCTCCTGATGCTGGGGGGCTTACAATTTCTGACCCCTGGGACATCTGCACAGTACTCTCAGCTCTTCCTGGGCAAGTAAAAGCAAGAGCTGTGCATGTAACATCACACCAGTGGTTGCAAACTTTCTTGGTCTTGAATCGATTAGAGAAGGAACTGCAAAAAAAACAAGCATCCATCACCCCTGTCCACAACAGGTGCGCAGCCAACACCCAACTTGTGCCGAGCTGTGGCCAAGCATCCATAATGAAATGTTGCCCATGATATTTTATGGTGCAAAATGATGAACGTTGACCATTGGACCATGGGAGAGATTTGGAGTGCAGCGCCCATAGCAGGGCTTTGTACCCCGGCCTCACACCAAATGGCTTTCGAGGCATTGCTTTGGCCTGAGGGCCAGCATGGGCCAGCATGGGCCAGCAATGCCGGAGAGCTCAAGAGATTCAACATGATTCAACAGGGTCGTATGAGTCTCATGAATTTCCTCTCACAATGAACGTCAATGAACCACACAAATGCCCTGGACCCCACTGCACAAATTTGACACACTCAGCACAGGCGAAAACTATTGAAAACTGTTGAACACAGCACAGGATATCACTGGACCACTTGATGCAGCCTGCCTCACATTTTGTCACGCCACTTGGTGTTGCAAAGGCATCCACTGGCAGGTCATGTGATTCCATCCTTGGCCGCGACGCTGGATGACCGCATTTTCATTGGCTTTGTTTCAGGGAAAATCTTCAGAAAACAATGTTTATCTCCTTCTCCATTTTCTATGAATTGCACGGGTTCCTGCAAAAATGTTGCATATTTATGCATATTTATCATGCACAGTTTGCTGTGACAAATCTTCATGACTACGTACAATGATGCGCAGAATGAAATTTGTTCATGACTCATGACATCTCATGACTGTTCCTGATTTCTTCAAGTAGAGCCCAAGGGAGAGGCAAGCTAAGGATGGGGATGATGGGGTGGGGTTGTCTTGATTCTACAAGCACCTATCGGACCTATCGCCCCCCGGGCCCTTGGCATGGCGAGCTGCATGTCTGCAGGAAGATCTTCAGATCTGACCACTTGCAAGTCATGACAGAGTGTGTACCTCAGTTGGCCCAAAGGATCCAAAGGTATCCAAAGGTATTCATCTGGGGAGGGGATTGAATGAAATTGACCGGGTTTCTCATGCCAGGCCGACTGCTCGGCCGGATCCGGGTCTAAAATTTCCATTGTGTCCAAGGCGTCCAAGGCGCACGGGCACAGATTCGTCAACAGCTCCCAGCTCAGTCAGTATGCCCCACTCAACCTGCGCCGCCCCGGGTCCCGGCTCCGAAGTGGGCAGAAACACAGGGAACATTCACAAAGCAGTGGCGCATTGTAGGCACACAAGCGACAATTTACTGTACATGAGACCAAAAACGAAAGCCATGAAGCATCAAGCAGCACCTGAAATGTTGGGGGCAACACCTCAAGAACCCGTTGTCTGACTATAGGCATCAGCAACAAATTCATTGCTGGATTATTGAACGAGAACCATTTGATCTCCCATCAAAGGTAGGGTAGGATTTGAATAATAACTATATACCCCGTGCAAGCAGGCCTCTCCGTAGCCCTTTCCCTTTCCTAGACGTACTCCATTGCTTGCAACAACACCTCACACAGGCGTGGAAAGGAACTTGAGTTCAAGGTAGCTGCTTCACAACTTCCAAAATATCCGCGCGAAAACATAACCAACGAAGGAAGTTTAGCAGTCAAACTTCCGACAATATGGACAGATGGAAAAGCAGAGGTGGGAAGAGCCAGAGAAGAGAAGAGCAGAAGTGAGAAGATTAGAGAAGATAGAGAAGAGAAAGGGTAAGAAGAAAGAAGATTCACGTGCGCGAAAAATAGGAAAGTCACGAAAAACTGTGTTTTTCTCCACTGATTTGTGTCTCTGGAGGGTCGAAAAGTAGGCTCGCTAAAACGGCGGGTGCGGAGCCATGTCGCCAGATGAGAGATGAAAAGTTGCACGCCGCTGTGGCGTGAAGCACATGTGGGATCAAAATGTACAAAGAACACCATGTTCGGACCGCTTTTGAAAGTTGAGGTGTCGAAAAAGTGAACGCCGTTGTGGGCGAAGCACATCTCGAAGTCAAAATGTACAAAGCACACCAACGCCGGACCACTTTTGGAAGTTGTGATGTCGAAAAAGTGGACGCCGTGGTGGCGCGAAAGACATTTCAAAGTCTAAATGTACAAAACACACCACGTTCAGAGCACTTTTGGAAGTTGAGATGTTCAAAAAGTGTACGCGGTTGTGGCCCGAAGAACATTTCGAAGTCAAAATGTACAAAGCACACCACATTCAGAGCACTTTGGAAGTTGAGATGTTCAAAAAGTGTAGGTGGCTGTGGCGCGAAGATGCGCGAAGCACATTTCCAAGTCAAAAGTGCAAAATTCTGACGGGTACGGAGCACTTTTTGGACGTTCGGATGTCGTTTCACGTGGCCGGCGCAGGGAATTGTGCACCTTGTCAAAGGTGAGCAACACGTGAAAGTTTTCTAGCATTTCCCAAAACGATGGCAGGCGTGGGACATTTGAAGAAGATCTGGAAAGATGCATTTTCCGTAGCAGGCGCAGTGTAAGAGACATGGTCGTTAGGTCAGGGCGCTGATTTCCTGAGAAAGGTTGCATTTTGGAGCATCAGATCTTCAGTTTTGGGAAGATGTTTTTGTGTTACTGGTGCAGCACTTCGTATGGCCTGGCTTCACTTTTTGGTGGTAGGCGCCTGACTTCAGAGACATGGACTGGAAAAATCGCAAAACGCATTGGTACGAGGCCGTCAGCTCCGCACTCAACTTTCCATTATTGAAGGAAGTCTCGCAGAATTGCTTCGTTTTTGATGTTGCCAACTTCGAAAATTGAGGAAGTCTCGCGGAATTGCTTCCTTTTTGACGTTGTCAAGTTCAAAAGTTCAAAAGTTGAGGAAGTCTCGCAGGTTTTCAATATTGCAGATTGCAGGTAGACAGATAGACAACTACAACTGCAACTATGACTACCGCTACACTACACTACGGGCTACCTTAAGCAAAAACATTAATTTTAAAACATGAATCAGGTGCTTGTAGTTAGGAGGCACTTCAAAATAATATTTTCATTCACACTATAGCCCACCCAAAATAATTTCCTTTGACACTATCCACCCCCTCAAAATGATTTCAAAGAGGTTGAAAACAAATTATTTGGCCGTGGTTCCCCTATTACTCTCAAAACAGTTCCCTTGCCTCAAAATATTTTTGAAAATTATTCCCGAGAGCGCCTGCGAAGGGTTCTTCGTAAAAAAGCAGCCGTTATACTAGATCTTCACACCTTCACACCTGCAGATCTAGATCTTCACACCTTCACACCTGCAGATCTAGATCTTCACACTCTCACATCTGCCGATCTACATCTTCACACCTTCACACCTGCAGATCTAGATCTTCACACCTTCACACCTGCAGATCTAGATCTTCACACCTTCACACCTGCAGATCTAGATCTCCACACCCTCACATCTGCAGATCTAGATCTTCACACCTTCACACCTGCAGATCTAGATCTTCACACCCTCACATCTGCAGATCTAGATCTTCACACCCTCACATCTGCAGATCTACATCTTCACACCCTCACACCTGCAGATCTACATCTTCACACCCTCACATCTGCTGATCTACATCTTCACCCCTCACATCTGCAGATCTACATCTTCACACCCTCACATCTGCAGATCTACATCATCACACCCTCACACCTGCAGATCTAGATCTTCACACCTTCACACCTGCAGATCTAGATCTTCACACCCTCACATCTGCAGATCTAGATCTTCACACCTTCACACCTGCAGATCTAGATCTTCACACCCTCACATCTGCAGATCGAGGGTGTAAAGATCTAGATCTGCACACCCTCACATCTGCAGATCTACATCTTCACACCCTCACACCTGCAGATCTAGATCTTCACACCTTCACATCTGCAGATCTCCTCTCGCTCTTCTTCTATTCTCTCTTAAGGCGGGGGCGGTGCCGCCGGAGCGCCACGAAACGCAACCCTTTCGCACGAAATGGACGTTGGACGTCCAAAACCTAGGTAAAATTGCGATTTTGAAGCGTCGCCGGCAACCCTTTCGCACAAAATGGACGTTGGACGTTAAAAACTGAGGAAAAATTGCGACTTTGAGGTGTCCCGCGCAACCCTTACGCACGAAATGGACGTTGGACGTCAAAAACTGAGGAAAAATTGCGACTTTACTTTGTCCATCGCAACCCTTTCGCACGAAATGGACGTTGGACGTCAAAAACTGAGGTAAAATTGCGATTTTACTTTGTCCATCGCAACCCTTTCGCACGAAATGGACGTTGGACGTCAAAAACTGATGTAAAATTGCGATTTTACTTTGTCCATCGCAACCCTTTCGCACGAAATGGACGTTGGACGTCAAAAACTGATGTAAAATTGCGATTTTACTTTGTCCATCGCAACCCTTTCGCACGAAATGGACGTTGGACGTCAAAAACTGAGGAAAAATTGCGACTTTGAGGTGTCAATCGCATCCCTTACGCACGAAATGGAGGTTGGACGTCAAAAACTGAGGAAAAATTGCGATTTTACTTGGTCAATCGCAACCCTTTCGCACGAAATGGACGTGTAAAAGCGTCTGTGTGTAAAAGCGCCTGTGTGTAAAAGCTTCTGTGTGTAAAAGCCTCTGTGTGTAAAGGAGTCTGTGTGTAAAAGCTTCTGTGTGTAAAAGCGTCTGTGTGTAAAAGCGTCTGTGTGTAAAGGAGTCTGTGTGTAAAAGCGTCTGTGTGTAAAAGCGTCTGTGTGTAAAATCGTCTGTGTGTAAAAGCGTCTGTGTGTAAAATCGTCTGTGTGTAAAAGCGTCTGTGTGTAAAAGCGTCTGTGTGTAAAAGCGTCTGTGTGTAAAAGCTTCTGTGTGTAAAAGCGTCTCTGTGTGTAAAAGTCTTTGTGTGTAAAAGCGTCTGTGTGTAAAAGTGTCTGTGTGTAAAAGCGTCTGTGTGTAAAAGCTTCTGTGTGTAAAAGCCCCTGTGTGTAGAAAGCGTCTGTGTGTAAAAGCGTCTGTGTGTAAAAACGTCTGTGTGTAAAAGTGTCTGTGTGTAAAAGCGTCTGTGTGTAAAAGCGTCTGTGTGTAAAAGCGTCTGTGTGTAAAAGCGTCTGTGTGTAAAAGCATTTGTGTGTCAAAGCTTCTGTGTGTAAAAGCGTCTGTGTGTAAAAGCGTCTGCGTGTAAAAGCTTCTGCGTGTAAAAGCGTCTATGTGTAAAAGTGTTTGTGTGTAAAAGTGTTTGTATGTAAAAGTGTTTCTGTGTAAAAGTGCCTGTGTGTCAAAGCGTCTATGTGTAAAAGCTTCTGTGTGGCTGTGTGTTAAAGCGTCTGTGTGTAAAAGTCTCTGTGTGTAAAAGCGTCTGTGTGTAAAAGCGTCTGTGTGTAAAAGCGTCTGTGTGTAAAAGCGCCTGTGTAAAAGCCTCTGTGTGTGAAAATGTTGTGTGTAAAAGTGTCTGTGTGTAAAAGCGTCTGTGTGTAAAAGCGTCTGTGTGTAAAAGGGTCTGTGTGTAAAAGCGTCTGTGTGTAAAAGCGTCTGTGTGTAAAATCGTCTGTGTGTAAAAGCGTCTGTGTGTAAAAGCGTTTGTGTGTAAAAGCGCCTGTGTGTAAAAGCGCCTGTGTGTAAAAGCTTCTGTGTGTAAAAGCGCCTGTGTGTAAAAGCTTCTGTGTGTAAAAGCCTCTGTGTGTGAAAGTGTTGTGTGTAAAAGTGTCTGTGTGTAAAAGCGTCTGTGTGTAAAAGCGCCTGTGTGTAAAAGCTTCTGTGTGTAAAAGCCTCTGTGTGTGAAAGTGTTGTGTGTAAAAGTGTCTGTGTGTAAAAGCTTCTGTGTGTAAAAGCGTCTATGTGTAAAAGTGTCTGTGTGTAAAAGGGTCTGTGTGTAAAAGCGTTTGTGTGTAAAAGTGTCTGTGTGTAAAAGCTTCTGTGTGTAAAAGCACCTGCGTGTAAAAGCGCCTGTGTGTAAAATCGTCTGTGTGTAAAAGCGTCTGTGTGTAAAAGCGCCTGTGTGTAAAAGTGTCTGTGTGTGAAAGTGTCTGTGTGTAAAAGTGTCTGTGTGTAAAAGCTTCTGTGTATAAAAGCCTCTGTGTGTAAAAGCTTCTGTGTGTAAAAGTGTTGTGTGTAAAAGTGTTGTGTGTAAAAGCGTCTGTGTAAAAGGGTCTGTGTGTAAAAGGGTCTGTGTGTAAACGCGTCTGTGAAAGTCTTTGCGTGTAAAAGCATCTGCCTGTAAAAGCGCCTGTGTATAAAAGCGTCTGCGTGTAAAAGTGTCTGTGTGTAAAAGCGTCTGTGTGTAAAAGCCTCTGTGTGTAAACGCGTCTCTGTGTGTGTAAAAGCGTCTGTGTGTAAAGGAGTCTGTGTGTAAAAGCTTCTTTGTGTAAAAGCGTCTGTGTGTAAAAGCCTCTGTGTAAAAGCCTCTGTGTGTGAAAGTGTTTGTGTGTAAAAGCTTCTGTGTGTAAAAGCCTGTGTGTGTGAAAATTGTGTGTAAAAGCGTCTGTGTGTAAAAGCGTCTGTGTGTAAAAGCGTCTGTGTGTAAAAGCGTCTGTGTGTAAAAGCGTCTGTGTGTAAATGCGTCTGTGTGTAACAGCTTCTGTGCAAAAGCGTCTGCGTGTGAAAAACAATACGAAGGATAGGATGCAAACTAGTGTTTTGTACTTGTAATACATTGTCTTGATACTACTTGTCTCGCCTGCCTAAAATACATCTTTAATATATTGTCTTGCAATATAGTGTCTCAATACTAACAACAGAAGACCCTGCTCTCTCTCTCTCTCTCCCTCTTTCTTTCTCTCTCTCTCCCTCTCTCTCTCTCTCTCTCCCTCTCTCTCTCTCTCTATCTCTCTCTCTCTCTCTCTCCCTTTCTCTCTATCTATGTCTCTCTGTGGTTGCAAGACACGTGTCATATGATGCCCTTTACCAAGCAGCACAGTGCATATGCATGGGTTGTCACATGTATCCTCTTAATCAATCTTACTTTTCACAACTTACCCCTCCATAGCTCATATAAAATTCACCAACCTATCACCGACTATTTTTTACGACTACCATACTCAGAGCTGCTTGAAAAACGGCTTTTTCGCTCTCGGGCCAACCGTCGTCTAGTTTCGAGGTGGTGGAAGATGGTGATGGATGGATGATTGAAAAAAACAGTAGGGCCACCTGAAAATAACAACCAACAAAATCTAATGCCGTCTGATGCCGCCTGCCAGGGCCGCCGCTCAAGCGTGGAAAAAAAACAAAGGATGTGGTGGCACCACAAATCAAATAAATCATCTCTAAACCGGCCTCCTTTCACACCAGACAATAATTTTGGGGGTGGGGGTGCTACTTTACTAGACCACCCCATGAAACCAATTAACCTAACCTGGCACAACTCAACTTCCCTTGGGCTAGGCCAAAAATACCAAATTGATCCAAATTGCTCTCTCAGAGAATCAAAACATGAGAACCTAATTATTTTGGGGCTGGTGGCACTACTGAACCACTTATTGTCCACTTTTGGGCAAAGAAATCCGAATCGACTCCTTTCTCCCCAATAAATTATTTTGGGGGTGGGGATGCCAGTAGACCACCCCATGAAATCCTGGCAAAATTATTCTATACAATTGGAACATAGTGAAATATTCCCCCTGTCCAACTGAGAAATTATTTTGGGGTGCCTTCAGTCAATTAATTAAAATTATCTCAAAGTGCTTCAACTTCTGTAGGGGAAAATTATTTTGCCACATCAGGAGGTTACGGGTTCATAAATTGTTTTGCTATGATTCTTGCTAGCTGATGCTAACATAAACAATATTTAAAAAAACGAAAATATTTTGAAAAAAACAGAACCAGGTTGCAAGGTAAGACGCATACAACTACAAATAAACTACGCTACATTACACTACACTACACTAACTACACTACAACTACAACAACTACAACTACCACAGCAACAACAACAATATCAACTACACCACCTTACATTACACTGCATTAATTACAGTGCAGCATTCATACTACCACTACAAATACAACTGCCACTGCACTACATTACAGAACACTACTACGCTACACTACACTACATAAATACATTGCATTACGCCACACCTACAACTACAGCTGCAACTACCAGTGTAACTGCCACTAAGTTGCACTACACGACACTACACTACTTCCACTACACCACACTACAACTACACTACCTTACATTACTCTACTAGACTACACTTCACTATACCGCACTACAGTACACAACACTACAGTGCACTACAATACACTACGCTGATCACACGACACCACAGCTACAACTACAACTGCAACTGCAACTACACTACACTGTGAATCACGGATGGCAGGGCGAATCCACTGATGGACCGAAAGGTGGTTGAAGTTGTGTTTTTTGGAGTGGTTGCAATGGTTGCAGTGGTCACCTGACCCACAACTGCTGGATGTAGTGTGGTGTAGTGCCGTTGTAGTTGTAGTTGTAGTGTGGCGTAGTGGAGTTGTAGTTGTTTCCTATTTTTGAAACTTCTGCCACCGCCTTGTGCGGTACTACTGGTAATATTGAAAAGGCAACAGTCCGTTTGGAGTAGAGTTGCGGTGCCCATGATGCAAATTTCAAATCGCCCACAATATGCACATCTTTTGCTCAGCCTTTCCTTCTTCAAGACAATTTCTAAAACTCCGCAGCCCGTACAGACCACGTCATTGCCGGGAGACATGTTGCAACAACCACCACATCCACACGGGGTATCTCCTCAAAGGAAGACAACGTCGCCAAAAGAAGTCCTTTACTTGTAGGAAGAAACTGGTTTATAAGTTAATCTTGGTTGACCACTGAGCATTTTTTCAATCAAACAATGAGATAAAAAAAAAAAACACGTTACTCTCACATTCATCGTATTTCATCATGATCTGATGCCAACGGCGTACCAACGGCGTCCAGCAGCTGTAATGGACGCGCCCACTTCATGTATTCTCGCCTCAGTGACCAGCATGACTTTGCAACCGCTGCCTCCCTTAGCCCATCCTTGGATGATCAATCCACATACCAAGTACCAAGTAAATAGATGTAAATAGCGAGCATGTTTAGTCTAAGCCCCAAAGTTCTCAAACAAGCAGTTTGCAACTTGTAACTGGCAACAACCTAGAACAACTTGCAACAACTTGTAACCATGTTTGCCTGCAAGTTGCTATCCTATGCTATCAGGATCATCCAAGTGCCATCTCCATCCCCGTGGCTAACAGGTGGCCCCATGGACCAGTCGCTTATCTCCGGCTCGTTGCAGCGCTGAGGCGCTGGGAGCCAAGCTATGGTGCAGCAGGAGGTAGAGGAAATCGGCGCCGGGATAGGGTGGGACTAAGACCTGAGTCCGCCACAGGCTCCAAAAACGGGTGCGGTGAAGGCTTGGGATATCGCCTGAGGAGAAATACTAGCACCACCCTATCCCAGCTGATTGGTTGAATTATTCACCAGCAATTAGGGTTTCACATGGGTTCACCACCTACAAGTAACACGGTAGCAATCAGCTGCAGTGAGGGGCCACTACCATCTTCTACCTATAGAGATACCCTGAATATCCTTTAACTTGGCTGGCAAATAGATACAAAATGATACAAATAGAGTTGGAATATGTTAGAAACTTAGAAACAAATCTCATTTGGAATATTCCACATTTCACACATATAGAATCTAATGTTAACATTTTTTTGTTAGAATCTTCCACAAATAGAGTTGGAGAGTTGGAATCACCACCCAACTGACATGGCACGGTTTTCTTGGCCATCACCAAAGCCGTCCTCAGGGCAGCGGCTCCAATGGAGGGGTGAACCTTCACCACCGAAGCATCTCGGAGGGCTGGAAGCTGCAGCAAATGTCCACCTTGCTGGTGTGCAGAACTCTGTTTGGACACCTGATATCACCTGATCTATGACACAAATGTCTGATTTTCGGGGGTGAAATTCTTGTAAATTCTTGTGAAACATGAATCCAAATGGCAACTTCTTTCAAGATCTAAATTGGGGCATAGCATTACATGGTCAAGAAAGAGGTCAAACTGCAACAACTGGCCATGGCAATGACAGCAGCCCCACTCTTCGCTACTAAGGTTGGGGCATGCCACAGCAGAACCTGCACAGTTGGGAATGCGACCATGACAAGGTCGTGGGAAAAGAACTGCATCGTTCTCCTCCAAAGCGTCCCACACCTAAGATCTGAAAGTGGTCTGGCCTGTAGGCTATACATATTAATGATGTTTAAAATGAATGTGGATATAAAATGATATAACATGATATAAAATGATATAACCATTTTGAAACGAATCAAGAACCTGCGCTGCACAATTTCTGACTAGCGTGGATCTATGTAGCAATTGCGTGTGCATGACATGTCAAGCCCCCATGGCATGGCACCATGACCCCGCAAGTCCGTTGTTTCTTGCTGCCGATGTTTGTTGGATCATCCTGGTGAATCCGGGGTTCCCCTGGGGGTTCCCCTTATGGGTCAAGGTACTTTCTTTCTCAAGGCAGCTTTCCTGGAACTCTGCTTCTCTGCCATGGAGGCTCCGCCATAATCAAACGCGCCATGGGACACCATGGGACACCATGGGCCACAAGAAAGCGATGGACGCCACAGGTTTGTGCATCTACCTGTAAATCGTGACCATGATGGTACAAATTTCTGCATTCTGCCAACCCCTTTGTTCAATTGATCAAAGTGCTTCCAACTTCTGCCCACCATGTAGACAATCGTAGACATCTCTTGACAGTATACGGCAGCAGCCAGAGAAGTCATGCAACCTTTTACAATTTTCACAGAATAAGAATGGTCAGAATGGTCCTGTCATGCTGCTGTGCCGATGACAAGGACAGCCCGACGCCGAGCGCCACCAAGGCTGGCACAGCCATCTCGAGCACTTCATTGAGAGCCTGGGCCGGCCAGGGGCACGGTGGTGTCTGAGCATGCAAACACTTCAACCATCTTCAGGTTCAGCAACCAAGCAAGAAAAAATATGCCATCCTCAGCCATACAAAACACAGGAGGTGATGTCAATTTATTCAAACGCCAGCTATCCCAATAGAGATGTGTAGGGAAATTCTCAAAAGTATCTAGCTACATAAGTCTGGAGCATCGAGGGTCCCTAGGGCTTCAATGATGCGGATGTGATCTTGATGTTACCTGATGTTTACCCATTTTAGGGACTACCTGAAGCATATTGTCTCCAAAGTCCTGTTCCTTGCGTCCCTATCTTTGCTGCTTATAGCCTCCTTATTCGTGTTCCTTCCCTACCATGATACAGTTGAGTTACACCCTCCATATGTTTCTCCAATAATCTCCAAGAACATTTAGTATTGTTAGATCCCCATCCTTGTTGGTTCAAGGTTTCTGACAGATTTTATGGCTTTGTCTGAACGTAGGAAAAATATCATGCTATCCCTAAATCCATTCATTGGTTAATTATCATTATTCCTATTGAAGTGATATACCCCATCTTTAGACACACCCAAATCATAATGCAGTTGATGAATTATAGCATGGTATATACCCATGATATCCCTATTAAGTCCCATTAAATCCATATGGTTGATGGTTAAACCATGTTAAATCATGTTAAATCCCCATTGGTTTTGGATAGATTTACACCAAACAAGCCATCCCATCTCGGTCCCCATCTCCCATCTCCCCCAACAGGGACCTCGATGAGCTGCAACCGCTTCTCCAGGTGTCTGGACAACGCGATGGCCAGTTGAAGCTCGGCCTGCTGGATCTGGGGATATTCCGACGGGGCCGACCAAAATTGCCTTGGGAAAATTGACATGATACAAGGATAGCAGGATAGCGTGCAAGGTATTTGGCATTAGCCACTTTCATGATCTTCCAGCATCTAAACTCGAACGTATCGGAAAGGATTCAAAAAATGTTTGTTGTTTTAATACCATTAACATCCATTAATTATCATTCAATTATATATTCAATAAATTCACACGATTTCACACCATTAAAACTACTCTACAGAGTCTCTTGGCCAGTCTTAGCCACTGCCACCAACATGGTACATCGAAACGGGCCTCGACACAGCGTTGTTCCGCTTCCAAGCGCATGAGCCTTTCAGCCTGGCAGGACTGGAACCCCCGAATCAGCCTGACAAACGCCTGATAATGCATCTGTTAATGATCATTATAATATATTATAATAATATTTAATAATCATCATCTTGCATCCCCAGATTGTTTTGCACCAACCCACCTTGCGACTTCACTGTGACTTCATGCTACCTCCGTTTCGCCATTGATTTCTGGAGGCGTGGTGCTGCCCTCTTCTCCGGGTGGTGCCTGAGATTTTGCCCAGCGGTACTGGCATCATGTTGGCACACATGACTTCTTCTGTCACACCTTGCATATTGTTCTATCTATTGATGGCAGTGATGGCATCGAGACATTCACTTTGCACATCATCGGTTTCTGCAGTTTCAGAGTGGATTGAAAAAATGGCCGGAATAATGATTACTCCGATATATTTGGATCTTTCAAGATTTGCACAATGGATGATCTCTACCATGTTTCCATCAATTTACCGCCACAACGTTGGCCAAATCGGTCCAAATCCAAGTCGCTGGGGGTGGCGGTGGCGCGTCGCTATCCGCAATGACCTGACGGTTTTCAAGTTGGATAGCTATGCCGGAGATTCCACATGGAACCCCAGAAAATTCCACAAATGAACACATTTGAATTTCAAAGAACATCAATCGGGGATAAATCACGGATAGTTGACTTCCAATTCCTGTCGGATTTCAGGGGAGCCGTACTACGGCTTACTGAGGGTGAATGAATAGTACTCGCTGGGTAGCGCTGAGATCATGGTGATGTGGCTGACGAACGGCTGTAGCCTGGAAGCAGGAACCCTGATAGACCACAAATGCATTGTGCAAGAAATGAAATTTTCCGAAGACCGTTGTTCGAAAAAGTGGAAAAGGACAAAGTCAATACCAAAAAAAAACATATCCCAAGCTCTAAAAATAACTTAACTAAAAAACGTACAAAATCTCCAAATCACATCTTCGAAGATCTCCAAAATCTGCCCCAAACAAAGGCCGCGACGCTTCTCTGGAGAGTTCAGAGTTACGTTTCAGCATCATGGCCTGGCGAACCATGCAGCCGACTTCTATAGAAGCGACGCGATGAAATTGGAGTGGAATGTGGTATAATAAAGAACAATGGCCCCGGCATGCCCCGGCACATTATGAGCATGGCAAGCCATGCCTACAAGGGGATGACATGGTGACATGGATTCCCAGCACTTGGAACATGTATGGAAGGGTACGGGACATGATGCTGAAGGTCACTGGTCCCTCATGAGGATTGAGATTCAGTAGCTGCACCGAGCTGCACATTGCTGGGGGCGATTCCGCTTTGGGAATGGTCTGGCACCCACTGCCAGCCGGACCATCGCTGGCATCGCCATTGCAGCCTCATTGGTGCCTCCGATGCCTCGGCCTTGGCTGCGTAAAGCAGCTTCTTTGGCAGCTCGCCGTCTGCGGTAGGTCCTCTGTGGAGCCTTGCTATCCAATTCTTGCTGTTCTTACATGTTCTTACTGTTCTTCGATCAGGTCCCCTGAAGCTGTGCCAGAATTGCCGCCACCGCTGCTATCGCTTGCGCAGTTAATGGCTAGAGGACCTCCTAGCTTTTGCTTGAGCACAATTCACGGCGACTATGACTATTTTGGTTTGATGCACCATATTCCAAATAGTTAAATTACTTTACTTCGTGTGATCCCCACCATGACATTTATACATTTTGTTACTGGCAAATCTTCTGGCATTCTATCTGGCATTTTATCTGGCATTCTATCTGGCATACCTTCTGGCATTCTATCTGGCATATCTTCTGGCATTCTATCTGGCATATCTTCTGGCATTCTACCTGGCATATCTTCTGGCCTATCTTCTGGCATTCTATCTGGCATTCTATCTGGCATATCTTCTGGCATTTTATCTGGCACATCTTCTGGCATTCTATCTGGCATATCTTCTGACATCTTATCTGGCATTCTCTCTGGCATACCTTCTGGCATTCTATCTGGCATATCTTCTGGCATTCTATCTGGCATATCTTCTGGCATTCTATCTGGCAAATCTTCTGGCGTTCTCTCTGGCATACCTTCTGGCATTCTATCTGGCATATCTTCTAACATATTATCTGGCATATCTTCTGGCATTTTATCTGGCATACCTCATGGCATTTTATCTGGCGTATCTTCTGGCATTCTATCTGACATTCTATCTGGCATATCTTCCGGCATTCTATCTGGCCGTTGAGGTCCAGCGGTGCACACTGAGCTGGGCAGGTCCCAGGTTGAGGTCCAGCGGTGCACACAGAGCTGGGAAGGTCCCAGGTTGAGGTCCAGCGGTGCACACTGAGCTCGGACGTTGGCGAAGAGCTTGGCGAAGAGTTGGCAAGGCAACAGTGGACGTGGAAGTGGAAGAGGAGGGGGAGGAGGCGGACGAGGAGGCGGAGGAGGACGAGGAGGAGGAAGAGGAGAGCTAGTCGAGGAGGAGGAGGAGGAGAAGAACAACTCTGATAAAATCTAACAACCCTCACCTGGCAGGTGGGGAAAAACAAGAACTCACCGCAGGCCTTGAAAACCAGAAAGTCCTCCACACCTTAGCAGCAGGAAAGCTGAGAAATATTTTGTAGGCTTGGACAGGCGAGCGGTCCAATGGACAGGCTGGATAATCTCAAAATCTCACATCATGACTCCATTGAAGTAACTTGATCCAAAATCTGTTGCATCCCAGTACATCTTTACAGCTCTCATTAGCATGCCACTTCTTGGTGATGGATTGTATATTTTATATAAACTCAGATTTGCAAGCCTGAAACAGTTGAGTATATAATGATATCATAAATCTTGCCAAAATGATTTGCTACCAACATCATATCTATATATATACCATTATATATATATATATACCTGTGTTAATATGAATGGACTTACTTGAATAGTTCAGCAAAACAGAGAAATGTCGACAAAAAATACTGACATCATTTACATTCATTTACAGTGATTTCAACACATACCCTTCACATAGCTGATGTCCTTCGTCTTCGAGGTGGCACCAAAGCTGAGAGACTGGCTAATCAACTGCTCAACCAAACTCCGGTGGAGCTCATTGCTGCCCTGCAGGTGCTCAATGCGAAAGCAGGTCGAAATGAGGAGACCCTAAGATGAGGATGTCGAAAGCATGGAAGGATAATGGCGATAACCATATATAACCATAAGGACATCTAAGAACGACAACGACGATACTTAAGGAAAATACTTCCGAATGATGATACACTGCTGGCTACACGACGCATTTCCACATGGGGAGTTGAAGGTGAACAAATCTGAGAGCCCTGACCGACATGCCATACTCGCAGAAGCTGGTAAACCTCAGAACGGCCCCCCCAGTGGAACCGCCCAACAACTCCAGGTGATCGCCCAGGAATCCGCACTCGTCGGTAGTAATGTCTAACTCCACCAAGTGAGCCTGAACGAATGGCAGGGAGGGGATCCCTGCAGCCAATTCCAGGAGCCAAATCTGACAATGACACATTAATTCGGCACAGATTGGGATAATCATCAGTTCAGGATTGAAACCAACCAGGTATGAATGAATGGGTACCAACCCATATCCATCTCAATCCTCTACTGACCATTTCAATATCATATATGCATATGATATGGATTAACAGTGATTAACGGGATGCTCATTATAAAATCATATCTAATTATTAACCATTATTAACCGGTGATGTTCCAATCATCCAATCATCCAATCAAAACGCAACACAACTTCCCCTCAGGACTGGACTGCCAGGAGGTCTTCAACCTACCCGCTGCTGCAAGAAACCCTTCCCAAATCTGTTCAATAAACCATACAGAATCATAAAGAGCTAATAAGGTTTGTAATCATTGTTTCGAAATGTTTTGAAGCTCTTGTGGAGCACCACTTTTTGTATTTTTTTCGAGCCGGGCATCTTGAGCGTAGCAAAACATACCAATATGATCAATATATATATATATTATATTATATGTGAGTTTTGTAACTTGCTGCTGCCGCATACACCTTCGATTGTTTCCTGTCAGGGGAAAGCACATTCATCATGTGCCTTTTGACTCGTGGCTCAAGGCCAATTTCAGCGAGATAGGGGAAAAATCTCGAGTGCCGCCATAGGATTGGTTGGAAGGTGAAGAGTGGACTCTTTTGGGATTTGGTTGGATAGATATACATTTTTGGTGTTGTGGACAACACTGTTGGAACGACTTTATTTTGGTTGAACATCAACTACTTTCTGGTGATCAAGGAGGACCTTGAATCATTCAGGTGGGAACCGTTATCAGTGGCGTTGCGATCTACGATCCAACGACACTGGTAGCGGAGCCTAGAGGCTCGTGCTACTTGCACGCAAAGCCAGCCCGCTAGTTTGGTGGCTTCTGGATTGTGAGCAATGCCTCCTAAAGAGTCTGCCTCAACTGATGGGAACGGTGACTCCCAGCAGGGTTCCAATTTCTGGAATTTGCTGCCCAGTTTTGACCCGAGTGAAGATGACATACGAGAGTTTTCACAGAAAGCCAAGTTCATCCACGGTGTCATGCCCGAGAAGGACAAGCCCAACTTAGCTCCCAGGTTAGCTATGTTGTGTAAAGGGACAGCTTGGTCCCAGGTGCGTCAGTTAGATCCGAAGAAGCTCACCAAGGCCGACTCATGTGTTGAATGCTTGTTGGCCGCTTTGTCAGCTTGGGAAGAAACATCAGAGATGAAAACGTATGAACTGTTTGAACGAGCACTCTACAAGGTAGTACAGAAGTCTGATGAGGCCTCCCATAGTTTCTCACTTCGCCTTCAAGCTGCATTCAATGAGATAGGTGATGATGTCACTGTCAAACAAATGCAAGCCTTCGTGATGTTGTGACAGTCAGGTTTGTCGTCTGAAGACAAAAAGAAAATCCTGACGATGACAGGTGGTAAGCTGGATCTGACCGCAGTTGACCAAGCCATGAGGTCGTTGTCCACACGTGTGTTGATGGGCCCTGGTGAAACCAAGAAAAAGATTTACCCAATCAATTTCACAGAGGTGGAAGAGCCACCTGCCCAATCTGATGAAAGCCTTCCGGTTCAGAGCACTTACGTTGCATACCATGAGGAAGAGGATGTTTTGACAACCGAGCATCTGGAATACCTAGTGTCTCAGGGAGATGAGGATGCCAACGTAGTGCAACAGTTTGAGCGTGATTTCGAAGAGATGCTGCAAGAGATTCCTGATATGCAACAAGCAATGGTCTCATACAATGAGGCTAGGCAGAGGATCAATGATCGCCGTCGTAGCCGAGGGTTTTGGCCCACTGGAAAAGGAAAAGGGAAAGGTGGGTTCAAAGATGGATCCCGGCCATACCGCAAAGGTGGTGGAAAGTCTGGAAAAGAAGAGTTGCTGGCTCGCATTGCGAAAACGCATTGCAAGCTTTGCGGTGCCCTTGGGCATTGGCGTGCAGAATGCCCTTAGAGGAAAGAAACCCGTGAGTCAGCCAACGTTGCCTTCTCCATGCCATCCGAAGCATCCGATGCCGAAGAGGAGACCAACCAAGTGGTCTTTGAAGCGTTGAGTGAACAGGAGTGCATCCGTTGTGAAACCTGTTTCGTTGCCTCATGCCACCGAAATTCAGTTTTGTGCAAACAAAATGTGGAAGACGTGAAAGCCTTTTGGGGTAAGAAACTGGATAAGCCGGGGTATAAGCGGGGTAATAAAGGTGTTATTGGGTATAATGGGGTAACAAAGAATTGTGGTCCGGAGAATGTTCTGAAACCAGAAGTGGTGACCACAGCACTCCACACCCATGCCGCCAGGAAGATGCATCCGAGACCAACCAATAGAGCCGATGGTTTTGTCAGCCAGAATCACTCAGATGCCATGCAAAGTCAAGGAATGGCCATACTGGATACAGGTGCCAGTCGCAGTGTGATCGGACAAGACCATGTCCCCGCGATGCTCCAAAAACTGCCAGCCAGTGTCCGTGACCAAGTCGTGGAAAAGCCCAGTAGAGTAGGATTCCGTTTTGGAAATAACCAAGTTGCATATAGCTACAAACAGCTGCGCATACCATTGGTCCACAAGAGAATCCGAATCTGGTTGCTAATTGAAGTAGTGCCGAAGGCCACACCTTTCCTGCTGTCTATTGAGACCATGAAGAGTTTAGGAGCCATGATAGACCTAGGACAAAATACATGTTTCCTCAAGACACTGCAAAGGTCACTGTATTTGAAAGAAAACAAGAATGGGTTGTTCATGATTGACATGTCCGATCTTTGTCAACCTGATGTCAAGTCTAATGCAGCAGCTTTTGTCGCATCAAGTGTCTGTGTCCCGCCTCCAGGTCTGGAAAGTGAGATTCCTGTCAGTCATGCCGACACGCCAGGAAGTGCTCGATGCTCTTCGCACAGTGGCAGAGGAAGTGTTAGCCAGTCTGAAGCTCCTGATGACCATTGTGTTCACCATGACCAGTGCGATCGACCCGAACCAGGAAGCCACGGAGCTCCAGATGAATCCGGTGAATCAGCTGATTCACGAAGTGGCCCAACAACGTCGGACAATCGATCAGTTGGGGAATCTGATTCAAGCTCAGTTCCAACAGAAGCCACCCACATGTCCAGGACCTACCGTGAGCCCGGTGAACCATGTTCCAGGATCAGAAGATTTCGAATGGGAAGCCGAGATGGTGCCATCACAAGGCCAAGCTGCATCAACGGTGCCAAATTCTTCCCAATCGATGTCTGCTGTGATGATGAATGTCAGAGTTCCCAACAATCAGCCTCCTCCAATGCCAGTGAGACAGCCCATGCCGCATGTGTCAGTGACACCAAGTGCCCGACCACCAGCTGCAATGATGGGAAGCCCAGGATCGTCCTACGCAGCTTCCGAGATTGGAAGCCAATTGATGGTGACTCAAGCATCCCTCGAAAGCTGGGGAAACAAGATCGTGGGCTTTGGCAAAAAGCACCTGAGGTCTCGTTACGCCCATGTGTACGAGTCCGACCCAGGTTACATCAAGTGGATCTTGGCCAGAGCCGACAACCTTTCCGAGGATGTGGCGGATTTCGCAAGCTATGCCCGAGCTCGCAATCAACTGGAGCAATTGGCCAACAACCCGGTTCCATGAGAGGCATTTGGGAGGGATTTCAAGATTCTAGGATGTCACATAAATCTAGTTTTAAAGAAAGACAATTGTGGACTGAGATGCAACAGTCAGAATGTGGAAAGAGCTTTCACAAGTCAGAACAGTTGGACATCCTAGAAGTGTATGCGTTCCCTAACAGCATGTTGACCACTGTGGCACAAGAACATGGTTTGCGAGCAAGGAGGTTTACATATGAAGATGGGGATTTATCGACATCTACTGGAAGAAGAGCTTTGTTTCACATCATCAAAACACAGAGACCAAAACATATTTGGCTTGCCCCGGAATGTGGTCCTTGGTCTGCCTGGAACCGCTTTAATTCCATGCGAAGCCTCTCTAGTTATGAACAAGTCAGGCACCAACAGCGTCTTGCCAAAGAACACTTGGTATTGTGTAATGTGGTAGCTCAGATTCAGCATGATGAGGGTCGACACACCCATCTCGAAAGCCCCAAAACCTCCGGCGTTTGGAAGCAGCAGGGGATACAGCCGTTTTTGAAGCGTTCCATTCCGGCCCAGCTGGACCAATGTGCTTTTGGCCTGAGACATCCAAATGAAAATCAGTTGATGAGAAAATCCACTCGCATACAAACCACCTCAGTTGAAATGTTTTCTGTTTTGGACTGCCGTGTTTGCAATCGTGAACATAGTCATAGTACCATAGCAGGAAGATGTCAGTGGAAGGGCCATAGCATTTCCGTGTCCAGGTTTGCTGCTTTCTATCCACGCAAGCTTGCGCTGACCATTGTCCGTGGAATCATGCAAACATCCCAAGGCCCCTATGAGGCGCCAATTTGCCATGTAGATGAAATAGAGCCGCCTGCAAAAAGGGCACGTACCAACTCTGGTGAAGCCTCTGCACCACACGACACCACGAACGTGTGGAAACCAATGTTTGAATTTCTACAGAGAAAACTTCCTAAATCAGGTGTTGTCACTTGGGAAGACCCGCAAGATGAAGTCTTCCAGGAAATTCAGAAACTGTTTCCACATGAGAACATTGGTGCAGTCAAAGCAGGAAAAGGCCTAGATCGTCTTTTGTTGGGCGAAGAGGCTTGGAGAGATCAGCTGCCGAAAAGACATAGCATAGTACAGAAAAGATTCACTCATGAAATAATTGACCTAGGACTTGAAGTTTGGAGTGAATTAACTCGGAAAAGGGCTTGTCGAAAAGAGGTGCCAAGCCATATCATGTTGTGTTTGTTCTCCAGAGATGACAGCCGACCTGATACACCTATAATGCCAGCAGCCGATCCCGCCAATAGATCAATTGAGACAAAAGCCGCTGAATCAATAGCCAGTCCACCAGTGCAGCTAGATGTGCCCAGCTGGACTCCTTTAAGTGCCACTGTTTCAGGCCCAAATTTCCTGAAACTTACTCGAGAGCAACAGTCCATGTTGCGCAAGATTCATAATAATCTAGGACACCCCACAGCCGAAAGACTGGCCCGACATCTAAAGGAATCCAAAGCACATGAACACCTGGTGGAAGGTGCTGCCGACTTTGTGTGTCCGTCATGCGCTGAGAGACACCCACCACAAAAGACTACTCCCGGCCAACTCAAAGACCCGAAGGATTTTAATGAAAGAATTCTTTTGGACGGTTTTGACTGGTGTAGTAAAAGGGGTATTCAAATCTATGTGTTCCATATCCTAGATGATGCTACCCGTTTCCATTTAGGTCAAAGGATAACCCGGGATACCCAAGCCTCCATCCGTACAACGAAACAGATGTGGATTCAATGGGCAGGATCCCCACAGGAAATACTACATGATCAAGGTGGAGAGTTTGTATCCCAGCCATGGAAAGATTTTTTGCAAGCCCACAGCATTCAGCCAGTGCTCACTGCCGCTCCGTGGCAACGTGGTCGTATCGAGAGGCATGGAGGTGTGATCAAGGAAATGCTTGAAAGAATGGACCATGCACAGAACTTCAACAGTCTAGCTGAAATAGATGAGGCTCTTAACCAGTGTTTCCGGGCGAAAAATTCTATGATAGTGAATAACGGATATAGTCCAGAACAAGCTGTACTAGGTAAGGCCTCTAAACTTCCTGGGTCACTACTCTCAGACGAAGAATCAACTGCTCATCACATGTGCCTTTCACCCGACCCAGCATCCGAGCAGTTTAAGTGAAGTCTTGAATTGCGGACAGCCGCAAGAGCAGCTTTCTGGCATGCTGACAATCATGCTGCAATTCGCAGAGCAGCCCTTCATAGGTCACGAGGTGTGATACATGAATGGCTGTGTGGACAGTTGTGCATGTTTTGGGATAAACGAAAAGCCCCGAACATATTGGAGAAAGGACGATGGTGTGGTCCAGCACAGGTAGTTTGCCAGGAATCAAGAACAATCATATGGATCACTCACATGAATCGGTTGTTAAGATGTGCGCATGAAAATCTCAGACCAGTTTCCATGCGTGAATTTCAAAGACACTCCACTTTTACAACTTCAAATACCCAAGAAGAATTGAAACAAATGGCACAACGTTTACAGACACAGTTGAAAGAAAAGAGTGGCATGTTTCAATACTCCGATTTATCTGAGGTGAATCCTCCAACAGAAGAAGAGGCAAACGATGGCAATAGCGAACTTTCGACCTCTCGACAACCAGAGGAAGAACCAATCAGACGCCAACGAGGTGAGATCGAAATTCCTGACGAAACCATGCACGACCCTGCGGTCGAAACGCCTGTTCCAGACTCCCCGTTTTCTTCCAATAGTGAAGAAAGCCCTGAATCAATGGTTCCAAGCCCGAGCCTGGCACAATCTGCTCCTGACACTGCATCATTGGACACAGATCAGTCGGAAAATGAAACTCCGAGTAACATGGAACCTGTGTATAGTATAATGCTGTTATCATCGAGAAGAATACCGAGACGACAGACTGTGTTCATGACGATGGCGCTCTTTGGTCAATGCCCGACCCTTGCGAAGCAGCGTGTGTGTCTTTTGAGTTTGAAATGCCAAAACAACAATTCCATAAGTTCCTCAAATCTCCCAAAGAGCACCTGCCAGAGGTCAATGCCGCAGCCCGCAAGTTTGGGAAAGAACTTGTTTACAGTGACTTGACACCCCAAGAGAGAGAGAGGTTCAAGCAAGCCAAGTTGAAGGAATTGAATTGTTGGTTGGATACTCAAACGGTAAGAACCATAGTTCGGGATAAAATTCACCCCTCCAGAGTTTTAGCCTCTAGATGGATACTGACTTGGAAGGAAGATGAAAATAGCGAAGATGGAAAGAAACCAAAAGCACGACTTGTGGTAAAAGGTTTTCAGGACCCCGACATTGGGGAATTAGCATCCGATAGTCCCACTCTCACCCGAGATGGTAGGATGTTATTACTCCAGACAGCTGCCAGCCACAAATGGTGTATTGAAAGCTTTGATATCACTACTGCCTTTCTACGAGGGAAATCCGATGATCGTCAACTAGCAATGGAACCCCCAAAGGAGTTGAGAGAACTGCTTGGAATGGAAAAACATCAGATCTGCCTACTAGAAGGAAATGCTTATGGACGGGTAGATGCCCCTTTGTTATTCTATCGCGAATTTCGGAAATGCTTAGAAGAAGTAGGTTTCACCGCACATCCCTTGGACAATTGTTTGTACTTGTTAAGAGACCCCAAAGATCCAAAGATCCTCAATGGGATAGTGGGTACTCATGTGGATGACGGTTTGGGGGCAGGTAACCACTAATTTAGCTATGCCCTACAACAACTTCAGAAAAAGCTTCCTTTCGGCTCACATGAAAAACGCAAATTCCGTTTTACAGGACTTGAAATAGAACAGTTGCCGGATTTTTCTATCAAAGTTAGCCAAGAAAAATATGTCCAAAGAATAACTCCCATAGACATCCCTAAACTCCGTAGAGCAGAAGTTGATAGCCCTATCACTCCACAGGAGTTAAATAAACTAAGGGGGATTTGCGGAAGCCTACAATACGCCGCAGTGCATTCCCGGCCCGATGTGGCCGCAAAAGTTGCGCACCTGCAGAAGGGTATTACCAAGGCGACCGTGCAAACTCTGCTAGATGCAAATCGAGTACTCAAAGAAACCCAAGAGTTTGCCAACACCTCTGTGATCGTACGTCCGATCCCCATGACGGAGCTCTGTTTCGCAAGCTTTGGTGATGCAAGCTTCGCTTCGGCCAAACAGATGTCAGCCCAGCAAGGGATTTTTATCATGGCATGCACACGGAAACTAGCAAACAATGAGACGACAGACTTCTCTCCAGTTGCATGGCATACCAAACAGATTGGTAGGGTGGTTCGTTCTACTTTGAGTGCCGAAGCATACGCTATGTCCAGTTCACTAGATAAGTTAACGTGGATTAGATGCATGTGGGGTTACATAAAGGATCCCTCTTTTGCTTGGCATAAACCTGAAAAGTCTCTTTGTGTAGAACCACCAGGGTTAATGATCACTGATTGTAAATCCTTATATGACTTAGTCACGAAGACTGCAGTGCCAAATTGCCAGGAGTGGCGTACCACCATAGAAGTCATGTTGCTGAAGGAACAATCAGCTAACCATACCCAATGCCGCTGGATCAGCACTGCTATCATGTTGGCAGACTGCCTAACGAAGTCCATGGACTCAACTTTCTTACGCACCGTTTTGCAGTTGGGAAGATTCAGAATCTACGATGAAGAAATGACCCTCAAACAGAACTCGAATCGAAAATATGGTGTCACATGGGTGAAACAATCGAACATAGAAAAGAGACCAGTGTGAGTTTTGTAACTTGCTGCTGCCGCATACACCTTCGATTGTTTCCTGTCAGGGGAAAGCACATTCATCATGTGCCTTTTGACTCGTGGCTCAAGGCCAATTTCAGCGAGATAGGGGAAAAATCTCGAGTGCCGCCATAGGATTGGTTGGAAGGTGAAGAGTGGACTCTTTTGGGATTTGGTTGGATAGATATACATTTTTGGTGTTGTGGACAACACTGTTGGAACGACTTTACTCTGGTTGAACATCAACTACTTTCTGGTGATCAAGGAGGACCTTGAATCATTCAGGTGGGAACCGTTATCAGTGGCGTTGCGATCTACGATCCAACGACAATTATATATATATATATTATATTCACACTTACCGACTCCAGCCCAGAATAGGCCACGATTGCTTTGTTGTCCATGACCGCAACGCCACTGAGGCAGCGGCCAGCTGCTTGAAAGAATTGTGAACCAAAGTGTGTTCCAACCTCAAGCAGTGTCCAACCACCCAGGGCTGTAAATCCGGGACCTCATTTGGCAAGTTCTTAAACTGGAGGATCCCCAAAACCATGAGTTTCAATGCTAAAAATGGTCTATGTTTTGGATGATTGGGAGGTACCCCCATTTCTGGAAACCTCCCTTTAATGCCCTAAAATCTGGAAAATGATGAAACATGTGGAAAAACTTAAATCATATGCAGTCTGCGCCCGCATCAATCAGCTCATGACTTTCCCTGTCATGCTCCGCTCTCATCACAATGGATTCAAATAGATGGATCATGATGGATCTATGGAGTGCACAACTGTTCCGCCACTACAGAAAAGAAGGACATATAAAAAATACATAAATGATTGTAAGTGAAGGTCCGACATTACACATGCAGAACGTCGTCACGGATTCGGATTGAAGTGGCAATGACAAAGATGATATCAAATATCATATTCATTAATTGGATGTTCTTGCTCTACCTGACCACATACAAGTACCTCTGGAGATGCCTTATTTAAAAAAAAAACTGGTCCAAGGTCTGCCCGCAGCAATGACCAAGGCTCCGTGCTTGTTTTCCTGGACTGTCAGGTGTTCAGCCGGAGCAGAATCTGTCCACATTCCAAAACATCCCAAACATTCACCAACCCAAGGCTTCAAACCATTCTTGGTCATTAAATCATATTAAATCTATAATTCATCCATATTCATCCAATTCAACCCCATTCAGCTATCCACTTTTAGGGAGCCAGGTTCGACCCAGGCGGCCCCAAGAAGTCCTCCTGGTCTTCAAAGATTAAACAGTTCTGGTCCACGAACTGCGAGATTGGGATGATCCACGTGGGTGACCTTAAGGGGCCGATAAAAACCCAAACGACGCCTTCGCCAACGGCGAAGGCGTTCAACAGGGCCAGTTCTTGAGGGAGGACCTATGTACAGTACCCTCTGGTAAACTAACATAACTATGGAAAATCACCATTTTTAATGGGAAAAACCACTATAAATGGCCATTTTCAATAGCTGTGTTAAATTACCAGAGGGTAGTTGGCCCAAATGATTTGAAATCTGGCTTGAGCAGCGGAATCAACCAAACAAATTCACTTGCATTTTAGGGTAAGGCTACCATAAAAACACAAAAAGGAACCAATGGACCAAGGGGAAAGCACAATAAAAGGGGCCACCCCCAATCAAACCATTTGGGGACAACATACCCAGAACCGGGTGCATTTGATCACGGTCCTATTTCTGGGTCCTGATTTCTGAGTGCCGGGAGGCATCATGACAAACTATTAGTGGCTAGCACTTCAAAGGGAAAAAAAAACATCCTTTAAAAAACATGTCACATCATGTCGCATTCCACACTGACGGATTGCAAACATCTTTTCCCGGCCCAAGTTTGACCACCACAGTGAGGTGGCACAACACACTGCGCTTGCGTTTGTGCTGGCGCATGTCTAACTTGCGAAGCTAGAAAGTCGTGTTGGAATGAGCACAACACTTCCGATGTTGATCAACTTGGAAGAAAGAAACATTAGAAAAAAATAAACATAAAACAAGTTGCAGTAATACAACATAGAAAAAACAGATTGGAGTATTCTGGCGACCTCTTTTTGCAGGGTTAGCTCTGTCATGGTTTCAAAATGTTTCAAACAGTGCTGAGGGAGCCATCAGTGATCCATCAGGATGCCGCTTGTGAAGCCTCGAGCCAATTTCGGAAAAATGGGGTGTACAAGGATGACAAGGGAAAAACTATGAATAACTTAATAACTGGTTTCAGGGTCATAAGTTTAAATGAATCATACCAAAAAAAAACAAGGAAGGACTGGGAAAAAGCACTGCTGCGTCGGCTGCCTCCTGAAGTGCCTGTCGAAGCTGGATAAGTTCAGCTTCACGCTTTTGTACCTGACACGCAGCTCTTCAAAACAAACCGACTGCAGTGGAGAAGGCCAAGTTTGCCAATGTCTTCCACATGTGATTAGATGTATGTTTTCATAATGATGCGGATAATACCCGTAGTACCGCACAAGGCGGTGGCGGAAGTTTCAGAATAGGAAACCTATAGGAGACGTTGGTTGTTGTGAATCACGGATGGCAGAGCGAATCCACTGATTGACCGAAAGGTGGTTGGAGTTGTGTTTGCTGGAATGGTTGCAATGGTTGCAATGGTTGCAGTGGTCACCTCACCCACAACTGCTGGATGTAGTGTGATGTACTGCAACTGTAGTTGTAGTTGTAGCGTAGTGGAGTTGTAGTTGTGGTGTAATGTAATTAGTGTAGTGAAGTTGCAGTCATATAGTTGTAGATGTAGTTGTTTTGTAGTTGTAGTTGTAGTTGTTGTAGTTGTAGTTGTTGTTGTAGTTGTAGCTGTAGTTGTTGTGTGGTTGTAGTTGTTGTGTTGTGTAGTGTAGTGTAGTGTAGTGTAGTGTAGTGTAGTGGTAGTGGTAGTGGTAGTGGTAGTGGTAGTTGTAGTTGTAGTTGTAGTAGTACTAGTAGTACTAGTAGTACTAGTAGTACCAGTAGTACTAGTAGTACTAGTAGTAGTAGTAGTAGTAGTAGTAGTAGTACTAGTAGTACTAGTAGTACTAGTAGTACTAGTAGTACTAGTAGTACTAGTAGTACTAGTAGTACTAGTAGTAGTAGTAGTAGTAGTAGTTGTTGTTGTTGTTGTTGTTGTAGCTGTAGTTGTTGTAGTTGTAGTTCTAGTTCTAGTTCTAGTTCTAGTTGTAGTTGTTGTGTAGTTGTAGTTGTAGTTGTAGTTGTTGTTGTTGTTGTTGCTGTTGTTGTTGTTGTTGCTGTTGTTGTTGTTGTAGTTGTAGTTCTAGTTGTAGTTGTCGTGTAGTTGTAGTTGTTGTAGTTGTAGTTGTTGTGGTTGGTGTTGTTGTTGTTGTGGTTGTGGTTGGTGTTGTTGTTGTTGTTGCTGTTGCTGTTGCAGTTGTCGTCGAAGTTAGGGTAGTTAAGTTACTGAAGTTTGTTAAGTTAGTCAAGTTAGTTAAGTTAATCAATGTCTACTTTTTCGACATCTTCACGTCAAACAAGGCTCAAAACCCTCAGTTTTTTACACTTTTGACTTCGAAATGTGCTTCGCGCCGCAACGGCGTGCACTTTTTCGACACTTTTTCGACATCTCAACTTCCAAAAGTGGTCCGAGACCGCCAGTTTTTAACACTTTTGACTTGGAAATGTGCTTCGCGCCACAACGGCGTGCACTTTTTCGACATCGCAACTTCCAAAAGTGGTCCGAACCTGGTGTGTTTTGTACATTTTGACTTGGAAATGTGCTTCGCGCCACAACGGCGTGCACTTTTTTGACATCTCAACTTCCAACAGTGGTCCGAGAATGGTGTGTTTTGTACATTTTCACTTGGAAATGTGCTTCGCGCCACAACGGCGTGCAATTTTTCATCTCTCCTGTGGCCAGCTGGCTCCGCACCCGCCGCTTTAGCGAGCCTACTTTTCGACCCTCCGGAGCCACAAATCATTGGAAAAACACAGTGTTTCGCGACTTTCCTACCTTTTTGCGCATCTATATCTTCTGTCTTCTTACTCTTTCTCTTCTGATCTTCTCTCTGCTAATCTTCCTCTTCTCTCTGCCTCTGCCCTGCTCTGCTTTTCATCTCTCCATATTGTCGGAAGTTTGACTTCTAAACTTCCTTCGATGACTAATTAAACTTCATATCTATCAGAAATTCAGGATGATCAAACCACCTTTAAAGGTCGTGGAAAACTGGACTCAAAATTTGGTGTTGTTAGCCCATTCATCCCCATTCTCTTCTGTGGTGCCTCTTCAGCCAACTCCAAACACCTGCGGCGATAGAACTGCAGGTCCTGCAAAGGAGGAAAGTGCTCAGACTTGAATAGAACTTGAATAGAGACTGAGGAGGGGTAAGGAAATGCCCAGACAATTCCAGAATATTCCAGATGTTTCAAAGCTTGATTGATTTCAAATCTTTGACGGCTGCCATCCTCCAGCGAAATTGCTGTGGCAATGGGTAAATCAGCCTTTTTAAGGACGAAGCCACATGGATTTTCATTGATCCATATGGGAATCCCCACGGATCACCTCTCTCCTGTGAGTCATGGGTCTCTCGTTCCAGGTTGAAGCCCGGAGATCCCTTAGGCACCACCTCAACGGCAACGGCTTCAGACGCTTCAGGCGGCCGGTCGCCTCCCAGGATCTCTTCCAGCCGATCCAGGGCCGCAGAGGCATCCGCCAGTAGGGAATCCTTCACCTTTGGGGTATGGGTTGGGACCAGTGGGGATCCGTAGGGTTGATGGATGTGTTTTACTGGTTGGGTACCGGTTAATGGATGGTTGTTGATGAAAATGATGAAAGTGAGCTGTCATCATCTTTCATCATCTTTCCTCAAACCATTTTTGCGATGGCTTCAATACACTCATCCCAACAGGTTTGGATTGGATTTGTGCTGGCTCAAGACCTGATGCAAGGACCACAATTGCGGCTGAAGTTGATATTGGATGATATGGGTAGATGTTTGGTGAGGGTAGCAAATAAAAAATATTTAAAACATTATGTAAAACATTGGATTCAGTCATGCTTTGTCTAATTTGGCTTCGGGCCAAATGAGCCCTAAAGCAACGACCCACGTGCCACGTCCTACTGGATGCTCTCCAGAGCTTGCCCCAATTGGCCCCCAAGTGACTGGCACATCCAGTGGGAGTGCAGGGCTGCGATAGGAGCAGCCTGGCGCTTGGGGTGGTGCTTCCGTCACCGCTGACGGCGTTGCTGGTAGGGCTTCCTGCGGTTCACGCTGGAAGAAACTGATGTCCAGGGTGCGGTCGCCATCCTGCATGGCAGCTGGATGGCTGAATTCATGATCCAAAAGAAAAAACCTGTTATAGCGTGTTTTGCATACGCACTATGTAATATAAGAATCAACTAATAATACAGTATATAAAAATCAAATGTACCGAATGTACCGCATTCCACATCATTTCAGGTTCAGTCATGTCTTCTGCGGGGCTGCAATATCTTACAATCCGAACCACCGCATTCCAAGTCCACTTCCCTCGTAAATCCCCCGTTGTAAGTGGACACTGCCAGGTACCACAACAGCCGGCCTCCTCTGCGATGGCATCGTTTCGATGAAAATCAGGTTCCTGATGTCGTCGGTTGTGTGGCAAACAAAGACAGCGACATGTTGACACTCCAGATGCTACAAACATAGTCATACACAATGACGAGTCAAGCACCTCATAGCTAAAAAACACCCCTGCATTAGGTAGATGATCATCTACCATATGTCATGATTTGTGTGTCCCAGCACCTGTTCTGCAAGCTGTTGTCTTTCCCCTGTTTCTCTCAAAATATGTCAATAATCCCTTCCTCCTAATACTAAACGTCCCCCTAATACTAAAAACAGGCATCCATCTCCAATTTCCGAAAATTTCAGTTTGGCCAATTTGACTTTTAATTGATCCCCTTTAAAAAACAATTCAAAAATCAACCTACCATTTGTGGGTTCTCCCCCCTAATACTAAAAACTAATTCATCCCGGGGTGTTTAGTATTAGGGGGAGCTAGTTTTTAGTATTAAGGGTTTTAATTTAGTATTAGGGGTAAGCTTCGAACTGCCATTTTTGGCAATATTTTAATTGCGTTATATAAGGAAATTTAATTGATTTTGAGATCGTTTTTTAGGAAATTTAAGGGTTTGAGATCGGAAAAAATAGTTTTTAGTATTAAGGGTTTTAATTTAGTATTAGGGGTAAGCTTCGAACTGCCATTTTTGGCAATATTTTAATTGCGTTATATAAGGAAATTTAATTGATTTTGAGATCGGAAAAAATAGTTTTTAGTATTAAGGGTTTTAATTTAGTATTAGGGGTAAGCTTCGAACTGCCATTTTTGGCAATATTTTAATTGCGTTATATAAGGAAATTTAATTGATTTTGAGATCGGAAAAAATAGTTTTTAGTATTAAGGGTTTTAATTTAGTATTAGGGGTAAGCTTCGAACTGCCATTTTTGGCAATATTTTAATTGCGTTATATAAGGAAATTTAATTAATTAATTAACATGACTTCGATTTGGTTCCCTAATAATAAATACCCCCTAATACTAAAAACTACCTGCCGTGTTTTGTATTAGGGGGGGGGGGTTAGTATTAGGAGGAAGGGATTATAAACCTCCTGAAATATGGAAGGACAGATCCTGACCCCAGCCCATGATCCATCTTTGCCTCCAAAGGCCGAAAGCCCGGCAGCCATTCTTGCCCCTTGCCTGACAAGTCACCAGTGCATCAGTTTTGATACATCCCAGCGCCCAAAATTGCCCAAAATCCCCAGGCCCAACATGATTTCAACATGACTTGGAAGATTTGATGCCACTGCGATCTCAGAGTGTAGTGGAACCAGATAAAACTGGCGCATCACCATGTGACCGGCCCCAAAGCCGAGGCTTCACCAGGTTTCTGTCCAAGCAACTATCGTCGCATCGACGTTTTGGAACTGCTATGGCTTGCCTCTCCTGATCAATGGCCCCTGTTTCAGGACTGTGACGGGTTCTCAGTCACGAGAGCTGTACTTTATTATGTGATGACGCTTCAATGTCTGAAGGAGCAACTGAAACATGCAATGTCCTTGCGAGGTGCTCTGCAATCGTAAAACCAAACTGCATAGGGAAAAGACATGTTGCTAAATTACTACCAAATGGCATCTGGATCAAACAAAACATCACCGTTGATCAGCTATTTCACGACTAGGAGGAAAAACATAGAAATACTTCGCAATAGCAAAGTTGGCACCCCTACACACGTATAGTGTATGTTATTATGTATATAGTGTATATATAGGATACACTATAGAACTATACAGTACCATAACTATCTCATTACTTATTTGTTTGTTTTTCCCCATCGCCCCTTTGCATAACTATATCATAATCAACAGGTGTGGGCATATACCATATTTTCTTCAAAAAAACAGTAATCATATTACCATATATTACCATAAAATATTATCCTTGATCATCATGGACTATAACTACAGTACCATCATCATTAATTCTAATTATCTTGAATCTAAAGTACTTCTAATATGATTATCTATAATTTAGTCTATATTAGTCCTATAAGTAGAATCCCATTACTCCTATATAATTATCTATTAAATCAGCCATACCCATGACGGATCCATGTGTGGTATATTAATGCTAACATTGATTGGGGGTATTAATTGATGGGATCCATGTTAGCATTAATATAGCAGCACCATGGATCCGTCATGGGATAGAATCTATAATTTAGTCAATTAGTCCTATAAGTAGAATCCCATTACTCCTGGGTCATTAAACCCCAGCCACTAATATTATGAGCCTATAATTATCTATAATTAGCCCATAGAATCTACATGAATCTACATCCCATGGTCCCATGGTCCCATTGTCCCACCCCATGGTCCTTCACTAAGGAGTCCACCAGCCGCGCCAAGTCCTGTCGCTCCAGGCGTTCCGTGGCGATCTCCTGGCGCAGCTGCGCCAGCTCCGTCTCGATGCCTAGGTGGAAGGGACAAGCCATGGAAAAGCGATGAGTTTTGGATTGAAGAAGCCTATAGAAACCTACAATTCTATCCCATGACGGATCCATGTATGGTATATATGCTAACATAAAGGGGATATATTGATGGTAAATGTTACCATATATGGCATACATGGATCCTATGGGATAGAAGCCTACAATTCTATGATATTCTATGAACATGGGAAATAAACATGGAACAAAGAAGTGTCACATTCTGTGTATAACTCATCTGTACCCAAAAGAAAGGGAAAAAAAACTGTTAGACCTCAAAAAATTCAAGATGCATCTGCCAAACAAGACTATCCAAGCTACATTGCTCGAAAAAAGGTGGGGGAACCATGAGGCTTGGAAAAAAGGGATGACGTCGCTATCGCCACCATGGCCGGGCAATGCTTCATGGACCAACCAAAAAAAACGACACTCACTGGCACCTAAAAGCAGAAAAAAGTCTACAATTACAGCATTCACATCTAGTCATCTTTTGTTATATAAATTAATTAGTGTTATTATAGTTAAATTTCTGCACAAACTGAAGGAATATATATATATATATAATCACGATAAACAACCACCATGGACTTTTTTGCCCACTTGCTCTCCAAGGGTCTCAGGCTGCTGTTGGGCCTGCACGCCACCGGCACCACGGCAGGCTGCACAGGCTCCGGCGCCGGCATCGGCCCCATGGGTCCGACGCCCGAGGCTCCTCCAACCTGGAAACCATGGATCAATGGATCAACCGCTGGGTCATTTGGCCATTGATCCTATGAATTTCGTATGAAACATTACGAAACCATATGAAACCATCCATTTTTTGTCATGACTTTTGGGGGGGTGATATTTTTGGTGGGTGGTTTTGGAACAGCAGGATCCCTGAGGCTTTTGAATCGGTTCATCGGTGGTTTCAAAATGTTTCAAACGGTCCAAGAAAATGAATGGGAGATCAGTGGAGAAGGGTGCAACTGCACAAAGAAATCCAGAGAACGTGTGGAAAACTCATCGGGTTTGCAGTTTCTGAAGAATAAAGATCCCATAGGATCCATGTATGCTATATATGGTGACATGGATCCCATCAATATACCCCAAATGTTAGCATACATGGATCCGTCATGGGATTTATTCTTCCAAGAAAAGCAATAAGAAATCAACGATTTCATGCAGCCACCAAGCGGTGGCTACACTGTCATCCAACAGGCACATAATATGCTCGGCATTGCTCGGCCACTCAGGTTTGAAAATGATTGAACATAGCTTGCCATACGGCTATGAGTCATAACCCTGGTACCTAGTGAACCACAAAACAGCTGGTAAATGGATGTTCATCCCATTAAAATTGATACTAATAGGTTTTGACCCATCCCCATATCTTGCCATGCGCGCTTGTTCTTTCTGCATCTTTCTGCGAAATGGGAACTTGGCGTGGAGTGCAATGGGAAATTTCCTGCGGAACAGATCGTGCCAAGCGTCCATTGGTCGTTCACGATTTCGAGGACTTGCCTTCAGTCTTCGAGCAGATTGCGGGACATTGCCAATAATCCTGGCCGCAGCTCCAAGACCCTCCAAACGCATGACTGGCGATCACCTAAAATCTGATAAAATCTGGGGCTCGTAGACTCTCCTAAACCAAAGCAGTTGCCTTCAATTTTTGGGACGTGTCGAAAGTTGGTGCTCGCATTCTGGCCACTCCTTGGCCTATCTATGGCCAAGTCGCTGCACATAGGGACCAGCTGCGCCCATGGTCTGCCAGGTACCACTGCTGGAGATGCTGCCTGGGTTGCTGAGCTCCACAAGACCCATGATGATCACTCCTTCGATTGAATGCTATTTTCCAGGCTCTTCGGGACTTGACAAACTTAATGAATCTATAAATGCAATATTTAAAACCAGCATAAGCCCTAGCCCAACCCTCTGTAACCATTTAGATTCCGAAGCTAGGCCTAGCTTTGCCTCCTGAGCCTCCCAGCTGGGTGATACCACTGCAGTGGTGCTTTCAGAATTACCAAAACGCCTCACCTGGAACGACCATCGACATGACGAAAATGGATGGAACCTTTGGAACCTGGGTAGGAAATGACAGGAATATTGACACCAAAATCCATAGCAACTAAGGAACATTATAGAATCATGTGGAATATAATATATATATAATATATATTATATATATATAAATGTATTATATAATATATTATATATATTATATTAAATATATATATATATATTATATATTATATATATATATTATATATATTATATATATATATATATTATATATATATATTATATATAATATGTTATATATGGAATATTGAAACTCCAAAAAATAGCCTGCCCCAGATCTTACACACTAAAACCGGAGATGAACCCGTTGCGACCTCTGTTTCCAGCTGTGTCTGCAAGGTTTGAAAGGCCAACTTGCCAAGCTTCGCGGCATCCTCACCTCGGGGATTTTGGTGTGCTATCCCATAGGATCCATGTATGGTATATATGCTAACATTTGGGGTATATTGATGGGATCCATGTTACCATATATAGCATACATGGATCCTATGGGTATTGAAAATCCATCATGAGATCATGGCATTCCATGGAATGCCAGGCGACTTCGGAGCGGCTCGATGGTGGTGCGATCCTTAGACATTGTGAGCCCTGGTCTGAAGAAGAAATCTGCCAAAATGTCGAGATTTCCCTCCCTAAAAAAAACCTGCTGTGGCTGATTTGTCGATCAGTTTCTGAATATTATTGTGCATTTCCCTTCCCGTCGTACCTCACAAAAGAATACACAGGATATAATGCTAAGAATCCTGGGTATGTCTTCACATGTTTGAGACATCTGGCATTCGGGGCCTCATTCCTGCATCAACTGAAATACTGTAGCGACTGTAGCGGTTGTTTCTTTCCAAGCCATTCCTCAGTCGTAGATTGATCTTGCTCTGAATATCTATCAATATTGACATATCATGATATTATATTAATTATACAGATTATACATTGATACATTGATATATTATCATTACTTTATAAGAGATCTTTTTAGCACTTCTACCCATTGCATCCAGTCTCCACAGCCACTCTGCTGCTAAAGTGGCATTGTTCTTGCCAGGCTCATGGTCAACTGTGTGCAACATGGACAGCCATTGGCCTCCACAAAGGCTCAGCAGTCACGGGGCATGTCAAGCCGTCAAGCCATGTCAAGCCATCGCGCCTGCTGGCCAATCAACTGCTTCTAAGCCATGAGTTGCCAACATCCTCAAGCCGAAGCATCTCAATTCCTGCCAAGACATCCAAGACCCTTCCAGTCTTTGTGAAGGGAATCGTAAGGGTAGAGTCTGGTAGAGGAAGCACAGGAAAGCATGGTCAAATATGTGGAATTACGATTACATGAGGGTTGAAACTGTTCAGACCTTTTTGTCAGTAGATTTCGTGAGCTTGTTTGAGGTTGTCATACTTTCACCAGACTCAGGCTGGTTTTTCCATGTTTTTCCTATACGACCTTCCACGATCCACTATCCACCTCCGCTGGATCAAACGGGATCAACGACTGTGAGTTTTTCAGCTCCGAAAACTCCACCTGTAACAACTCTACGATCTCTAAAGATTCGAAGATGATCTTATATATCTTACATTGGATCTTAAATTGGCTCTGAAGTTGACTTGAAAAATCTTGGACATCATCTCAAATCTCAAGTTGGCTTCACAGTTTCTCACAGTTTCCCATAGTTTCGCATAGTTTCTCCAGCTCTTCCCATCATTTCCCATCCCCCGCGGGCACGCCTGGGCAGTCCAGGAGTCACTTTTCTGCCCGCAGCGCGATGCAAAGTCCAGGGCTTCTTGGAGGGCCAACTCCTTGGTCGAAGTTACTTCGGTCATGGTGTGACATGGTGTGACCAACTAGAAAGTAACCAACCTTAAAACGTTGCAGTTCTGAACATATATAGTTACTATAGTTATCTATAGTTCACGTTAGTCGAATGATATATAGTTGCTTTTGGTTAGCTTTTGGTTTTATATATATATAGTTTGATTATAGATTTTATATGTTGATTTAGCCCACACCTTGGGCATTCAATTCGGCATTGTTGTAAAACTGAGAAGTTCACCAAATGTAGGCTGCTGGTGGGGAATCTCTGTCCAACGCCAAACTTAAATTGATGTACCCTCTGGTAAACGTTTACATAACTATGGAAAGATCCACCATTTTTAATGGGAAAACTCACTATAAATGGCCATTTTCAATAGCTATGTTAAATTGCCAGAGGGTAGTTAATGCAAACAGGCCCAAGATTCAGTGGACGCAGAAGGCCAAATCTTCAAAGCATCTCTGATGATGTTGAGCTGCCGCATGCACCTGACATCCATGACATCCCATGACCCCATGGCAGCCGTAGCCGTTGTTTTTCTCAGGTTGCTCGTCACAACCACAGCCAGTGCCCAGTTTGAAACTGGAAAAGAAGCAATGGAACACCATAGCATCCCGCAAAAAGGTGTTGGAGAAATGAATGATGTTCAACATGATCAACAACTGAAATTACATAAAATTAAAAAAAATAGTCAAAGTATATCATATCTCTCTCTCCATCGCAATTCCAAAGGTCCAGTATATAAAAGTACCATTTTTCGGATATGTCGGATCTGCATCTGCAACTCCTGCACCATACGCCTCTCCCAGCACCTCCTCCAATCTTCCGCCCTGGAAGAGAGCCGTCGTGGAGATGTGCTGTGTGCCTTGTCACCTGGCGACAAACATGGTAAACATTGATCCATCAAAGATTACAATTAAGATCCACCAATGGTAATGTGCAAATCCCAATCATTACCATTTTACCCCTAAGTTAAGACAGGTGGATACTTTCAGACTTCAGACTATGTTTTATGTGCTTGTGTTCTTGGAATTCTTCATTACTTTCAACCAAATGAAACTTGGAGCAGGCCATGAATGAACCTTGCTATGTTGGCAAATTTGCAGTGCTATCTTGAAGTCAACGTCTATGACATTTGCAAACCAACTGTGCACCTTAGCGCCCTTTGACCGATCCGATCCACGCTGTTACCAATTTTATGCAGCGAATGCCATGAGAGTCGGTGGAAATTGGAAACCCTACATTCGGATAAAGGCATCACCCAATGTAGGCCAACATGCACCGTAATCGAACTGGCAAATTCACGTGGCAGCCTAGCAGTGCAGGAGGTTGCAAACCAGTGCCCTGAGTTCCCAGAGTACAGAATTGCTGAGGGGGACATTATCGAACAATCTGTTCGCCATATCGGTATCGGGCCATATCTTTTTACGTCTTTTACATTCTTTTACTGTAAATATCTACCACTGTTTTGACACCAACACTTGGAACTCAGGATCTTCAATGGCAACAAAAACATCGCGCAGGATGATGCTTTCTACTTGTCAGGTAGTGCTATGACCTGTATGGAGCCCCCCAGCAAATGTGACTGGTCTGCCAATCACGGCCCTGCCAGAACTGCACACCAGCCCAACTCCAACAGTTGGGAAAGGGCCGAAATTCAGGGCCCCTGTGTGCACGCAGCACTCGTGTTGGGCCCTGGTTGGGCATTCCAGAAGATGAAGGGGTGGTTCGGCTGCCTTCCCAAAATAGGTTTGCATGTTGCGTCACTATGACAACGAGGACCCCAAAATAGGGTCACCAGTTGATGCGCAAGACCTTCATGACCCTTCTCCCTGAAAGGAATGTCAAAACAGGTGCATTTAGTTGGGTTCTAGCGTCCACAAAGCAGGAATGAAATGTGGGAAATACTTGCAGTGAAACATCCTCAAACCCCGGGCTGGAACAATGTGGTAAACCACAATCAATGGGGTATAGCTATGCATGGCCGATATCGTTCATTAGAATATAGGGTAAACTTGAAAATGGTGTAAACCAAAACATTATCCAATGCGTCGAATATCTAACAGCTTGAAACCACCGGCCAATTGTGGCCAAATAACTAAATATATAATATATCATAATATATCATAATTAATATCATTATGATACTGCAATTCATGTCAACTTGTATCAACTCGCGTCAGCTCGTCTCAACTCCCCTCTTCTTCTTGTTTCCTTTTCTTGCCCCTCACGCAGCTTGGCGGAACTCTGCTTGGCATCCAGCTGATTTTCTCTCTGAACGCGGCCTGTCGTGCCAGGTCCTGGTATGCGAAGCCGACCGCTGGGAAGGCCGTGTTGAAGCCCAGCGCTGAGAGATACGCCTGGGGACGGGGAAATGCCCTGGAAATGACGTGAGATATGATTTCAATGGCAAATGCAAGGCAAAAAAACTGGCGGGTTGGTGGAGAGTTGTTTGAAAACAGGGAGGAAAATCCCCCCTAATGGATGGGATTCCCGCAATGGACTATAACGGGTGGGAAAGTCGGACTCCAATAATGGAGTAATATTGATATTGTGGGATAATTAAAGCCCCAATATCTTGGGAAACATGTAACCACCCTCATACTCATCAATCAACTGTTTTCTTGAAAATTGGAACATCGACAACAACATGGCGGAAGGTGCAAAAAGTAACCGCGGCTAGACCCTGAGTCGGCCCTGCCCATCCACAGTCCTTGTTCAAGTCTGCCGTTTTTTCCAGGGAAGAGGGTTTCAAGCAGAACCTCGAAGCACTGCCGTTGCAAGGGCTGATGGATGTAAAATATTAAAGTCTGCTCATCCACGGCTGTTGAGGACTGGCATCAACCCCGTTAATGTCATTGAGGCATGCAACTCTTGTGGTGTCGTTTGCTCTTACAACACACAGATAAACATGCCAAAGTGCAACGCAATTAGCACATGGCGCCTTTTCCAACAGCGATGGAAAATGCAAAGAATCAAAGGCTCTGGATTCTAAAAGATCGCAACGTGCACGTGCAAAATGCTGAAAGATGGAACCTGATGGACATGTGTGACAATGGTGTCTGGCCCCCGAAACTCACACTCGTAAAGTTTTCTTTTGGCACACATGTGGCTTCTCCTCTCTAAGTTGTATCACAGGTTTCTGAAGCCAGGTCAACAAATCTGCCATCAGTTCCTCACTAACCTTCGTCAAGCAATCGGCTTTCTGAAGGAATGTTGGCACCCAATGAATGGTGCGGCTGTTAATCAGCTCCTGAATTGAACGTATGTTCACAAGACTTCGTTTGTCTTGGATGTTTGGATTGTCAGCTGCAACACAGTCATACAGCGATTTACAATCGGTGACCAGCAGGGTCTTCAGCCGATGTCCTACCTTGTGTGCAGGAATCCCAAACATCAATTCACCTAGAGCATAGCTAGCATATGCCAACCTGTCAGTGGCACTGTCAGCGAAAACTGCTTTAGCTGCTAAAGTGCTACGGCAAACTCGCTTTGAGCGACCACTTTTCCAGTCAATCAAAGCTCCAACTGCCTTACTCTCAGTCACATTGGGAGGCGCCAGCAAAAGAACTTGTCCATGTTGACTTGCAGAGCCCTGAGCGTCCGCCCATGAAGAATCTGAAAACGCCAGAATGGTCGTGCCAGGATTCAAAGGAACAGGGTGGATAATGATCCCCATGTCTGCAGTCAGCTTCAAAAATTCCAAAGCTTTGTAGAGCGTCCCCAAATGGTCATAGGTGGTGTCGCCCCCATGGTTCATCAAAGATACTGTGCTCGCCACATCCAGTCGCGTCTGAGATGAGAGCCACTGCAAGCATCCAGTGATGGAACGAAACTCCGGCCAGTCAAGGTTTGTCAGCTTTTGGGTTTTATCTATGCCCCTTGGAAGTTTTCCCTTTTGCATACTTTCAATAAAACCTTTTTGGGTTACTTTCAACAAATATTGCCCGTTCTCCTGGATCAGTGCAAGTTCTTTGCCCTTGTAGGTGAACTCCTTCCCCACTTCAGCATGTTGATGGTGGCCCCACTTGAAGGCTTTCAGCAGCTCATCGAAGGGGAAGTTGTCGTTATACGTCAGCATGAAGTCATCCACATGGCAAATGAGAACTGCGCAAGGATAGGGCTTGTTGTAGGGGTCTGGGAAGTAGAACATCATGTGGTCGAAGGAGTGCATGATGAAGCCAAGCTTACGCAATCTTGCAACCACTTCCCTTGCCCAAGTAACTGGAGCATTTGACAACCCGTAGAGGTTCCCAGTGATCTCATAGAGCACGGACTTGAACACATTGGCACGCTTGATAATTTCATCTCTTGGTGCTCGAAGATAAAGTTTTCCAGCGCGCTCTGTCATGTCTTGTGCTCCTTGAAGGAATGCAGTCGCTGCATCGGCAATCCATAGTTTCCATCGAAGTGCTGAGTCGAAAGCCATCTGGTTGATGCCCGACACAAAGATTGCCATCACCAAAAACTCAGAGACTCTGTTTGGTGTTGGTGACTGTCTGGTCAAAGATCGTAGATCTGGGTCTTGGTTTCCCTGTGCCACTATACGTGCTTTTGCATTGAGAGGTGGAACTCCTTTGTTCTTGTCTCTGTAGCATCCTCTGGAGTTGATCACCCGCTTCTTGAGTTCAGGATTGCTCATGATCTCTTGTTCTTCTTCTGGAGGAATTGGTCTCAAGCATCGCCATTGTTCAAAGCTCTTTGCTTCCTTCTGCACTGCTTCAACAAAGCCTTGAATGTAGTCAGGCGACTGCTTCATGATGTCCCTCCAGCTGAGCTCCTTTTCATCAGCCTTCTGCTCTTGACGTGTCTTCGCTGGCATACCTTTTGACATATCGTCAAACTCACCTTCTGACTCTGAAAGGGTGGTGTCAAAGTCGTTGACAGTAGATGCCAGCTTGGTCACGTAGGTCTCAAAGAACTTGCTGCTGTAGGAAGGCCCATAATTTTCAGGACTGCCGTCCCATGCTTGTTCAATTTCTTCCAATGCATTGTCGGTCGCATGGAAGGTGTACTGTGGTGCTTGAGCTGTGTGCCATAGCTCTGTGATTGTTGTTCTTGCTGTCCCGTAGGTGTTCTGCTTGTCTTGTTCTGCTGTTGGCACTGTGCCATTGGTGATTGTTTCACCTGTGTTTGCGTCGATGGTGCGTCGCCATCGCACTGTGCTCATTGCTGGTCCTGTGCTCATTGTTTGCTGTGGGTGCTTTGCTTGTATGTCAAGTCTTGCCCAACAGTGCAAATGTTTTTGCACAGGCTGCAGTGTCGGCTCATAGTTGTAGAGCTCGAAGCTTGTGTCTGTGACTTTTCTTGCTTGTGTTGTTCCTGCCAGTAGTGCATCGTAGGGTCGCTTTGACGGCAAAATGCTGTCTGCGTCCATTGCTTGCTGTGATGAAGAAGCTGTTGCTTCTGCTGGTGGTGTTTGTGGGACCATGTCACCAATGTCTGGTGTGTCGTCACCGCCAGTCAGGTCGACAGTTTCAATGCCCTGTGGCTGCTGTTGCTCTGCTGCTGCTTGTTGTGTTGGCTGTGGTTCAGCCATTGCATTTCGTGAAACAATTGAATTCGGTGCTGAATTCTGTCTGGATGCCGGTCGGCTTCCAGATTTTTGTGCTGTGCCGTGTTGAGACTGTAGGTCTCTGGCCTGCTGGCCTGCTGTGCTTCCTCCTGCTTGCTGGTATGGGTCAGATGCTGCCGCTGTTGCATCTTCCAGTTGAGCAGGTTGTGTTGTTGTTTCTGCTGGCTGTGCTGTTGCTTCAGTGTTGGCTATCCCACGTCGAGTTGGTGTTCTCGACCTGCCCAGTGCTTTGCTCGTAGTGGATCTCGGTGGTGCCTGCAAGGTATTTGAAGAGGATGGCACAGGCAAAGAAGATTTTCGAGACGAAGGCTTTCCAACCATTTCCCATTTCTCGAGGTTGGTGTTCCACTTGCGCACTTGGTGGCATAGAAGGCATTGGCTGTAGGAACCGCTTTTGTTTCCGTACCTTCGCCATTCCGGATGTTGGCAATCCGACTGGCTCACCAATGGCTCCTTCTTGGCACGCATCATCTGCTCCTGCTGAACTCGCATCACATCGCTGTCCAGCAAAGTCATCCATGACCTTGGAGCCATTCACAATCTCACCATCATACTCATAGCTCGCAGCGCCGCCAGCTCCAAGTTGAGCACCAGCTGGAGAAGCAAACGCCATCGCTTCAGCCATTGAGGTGCGGGTTGCCGAAGCATCCTCAACTGCGAAAACACCTGGAACAGGGCTTTGAGCTTTCATAGGCTCCAAGTCAGTCACACCTGGAATGATGATCTCCGGGTGAGGGTTCTTCCAAAAACGCTCTTGAGATAGAGTTTTCCAAACTTGCAAACGATGTGAATCGTGATCAAATGAAGAAATGGAAATTGCCAAATGCCCCTGAAACTTGATGATGTCTGCCGTGACTCCAATCTTTCTGAAAAACACTTGTTGCTTGCCAATGTCAATGACTGCATCCAATGTTTCCAGCAAAGTATTTGAAGCCAAGAGTGGAATTGGTGTGTCAACCACACTTGCACCCAATAACATGTAAACATCACCAATGACAGAAGGAAAATAAACTCGGCTCCTCGCTGTGATAGGCTGCCCGCGGCCAAACTGGAATGCCTCGGCGCATGAAACACTGTGAGGTTGAAGCCGGAAATCTTGAAGGGCTTGGGCATGTTGGGTCATCCATTCCCTACCGCATACAGTTCTTTGACATGCCGTGTCCAAAACCATCAAACCAGCCATTGAACCACCTGCAAACATGACATCATGGAAAACCGCATTGGAGTCAATCATGAAGGTGAAGAATGGAGGTGTTTCAGGAGGTTCTTTAGGAAGTTGATGTTGAACTGCACCATCATCATGGCTCATGGTGAAGAGGACCTTTTTCGACTGCACGTTCTTCGCGCCATCTGAAAAAGTTGAGCTGGATCCTTTGGATTTGCCCTTGTTGCCACCTTTGGCGGATTTCGAACAAGTAGCGTCTCCGGCCCAATGTCCAAGTTCTCCACAGGCTGCACAGTGGGTATTCTTCTTTCTGTCTGCTACATTTCGATTTCCACTGAACTTGCGGCCCAAAGTGAGCGCCTGTAGTTTCTTTGCAGTCACCGTCAAAACTTCGGCAACTTCTCCAAAATCAACTTCTGTTTCATCTTGCTCTTGGTCTGGATCCTCGGCATCTTCTGCATTGCCGTCTTCGGCATTGTCATCAGGCTCATAGTTCTCATCCCCATATCTTGCTGCTCTTCACCATCTTCTGGAACTGCTTCAAGCTCAGTTGCCTCAGTTGCAAAGGCCTGTCGAGGCTTGAATTTGCCTTTGCCCTTGCCCTTGTCAGAGCGGTATGTTGAGGCCGTTGAGGTTGTTGCCAATGATGAAGATGAGCTCGATGATGAAAATGATGAAGGCTTACTGGTCAAACTTCTGATCGGGGTCCCATCCTTACCAAACAGCGGAGGTGGCTGCTTGTGCTCTGGAAACGACATGCAGAGAGACTCAAGGATGGCATCGAAGCTAAGGTTGTAGCGCGACCCAATCAATGCCAATCTCTGATTTTCAGGACTCAGTCTCGATCTCTCAAGCAGTCTGTTTCCACGGCTTTCATCATCATACATTGCATGAACGCTCACGCCAACAGATGTAAGAGCACGTTCAGTGCGGCGATATCTGTTTGCAAAGGCTCGGATGGACTCATTGTTTTGGCGGACTATGGATTCATGGTCTGCCAGCAACTTCCGTTTCTGATACACCAGTTTCGTCTGAAGGCCTTGACGAAGTTGCTCCTGGATGTACTCAATGCCAGTTGCGCTGTTCACCTTAGCCAGGTCACAGTTTTCCAGTTCTTCCTCAGCTTCACCACTCAGGGAGGTGAACAACAACAACGCAGCTTCACGTCTGTTCATGTAGGATTGAATCTGTAACTGCCAAACTGAAAGCTTCCGTTCCCATTTGACAAAAGATCTCAAATCCTCTCTGTTGTAGCGCCAAGCCGGTGGTTGAGGCGGCATACCACTGCGGTACTTGACGCCTTTTTCAGGACCCATACGGCTGTTCCAAGATGCATCGCTCGATTTGCTGACATGATGGACTGGGTCAGCAACATCACTTTCAATCACATCTCCAGCAGGTCCTTGAGCAAGGAAGGCATCTGAAGGCAGAGTTGGTCGTGCTTCAGGAACTTCTTGACCTCGCCCAACATCAGAGTTGCTACCACGTGATCTCCTGGATCTCCGGTTCCTGCGTCTCATTTGAGGAGGCTCATCAGGATCTACAGATGGATCAAACGTTGCAGCTTCAGACTCAGCACGCTCATGGCCATGGTGGTCAGGATCATCATGAGGGGGTCTGTATTTCGTCGACCACATTGGAGCGCTAGGATTGCTAAAACCACGATTGTTCGAAGCCCCACGCAAAGCGGAACAGTCAGCCTGGGTGTCCAACCCATGTGAGTTGCCATGCTTAGGTATGAAAAGCCAAACGCCATCATCAGTTTCGCGTCTCAAACTAGCTGCAGCATCATAGTAGTCCATGCTTCCGCACTGCTCGCAAACCCAATCGTCAAAAGACCAGATGAAGGCATCATGTTGACACGTCCAGCATCGCCACAGCGGTGGGTGTCCATGGTTCGAATCTGTTCCCTGGATCGAAGGCCTTTCATTGCGAGGCTCAAAGTTCATCTCAGCAATGAATGGCATCTGCAGCTCCGGATACCAACTTGTGGTGTCGTTTGCTCTTACAACACACAGATAAACATGCCAAAGTGCAACGCAATTAGCACATGGCGCCTTTTCCAACAGCGATGGAAAATGCAAAGAATCAAAGGCTCTGGATCCTAAAAGATCGCAACGTGCACGTGCAAAATGCTGAAAGATGGAACCTGATGGACATGTGTGACAATGGTGTCTGGCCCCCGAAACTCACAGCAACGTGGGGTGCAGGCATCTTGCCGAGTTGCAAGATTATTGCAAAGCGCTCTCCATCGAATGGGCAAGTGAAATGGATCCTCAAAGAGACCAAACTACGTCAAGCTCAAAGGAAAACATGTGAAAAAAAATCATTCATCCCAGCCACAACGGTTCGAAGTATATGTATATATATAGTTCGAGATCTGGCACCCAATAAGGTCAATAAGAGAACAATTGTGAAACTCACCTATACTCTCACCTGTATAAGTCTCAATGCCGCGTACAGAGTTGTAAAGAAGTATGCAAGTGTCTCAACCACGGGCACCAAAGGTAAAGAGTCTTATAAGTTGAACCAATTGTAGCATCTCCCCTATGTCTGGCCCAAACAAAAGCTCACTGTTTGAAGATCCTTCGACATTGGCAAGTGGAAATCTAGACTTCAAGGAAAAATCCTGGGAAATTCCGAAGGGGATGAAACTTCAGTGTCCCCGAGTCTCCATCAGTCTCCACTTTCCCCATCAACTTCCCTCGGACGCTCAATTTTAACCCCGCCCAACAATCCCAACCACTAGATGGTTGACAAGCCCCTCTGGGCGATCACCTTTGGGAGGGCTCAGTTCAAGTTATAAGTGGATATACAACCATAATTATGAGGGTTCTAAGCCCAACTTATCAAGGTCATCACTAGAGTTATACCCATTAATAACCCCAATTGCAACCCCAAGTGTTGGCAATTTCCAGTATATTTCCATGATAGTTGGGAAGGTTGGTTGAATATCTATGGTATAATACTTATAATACCATTAAATAATTATGATAAAAGCCATATGATACTTTATGATACACCCATTATTCCATAAGGTTGGTTGGATCCCCCCCAAGCGGGCCAAGCGTTGTGCCACGGATCATGTTGCCATCGAACTCCACCAGCTGTCGTCGAGGCTGATGTCGACGGCCCACGATCACGTCGCCCGCTTTCCCAGCGCCCCTGATATTGTCCTGGGACGGGGTGGGGGTGCAGCACCAAACCGATCAGACCTAAAGATGTCGACATTTACATACATTTACACACTATGCATATATACATGCACTGGCATGCACACACTTGAAACATACAGTAAGTGTATCATCGTACGCTAATATTCATTTAGGGATATTTAGGGCAATGGCCTATGGATGTTCAACGTATAGCCAAAAACAAAAAGTGCTGCCCTGAGCTCGGTGCCGAGGTGCGGGGAGCCTCATGACCTCGTCCCCCTGCGGATCTTCAACAAAGAGCTGTCCACCTGAAGTGCCGTTAATGAAAAAACATCATTTTGACATCATTTTACATAGGCAAGAAAATTGGAACTTTACATTATTTCACCAACAGAATTGAGGATGCCTAGCTCCTCATATACCAGGAAATACCAGGAAATACCATGTGGATTCAATTGGATTCATAAGGTATAGGATCTGCAATATATTTATAAGCCCTGGGCCCTGTGCCTGCCTTTGTGGTCTCCCAGCGTGGTCCCATTGCTCTTGCCACCATTGTTCTGGTCAGTGTGAGGTACACACTCCAAGTTCTTCGTCAGCTGCAGAGTGGTGCCCAACGGCTTCGCTACGCCAGCCTCCTGGGAATGGCCCAGTTTTTACTGCACGAGATGTTCCCAAATGCTTTTTGGTTTTATGGATGCTTTTGGTGCTCCAAGCCATCCCATTTACAGTATGTTATACATTGTTATACTTGTATGAGTCTGCTGGATGTTTATGATCAATCATGATTCAACGATATCAATCATGATTCAACGATCAGCCATTTTTCCATGTTTTTCCAGTCCTCTGCCAAGCGGTGGATGTACACCAGGATCAATTTCGTCAATTGTGATAGGTTCCAAGTCTCCATAGATATGGTGGGCAGGCTCCTCAATCCGGTCAAGTGAGGTTGAATGGGATCACCATGGCTGAAAGCCCTGGGAGACTTAAGAAGGCTGGCAACGTGGCCAATCCTAAGGGGTTCAAATGAAACTGGCACACAATATTTCCACAGCTATCAGAAACTTGAGTTGCCCAAGGTGAAACGAAACAGAAAAACAAATCAAGAAAACGCTTCTTCTGAGTATGGCTCCCACAAACACCTGCCTATAGTCTTCCCCAGAATCCCCATGTTCCTTTGCACAAGATCAGCCTTGAGTCGGCTTGAGCTTAAGCCAACTCATGGCCTTCCAGCCCAACATGGTGTCCAGCTCTGCATTAAATATATTAAATGCCGCTTAGAGTCCTGAAGTTCTGGGGCGTTACCAGACCCAAGATGAGTTGCTTTGAACCTTGGATCTTGGATGCGACAGGGGATGGCAGGGGGCTTCATCTTGCCAGCAAGCTGCGGGTCTCCCCTGGTGGCAAGACATTCAGGCGCCGGTTCTTCTTGCTCCAGACTTGGTCCTCAACAGGCCGGTGATGAGTTTTGCCATTTGGCGACCTAATCCCAGGAGCATGACAACCCCCACCCCATTTCAATGAAGCTCCATGAAGTATTCCCATGCTTGCTATCCCCATGTTTGTTGTACACAATCCTGAACACTTCCCAAATCCAAGTGCGTCAAGCGTCTGGAATTTGTTGCAAACGGGACAGGAGCTCGTTGTAGAGTTCATCAGTGCCTTTTTTTGGGCGTTTCCGAACAGAAGCAATAGCATTGCTCACAAAAAATACCATCTGCTTATTTAACATAGCCATAGAAAATCACCATGTTTAATAGGTAAACCATGGTAAACCTCTATAAATTGGCCATCTATACCATGGCTATGTAACCAGATGGTATCCCATCCGCATCGCATCAAATCCTGACATCTCCATCGCTACCAAGCGACTCATCGACCGGGCCACCTGGGCAGGGATTCTGTGGCCAAGTCGAATTCAAAAAAGGGAAACCTTCAGCAAGTTTGCTGATACCCTCTGGTAATTTAACATAGCTATTGAAAATGACCATTTATAGTGGATTTACCCATTAAAAATAGTGATTTTCCATAGCTATGTTAGTTCACCAGAGGGTAATTCTTAAGCTTTTGGGGATTGAATGGTTCAAATTTTCTCTTCGATAAAAATTAAGCATGATAAAATCAATGATGCTCAACCGGATTAACCTCCTTCAACAAGCAGCCCTGTCAAGCAACTTCGGGATTCCTCTACCCAAACCCACTAGTAACTCACGCAGTACCGGTGGCCCACACCTCGGCATCTAGCATCTGATCATACGATGGGGCTTTCCTTAAGGCAAATCACAGCTGTTACACAGCCTATCCTGAAGGTATCAACTCATAAGTTCCTTGATTTTCCTTGGGTTTGTACGCTTGGAAACTTACCATACCACCACCAAAAAGCATGGGAAATCAAAAACACATCAGGCGAAGCGCTTTTTGGTGGGGTTTATGGGGTCATTTTTTGGTCAAGCATCGTGCTATGCGATGACATGTGGTAGCGCGCATATAATTCTGCCAGCTTCTCAGGGTTCTGCAAGAGTTCCTGTGTATCCGATGGAGCATCTCCATTTTCAGACTCATCTCTTGGCAGGGACTCGCACAAATCAATGACCTCCACCTGTCACGAAGAAAATGGGGCAGGACGGGTCACTTGCAATAGGAGCGCACAAATATTTACAAACAAACACTGAAAAGGATTGAAAAGGAACATCTCATCTCTGAGCACGAGAGACATACAGTCCGTTTGACTTTCCCATCAAAGCTCAACTCTGATCGCAATCCAAGTGACAGGCCCAGTGGGCTCCATCTTCACATGGCTCTCAGCAGATCCAGCAAATCCAGTGATACTCTTCAGGAACTCCTCGTGATCGTCGACTTCCACGATGACATCATCATCCTATTGTGACCGTTGCCATGGTGCAGGTCACCCAAATTCACTGGATAAATAGCTTGTAAATTGTGTAAACATTGCGAAATATATGCGAAATATATTGCAAATTGAAATTCGGAAAGCAAACCCTTTGGACCAAAGAAGTTTCGATTTGTCATGTGGGTTTGTCTGAGAATAGGGTACCGTAGGGTTCCCAAAATTTGACGGCCAGTTGATTGGCTACTCATCATATCCCTATCAAATTGGAATTTGCTGGTTATATGAGTTATAAATATGTATAAATCAGTATTATATAAATCATATCCCATTTTCAACCTTTGTTTCCCGGCCTCCTCTGGATTTGCATCGTGAGGGGCGGCAAGCCCCTTCCAATCCTCCGCATCGCCACTTGCTGAGGCTGTGCTGGCCTTGGGTTCCAGCGGAACATCCAGCTGTTGCCCGTGGATCAAATAAGGCCTGACTGTGAATTGGGTGTTAAATTTTATTGACAAATTGGTACGCCCCCTGATTATTTGTGCTAATATATGTTAAGTATATAATATATGCTAATATAATGTATTCTTTAATAATGTATTCTTTAAATCCTGGGTTAACATTAAATTCATTAAATCAACATCATTAACATGCTCAAGTTTTGCTCTGAAAAAATGGCAATCTGTTCTGCCCCACGGTTCCCAATAATAGCGTTCGAGCCACCTGGACAGGGACGTGATCTTCGTGAGCCTTGCCGTCCTGTCGCAAATATTTGGGCAAAAGCCGCTCCAGATGCTCCGGAAGCAATCCTCAGGGTTGGAGTTGACTCTTAATAGATCAAAGCTATTGAAAACTCCCGTCTTCAAAAGGGGCATTGTATTTCAAGTGATGCATCTCCAAGATTTACTAGGCAAATATTGAAACTCTGGTAGTGTTGTGCTGTCTTGTGGCCACATTCAGCGTTGTTTCAAAAAATACAAAAAATTGAATGCAACTACATGGCAACTACATGGCAACCAAGCATTGCAATGGAAAATCTACCGTTGGAAACGATCTATCCATGCCCCCTCCATGGAAGAGCAGTGTTCAACCGTTCAACCCACTGCCGTTCCATCTGTGGGTTGGTTACAAGGGGTAAGAATCTCCAATATTAAAATTTGGGTAGTACAACTTAGTATAAGTCCCTACAACCATCAACCCCAACACTGCTCATTTCCTCCAAATAATGGACCCTTTGAAGGGACAATTGAAAACTTAAAGGAAACCACAATTTTTGTTGCAAGCTTTTACCCTCAAATTCTTAGGTTCCTGAGATGGTCCCTTTATCGGACTCTTTGGGATTCGAGATGCTTTGAAGATGCCTCGCCATGGACTCGTCCACATGCTTCGCGAAGCATGCATCCAGCTCTGTCGGCATTACTGCAGAGCCACGCATTGCGCTATCGGAGCTATCGAATGACAAGGATCTCAATTCGTGGCTGTGTCTCTGATGTGATTCTGCTTTGAATAGATAGCGATTTTTAAATATTGAAGTGTGTGCAGTGTGCATATATATAGACACCGCAGATATGCAAAATATGTGTACCGATTGTGTTTGGATATGCAAATGTGGATAAAATGGCCTGTGCGCGTGCAAGTTTCTATTTTGCAGAGTCCAGGGTGCCTGTGACCATGAAGGAATGAGTTGCGCCTCTGATGATTTTGCAGCTCAAGATAGGCTGAAGTGCACCCTCCAAAGATACAACTTACAACTTTAGATTTTTCAGGAGCTGGCCCAGGGATGTACGTTGCCAATCAGCCTAGCAATCTCCCATTGCTTTGCTGTATGTGTTCTGCTTACCATTCATGCAGCCAACTCTGCAATCTCCCTGAGCCTGAAAGCAAGAAAATGATAATAGCTGGTGTTCTTCAAGGCATCTGGACACCAATGACTTCATTCAGCGAAACCGCGTTGATGAAGAAGCAGTCTATTTCAGAGCTCTCCCAAGAAAATAACAAACACATCCGTTCTTTGATGTTCTTTGATGTTTTTTGTTGTATTTTAGCACGTTTCCAGAAAAACATATATGATAATTATGATACATTATGATACTATGATCTCTTGATCACTGTGATACTATGGTCGAGTCCAAGGGTCCATGATGTCCATGGTCCATTCATGCGCTGCCTTCAGACGTCACCGCCACGCGATTCGCAGGGATGACCTGAAGATGTTGGAAGATGAGCAGCACAACACTTGACAAACGGGCACTGGGAAATGCTGTGCAACCCTATCAATTTGAAGATTTATGGGGATAAACTGATGTGTACAGTAATATATTGTTGGCATTTTATATAATATATATATATACAATAGTATTATAATGTATTATATATTATTATGATTTATTATGTACATGTGTGTGTAAACCCCTCTGCGGTGAGGCAATCATTTGCCAACCTTTGGGATCATCCACCCTCGTGGCTCACGACAAAGTTGCACAAACGCAGGAGCAAACCATGCTACTTTCTGCGATCTTCCATCATCTCCGTGAAAAAACCATTACAAACCACTTTTGTTCGGTAGTTTTGAGATGATAATGCTCATTTTATATCATTTTGGGGAGTGAAAACTCTGTACCTCTGCGGTTCCAATCAAAGTAACATAAAATAACTGGTAAATGGGTGTTCATCATCCCAAAACTGATAGCATCCCCATGGCGAAAGCATTTGGCGAAAGCACCACGCCAGCAATTGCTGGTACTCCGTGTACCCCGGCCGGGATACACCTGGCGAGAGGTCGGTTTGATGAAGGTTGGACGTCTATTGATGGTGAACAGTATGGGAGGGTACCACTCTAACAATACTCTAACAGTGGACATCTAACCTGTTTTTGAAATCACGGATTGATTTTGTAAGCAAGGAATAGACAAAAAATGGACCAACCTATTACCAATCCTAGACACTCGACGCAAATTGTCTGAGACAAATAATGACAAATTCCAACTCAACTGCTGTGCAGTAAGGATACCGAAAAGAGCAACGTGAGGAACATTGACATGGAAGATTGATCACATTGCAAAAGTTCTGAAGAACTGCCACGAGCCTACACTTCTTCCATTTCTGTCCTAAAATATAAATACTGGTCCGTCTTTCACCACCCCAAAAAATAGTAACAAAATCATTGGGCATCTGCCATCAAGGCAATGATGAAAGCTACAGTAGCAAATGCGATTGAAACCACGTACCTGTTCTGCCATGTTCTGCCTATATTCCTGTACCCACCCATTTTAAGTGACCCAAAGCCTTTGTATTCATGATACTAGCACTGCTGCTCCATATCGCACCTGTTCTTGGTCTTCAAACCCATCCAAGCTGGGGATCGTTACGCCAAGAGGGACAACACCCCAAAATTGGAAAAACGATGAAAAACATATTTCACCATCCATCCAGAATCCAGCATGTAAAGTTTCACTGTTTCAATTGCCCGTCAATCTCCCAATTGTCACTGCCCAATTGTGTGATCACTCGCGCTGTATTGTTTTCTCTCTCTGGGATCAATTGTGCACAGGCTCAAGGCCTTGATCCAGGAACACCGTCCCTTGCTTCTGTTGTTGTTGTTGTTGTTGTCGTTGTTGTATACAATTGAAGCACATTAAAGAAACTGAAATTGTTTCACGGAATTGTTGAACTGGAACGACGTTAGACTGCCATTTTTCGACTGGTGGTTCAGAATCTCGATCATTTGTACATTTAAATGGGTTCTGAACCTTGTTCAAGCCATCGTCAAATACGTGCAGCATCATTGTGTGATCTTCTGGCCATTGTTTCTGTTTCAGTGCCCTCATTGTCAGCTAGTAGTGACTCAAAAGAAACGTATGCCTCTCGGGCGGTACAGTGTCCAGACTGTGCCGAGATCATCCATTGTGCAGCTCATTGATCTGGAGCTACTTGTCTGCGCTGATTGCGTCCTTGTGGCGCTTCCACGCTGGCTGACACGGCTCAGCATCATTGTCATTCTCATTGTGGGTCTGATCCTTGTCATCTCAATCTCAGTCTCAATGATTGTTCGCCATGTCTGGTGATCTGGATGGCCAAGATTGTGGTCAGTCACCAGATTTGAATTCGGAATCTGAAGTCCTTCATTGACACAGAGCTCGATTGTAACGGCCCGATTTCCTCGTAGCAGATGCCCTGACAGAGAATTGTCATGACTGTCTGATCTCCACTGTAAACTGCTTGGATGGCATTGTTGACATTGACTGGCTGGGAATATTCCCAGAGACATCCCGCACTCCAATTCCATCGCGATGAGAGTTGCAATGGATTGTAATGATCCAGACGGATCACACACATGGAGTCCACTTCGTCCTGTGTGAGGATGTAATTGTGTCCACTGGGAACCTGGGCAAATTGGGTGGAGTGACCCCTTTGAAACATGTTGCAGCGCTTCATCGCGCAGTGGCTGTGCCAATTGTTGGGGCCCAACCCTATACGAGAATCTAGTAGACCTTGTCCTCAATCTTTGTGTGGCATTTGCTGATATGCCAGCATGGTAAATGTGCCGATTGTTTGGTGCCAACCCTGTGCTTCCCTGACGTCTCCTGGGATCATTGTCAACGTCCCATTCTGTTTGGCCATCATTGAGTCAAATTCCGTTGCTGTGAATGAAAAGATAGCCAGGCCAAGTTGTCAGGGGAAGTGTCACTAACACCTTCCAATTGTCATTCTGCACTCCTTCTGGCTGGAGGACAGTAATTGTGGCATCTTCGATGTTCGCCACTGCCGTTCGACCAGTATAGGTTGACTTTGTGGCACCCGTTCCTAGGTGGTTCAAAGCCTGGTAGTCTGGCTGATCCACTGCCATGATGAAATTGTGAACTGCCATTGGTCTTGTCCCGGAAATAGTTGTTCTTCTTGTTCTCCCGGTGATTGTGAGCTGAAGACGGCTGCGGCTTGTCGGACAAGATGTCTGACTGAACTGAACTTGAAACAAAAACTGATCATTCAGCAAATGGTTGACATCATTGTTAACAATGTGCCCGACATCACTGAATGAAATTGTCAAAAAAGGTTGAAACTCTTTCGTTGACAGATCGTCGCGAAATCGTTCTTTTCCGAATTAAAGTCATTGTCCCTCTCAAATCAGCGCGCATCAGATTTGAAAGTTTGAAAGTCTACCAAAGTGTACAAACCATGCAGAAAAAGACTAGTGACTTGTAGTAGAGCTCCACCAAAAGGATTATGAAGATATTGTCTGAGACAATGTATCCCCGAAAAAATACATAGTGTACCATGGCTCGGGTGCGCGTCGCATGTACGTGTTGTGCGCGCGGTACGCGTAGTGAAACTCTTGTGCTGTCGTTGTTGGTTGTTGGTGCTCAGTGCTGGCCGTGCAGGCCAACATTGTGCAGGTGCTTGTGCAGTATGTCTGCCGTGACATATACTTTGTGAAGATGTCTGCCGGGCTGTCATGGGTCACAACCTTGTGGATTGTCAGGGTTCCATTGTGCTTTTGAACATGTATTTGAGGTCAATGTGCTTTGCTTTCTTGCTGCTGCCGATTCTTGTTGCTATGCTCTTGCCGCTTGTTGATCTGTATGTATTTTGACATTGACGCTTGCTCCTGTCATTGCTTCCTTGATGAAGTTCATTGCATGTAGTACTTCTTGTGCTGCTGTTCCGACCGCGTACAGTTCTGATTCTGCTGATGATAGTGCCACTACTGCTTGGGTTCCGCTTCCGACATGTATTGTGGCTCCCAGTAGGGTCACTGTGAACCCGCTTGTGGACTTCCTTGTTGTTCGGCAACCTGCCCAATCAGCGTCTGTGTACACATTGAGGTCGAATGTGCTGATGCCTTGTGGTGTGATTGTTGGAGGCACTGTTTGTTTGTAGTGTTGTGTACCTCGAAGGTAACGTAGTAGATGTTTCAGCTTGTTCAGGCTATGTTGTGTTGGTGCTTGTAGATCTCTTGCCAACTCCTTTGTTGCATAGGAGATGTCTGGTCTTGTATAGGTCAGCCATTGCAGCTTTCCCACTGCTCTTCTGTATTGTGCGTGTTCTTCTTTGCCCAGTGGGACTTCATCATTGGTTGTTTGCTTCAGGGATCCCGTCCCTGGGGTTGTAAATGGGTTACAAATTTGCAGATTGTGTTCTTTTCAGGACTGTTTCAATGTAGTCTGGTGCCAGTGTGATGTCGATGTGATCACCTTTGTTTAGTTTGTTTGTGATGCCGAGGAAAGAGATTGTTTTGCCATAGGTGAGTTCACCTGTTGGTCGTAACAAGACCTTTCTTGTGTTGGACTGCTTCGAAGATCCTGTTGACCTCCGATTGTTCTCCTATAGATAGAAACAAAAGGTCATCCACATAGACCGTAAGCCATGACAAAAACTGTTTGTTGCTCATTGCGGTAGACATTGGGTTCTGAAACCAGTCTTGTGGGTCCCAATTGTTGTAGGACGTCGGCCAGGAAGTCTTGCCATGACTTCGGGCATAAATTGCCTTAAGCAATTGCCACAGGATTGTGGAATGGTGTCCGAGTTGCTGGCGGCCACATAGAGATTGTCGCTGCCTGTTGGTGCATGTAGAAATGCTGTGGAAATGTCGCCTGCTCTGACGAAACATTGTTTGAAGATGGCCAGGGTCAAAAGGATTCTCAAGATTTAGAATATTGGTGTGCTTGCGAAAATGTCATCGCAATCATTGATTCTTTCAGTGATTCCTTTGGCCACTGTTCGGGCTCTGACTTCGTTGCCCTTGTCGTAGGAACCATCGTGTCTACGATGTTGTTCCGTGCTGTTGTGGAACGTTATTGATGCCAACTTCTTTGAAGACACCTTGTTTCTTCATTGGCTCTGCTTCTTTATTCATACCTTGTTTTGTCTGTTCTTGTCCAACCCTTCTGTATCCAGACTTGTGGTTCCAACAACATCTTCTCGTTTTCAATCTCGTCGTTGTCTTCGTTTGATGCTGCTGTAATCTTCTCGCCTTTCTTTGTTGTAAGTGTGGCTGCGTCTATCCTTAGTCTTGTCGCCTTTGGTTCTTGTATGTTCTTGTACTCTTTCCTTTGCTTTGGGCTCTTGTTGTGTCCTTGCTTGTTTCGATTCTGCTTCTCCTGTTGCTAATATGCTGTAATGGCATTGGTAGTGCTTGTCGTGGAACTGTTGGTGGTGATGTTGCCATTGGTGATGTTGCTGCTGTGCTCTGTTGCGTGGGCACCACTGGTTGTGAACTGCACTGCTTGAATCGGCAACTGTGGTGGCTGTTGCGCTGGAGTCTGCGTGCTCATTGCTTGTTGTCCAACCGCTGTCTGTGTTCCAATTGGGTAAGACTCTGATTGTTCGAAGTTGGTATCGTACTGTCTCACCAAGTTCACACAGGGGTGACTTGCGGTCTTTTCCCCATCTTTGTTGATAGCTTGTTTGTCCATCGTTGTGCACAGCATACCGGTTGAGAAGGTATACTGCGTGCCGTACAATCCATGGCAGGATTGGGTGCTGGTTTGTGATGTGGATGTCCTAGTTTTCTGACCGTTGTTGGACCAGCGCTCTCACTTGTCCCATAAGTGTCTTGTGGAATCTCTCCACACTGCCGTGTGATTGTGACGAGTATGTGGGTGATTGTCTCACCGCTATGTTTCCACCCATTGCTGATGCTGTGGCTTTCAGCAATTGTATCAGGTAATCTTCCTGATCTGAGTGTAGAGTTGTTGGGCTCAGAATTGCTTGTGCCCTGCCACATTCATACAGAAATGCATGCTTGTAAGCATTTCACCAAGTAATGGAATTGTTGTCACTTGTCTTGTGCCTGTACGGCCATTGCCCCGCCAGTTTCTGCATTAATTGCTGTCAAGACAGGTATGACTTGCTTGTCTCCACATGCTTTGATGTAGGTGAAGTCTGCTTGTACCACTGGCTGTCTGCTTTGTTGCTGCTGTTGTGGGTGATTGTCTGCTCTTCCTTTGCTCTTAGTGCAGATCGGACACCATGTCCTGTAAGGAAGGTGTGCTAGGTTGTGTTCCATCCTTTCTTGTGGTGTTGGTTGCTTTGACGCTGGGGTTGCCTTCGCTCTTGTTGCTTGTTGTGTCTCTTGTGCATCATCCTCAATGTACCCGTACTTGTAGCTGATGTCTTCTTCGAAGTTCGTTGATCCTGTCCATTGTTGGGTCGATTGCTGGTTGCCTGCTTTTGTCCAATCATCCTCGTACAAACATCCTCTCTCCTCACTTGTTGGCTTGATGATTGTTTGCCTTGCTGGTAAAAGTCTTGTCACATCTGGGCCATTGTCATCTTGTTGTGGAACATAGAGTTCCGTGCGTGGAACATTGCGGACTCTTTTCCACAAATGCCCTGCTCTGTACCAATAGTCGTGGTTGGATTGTGCCATTTGTGGTGGTGGAATTGATTGTGACACTTTTGGTAACCCTCGCTGTTTGCCAATGAGTCGTTGCATCCTTGCTGGTGGTGTAGGTTGCTGTTCTTGCTTTCCACGTGCCTGTGGATAGAACTTCCTTGTTGTGGGTTGCTGAGGCGGTGCTTTTGCCATTGTTGTTGAACTGCCCGTCTGGATCACCTTGAACCAACTTTCTCCTTGCCATTGTTGTCCATTGACTTCTCGCTTTTGCATTTTGAACGGCCAATCTTTGTAGGCTTATGTAATGTCTTCTACATTGCCGTCCCTTCTTCGGATCAATATTCTCCTGAAATTGTCAAGTTGTTCAAGGGGAACAAGCCAGTGGTTGGCTTTTGGGATAAATAGTGACTTCCTCATTGTTCTGTGGGATCTCACCAAATATCCTTCATTGTTGTATGCCCAATAGTCATTTCTTCCTCCAAGCACTTGTTCGTATCCTTGTGTTGTCATTGTTGTTGGGGCAATCACTGCCATCATGCCGCTGTCGGCGTTCTGTATTTGAAGTTGCATGTCTTTGGTGAGGTGTACGATTGCTGCTGGAAGGTAGTAGAGGTTGTTCCTCTGTACCAGTTGTACGTTGCAGCCTTTGCTGTGTGTCATTGTAGGGACATCATTGAACCTGTTGTCAAAGCCTTGTTCTGCCAGCCTTGTCACTGACAGGATGGGATCATGCACGTCACACACATAAAACATAAAATGGTATGACGGCTGGTTGTCCTTCACATTGCATGTAAACCCATCTAACTCCGTGGCGTTGTACTTCCTTGTTTGTCACCGTTCTCAACTGCGGCCCTTGTTCTGGTGCGAGCTTGTGTAGTGTATTGGGTAATTGTCTGCGAACCAAGGTAGGCAGACATGTGTTGCTACGCCGCTGTCAATCATGATTTGTGCTGTCTTGTGTTCTTTCATTGCTGTCACTTGTTGTGCTTCTTGTTCCGTCTTGTCATCATCTTTCTTCTCCTCCAATGTTGCTACATGTTGCTACCATCATACATATGCCTGAAACAATGTGGATTGTCTGTGATGGGTTCACTGCTGCCATCTCTGCTGACGATGTTGGTGCTGAGGGAAGTGCGAGTTGTGAGTTGTGAGTTGGTGGTTGGCTACCTTGTGTGTAGTCATTGGAATACCAGTTGGGGTCGTAGTTGTCGTGTTGTGCATACCACTGTGCTGTGGCGTCGTGCTGTTCATTGTAGGTGGCGCTGTCTGCTACGTTGTAGACGGACACTCTGCAGTTGCTCGCATAGAGCCCTGGTTGTCCACATCTGTAGCACGTGTTGGCCACTTGTTTTCCTTTCACCTTGTCTTTTCCTTTGCCTTTGTCTCCTTTGAACTGGTTGTTCATTTGCCCTTTTCCTTGTCCAATTGGATATCCTTGTCCTTGTCCTTCGTATTGTTGCTTTCCTCCATACTTTCCTTTTCCTTTGCCTGTATTGTAGCCATGCTTGCCGTCGCCTTTTCCTTTGTTCTTTCCTTTGCCTTTTCCTTTGTAGCCTTTGTTCTTGCCTTTGCCTTTGTGGAATGCTCCAATGTCCATTGGCGCGTGTCCTCCACCATAGCGCGTTACCACACTTGAGGGTTATGCCAACCTTGTGAATGATGTGTTTGACCTGTAGTACTCGACGATTGTGTCTTTCACTTGTCGGTGTGTGGGGGTTGATCCTGACCGGAGTTGTAGGTGTTTTTGTAGGGGTCCTGTTGTCTCGTTGGGGAGCACTGCTATCTTTACTGAGTCTGGTAGTTGTTGTCCATCGTCTCGTTCGAATCTCGAAAGTTCGAACTCCCATGTTGCAAATGATTCTTCAAAAATGTTTGTGTCAAATGTGGGCTTCAGCAGCTTGGTAAGTAGCCAATTGACCTTGTGCCTCGGGGAACTGAGAATCTACGACGAAGATGTTGTGGATAGATCTCAAAGCCGTTGCTGTGTTGGAATTGTCTGCAAACAGTTGCTGCTGAGTTTGTTGTGATGTTGATGAGGATGTACCTGATTTGTACGTGTTTCTCTCCATCCTCGATTGAGTCTGCTGCAGCTCGCAGTTGTGCGTCTGTGAGTTCTGCTGTTGCTGTCTCTGATGCTTGTAGTAGCCTTGTGTATGCATTGTCCATGAGTCCCATGTACGCAGTGAACTTGTATTTCCATTCTTTACATGTTCCATAGTCACCATTGTAGAATGGTGGCTTCAGCTTGTACCTGTTGATGCTTGTCGATAGGTGTTGTTGCCTGGCCTGTCGGCAGTGCAATTGTTTCTCCTCTCCTGTGGATGTGCTGTTTGTGCGTGCGGATTTGGAGCTCACCTGGATTGTGTTACCAGGATCACTGCCCCACTACAATGCAAAGTTTATAAAGTTTCACTGTTTCAAATTGTCTGTCAATGTCCTCCATTGTCACTGCCCAATTGTGTGATCACTCGCGCTGTATTGTTTTTTTCTCTCTCTGGGCTCAATTGTGCAAAGGCTCAAGGCCTTGATCCAGGCATTGTACACGAACACTAGTGTATGCGCATTGTGCACATGGTACACTAACATTGTTCTTGACACAGTATTGGCAAGATGGGATGTGGTGAAATACATAATCTTTTGTGTTCTCCTCCAGGAATACACCCAGCATTTTTCAATAGTTTACCATTGGCTGGTTCCGCCTGGCTGGAGGCACTGGCTGCGACCATGCACGTGGAATTTGCACCCTGGCTTGACCGTCTTGTCAGCGGGATGCACCATTCATTCCGAATGGCTTAAGGGAACGTCTGCGGGAATCCTTTGTTTTCCAGTTTTCCCATCATTTAAAGTCAACTACCTACTGTAAATATAGTAAATACATGTAAATACTGGGAGGTCCTTAAGAAAAAAATCACTTATAAAGTGAACCATTTCTGGGAACCATCGACTGGTGAACCTCCTATCATTCCATCAAAACATGTCCGCCTTTCAATCAGAACATGTCCGGAACTTCTTGGCAGCCTAGCCTCCTCTTCTCTGGCAATTGTGGGCCTTGTAAGGGCTGCTTGCTTGGCGACCCCTGGTGACATTTCCATATTGGAGTGCCTGATCTTTCATTCCGGCCCCTTCTTTACATTAAGGAACCATTTGTACATCACCTACGAGTACCAGGATTCTACCGAACAGCTTCGACATCCGAAACATCCACCACCAAAGCGCCAGCTGTATGATGCCTGCATGGAGCGGGCGTGAGTTGATGGCCCAATTGGAGGAGCCTGCGATCGGCTTCTGTTGGTTGGGCTTGGGCTTGGGATTGGTGATTGGGTTAGAGTTTGTTCCACTTGCTGCCCGCAACGAGGGCATGATTATCATCACCCAGCTGCAGCTTTAAACAAATCCCTCACGTTGTTCTCATATGTCGCACCATCTTTTTTTTCCATGATTTCTTTGGGTGGGAGAGAGGTGAAACAGGATTCCGATCTATCCGTGATCTATCTGTGATGATTTCTTTGCAAAAAATATTTCGATCTCTTGGTCGAGTCTAGTCTACAAGAAATCTCTTTGTTTCACGGATTTCGATGTTTCGATCTCTGAAACAGATCTTTTTCACAGCTCTTTCACGTTCAGAGCTTGGGACATTCGTTCAAATCGGTGTACTTCACAATGGTCTCCGTCGCGTCCTTCGTTCCGTCGATTCGCGACACGCGCGTGATACAGCCCCGCCAGGCACACTCCGGGATGTCGCAAATGGCTCCGAGGCCGCGGCCCAACAAACACTTCATCACGAAGTGGGCTTGTAAACTGTCCACCAACGATTGGTTCACATCAGAAATGCCCTTCTCAGCCATGAGGAGTGCCAAAATCTCCGTTTCATCGAGATATTGGCTAGTCATGCCCTGCATTGACAAATCAGAATTCTGCCATTCTACATTTGCACATTGTGCTTCCGAGATCTTCTCGACATAGTAATGTCATAATCATTCACCAACTTTTTGCGGTCCATGTCAAAATAGCCGTTCAGGTAACAGTAAATGTCCACCATTGGGTAGACATAGTCACGAAGGGTCAGCAGCGAGCCATCGGGAAAGCGGAGCGTTTTGGGCGTTGCGTTCTTCAAAATCGGGACCGCCGCAAATTCGCTGCATGTCTCGCAGCTTGCGGCACGCTGCGCAGCCGCTGATCCATGGGTCCACGGCACCAAACACGCACCATCCGTCCTTTTCCTTCCATTCGTGCTTTTGCAGCACATCAGAGACAGGCCGTGTCTGGTACTCTTCAGGCAGCTCGGCAAGGCACACGCCGCCAAGCGCAGCCCAATTCGTTGCATTTGGAATGCCAGTGACCTGCAATTGCAGATGGGAAATGGGGCACAAATCCTCGTCGCATTCTTGCGGTGCTAGTGCTGGAAATGCTGGAAGTGCTGCAAGTGCTGCGGTGATGGAAAGTGCCTTCGCCGGCCCTGCTTCACCGATTTTCCACGATTTTCCACGTCTCAAAATGTTTTATCCAATTTCGTGCAGGCTACACGGCTGCGATCTTGAGCCAAATCCCGTTGTGGCTCCTGCTCAATCCATGATGACTGCTAAAATGCATAAGAAAATGGATGCCTTGCTTGGCTCGGTAGCTCAACACAGCTCCCTGCCCCTGGCCTAGCACTGTGGCTGGCACGGCTCGCATGGGCTGCAGAGGCTTTGCCGGCGTTACAGCCATCCTGAGCTGCAAATGGGGGATGCCCATGAGGATTCTCATCATTCAAATGGCTCAGGTATGCTACACTGCTACATGCTGAACCGATTTTGGCCGGAACTCTGGCAAACAAAGCGACTTGCGAACCTTAGAAGTCCTTAGAAGCAGTGAAGAAATGTGTAAGACGTCGTAAGACTATGATAGAATCTGTCGTTCAGTCCAGGTTGGCCCAATTCATCAATTCCAATCATCTCCGCTCGCCTGCCCAGCTTGTCAGAAGGGAGACATCCACTTGGCCAATTTCTCAGCAAAACATCTCCCAGAGGCAATCTGTTCAGATCTGTTCAGGCTGGGCTTAGTCTGTGATTTTGATGTGGGTGCTCTGGACCGAAGGCAACTTCTGCACAGGGGGGAAAAGGGCACAAACATTATGCCATCATGATGCCCAAGAATGTTGATAAATGTTGTTGAATTTGATGATCTTATGTGTCCATGAAGCTGGATGGCTATGGATAGAAACGCAGATTGTTGGAACATGTGGCAGTAGGTTGAACTTCCTTGATTCTTGCACTTTGGCAGTCCATGATGTTGCATGGTGTCACTGAGCCAAATTGTAAGCACCAGGCCTTTCGAACAGCGGCTCTCCAAGTGAGGATGTCTCCCAGACCATTTCTTTCCCAACTTTTGATGAACGTGGCTTGGGTGCTGCCAAATGTTTTACAAACACCTGGAAGTGGTATATATTTGCTGCAGTTCTGTGCACTTGACGCCGCTCAAACTTAATGGGCTCCAGGCGACTCATTGAAACGTGCCTCATAGCACAACTAGCTCCCTGTGTCCCTGTGTCCAATCGCCAAGCCACTTGAAAATGCCTGTGACGAGCCCAGAAATTCGATCCTGGCAGCACCAACAGCCGAAGCAATGATACAAGAATCTGACCGCTTTGGATTCAACGCAGTAGGGGGCAACAGAATGCTACAAACATATTACACACATAATGACAAATATATTATATATATATATTATATATATATATTATATATATATATTATATATATATATTATATTATATATATTATATTATATATATATATATTTATATGCAATAACACGCATGGGTTGGTCTAAAAATAGAATAACCGCCCCCCAAAAAAATATGGTTGATCATCATCTTCCCACATTGAAATGGTCAGCCATTAGCACCTGGTCAGCCATAGGCGCCAGATGGCGCCAGTCACCTGGCGCAGGGCTGAAGTGATAGCAATCACTAATCCCCATGGAAAATGATTAGTAACTATGGATGGATAGGTTGCAGTTCCAGCAATAACTATCCATCAATCCACTATCATTATATTGATCATCCATGACTACTAATTATTATGGATATTTATGGATTATTGATGATTATTGATTATAATGGCTTCCAAATCCAGGACTTTTTACATGTGAAATACCCGTCACACCCAGGCTGCGGCCTGTTCCAGGCACCAACTCCACCCCCCCGGAAGCGCACCCTTGGCACCGCCGTCTCTGAGAGGACCCGCTGCGGACAGGGCAGGGCGGGCAGGGCCGGCAGGGGAGGTCCAAAGTTGAAGCGCGACTTCACTGATCTGACAGCTTCCAAAGAAAATATACAGTACAAGAAATGGATAGAAATGACTAGAAATGACACATGTTGGTGAAAACCATGCGGGCACAGTCTACCAAGCCGCTCGGAACTTCATCGAGTGGTCTGGGACGGCAGGGTGTGGGGTCAGGTTGAAACAGTAGGAACATTCTACAGGTCCAAATGGTGAGCACATGGCTGAAGAGTCAAAGATAAATGTAATGTACTTCAAATGTGCAAGTCAATACATCGTAAGGGTGTATCTTGGTACATCCTGGTCGTTGGACATGATGTTGCATGTTTCCATCAAGTTAGGAGCAACGGGCAGTGTTGTAAGCGGCGCGCCACGTTTTTCAATCTTCACGGCCACATTTGGGGCACAGCGCCGCTCTTCAGCACCAAGTGACACCCGTGAAATGGAATTCATCGACATGCAGAGGGGCAGTAGCTTGGTGGAGAAGGAAACAAGATGGGTACGGGTTGGGGATGGGGGGTTGGGGGATGCGCTGAGGCTGGGGAAAGGGGGTAAGAATATGATATCTCTTTCTCTCCTTGTCTTGCTTAGTGAGGCTCAGTATTTTCAACTCAACAGCCATCTTCTCCACCAGAATTGCCCATAAAAAAAACATTCAATGCTAGGGCAGCGCAATGGAGCAATAGTCACCCTGATCATGCATGACGGCTTGCAACTGGGTGGCCCTTCCAACATGTGTTTTAGAACCGCGGATTCCAATTCTATTCAGACCGGTGTGTCAGGGGCTTTCAGGGGCATGTTCATTGACAACTTTATGTAAACTAGGCAAACTTCCTGATTTTGATATTTATATTTCAATGGAAACGTATAGTAGCATTTAGTTACAATTTGCCCAATAGATGCACATAAATAGAACCATAACTCTCATTCCTGAATGTTCATGCAATTAATCAAAAACCTGGTCTCGCGATATGTCTGATTGCACGGATAACCAGGAGAAATGGCCAGTATGATTGACCCATTTGCGGGCTCAAACGTGAGACCATAGCGCCACGGTTGAGAAACCTACAGGGAAACCCTTACGTTGCAACCTCCACGCCACTGCGAGGGGATTCAGGCACCTGCCAGTGACCGCAGCGACAAACAGTGCATAGCCAAAGTTCTGATATATGCTGTGGGGCACAGGCACAAGCAATAAAACATGATACAAGTACAACATGGACCTTTATCATATATGTATATACATGAATTTATAAATATATATATATATATAAATTACTTTACTTCGAGTCATCCCCACCATGACATTTGTACGTTTTGTTACTGGAAAATCTTCTGGCATTCTATCTGACATATCTTCTGGCATTCGATCTGGCATTCTATCTGGCATATCTTCTGGCATTCTACCTGGCATATCTTCTGGCATATGTTCTGGCATATCTTCTGGCATTCTATCTGGCAAATCTATCTGGCATATCTTCTGGCATATCTTCTGACATCCTATCTGGCATTCTATCTGGCAAACATTCTGGCACTTTATCTGGCATACCTTCTGGCATTCTATCTGGCATATCTTCTGGCATTTCATCTGGCATATCTTCTGGCATTCTATCTGGCATATCTTCTGGCATATCTTCTGACATCCTATCTGGCATTCTATCTGGCAAATCTTCTGGCATTCTATCTGGCAAACATTCTGGCATTTTATCTGGCATACCTTCTGGCATTCTATCCGGCATATCTTCTGGCATTCTATCTGGCATATCTTCTGGCATTTTATCTGGCATATCTTCTGGCATTCTATCTGACATGCTGCGTCATCTGAACATCCATGCTTCATCAATCTTGTCACAGACTTACATATAGAAATATATAATTACTAATACATGCATACACGCACACACACGCACATACACACACACACATATATATATATATATATGGTACGCTCGTTGAGGGTCACCTCACTAACACCTTCACTATCTTATCAGTGGTGACCCACATGCTCCCACTGGATCCTACCTGGGCATCAGGGAAGCAGCTTTCAAATCGATCAAGTTCCGAAATGACCTGCCGAAAGTTCCACCCGGGTTCACCAGGAACACGGGAAAAGGCACCGCCATGGCAAGCAGAAATCACTTGGTAGATCTTGAAGTCCGTCATCTGACCCTCCCGCCCTCTTGAGTATCCTGGTGCCTATTTCATCACCTGCCCATGACTGCCGAAGATCCCAAATAATATTTAACCAAGAGGCAGACTTCACCAAATCCTCTGGCACTGGAGGGCCTCCCTTCACCGACCTGGATGTAAGCGATGCTGCCTACAACACGTCTGCCATGTCTATGTCTATGTGTTAGAACTGCTTGATGCTGGGACTCAGCGAAATTTTCCGGAACTATTGGAGAGCATGGCTTAAAATTGTTGTATAATAGGCATACATACATACATACATACATACATATATATATATATATATACGTCCATATATTTTTACATTGTCATGTCTTGTTATATGACAAGACTCTATAACAACTTTACTACACAGTATAGTATAATTATAATTCTAAGACATTCTAAGACTGCATGGCAGCCTGGCAGGGATCCCCACCTTCGCCATGGTTTCAGCTCCAACAAGGCCGCCGGGATGGCTGTCAGTCCAGCCACTGATGCGGGCCGTGGAACGGTCAACGGCCTGAAATTCGCCATGGGGCAGGATGTTCTTGATATGACAAGTGAATGACAAGTGATATGGGATACTTACATTACAGTCACTACATATCATTACATTGGTATCCCATGGTAAACCGATTGGAACCAATTGGGGATGGTTTATGCAATCCATATTAATTAATCAATTCCGATTTACCACAGAAATTGCCATGAACTTCAGGAAAGTTCACAATATGTTAAAATATGTAGAAAGGGCACACATGTGACATAGCTGATGTTCTTGCAAACTCAAATGCCATTCTACTGCGATCAGTGAGTGAAACATTCCCTTCACCTATATACCATAAATCCTTCATGAAAATGAATTAAATGCAGTAATTAAGCTATATCATGCCATCCATCATCGGCAAAAATGATGTTTGAAGAACTTGAAGGTAGTGATAGCATTCAACATATTCGACCCGTTGGTCTGAGCAGCACTGGCCTTGGAAAGGAAGGCTTTGTGGAAGGCACCGGATCCTTCCATGATTCCATTGAAAGTGACACCAGCTTTGTGAGCTTTGTGTAGCTGCGTTTGGTTCCCAATGACAACCAAAAATTGCTAATAGTTGCACAAAAAAAACCAACGTCACTATCAAGAATCGGCACGGAAATTCTTTTAACTTTCAACAAGACAATACGTACGATTTATTCGGTTTTGCAGGGATATACAAAGCACAGACTTGCGTGCCAACATGTGCCAAACCCTGACTGCTATCAAATCATGCGTTCGCAGATTTGGAGCCAAAGTATTACTTCTTGTTCCCAAGAATCATCAGCCAGGGTTTATCAGTGCGAAATCTTGCCCAATAAATTCACAAAATGCTAAGGAAGCAAAGACAATCACCTCCGCTAACAAGTTCAAACCCTGGTTTGCTGGGTGAAGATCTCCAACAATGATAAAGTCCATCTTAAATATACACCATAACAATGAACCCACAATGAACCCACAATGAACCCACAATGAACCCACGACACTTATGCTTTTTACCATGGTTTTTACCATGGTTTTTACAGCATACATTCAGCTTTCACTCGCTGCCGTGCACCTGGAAGTGTTCCGCTTGGGTCCCAAATTCCTCGCGCAGCTCCGGTGCAGGACCCAGCAGCTCAGCCGGCTCCGGCGCACGCGTTGCCAGCTGCGAGAGCTCCAGGTGCGGGCCGTGGCGCCGTGCCGTTGGGGATGGCATTTCGAACCTGGAAATGCCGGGGATCTGGATCTGGTCCACCATGGTGAAACGATGTGAAACGCTTCAAGGAACAGGACAACCATGGTGTTTATTGGTGTTTACCATGAAATTATATGAAATTGGTAAGTTTCCTCGAGGTTTTCCCATCATGGCGCAGGGATGTGCAGGGCATCCTTCGGATGGATGTGCACATTGTGGATGACTTTGTTGGGGGTGCAGGCTACCATTCCCAGAATGATTTGAGAGCCTCAGCAACCTGCAATGGAAGCATGGGCCAAACTGACAACCTGGAGACACTGATGTGCCCCAAAATTTTGTCTGACCATGTCTTGCAAATCTGAGTCTCTGACACTTCCAAACCAGAAACGGGATCTATCTCTGGCTCCTCTCTTTGAAGTTGCCGTTGCGTATCGCCAAGGCCACCCATGGGCTGCCCCAGTTGCAGGCTACCAGGCAGCACCGGTCTCGAGCTGACAGGTGGTAGAGGTGGTGCAGCTGGTGCTGGTGGCTGTCCACAGCTTTCAGCCCACTGCTGTCTGGCTTGGACCACCACATCCACCTCCGGCCGAGTCGTAGGCCACTGTGGCACCGAACCCAACGGAGCCAACGGGGCCAACGGTGCGGAGGGGGCCAAGGGCAACATGGGTTGGACGTCGGAGGGAGCAGCTTCACCCCAGTGGGACCAATCGATGGCAGCCCGGAGCCTCAACGCAACTAGTATGCACTTCCAAAACTCAGAAAAATCTTTGTAAATCGTTGAGTATCATTGAAGCTCTATGAAGCAGAAATCATCAACTACCAGTCAGAATTCAACTGCCCCAATATCATCCTGAATTGTCTGAACAAGTGCGAGCAACTTGGTGGCCCATAGGAAGGATACGGCCTCCTCCACTTGGGACAAAGGAGGTGACAAAGAGCCAGAGTCGCGGCTAGCAGCACCCTCGACCTTGTCAAAAACCTGACCACACTCCAGAACTCAAAAAGCCAAACATATGCACCGTACATGCAGCCTACAAGTGCCAGCATGTGTTCAAAAATGTAGCTGTATACAGTATATATCATCGTTCATTTATGAATCATTTATGTTCATTTGTTTGATCCTTGTTGCGGGTGGTTGGAACCATCCAAACTTTCATCAGTTGGCTTTGTCTTTGTGGGGTGAGGTGGCCGCGTGGCACCCATTCCTCAAATCGCCACCGGACCTCCAGACTCTCTTCCAGCAGTGAGCGAATGCGTGCAGAGATGCTGGGAGGAGGTTGCCACACCGAAATGGTGCCATCTCTGGCCCCTGGCAACGCAGCAAGGCATGATGAATCTTTATTGATTTTATTGTACCTGAAACAACATGAAACAACCATGCAAGGCAATGTAAGGTGAGCACTAACCCTTGAAACACGATTTTCTCGTTGCAGAAAGTGGGACTTCCAATCTGTGGTTTCTGAGGGTCAAAGCTTTGTAATGCCAGAATGACTCTGAGGCAGCAGGCTGTCAGGTTGATTAAACACAATCAAACTTAGTCTCTGCATTTTGTGGAGTATTGGCGGAAGCATCTGTAGTTGAAGTTGCCCACTTGGCAACCGTTGATATGCCGATGATTCACCCGCCTATCTATCCCAATCTATCCCAATCTCTGTACCTCCACTACTTCAGCAACATTTTCCCTGAGCCTACTAGCAGCTGACATGGATCGTGCCAAGGTGAACCTCAGTTGGAAACGTCAGCAATTCCGGCGAGCTATAGCTAGCCCATTCAGGAATGCTTATGCCGTAAATGCTACTACATGTCTCTTGAGATAAGAAACAACAATGCAACGATGCGCAAGCCCGTGTGCGGTTTGAAATTGGAACGAAGAAGAACGCCAAAAACAAGAATCAGAGACAGAATCAGTATCGGTTGTTTGGCATTGCCACAGATGTGACAAGACAATAATATGGCTTCACATTGATGCCAACGGGCATCTGCCATCCCTGATACAACCGGAAGGACATATGGTGGATGTTTAACGATAATAGGTATGTCTAGGTACCCCAATTGTTGTGCTTTCAAAATGGGCTCTTTAGCTATCTTTAGCTCCCAAATGCTCCCATTTCAAGAAATTCAAAGCATCCCTGGTTGGCTTTCCCAATGCCATCCAATGCCAATGGTCAGCCAACCCACTTCTGGCCCAGACACCTAAGCTGATGCAACTCGCATTGATGCTAGCCTGGATCAGTTTTTCGCATGTATCTTCCAGGGGTCAACTGATTCTCCGCCGCTGGGGTGAACAAGACCATACAAGACCTATGAGGAAACTTTTTCCTGCAGTAATATAAGTGCAAGTAAGTGTGCTGATTTATTCCAATATATTCCAATAAAATTGGATTAGAACATATTACATTCATATTACAACTACAGATACAGCATGACACACCTGTAACATCCGGTGGCTGTCCATCAGCAGAAAGGCCAGGCCTGGTAGCAAGGCTCCCCAGAAGCGAAGTCCACCGCGCAAACAACTGACGTGGACTCCTTTCTGACCAAAGATTCAGACAAATGATGGTTGCAGGCCATGTGCATGACTGTTTTGAGTGTGAATGATTTGCGGATTTGCGTATCTAATTGGAGAGTCTAACATAGCCTGATAATGCCTGATACCTGTTTGAATCTGTTTACACTATAGTCAATAATTACATCCTCTCAAGTTGCTTCAAACCCCCTTAGGGACCATTTTAGAACCCAAAAATGGTATATAATTTCCCTGCTGACATTTCCGTTCTGGCGCGGCTCCGCGATCAACTCCGCACTGGACTTCTGCCAGCAATCCGAGTGCAGCAGATCGCTGCACCCCGAAAGGCCAATGGGAGGGGAACCTGGTGCCCGAGCCAACTCACAGGGGCCTGGGATCCTTTGGGAAAACTCACCGGAATTGGAATCGAAATCGATGGAAGACTGCTTTCTGGGCAAGAAAATCAAGAAACTTATCCCAAAAAATAGGATAAAAGGTGTACGCAGTGTACGCGTTCAACCCAGGCGAATGTTCATGGGAAGGTTGGGCCCAGGTATAACAACAGCTCTGGAAATGTGCAGCGTCTTCAGAGATGTACCCTTTGACTCCAAAACCAAGCAGTCCCACCTCGATCGAACTGCAAATCCAAAGGTCCCATAGGTGCTGGTGTAGATGCGCAGAAAATATAGCTTCCTTGACTTCAAGCGAGTGAACACCAAAAGACTAGCAGGAAACAGCAGGAAACAGCAATGATGAAAACGGAAAGCAAACACCTGGAAAGTGTGTTTGATATTGTTTGATATTGTTTGGTATTGTTTGATATTGTTTGATGATTTTGATTTGCTTTCCAGTGTGGTCCAGTGTGGTCCAATTCCAAGATATTCCAAGGGTGGTTGGAGCCTGACTCGACTGGTGGCTTCCGATGGCTTCCGACCACTCTGATGGCCAAGACTCCACTGCAATCCATGCAGAGACTTGGATGCAAAGGTACCCTGGGTGCAACCTCAGGCTCCATGACAAGGGAATACAAGGGATCCAACTGGTAAGTGTTGTAAGTGTTGTAAGTGTTATAAGATGTTATAAATTATAAGTCCGTTTGGCACAACCAAGTGGTTCGTGCCATAATTGGTCCACTCCCGGCATCAGTTGAGACTCGGGGATGGGCCAACAGCGAAGTGAAGATTTCGCAGGATTTCAGCAGTTCCCCAGACCAAAGGTCGTAGACCAGCAGAATCGACCTCCGGCGCAATGGACGGCCAGTCCCAAGATGTTCCAGGATTCTTCCTGCGATATTCCTTGCGATATCATTGGGATATGGCATGAATTGGCATGATCTTGCGGAGAAAATGACGATTTTCCCAGCTGGGATGTTCTTCCAAGAATGGATGGACTAGAGATGACGATAAAATAAATGTCGTGTCACCGCTGGATTGATAATACCCCCTCGGTTGTTAGATTGGGGAGTGCCATTTTGTAATTAGAAGCCATTCATTGCCAGTGAGTCAAGGGCTGGCATTATAACAAATCATCATAAATCACCATAGATCACTTTCACGCGCCTTGCGTCACTAGATGGCAGCACGGCTGCTGCCACCAAATACCTTGGTGCGGGCGCAGCAACACCAGTAGTGTTCCAGTAGTCGATGGGTAATGGCATGTAATGGCTGCATATCTCATCCTTTTCCTGCATATCTCGATCGTGAAGAATCCTATGCAGTTGACGGATCTGTAGCATCATAGTTTCCCATTCATTCCCATAGAAATAATTAATTAGTGGATTTTCCCATTAAAAATTGTGATTTTCCATTCATGTCCCAACAAAGCCAACTCCATAGGTCCATTGAATCATCAACCCCCGAGCAATCATCAACCAGCGGCAGCTGAGATGGATGGACGCAGAAATCCGTCAAGAAGCCTCCGGCAGCCTGGTTATGGCACTGGACCAGATTCCATGAAGATCCATGAAAGCATAAATGCAGTAAAATAACGATGAAGTTGGCTTGATGGAACCAAACAAGGTGGTGGTAGATGTGGTGGGGTGGTGAAGAAATTGATATTACCAAGATTGCTGGCAGCGGCCGGCAGCGGATATACCAACCAGCCATTCCCCCCGGCCTGGCATACTTTGGCCAAGGCAAACTCCGACTTCACAGCTTTCACGAAGGAGTTTCCCAGGGGGTAGACTTCATGAAGCACCACCTGCCATGACTTGGTTGAAACATGTGGAAACCGATAGATCTGATAAGCGGTAGCAATGCTTGAGAAAGGTTGTATAATATGTAATTATATATATATATACATATCGTTACGTCCATCATTTTGGTTAATATATGGCTAATGTTACTACTAATTAATAATTAATGTTGGTATATGTTGGTTAATAATTGCTAATTGTAGTCTCCGATAGTCATCATGTCATTTCAAACGCATAGTCTGCCCACTTCACCAGTTCAACATTGCTCAGCAACATTGCTCAGCGCAATTGCCATGCGGAAGACTAAGCATCCACCATTTTCAAGACGTTTTGGGCAGGAGAATCGGGTTCCCTCAGTTCTACAGTACATGAGATCAGAGGGGAAGTCCAATGCCCAGCGGAAAAGCGCGTCGCTCCTCCCAGGGATGTGCAGCACGACTGATCACATAGACATTGGTGTCATATGCCCGCTGCGTCACAGTGGCTCTCCAAACAAAGATCCTGGGAGCTCCCATCGTTCCCCCGAGATAGGGGCGAAAGCTGGGATCCTGGATGCTGGAGTGGAAGGTGCTACAAGTACACATCATTCCCGGTGCGCCATACAAAGGCCCAAGTAGGACAAGTAGGACAAGTAGGACAAGTAGGACAAACAAATGGAGTGGAAAACCCCTGAAGTCTATATGGCCATTGTTCACAGTCTGATCTGGGATCATCTGCTTCCACCCATTACAGCCATGGTGCCCTTTCTGCTTTGCCACTGGGCATGGCTGAGCATATTGCAGCCTCAGTGGAAATCAATGGCGTCAAGCGCCCTGGTGCATGGAAGGATTTAGAGGTGGCTCAGTCGCGTCCCAACTCTCCTAGAATTTTTGGGACGCGCTTTTTATCATCTGCACAAACAGTAATTGAATACACCAAAAACATCAGGACCATGGCGAAACCGTGAAAGTGCGAAACCCAACCTTTCCAGCTGGGATTGCAGCTGCGTGAGTCGGGAGAGCATGGGAAAGTCCAGCATGTCCTTGGAAAGCTGGCCACAACCCATGATTTGGGTGACATGTTTCACCGTTTCACCCAATGCCAGAGCCATGTTTTTCTATGGCATGCGTCAATATGATATCAAATTATATAGCCTTGCTCAAAACTCCTGAAGTGTTGATCCTCAAGAATCCATAGGTTTCAGATCGTTTCATCATGTCATATTGATGTCCATTGATGTCCATTGATGTCCATTGATGTCTATTGATGTCTATTGATGTCTATTGGTTACCCTGCCATGCCCTGCCATGCCCTGCCATGCCCTGCCATGCCCTGCCATGCGCCACACATTGGTTGGATTCGAGGACCGCACCACAGCTCCATCCGAGAAGGACGCCAAGACAAAGTTCCCACAGGGAGACACGTCCAAGTGGCAGCAGGACCTTGGTGCTCCAGCAGTGGAAAGGCATACCAATAGGATAAACGTTCGGCGTATCTAAATAAATATGAACATTATGTATACATGATGATAAATATGATATATGTTATAGACATATGTTCTATATGTTTATTTACTTATATATATATATATGCAGCATGCATATATAGATATATGTATTATATATATAGAGGTATGTGATATGATATGATATTTAGATATATTATGATATATTATAGGCGTGTCACCAGTGAAAGGGATTATGGCATGAGATTGCGGTTGGGGTCGGGCAATGGGCAGATTATACAATTATTGAATATGCATGCGGCAATCAGCAAATCATGCTTTGTATTGAATTCTTGCTATTCGTCTTGTAGCTCAGCTGCTAGGGTAGTTACCTCACTGGGCTCATAGCTGGGTACTTGGAATGCTCAATTGTGCTCAATGATGACCCAACCAACTATGATAATTCATGATACTTCTAACATCTTCTAACACTGTTTTACCCCACCCAAACCCTATAGCTATACATCAGGAATTATAAAATTTAGGGCCAGTAGTTGTCCTAATATGGCCTGACATGGCTTGACCATCTAAGAGCCATGCACTTCTTTCACTTCACCAGGCAGCTGCGTAACCTGACCCACTGGTCTGGCACAATCTCAACCCAACGCGCGGGTGTTTTTGAATCTGATGGTGGAAGAAGGATGGAAAAGGATGGAAGGCGGGGACTCAATCCTGGTTCTCACTCTGACTGACTTCGGTGGTTTTTCATTCATCGAGTTTCTGAGAGTTTCTCTTTGGGCTGGGCCTGGGTTGATGCTCAACCAAAGATTCTCTGGCAAATGATCCGGAGATTCGCTGGCAAATAATCAGATGCAATGGTCGCAGCCGGCTGCGCGGCCGGGATCCCGAACCTCTGGTTGAAAAACTTCGCGAGGACGGACGCGTTGGGTGCGCCAAGACACCTAAAGCGGGAAGATGTTGACATGATGGAAGCATATGGAAGCATCAGTCGTGATGGCTGGATGCTGGATCTCCCAATCTCCCGTATCAAAAAAATGCAGCTGACCTGCTCAGAAGTTGCCTCCGCCTGGAAGACTAGCAGTCAGTTGGGTGAAATCTGCTGGGCAAATGCCCAGGTGAGGAATCAAAGTAGGGTCAGGAAAATGGTATCTCCAATCCAGAAAAGCATATAAAAACTTAATTTACACACAGTACTCTTGCAGACTGAACTTTGAATAAGGAAGAGTCAGGAAGAGAGCTTTTGCAGCTTCAAGGTTGAACAAGTCCCCTGTACTGGATAAGCCGGATAAGCCACTAGAAACCAGTTTGCATGAAGCCAAGAAGGGCGCCACATGAGCCACACACTTCAATGTTGCAACACAAGCCACCCCGAGGCCCCGAGTTAGGGGACATCACAGGTCTCGTTGTTCCGATCCTTTTGCTCCATGCACTGTGCAGCAATGAGCCCTGACACAGCATGACAAACATTGGAACTACCTAGCCCCTGAAGGTACCCACAAAAGTCGTATTTTCAAACGAAAGAAACAGCATCGTGTGCCGAAAAAGGCTGAGTTTTGCGGGTACTTTGAGGGTCCAAGTACAATATTTACAATGAGTTTGCCAGTCCAGGACCGGCTGCTGACTGTCCCAGCATCAGCTCACTGCCATGCCCCCTTTCCTAACAGGCCTAACACCTAAGGAAGACTTAGACAGGCCCTGGCTATATTATCAACACTTCAACCCCCTATTGTCAGAGTCTTCAATGCGCAAAGCTAGCCGGTGTCGTGGTGCAGTCAGCTTCCATCCAGAGGCTCCACAGCTCTGAGCCTGACATATCTGACATCGACGAGTTGCTGATGCCCCATCTGCATCCATCTGCCCCAATATCCCCAATTTGCTGCAGCTTTCAGTCTTTCAGGAGGAAAACAAATCATCAAATATCATCAAATCATCGACTAGACTTGGCCACTGCTTCTCAATATATCTCAATGTCTTGCTTCTGAGCTGTGGGGAACACACCGACTCAACAGTGGCGACTTGTGGCGATTTCCGGTAAAGCCTCATAGACTTGCTTGGTCACTCGTAGTCGGCCCAAGATCCGTCTGCGTGCCAGTTGTTGCCTCTTGATTGTGGCAAAGTTGGAGGATTGTTGGTGAGCTAGAGCATGGGCTGTTGATGAGTGGATCTGCGGTGTGTTCGAATTTCATGAATGTTTCATCTTCCCGAAAGTGCGTTTTTTTGGCTACAGTCACTCTTGGCTGCCGCCTGGTTCATAAAACACAAGCCTCACATCTGCCGTCCCGCAACAAAAGTCTGTGGCAAACATTGCCTATGTGCAGTGCAACTCATCAGTTTTCTATCCTTCAACCACGTTTAACCTCATCACTTATCTCGAAACATCTCGAAACCCTCCAATCAATCATCATATCATCATTCTGGATAAATCATGACAATCATGATAAATCATAGCTATAGCATGCTATAGCTATTCACCAACCTGAAAGAGTTCGACATTTGCGGGTGATTCCCCGTAAAAGTTGTGATTTATCAAACTTTATTCGGGGTGACCTACAGCCCTAAGCCGGGTTTCTGGCCTGCTCAGTACCTTGTGGCCCGTGGGCAGACCTCTGGGGACGGTTCTCCAAGGCCAAGTGGTGGCATACCAAGCGGCAACTGCTGTACCTCGCAGGCGCAGGGAAAGGTATGGATGGTATGGAAAAATGATGAAAAATGTGCATCTGTAGCAGCTCAGATGGCCAAAAAACATGAAAAAACATCAAATCTGATCAAAAACTGGCACAAATATCAAGAGATATCAAGAGATTCACAGTCAGAGACGTAGAGATCCAAACACACATCCAAAAAAACAATTTGGACATCCTTGACCCTGAACACCCCTGCATCAACTGTCATGGTACAAACTGCGTGACTCCCCTGTTTTCTGATCCCAGGAACAAGATGAAGAGCCGATCCTCCACTGCGGCCATGCCCACGATGATGTTGCGCGGCCAGCCCAAGTCGCGGAAGTCAGTTTCCACTGCCTGGGATGCCGGACATTGCAAAATTTTCTAATTAGAATTTTGGGGGATGACTAAAGACCAAAAAGGATCAAAAAGGGAGGCTGGCATCAGCTGCCCAAAACATCACCACAACCAACCCCAAAAGGAGAACCATTGTTGGGGACTGATCTTTTTTGGAGGGGATGCACCCAGGATTCCCATGGATTCCCATGACGCGTGGGGAAGCAGAAGCCGCGGAACCAGATCCCTCACGCGTAGCTCAAAGCGCAGAGAGCCTTGGAACTGAGGGCAAACATCAAGTCGTGGTGCTGCAAATACACCAAAAACCACTTAGGGTCACGTGAGGCTCAAAAGTGGGACAAAAAGCTATGTTGAATCCTATTCAAAATCCTTGATAATTTGTTTTCGGAGCTGAAAGCTTATGCTCATTCTATGAGTCCTAGGATTCTCTAGTGGGGTTGAGCAAGTTGTGGATCCCAATGGTTGTAGATCCGCAATGTCGCTCCGCGATCACCAAGGAATCCAAGGAGCGTTGGCGTCTCAGCACCGTGACGGCCGCCAGCGGATAGGTCGGAGAGCCCATCTTGGTGGAGATGATGACCTGAGACATGACAGATGAAGGATGGACCATTTCCAAAGCCAGGGAACTAACTATGGTAAGTATGGACCACATTGCCGCCAAAGCATTGCGAAGATATATATTATATATATATATATTATTTATATATTGTAATATATATATATATATATAATATGAACAAAGGATAGCCAAGGTGGCAAGCTGCCCAAGTTCATTCCACGTTTGCAGCCCAGTTGCCGCACTGAGGCCCGGCATGTGCACCACGTGGGCAAAGGCACCGTTGAAGGGCAGAGTCAGCTTGCAGCGCATGTTCAAGCATCCATCCTGGAATGTCATGGATCCATATGGATCCAACATGATGCAACCGTGGATGTTGCTGGTGACTTTGGATTAGATGCAGAATTTCACAGGAGCTCAAAAGTTGACATCAGCATCTTGCCAAGGCTCCGTTAGCCACACTGTATTCTCTGAGAAGATTAATGCCATCTGCTCTGTGCGTTTGCCTTGGCATCAGCAACTCAGGGTGGAGTAGGGTAGGAGTATGTAGGAGTTCTGAGCACAATCAAAGAGATCATGGAGACTGCATTCAGGACGCTGGAAAGCACCTGTTCCTGTGCAAGATGGGCATGTTGACGATTGAGGATCTGCACGCGCTGTAGCAACTCCTGTGATGCCAATTTTGTGATTCACGCACTGTCGATGCAAAATCAAATGCTATAGCCGCCTTCAAATGCCTCCAAATGTTGAGATCTTTCATCCAAGGAATGGCAGGAATGCATAAAGCAAATTAATGTGGGTAAAACAATGATAAACCATCCCCCAGTCATCACCATTTTTATAGGTGGTTTTTTATCCATTCCCAGTCATGGGTGGTTTATGACATTGTTTTACCATGTTTTACCATGTTTTACCATGTTTTACCCTACATTAAAGAACATGTAGCCATTGGATTGCCTGTCCTGTGGCCCCAGTAGGCTCAAGACATTGCGAATGATCTCTGCAGGCACTGCACTGCCAGAGGGTCGAGCGGTCCATTCCAGGGTGTTGTTCTCGTTCATGGAGCCTCACATTTCTCCCACATTTCTCGCAGAAGTACTTTCTCACGACAAAATGATGCGTTCTGGTAATACCTGCTATGTTCCGGTGATTATAGAATATTATAGAACTATATAATTAGTCTGAACTTCTGCACGTTTTCACCAGGACACATCCTCCACGAGATTTTGTGAGGAACTACAGATGTATTAATGTCCTGTATATAACATTATATAACTGTAAAAGTAAGCTGATATACAGCTGTATAACATTTTTTAGTGTTGGCCATTTTGATTTTCTTTGGACACCTGCCTCAACCTGACACTGCTTCCCTGTCTGGGCCTCCCAGAGCGGATACTTCGCTGGAAATGGTACGGATACTTCGCAGCGGGATCCAGCAAACATTCCAAACTCTCCTGGTGTGCTCGCTGGGGCGTGAGCAGTGGTGTGCCAGCAGGGCTAGGTGGTAAACTATGGTAAACTGTGAGCATTGTGAGATATTGTGAGCATCAAGAAAAATAAGAAAAGAAAGTCATGACCTGAGCGAAATGTATTGGTTTTGCTGTTGTTCCATGCATTTGTTAGTGAGTACCCTCTGGTAAACTAACATAGGTATGGAAAATCACCATTTTTAATGGGTAAATCCACTAGAAATGGCCATTTTCTATAGCAAACTGTTTGTTTACCAGAGGGTAGTCTTCCTCGAACCACAGGTGTGTGGACCACGCCATGCCAATCTCACCCCTGGGGGTCCTGCTCTCAGCATGGCCAAAGCAGCGCACAGTCTTGGGATCATCGTGCAGCGGCCAGCGCGGGGGATGTTTGCAGCTGAGATCTTGGTCCAGTTGGGGAAGCTCCTGTCTCCATGCGTCTGCAGACACACCATACCAGCTATAGCTGAAGTATGCTGAAGTGATGGCCTGGTTGCACAATGGTTGTATGTTGTATGTGTTGTGGCCTTTGACCAACAAAAATCCACAGCGTCAGTAAGTCACCAAGTATATATCAAGGTCCTCAATGATGTGCACTTCCTTAGTCGGTCGCAGCTGGGGATGGATCACACTGGGAGAACTCACAATGGGATGGTTTAAACATCCTGCCAAATAATTCAACTGAATGTGGTAAATCGATGTAAATGTGTCTGTTTCATACTTTTTCCATCTTTTTAGATTTTTTAGGGGATTACTATTGCCTTGCCCTTTTTAGGTGCTTCTGAATGTGCAGAACATGACCCCAAAAAAAACTCACGGTACACAGCCACCTCACTGCAGCTAAAAGTCAGCTGGAGTTTCCGGTGCAGGGTCCAACTGTGAGGGCGGCAGCAAATTCAGCACCGAGACCTAGTGGTCTGTCTGACAATGGGCTTTACATGCTTTACCGTATATACCGTTTAAACCGCCGTTTAAACCCCAAATAAACTGGTTTATCATCATTGGGGGTATGCCAAATTTTCAAGCGCACGCGGCGCACACGAATATGATCGGATGACACTTCTGGGCAGATGACACTTCTTTCCTTGCAACATAGCTGCAAGATGCTGCAAGACTGAGAGTGAAGTGTTTGTAGCAACCTGCAATATCCTGCAATTACCAAAGGTGAGTAGATTCAGTGGACTAACAAACCGCAACCGCAGTGACGATGCGTCTGACACCCACCAAAACCGGCCCGGCCTCTCCACCCAAGGAGGCCACAATGGCGCGCTTGTGCATGACATCAATTGATGGAAGGTTCTCTCCAAAATGCCAAACGGGGATCGGTGACTTGTCCTAGGTGCAATTATCCCTAAGCATCCATGATTTGTGGGATGCACCTGCTGATTAAACTTAAACCATCACCATTTATCATCATAAAAATCAAAAGTCAGTCAGTAAGAAATGATAGATTAAACCATCAATTAAACCATCAATTTCGCTGTCACACCATTAGTAACACCTGCCCTTGAAAAGTAAGTGGTGACTCAGATGGTTTCAGGCCATCGAACCACATCCAAAAAATGGTCCATCGGCAGGTTGCCCAGCAATGCCCAGCATCTGGTGCTGTTCGTCCTTTCGCCTGTTGCAGCTGCCAGCTCTGCCCGCGAGAACCACGGCTTGTGGAGCTGGTTCCAGGGCTGGGCCACCAGGCCTCAAGCAATGGGGGGTCTAGTGGATGATCCAGTCTCTAGTGGATGATCCAATAGTTTCAAAGAGATCTACGGCTTTCATGAACCTTGAATGATATTCCGATAACTGTTGAATGTTCTCTAACAGTTGGTATCAGGTGGTATAAGACACACATCAAGTGTTGTTATAATTTGTTATAGAAGTCATTTTGAATGCAACTATGTATGTGATTCATGTGTCGGCATGGATCAGCACACCAATGCGTCATCATGAGTTGACCCACCCACTAATCGCCAAACATGGTCAGATGTACAACATACTAAAACATATGCCGTAAGTAAACCTGTGTATATGTGTGTAAGCCCCAAGTTGGTCCATTGCCTTCAACCAGTGGTCATTGGCAGAGACCAGCAGTGGACCAGCATCATCTCCTGAGCGCGTCAATGAAGAAAATGTGAAAAACTGCGGTGCTCTCATCCCATCTCGGACAGCTGCGACAGCTGCCTCAAGTAATGAATTCATACTTTTTCAGAATTCTAAAAGAAACTCAGGGACCCCCTTCACCATCTTCACCTCAAAAGCATCAAAGGTTTGTCATCGATTTCACTTGTGCAACGGTCACCGACGGTCACCGAGCTTCCATCTTCAGGAGGTGGCAGTCCAATGCCCCAAGTGGAGGTGCCCTGTGTCATCGTGGGCACTGGTGGGCCAGGTGCGCAAACTGAGTGTTCTGTGTCACTTGTGATGTCTTAACTGTCAGTATTTTCTGTCCATTGATTTATCATAACCTCATGACCTCATGTCATTCTCATCTGGCTAGGGAAAACAGCAAAGCTACCAGTAGCTGCAGTAGCTTGCCAGTAGGTATTTCATATTATTATATATTATTTCATCACATCAACGCAATAATTCAATAGACTTCCAACATCTTCATCAACTTCCAAGCTATGCGCAGTTTCCTATGCGTTTCCAAGCCGCAGCCTGGCCTGTTCCATGTTATGCGCCACGTTCAGCAGCTTCAATGGTGGCAGCTTAGAGTCGACCTGCGATGGTGCCACCAACACACCTCCTGCGGCATCCACTGCCACCACCACAGACTGCTGCCCCAGCTGACCGCAACGGATCCGGTTCACTTGGCCATTGGAAGAGGAAAAGTGGGCGAAGTGGATGTCATTGCCTCAGGATACTAGCATCATGGGCATCGCATCTTCATCATCTTAATCATCTTAATAATCTTCATCATCTTACTCATCTTTCAGCTCCTCTCTCTCTCTCTCTCTCGGTGTTCATCGCCCTCTCCAAGAGTTCAGCGAAAGACTGAAGGCGGGCAAAATGATCATCTTTCATAGTCTCTCATCTTCTTTCATCATGTTTCTCAGTTTCTTCGAGCATCGCATTATCCTACCACTGGTCTTCAAGGAAGCAAACAAATCCCACGGACAGGGTCTGACGACATGGAGCACTGCCAGCCAAGAGTCTCAGGTTTTGATCAGCTTCCAAAGCAGCCAGCTCAAATCCAAAGAGATCTTGCCTGCAGCGCTGCAGGTGACCAATGGGCAAATGTCAGTGCCTAGAACTGCAACAGCGTGAGAATGCGTGAGAGAGATGACTGGATGCATTTCTTCATCTTGCGGATTAGCATGTATAGATATGTATAGCATGTCATGGCCATTCAGATCCATTCAGACTCTCCAATCGCTCCACCTTGAAAACACCAGTTGGGTCCAAGAATCTGATTGGCGATCCACAACGTTTGGGACACTGAGCACGTGTCCATGACATTCATGGGAGGTCCGTTGGGCCCAAATCGCCACCTGATTGATGATTTGACCCTCGTTCCGGGAATCAAAAAGCACCCGCCATAGTCATCCCAGGTTGCAGGCCAGGATGGAAACCAAAAAAAAACAGGTTTTTCAAAAACACTTTGAAAAAATGAATGAAACCAGCAGCCAGCCACAGTTCTGCAGTGCCCAAAGGCATCTTGGGAATCTCCCAGCTTTTCTGCCACGTCAAAGTCATGGCTCGTGCAGCTGCTTTGGCTGCACCTTCCGGGTCGCTGCCCCAGTCATTGAAATCCTCCAGGGATGGTGGGATGCAACAAATGCTCAACGGCCGGAGTCAAACTGGGATCAAATATGTTGAGTTGCTGAGCTTAAGATTCTTGGAAATATGTTGAAATTATCTGAAGATAATTTAAGATAATTTAAGCACATTGATACAAGCTATATACAAACGGAGAGGACGTCTCACGACCGCAATTCGGAACATGCCGACTGCATCCAACTGCTACATCTTTCACCAGGACCGAAAGTGACCCGAGAGGGTCGACTTGCTCTGCAGCCAAGACTCTCGAATGGGGTCCGGCTGTGCTACTTCGAAATCAGCCAGGGAGATATCATCATCAGAATCGCCCATATCCTGGGACACACTTACCTCTATAACAGGCAGGGTGATACCATTGAAACTGCTTCCATGGTGCTCTAGGCCCCTATGTTCTAACAGAACAACTGTGCAAGTACCCAATTGGTTTACCATCTTTACATTCTTATTTCCTGTATGTAATCTATATCTATCTACACTGTCTATACTTATCTTACTTCATGCATGATGGATATCAATGGATGGTGGAGCCGGGCAAACCAGAGTTTTGATAATGACGACCACTATACTCAATGCGAAAGTGAAAGGTAATTATAAAGGATATTAAAGGTATGCAAAGTGAGCATAAAAGTGGACGCTTGATAGGTTTCATCATGTCATCATATGTCATCATTAAGAAGGATTGCCTTCACTGACTTTCGTAAAGTAAAAAAAAGATGCTGGAGCGCAGGGTGGCTTTCGTAGGGGTCGTGCTCTAGCGACTCTAAGGCATCTTCAAACTGATCCAAGGACTCCTGCCATGGCGGGCTCTGGCGGCAAACAATTGCAGCTGTTTGAACTATGTGTGACTAGGTCCAAAATAGGCATTGGTTCCTTGAATTCCTTGATCCCACAAACTTAAGTCTGATCTTTCAAATGTCATCTCAAATAGCAAATGCATGGTAATCTGATGAGCTACCAGCTTCCCTTTCCCCAATCGGTCCACGAAGTCACTGTGGTCAGGTTCCATCCATGCCTGGGGCCGGATTAGAAACCCCTCTGGTAATTTAACATAGCTCTGTTGATTTACCTATTAAAGATATTTAAAGATGGCGATGTTCCATAGCTCTGTTACCCTCTGGTAAACAAACAGTTTGCTATAGAAAATGGCCATTTCTAGTGGATTTACCATTGATTTTCCATAGCTCCGTTAGTTTACCAGAGGCTAATCCAGGTGAAATCAGGTGCAACTCATCCCACGAAATCACTCTGATGGCCCCATCCGCCTCATCGATCGTATCGGCTTCAGCTGCTTCAGCCATCCAGAGATCCTTCCCGAAATTGCTACCAGATCGTCTTCCCAAGCTGACTATATATAGACTCTTGGGTTCCATGTGGATCTATGAAAAATATACATCTATCATCATCTATCTCAATTTCATTCGATCTCCATTGATATCCATTATATAATAGCAATTCCTAGTTAATTGCCCACCAAATATCCATTACAAAATAATCAATATACTCCTTAATATCCATTCTATAGTTCATACATCTTAATATCATCAAACAAAGCCTCTTAGTACAGCAAGTTTGGCATCTCCAAGTGTTTGCCCACGGCTTTCCTCAACTTTCCCAACTTGTGGATCTCCAAAAATCATCACAAAACCTGGGGCGCCTCCCAGACTCCAAAAATCCCGTCGCGCCTCTTGGGCTTCCACTTCCTCCATGGCCAACTCCTCTGCTGCCTGCACCTCAGCCAGAGCCTCCTCAGCCCAGCGCTGCTCCGCATCTGCGGTGGCCTCCTGGGAGGACGTGGTGGAGATGACCGGGGCGCGGAAACCATGGGGAAACCATGGGGAAATGTTGGAAAACCATGGGGAAAACTGGAGTTTTCAACAGCAAACCCCATTGAGATCCATTGAGTCTTTGTTGAATCTCAAGCCATATTTCAAGCAATACCCTCTGGTGAACTAACATAGCTATTGAAAATTGCCATTTATAGTTGATTTACCCATCAAAAATAGTGATTTTCCATTGCTATGTTAGTTCACCAGAGGGTAAACTTGAAGATGATGATACAGATTTACTTGAACGGACCGGATAACGGTATTGGGTTGAACGAAACTTACTGAAAGTAGGTCCGCACAGGTTGATGATAGAACTTTTCATGGACCATCAATTGGACTATGAACTATTGGATGGGGTGTGGCAGACTTGATTGAGCTTCACTTCTTCTGAATTTTCTGCTCTATGCCTCTAGGTTTCAAAGCCACCTTGGCAATGACTTAGGACTTAAGAGTGCTGCAGGAACAGAAAAAAAACGTGGCCACCCTGCTTGCTGTTCAACAGCATCGAAAAATATCCTAGTTCCCAAGAATATCCCAAGAATATCAAATATATCAATGATCCAATCAAGGCCCCTGTCCTCTGCTCGCCAGAGTTCATCGTCATCAAAGTCTTCAAATTCCGCTGAACCAGAACTGCCAGCTTCGTCCATGGCGACGTCCCAAGCACAGCCAGTGCGTGGCTGGTCGATCGGCCATGCGTTGGACGGATGCGTTGGACGGATGCGCTGAAACACTTCTCAGCAATTCTCTAGTCTATGGACCACCCTAGGACCACATGCGAGAAATGAAAGCTACTACAGATTAAACTGCAAAAACTTTACCTTTGTGAAATAATAAAGGTAAAACTACTGCAATATGGTTCCTTGATTTATTGCCACCCATTGTGATTTTCTTAATTCACACAATGGTTCATTGATTTCGCTGCATACTGTGCATTGACGGATTGGTTTTCCAGGAGTACCCCTCATCATGGCTAAAAGCGATGTTCTGCATGTTATCCATATTTTTTGCAGGCTCATTCATGCTTCTCATGTCAAATTCCCGGACAAAAATTATTTTCTAAGCTCACGCGAGCCAAAAAGGCATCGGGCACATAGATGGGAGCCGGGTGGGTTTGTCACGTTTCTTTGTGCGAACCTAAATTTTGGGTTCATGATCTGATGCCACATGAAAAAACCATGAAAAAACTGTATCATGTACCCTCTGGTAATTTAACATAGCTATTGAAAATGACCATTGAAATAGTGGATTTTCCCATGAAAAATGGTGGATCTTTCCATCGTTTTTTGTATGTTTACCAGAGGCTAATGCCACTGAAGGGCTCTGCTACCCCGCAGTTTACTGCAGCACCAAAACTGGATTGCCATCGCCTGCAGGAGGTGAATGGAGCCATCTTCAGCCCCCGCAATCATGGCATAAGCGCCTGGCATTGCCGTGCCGGAGATCGGTCCAAAAATTGGTCCAAACGCCAGCCATATTTTTACCAGTTTGCAAGCTGAATCTGTAAACTGTATTGAACTTTATTGAACTGTATAGATATAAAGTTCATTGAAGTTCCTTGAATTGTACCACATCCACTGCGTCATCAGCCTGAGATCGCTGATCCTCCCACCTGTCAAGCTTCCATCAGAACCCAAACATGCAGTGGGGTGGAACACCGCCGTGGTGAAGGATGCCCTTCCAGTGAGGCCACTGGGCCCCACGGGAAGGCCTCAGGCGTTTTGTCCAGGGATTGAAAGGAGGAAGCTATTGAAACCATCGTACAGTTCGTGTGCAGTGTCTTTTTTGGCAACTCAAAGTCTAACTGTGTATCTGTGTGTTGGACGATTAGGAGTTGCATGTACGCTAACTTGATCGGACACACAATTTACACAATGTGACATTGTGCATGAGTCTCATATCATGTCCCTGTGATGCTATCTTTACCGCCCTTTAGCCACTGGGCCACCCCAGCTCTCGTAGCCTTTCACCGGAAGGTTTGGCAAACGTTCCAAGAACCTGGCAGCTGAAGAGGCTGTTTTGTGCTGTGAACCCCCTGCCAGTGGCTGTTCTTGAAATACCAGTTTTCTGATTCCAATGCCTTTCCAACTGCGCTCATAAAATGTTCCTACAATCTCCTGGAGCTACAGCTTCATGCAACTAGACCTTCACAACCAATCGATATAATTAAACACAGAATGGAACTCAAAATGGTTCTTCCTCATTAAAGCCAATGTTACAGCAGATCCGCCTTTTACACTTTTGCACCTTAGCCTGCTACCACATTGGGAGCAAACATGTCATCCACACCCACGTGCCGGTGGCCCTTGCTTGGGCCAGGCAATGCAGCCCAAACCACGACGATTCAGTGGACATCGCCTGATGCAGCTTAGCGGCAGGAAAATCAATGGAAAACCCTGATCAAAACTCCAATGGGCTCACTGGAATTGAAGTCTTGCACAGAATTCTGGTCAATGGACATATGTGGAAATCCTGGAACTCTTCAATCCATCTTGAATTGTCATACATTTTCTTAATTCAACTTAACATTATCTCATGTGCACCTTTGACGGCCACAGCCATGGGGATCGCCAGCCACCAGCCTCTGATCTCCGACACTGAGGAAAGCTAAGGCCTTTGTTCTCAGAATTCCTCAGTGGCGGCCATCCTTGCCTGACCCAACCCCATGGGCCCCATGGCAATGAGAAATCCCATGACATCCATTGAACTCCCCCTATAAATGGAAGCTTTGGTGGGAAAATCATCTATAAATCAATTAATTATACTATAATTTATATGTATATAGTATATATATAGGGCATATATGGGCATATATAAAATATATTTATATATACAGTATACATATGATTCTGATGGATTTTCCATTGCCATATTGATCCATATTGGATTTCCAAATATTCGGCGATGTGTCTCCCGTCGCCACCGAAACCAGGCGTCTCTCCATGTCCAGCACACGCCCGGCCAAACTCACAGGGGCTCGCAGCAAAGGAGCCATAGAAATATCTCAGTAGAGCGAGGCCAACTCACAGCCGCACTCTCAACAAAAGTGTTCAAGTTCCGAGTTAGGCAAGCAGTGTGTGGTCTAGTTGGGCCACTCCCTTTTGGGCACAGCCCTCATACTGGTCATTCTTCGAGCAGCCAGTTGCTCCCATCACAGTACATCCAAACCTCTGCCAAGGGACTCCCAATGCCACCAACATGCCCGGCGCGAAGGGCAACGTACTGACCGGAGCTTAAGTGAATGACCTGCAAATAGGGGGCAGCACTTAGAAGCGCAAACTGTCACAACAATGATGCAATCGTGATCAACCTCTACTGACTCTACTGAAATGCTGTTGTACCAAGTGGCTGATTCGGTTCCGGCTGAAAATCTAGAAATCATCCAAGCAGCAAGCTGCGGGTACCCACATCTATATAGGTGGAATCATTCATGGAACAACACCACTTAGGCCGTTCAGGTTCTCACTCCGTGTGTGGCATCCTCGAAGCAAACACAGGCATAGTCCTGGTTCACACCAAGGTTTGGGAGCCCTAACCATTATGGATTATTATATTGGGTCTTGTTTTACTGTAAATAAACCACAAAAATAGTATATATATATATTACATATATATATATAAGTCTATAACATGTAATTTAACATATTTTAATTTAGATTTATGGAATAGTTGGATTATGAGATCTTAATGGGAGAGCCATCCCAAATGACCCAAATGAATCCTTAAATGATGAGATTTCTCCTCGTTGGCAGCCAAGGTCAGCCACAGAATCCCTGGAGGGATTCCATCCATGGAAAGCTGGGCAGGGCATGGCCACGTCTTCCAACGATCGGGGCCTCAGTCGCACTGGTGACCCAGACCCATCTGAGTTGAATTCGATTCTTTCGAGGCATGTGACGATGGAAATCAATCCAGGTTTTTGAACATTTGGAACATGTTAAAACATGTTAAAACTGAAAGACAACGCTGGAACGAAAGCCTCACAATGCTTGCTCTTGTGAGTCGTCGACATGGATTTCGGGACAGCATCAGAGAGCCATCTGCGCAGCCGACACACCTAGGTCGAAGTTGATCATCGCAGTGGAAAGCACAAAATGGACCAACATCCCACACTGCTGAGCATATTTTAGTTCTGGATTGGGAATGATTGGGAAGGAATCAGCTATGTCAGCTATGTCAGCTATGTGGACTTGGGAAATATGTCATTTAAGTGATGGGTTGAAATTGGCTTTCTGTTGAGCAAGTGACATCAAGTGACCAAACACGATGAAACATGATGAAACATGATGAAACGCTGCCAAGTAGCACGGTGCCACCCTTTGCATCAAAAGAAGAAGGTTGCAGAGATGTCTGAGCCACCTGGCACATCTGGCACATCTGGCACATCTGGCACTCGGATGCTAAAACCAAGATCCCATCCCAGATCATGAGAATCATCGCTGATCCGAATGGATCAGGCAATGGAAACACCAGAATCATATGTGACTCACAGCCATGGCTGCCATGGTTCGCAGCCATGGGGGCCAAGTGGATCACTTGCGCCCACCTTGTGGCTTCTGAATGTTATGATCAAGCAAGGGTGATTGGATGCATACGAATAACCAAATACAAGACGTTGTCTTGTACCCTTTCAGCCAGAAAAGCATCCTGTTGCCCAAGTGCCTGCACCCGTTCTCCTTGGAAATTCATTACCTCGCGCGAATAAGCCATCATTATCACAAATAATGATGCTTCACTCTCTTACTCAACCCTGGCCAAAAGTGACATGCCCCGACTAGAACTACAACAACAAAATACAAAACACAAATGAGAAAAACATGTACCAAGCAGTAAGAGAACATGCCCCAACATGTCAGCAAGTAATTAAGGAACCAAACTCAAATTCATATGACTTCTGAGCTGTGCTTAAAATAGTCCAATAGTACCAGCACATGGATTGGATTGGCATGACATGCTTATACCATGGGTTCTAATAATCGTTGTTATGATCACTATTGTTGGACTTGTTTTACTGGGAATGGTGACCGTTCCCCCGGAAACAACATCAATCATAATACCCAAAACACCCTGTGGGGTAATAAACCAATGATTGTTCAACTCTCGTGTCACACTATCAAATCCACCACTGCTCAAACCTTTGAAAATCCAGAAAATGCTGAAATTGGGCTGAGCGGGCTGACAGCAGAAAAAACCTCTTTAGTTTTTGCAAAAATTAGTCGAGGGTGCTATGTAGCTGCTCTTAAGATAGTCACTGCACGCGGGAGAGGGGCAACTGACCCCTCTCCCGTGTGCAGTGACTATCTTAAGAGCACCAAAACTTTTCTGAAGTTTAATTGCTCAATTTTCTCGATTGGGCACTTTACTACTAGTACATCTAATATCGGAACAAATTGCCCTCTCATTTTTCACATCTCCCTAGTCAGTGAGCCACATCTAGATGTTTACATCCAGTTAGAATATCCGGCCAGATCAGCTACATAGCATGTTGACAAGGGAGCTTGGGTTGTTGTTTTGCTGTTTATGGGTTTATGATGGTTTATGTGTTTTTTAAAGAACCTATCAGGGACTATTAGCGCTATTAGACTATCTTGAGTCCACCCCAGACTTGTATATAGATTTACTTCATTTTAAAACTAATTCATGGTCAAATCATGTCACATTAATAATATCTGCAAAGCACTCCTTGGGTTTGATCATTCGTTCTTGCCTGCAGCTTTCCTTGTTCCGGCAGCAGGTAGGCCAAACGCCCTTCAACTTCAAAGCTCCTCAACGGCTTTGGCAAATCCACACGCAAGACCTGGCTGCGGCGCAGGCGGAGGGGGAACGGCATCTGCCCCGCCGGGCCCCGCCTGTTGTGGCACGCTGCGTGGCCCTGCATAGCTCCAGAAATGGACGGCATCTGCCTCCAGAGTAGCTGGATGTAGCTGGGCTAGTGCCAGTCATTGACCAAACTGCCCCGGCTGAAATACTTTGGATCTTCGGCAATCGGTTGCTCAATGCTCCTTCATGCTGCTTCCATAATTAATGTGGTTTTTGGAGGCCCCGGGGCCAAGGTAGCCAATTCGGCATGGCAAATGTCATTATCCTTCTTAACATATCTTAACATATTAACTTCATAACACATCCCGTAGTGCAAACTTCATTTTCATGTTGATCTTCCTGTTTCTGGAGGTTGGCATGAACCCCTCCAGCATGTCCTGCGGATTCCTGCGGATTCCTGCGGCAACCCTGGCCCACCTCGGCCACTGCAAAGTGCCGTGCATCGTTGATGAGTCGAACCGCCAGGAGCTTGGACTCTGCCGTGCCCAGGGATCCCAGGGATCCCATGGCCACTGGCCGAAGGCCTTAGTGGTGGGACCGGAATTGGAGATGGGTTGTACCTGGTTGTACTGACATTAGGCTTTCTAGAAGGTGGGGCTCATTGACTCATTGATGCTTATTGTGGAAGCAACATGTGTCAAAGATTATGAAAGTGTCAAAACTTCACTGAAAGGTTTGCTGAGATTGACATGCTGATTGGCCCAGTCAATCCGAGGCTGTAAAGCCCATGACTTCTGAATTGTCTTCGGCACTTCTGTAGTTTGTTTGTTGTTTTTTCTTGGGATAGGGAAACATTGGATACATCATGAATCATCATGATACATCGATGGCAAGGTGACATCATTGGGGCAACCCTGAGCCCTGGACTCAAACTTTCATCTGTAAAGAACACCGACGCCGACACAACCTTGGCGCATCTTGGAGCGACAAGAAACAGCCTGTTTCAGCATCTGCGAAGCATTCCTCACCACCGAAGATCCTGTGACAACCTTCGACGTTTCAGAAGGTTCCCTTCCAATGTTTGTCAAGATTTGTGAAGCATAAGATCTCCGAAAGTTCAGAGTCTGAGTCTGATGTCCAAACATTTGCCCTAAGACTAGATTACGAGTCCAACTGCAGTTGTTGAAGACCGGAAAAGGTTCCCCAAGTTACCCCCGCACCCAGACAGAATTCGTGAGCCCCCGTAAGCCGTCTCGGGGGTTCACCCGTATGTTCCCACCCAGAGCGACTGAAAGTTCGTGGAGGATCACCAAGTGCTCGGTCTCACGATGATAGTCCACCTCACGATGATAGTCATTGATAGTCTAAGCTCACTGGTTTGCGGGGCCACCACCGATACAGCCAAAAGGCAGCCAAAGACAAGTTCTACAGCATGATACAGCATGTCCTTTATGGTCAGCTTTCTAAAAGAGAGCTAACAAGTCTGAAGCCTTGAAGATCCTTAACTTGAAGCCTCACCTAGGCATGGCCCATGAATGACAAAGTTTCAACCCGTTTCAGCAAACTGTGGCGATCCTGGGTGCCCAAACCCAGATGGGCGAAGCTGCAGCCACGTCTGACAAGGTATGCTCTGCCACCTGGTCTGGTACATGTTCAACACGGTTCAAACAGCATATTCATGCACATTCCCAAGGCATAATGCATGCAAAAATGCAATGATATTTCTGCGATGTTTGATCACATGTTCAGAAGATTGGGGACCTAACTTGTTGTCGAGGTTTCATATGTACCCTAGCATAGTTTGCTGGTCATCGCATCAGGACACCAATCATGGCTTTGACCCAAAAAGGGTAGCTTTGTCATCTTGACAGTAATGGTTGAACATGGGTTCGTCCCAGGGTATCTGGGGTACCCTGTCAGATACACACATATAAATATATAGTAATTATACATGTAATACATTTAATTTCAAGATATTTTAAGTAAGTACATGTCACATAATTTACATATCAAACCAAAGAAACTAGTAATGGGACTGTGGGGCTCCTCCCGGCGCCTTCATGCCACTGCTGGTCCGCCATACCGCCAGCATGGGTCGTCCGTTGCATCTCCAAAAGCCCAAAAGATGTTCCGCATCCTGAAGCGACGCAAGACATCCAGGTCATCCTGTGAAACGGGATTAGTTAAAGTTAAAGGTATTAAAGGGATTTAAAGGGTATACCATCCATGAAGCCAAAGGAAAGCCATGTTTTTACCGATATAAAACTGTTTGATCATTCTTAATCCGCAAAACCCGGAAGGATGGTTACATTGTGCGTGCCTGAATCTGAACATGCGTTGGGTGTTTTCATGTGTTTTCACGTGTTTTTGCCTTTTAGGTTTTGTGAATCGTTGCGACATATTTACAACATATTACAACAACTCTTATGTGGCAAAGTGGTCAGCTGCCATCCTGAAACATCCTGAAATCCAATGCCAAGGCCTTGCTGAAGAAGAGATGCGAACAGCTTTGCCCAGGCTGCCTGGGACTTACATGGATTTACACTTTACCTACCAATTCTATCCAAGTCTGTGAAGTTTGTCAAGGTCCCATCGCCAGTTTCTGAGGATCCTTGATGATCCTTGCCTGGAAGCGGAACCTGTGTCTCTTGCACGGCCCAGGGTTCCCGGCAGCAGAATGAACTTGCGCGAATCTTCACCCAAGCGAGTGTAGTCCCAAATCACCAGGATGGAACCCGCCTCAGCCATAGAAAAGGCATCCCCCCACAGCTCTACCAGGATCCACTAGCCAACCATGCCACGCAAAGGGTACCCGCCTGGTAGGCTGCCAGCGGCAAACGATGATGGCAAGAAAGCCTGCAAAACGTGGTTGTTTTTTAAAGAGGCAGTCGTTATCAGCGCTCAATTCGAATTCAATTGTGGTGTCCCTGGTCGATACTTGCTTTGTACGAAGAGGTCGTCCAAAAGCTGCCTCACCCACGTCCCTCAAATCTTGGCAGGTCCAGATTCCAACAACCCCCCCCTGCGCCGAAGCTATTTTCTGCTAACCAGCGGGGATGTGCATGGTGGACATTGACACGTGTTGCAATCGCTTTCTGAGAAAACAATAGATCAAACCATGACTGGAAAGGCCGTTTTAAAGTTCGAAACACCACAAAACTTGGCGAGTGGTGGATTTCTTCTCTGGTCACTACATACTGCATGTGTTGGTCACACCTGCTGCACGGATAGAGATCATGATGATCCTGAGGTGGTCATCAATGGATGGCATGGGGCGCCTGGAACTGCCACTGCCCAGCACTGCCAACAAGGTAAAGCTTCCCATCTGACGGCGGGAAATTCGAGGCGCCGGGCGTCGACAGGATCCAAATATCTGGGTAGCATTAACCCTCTAACGATCGAACCCTTGCCATACAGCAACAGAAAACCCACCTCTTGAAAAATAGGTCCATGACTGGCTGCATTCATGCTGGAATTTTCTGCATGCCGATGCATCATCACTCTGCGTGGCGTTCCATTGAATGTATTGCAGAAGGGCAAGTAGGGTAGTTCTGGCGGTTCTGACAGTTCTGGCACCACTGTGTCGCAACGTCCGGGACAAATCTACTAAAACATACTAGTACGACATAGTACAACTATCTATTTTAAGACGAACCATTCAACAGGCTTGGTATGGCTTGGTATGGCTTGGTATGGCTTGATATGGCTTGGTGCTCAGGGACCTTTAAATTGATGTCCAAAAGTTGGCGTTCTGGACTGGAGATGCCGCATGCTGGCCAACGTTGGATGATGGCCATGGGTCCAACAGCCATCCGTTTGTTTGACCTAAAATATCTGGGATGTTTGGCTGTCGGCCAACTAGAAAAACCTGTGGTGGGTGAAAAATGAGCACATCGTGGATCAAATATGATAATTTATGCTTTGTGATGAGTGAATCTACATGGATCTGTGGGTGATGAGCCCGTCTATCCCATGTTTCACTATTCAATTCCCTCGCACCTGGGCCCTCTCAGCTACCAGGGTAGCCATGGCACATGGTCCATTGTTTTCTGCGACAGGAATCTGCAGAATCCCCTGTTTCAATGGCAACAACTCTGTCCGTTGACTGCAAAGGAAGAGGGTGCATTTGCTCTTGGGGGTCATAAAATGTCAGTAATTATATAGATGGTTGGGTCCCCGGTTGGTTGTTTGACGTTGTTTGCTTGGTATCCTGACAGCAGCTTCCCTAGCCCAAAGGCACCAAAAGCGGAAAAAAGGCGGCAAACCATGTATGAAAAAACGGCATAAAACGGCGATGTGAGCAACGTGGTGGTTTTGGTCAGGGCAGCAAGGCCGCAAAGGCAGCAATGGTTTTTCTCGGGAGCTGTTTCTAATCCGAGTCACCAATGGAACATAATGGAATCATGCGCTTTGTGGCAATGAGTCCGTCATGAATCTTCAATTTGATTTCACAACAGCACGTGTGTTCCTGCCATGGGGGCAGTGCGGCCTCTCCGAATTCATGAAACAAAGCGTGCTTCACGCTGCTCCAAAGCGTGCTTCACGCTGTGGAAATGCAACATCATACTTCTCTGCAAGTAGCTCGCCACTCGGGCTGCAAGGAGGGCAAACTAAACTTGCCAGCTGATGGACAGCAAAGGCCACACATCACATTTCACCACGAATCACTCACCAATGTCTGAGATTCGCTCGAAAGAGTTCACTGAACCTCAACCAAACCAAACAGTCTGCAGCATTTCTTTGGAAGTTCCTGGAAACTGAAGGTTGTTCTTCGGGATCTGACCACCCTTGAGCGGCCATGCCAAACTACAACCACATAAACACACTGTAAACACGGATTGTGCTCTCAACATAGTGTCTGGGGCCCTCACTGGCATCGTCACGTTGCAGTTCAGCCCTCATCTCCTGCTATCTTGGGTCACATTGGGAAAACCTGACGAAAGTTCCAATGGATTAGGATGGATTAGGCACCATCTTCGGAGCAAAACAACAGGCAATTCGCAGGACAACTCCTCTCGAAGCGCAAGCCACATCTGCTGCTTTTCCAACCTCAGCTATCTCTGAGCAATTTGAAGCTACTGGGAATACATTGGAATTACCAAGTGAGGTGGGGAGTTGCACAGCGCCAGTGTGAGGCGTTCCGTTTCTTCAACCATCTGGGAAGACACCTTTGCGAACACAACAGGGAATACTTGGTCCAGCAAAACTGGAACAAGCCACCCTCGTTCTTGAGCATTCCTCAGCAACCCCTATGATACTGATCTGGAAAATGACAAGTCCAACACCAGGGGGCTGGAATTCTGCCATCATCTGCTGCTTCTCGATCTTGAACTTCTCCTCACGCTCTGAAATCTTGCGCGCAAAATCTTATAATCACGAGAAATCCTGCAGGAACAAACAACTGTGCTACACTGCTACACCTCCAATTTGTTCAACTCAAACTGGTGAGTTTGGATTGTGCACTGCTGCACGGTCGGGTCTTTTCAAGATTTTGCAAGCCAACAGACCTCCATTTCGATACGAATCTTGTCGACAGGACTTGGCATATGCTGCCTGAGAGAAAACGAGAGAAAAGCAGCCTTCGACTAAGAACATCATTGGGATTTACGAACAATACTGTTGTGAGGCTGTGTGATGATGTGATTCGAGCTAGTCCACAAAACCCCATGGTCTTGTGCTACATTTACAGGTCCAAGAGCAGATAGCATGACTTTGGTGGGGATTTGGACCTGTTGAGATGGATGCAAAATATAATCAGAGCATATATCCATATGATACCACATGCTATAACCATATGATACCATACGCATCCATACGATATACAATCCAACAACGCAATGATGTCACATAAGCCAGGGTTGGGAGCAAAACGAGAAATCAAGTGTCTAGCAGTCTAGCACCTTTACCCATTGAGTCAAATCCATCTAGATGCTGGACAAGATCTCTGTAAATCACTAGGGACCCCACTTAATCCCCAAAACTTCACACAGGCAAAGATCAAAGTATATAAAGCCGAAGCACCAAAAAAAACAAAAAACAAACAAATTATGCAAACAAAAATAATGACAATCACAAGCCATCACAAGATGTCACAAGCCTATTTTCTGCATTTGTTTACGAAGAATCTTTACGTCAGCCGAGATTCTGAAGTGCCATCGTGGGTCCGGATGCTTCTGTGCTGCCATCCGAGTCATCATCGTCTGAGACATAGAGCTGGAAATCTCCATAGTGTTCACGTGCAGCATCCTCCGACGTGAGGGATGGTGCCTATGCTCCCCTATTCCAAAGGGACTCCAATCGTATAGGTGACCCGTTTTAAAAAAAGAACAGGTCCAACTTTAACCAAGTTGAAACACACGAGAAACAAGAGTACAGTACCACGCTGTGGAATGAACTGCGACCTGGAGATGCCATGAATCAATATGAATCAGTTCCCTGTTTGTATATTGTCTTGAGAGGACGTAGGAACCCTTTCACAAAAACAGCAGAGTGAAATCTTTCAAACAGCGTCGCCTGTCCTGTGCGGCTCGGGCAATGGCATCCTCGTCCGGCCCACTCTGCAAGAGTCTGAAGGAGTTAAATTGCTCCTCCGGATCGACAATGGCAAGTTCACCAAGAAACCAATTGAATTCAGGACAAACCAAAAGGAAGTTTACCAGCAAGAGGCCAGAGTATTTTTAATGTATGTTGATGTACGTCTTATCATGTCTCATCATCTAAGGATGTTTCATGGCCATACCATGTTCACGACGTTTCTGTGAGCCACAACAGGTTCAACAGCTATACCATATGTTTGAAGTTGTCTCCTCGGCGCGAAGAGTCAGGGCCTCCAACTGTACAAGCTCGGACTTGGTTTCGCAGATCTGCCGTTCGAACTGTTCCACCTGAAAAGAACTGATGTCTCAAGGAAATGATTTCAAATGATTTCAGGCATATCTAAGCACCTGATGTTTGCAAAAGGCTGCAACCACTTGAGGAGTGGACAGGATGCTGCTATCAAGTGTGGGCAGAAACATGTTTTTTTTTTTTTTATTTTTTTTAAAAAAAAAACCAACGCACATCAAAAAAAAACAAAAAACTGTTTGAAAAAACTAGAGATGGATCGCGCTCTGACCAGCCTTTTCGAGGGTTGCAGCCTTCCTCAGCCAGAAAAGCATCATCAAATCATGGACTGAAGGTTCAAATCTCATGCTATTATATCCTGTGAATGGCAAAAGTCCGCCTGTCACAGAGTCGAAGAAATTTCCCAGCGCTTTGATTACTTTGATTCCAGGAATTCTGCAAAGTGACTTCGGTTGCTTCTGTTTTTGAGCGAGTTTTTGGAACTTCCGTTGCTCCTAGGATGAAGCATTACATTGGCATGCTGTCTCCACGTAGCATTCAAGGGCGTGTGGAAATTGAATCGATTCCGCGCTGGTTGAATCCATGAAAACACTTGAAGACACGAAGCATGGTGCCTACCAAGATAGGCCATCTGTAGATAACTCAAAGTAAAGAACTGAGTACATCTGAGTACTTGTGTGTGTGTTTCACCTGTTTCAATCCGTAACGCAACAAGAGCACCGTTGCAACAATGCGTTCAAAGCGGTTGCAGCGTGGCTCCTGCAACAAATGGTCGCGTTCTTTCTTCTTGGCAGCCACCAAACACTTGCCAAGTTCATAGGCAAAGGCTGTGTTCTTCCAGGCCTCCTGCAAGGCAGAAATGATAGAAATGATGCGATGGGTTGGAAGGTGCCATGAAGCCCCCTGGATCCTTTAGCCCCCAAGTTCTCCCCATATAGACTGGATTAACCTGTTCCTTCCCTGTATCCATCAACCATCTTGGCGCCTCCACCGCCAGCTTGGAATAAGCCAGAATGCTGCTGTGGCAGGCCTACCATACCAGGCTTTATGCGCGTTATGGCCATCAAGGTGATATAAGGTGATGCAATGGTGGCTGCAGTTGATGTTACGCAATCACCATCAAACTGTGGAAGAATCTGCCTGGTTACTGGCGGTCATGGCTCTGGTGGAGGCGGTCGCCTGGTGAAAGTGAATCTCTGCATCAAACTGATCCTCAAACCCATCACCGTCAATCCCTTGCCCTGAAGGCACTGAGGATTCCAGAACCACCTCTCACACTTCTTGTTGGGGGGTTGACGGCATCCCGCCATCCCAAAACGAAAAGCTCGAACTCAAGCCGTGCCTCCACATCGAGGTGGTCGCACTCCTCTTTCATCTGTGCACGGGCAGCTCGAGCAGCTTCAAGCTCCTTGCTGATCGCCTCATCTGCTTTTTCGAGATTCTCCTGCAATCCAGGCATTCAAGTAGCACATCAACTATTGCAAACTTGTGAGCAAGTCATGCCTATGTCAACATGATTCAACATGTGTCAACGTCATCCCACCTCCTGCATGGCTGCTGCCTCATTGCGAATGTAGGCATCCTTGTGCTTCCTTTCGGCCTCCTGTGCAGCTTGCTGAGCTTCCACCATCTGCTGTCCTGCAACTTCCACCTCACGGATGGTGGCACGACGAATGCGAGCGCACCTCTGCATCTTCTCGCGTACTTCTGCTTGCTGCTGCTCCAAGCCGGCAACCAACGAGTCGGCCACAGCCCTTTCTGATGTGATCATCATGGCCTTTCGTTGTAAGGCATCCACCAGTCTCTGCTTTGCATGGATCTTATCATGCAACGGGATCTCGTTCGTGCACAGCAGCTGGAAGACTTGTTTTGTCGATTCTTTCACGTGCTCACCAGCCAAGGTTGTTCTCATCAGTTCAAATGCCTTTTCCTTTTCCACGTCATCCATGCTTGCAACTTCTGTTGGATCTTTCTGAAGGCAAAGGGCAGCTGACCAACCCTTGCCCTCAATATCAGAAAGTGCTGTCCTGGTCCCACTCACCTCTCGTTTTGCAACTTCATATGCCGCCTCGAGGCCCTCGTGCATCTTTTTGTAGGTATCTTCATTGCAAGACTCCAGCAAAGCACCCAAGTCCTCCTCGGCAGCTGGAAGGAAGAACTCAAACTCAGCAGCAGAGGCCACGGCTGCCGCACCGAACCCGCGGATCGTGCAAGCACAGGGCTTCAGTGAATCAGGAGCCAATGGGAGAATACCATGTGGATCTTCCTCGTCGTAGGTCATCAACCCTGAAAGGTCTTTCTTGCCAATGTGTTCCGCAATGGTGGCATGAGTGGCACGGATGGACTCCCAATGCTCCGTGACTTGTGACAAGAAATCTCCAGGAGACAAGTCCATGGCTGCAAAGGATGTCGGCTGCCGGGTTGGAGCCCACAAGGATTTCAGCTGCAAGGCAGGCCTCTCCAATCAAGAAATGAACCCAGGAACCCTGGCACGACGTGATGCTCTGAGCCCCCGGCCCCTAACAATGGAATAGCATATAGAATTTGAATATAGAATAATTTAGTTCAAATCAAAGTGCACACTGGTCCAATAAATCCAATAAATTCAAGAATACCATAAACATCCATAAACTATAAAAGGTCTGTGTGATTCGCCATTCCATTCAGTTTTCGCATGTTTTCAGCATTTTTTTCGGCCATGCGGTCGCATCTGGCAAGGTTAAGCTCCACAAATCCAGCGCCTCGCTGGGGGCCACAGCTCGTGAATTCAGTGCTCTCCTGGCTCCGTTATTTTCAGCTGATGAGGTGGAGCTTAATGTCAACCCCGGATTAATAAACCATGGTTTATTAATTAGGGGGTACTCCTCCAATAGTCATAATCTATCATAATCTGATACTTAAATGGTACCGCCCAATTAAACAGCCTAGGGCCTAGGGGTTTATTAATCCAGGGTTGACATTACAGACGTTGGAGACACTGGAACTAACAGCGACCAGACACACTCTCTGGGCCAAGTCCTCAACTGGGAAACCCAGGTGGTCATCGTTTGGGTTCTCCTTGGTTCTCCATATCAATGCATATCAGCCGTCTCTCCATGTCAACGACCAGGACACATGAATTGCATTGCTACCTTCACGCTTGAAAAATGAAAATATCGAGCGCCTGAGGAATCACATCACTGATCATCACTGGCTGCAGCAGTTTGGTCCACCCGTTTTCATTGAACAAACATGAACAAACCATGTAAACCAATGGATCGTCAAAAACCGATGTCTAGGTCATTCTTAAAGCTTAATATAAGCTTAATTAAGGGGTTGAACTCCCTGTGAAGTTGATGTACAGCAGCAGGCTTCCTTCTTGTCCGGACACCACTCCCGCGTTTGGGTGTCTAATTATCCTTCAGCCAGGGCGCAGCTGCGTCCATGAGTTTGAGTTTTGGTGGTAATGTCACCCGAAAATTCAGGTTGAAACTAGCAATTAACTTAGCAGGTCTGTAGATGTCAGCGAGGCTCAACATCTGCCCTCTTTTGCTCCTTGAGTCGAGAAGAAGCTGAAATCGAAACTGGATGAAATATGATAAACATGGGTTCTGTAGACTGAAAATTGATGTTGGCTGATCCTGGTTCTTTCAGGTCTTCAGCGTTGCAGTAAAACTCGCAGTTTTTTGAGCCAAACCTACGAGGGTTGAACAAGACCATCCCAAGCAACGGCTCCCCAAACCCACCCACGAGCAATGCAAGCAACTTATGAAAACAGCGTCAAGACACACGAGCTGCAATGCCAATTCAATCTTCAGAACTGTGTTTCAAGGGGCTGCGAAGTGACAATTGAGCTGTGTTCAAAAGGTCTTGTTCTTCTGAAGGCGCTAAGGGTTAATGCTTACGCAGCAACTTACGCCCTGCGTACGCACCCGCAGTTTCAGATTTTGCGCAGGAATAGCTTTACGCTGGTGCTTACGCGGGCTTACGCACACCAGGGCTTTGCGTACGCGAGGTCCTTATTGCCACCCTCTTCCTAAAAATAAATAAGGGGGTTTTGGACATGGCTCAATTGCTCTTCCTGATGTCAGCATGATGGCGCACAAGAGAACTCTACATGATGATTTTTCGTAAGACTGAGAATCACGCCCGCAAACTTCTGGTTCTGAACAATGCCCTTGTGGCGTTGTTCAAATATCTTCAGATTTAAATGGTTTCAGACGTGGGAGCAAGGCTCCGCCTCAAATACTGTGGAACAAAGCGTGCTAAACGCCGCTGGAGTAGCATTTTGGCTATGCCATGCTGAAGCACGATTTTGCCATTCGAAAAATGTGTTCAAATCCTTGACATGATAAAACAGAAAATTTCGCAGTTTGCAAATCCAGCAGCTATGAGCCGACAAAAATGCAGACAGGGAAACACGGCGTCATCTCTGAATTACTGGTACTATGCGGAATACTTGGCGGAATATGCTGAGGCTAAATCGCTGTTGCACTCAGCATCTGTCTTCCTCGTCCTGCGAGCAGTTCACCACACGGCTGCATGAAGGGTGAACTACCACCACTGGATGGTCGCGAGGCCACCCAGCATCACTCACCAATGTCTGAGGCCGAGATTGGTTCGAAAGAGTGGAGGGAACCTTGGTGGAACAGCCCAAGTTGGAAACGCAGAGATGTGGGCACTATTGGAATTTCAGATGATGTGCCTGAAACTCTGTACATATGTGTCTAAAAACTGAAACCATGACAAAACATGTTCTCTCTCTCTCTCTCTCTCTCTCTCCCCGCTCTCTTCCCCTGTTTTTGTTCAAAAGCCTCTTCCCGCGATCCCTTCCGGATCTAGCATTTGGATGTGAATCGATGAAAAATATCACTGCCATTTCTAGGGCTGCTGCTTGCGTCTTCACGTTGGAGTTCAGCCCTCACTTCCTGCATGCTGCTCCCAAAAAAACAACGAGGACATGCGAAGACATCAAAGAATGGCCACTTGAAGGATTCTGGGGGCTTGCTTCGATCATGCTGAAAGAAGAGCATGAGAAACCTGGCAAAGTCTGTCCACAACTCTGAACCAACGCGCCCAGCAAAACGCCTCTCGTACCATGAGCACCAACTGTTCCTTTTCCAGCCTGAGTTTGCTCGTCATAAACCCACAAACGTGGCGTAAGTGATGCGTAAGCCACTAAGTTGTCAAACACCAGTGTTGCTCACGGCGACACAATTGAGGTATAATTTCAACTTCAGCACCGTCAGCACCATTCAATTATACAATTAGTAGAAATATATACCTGAATAGCATCCGCAACATGTCTTGAGCGTTTCCTCAAGTGCCTTGAACGTATGTGTGGAATTAAATGTCCATCCATGAACTACCCTGTTTATATACAGTACCGGTGATCATTGTCCTGCATGTCTTGCCGAATAGCATGGAGTAGCAGTGAGCAACTTGGAATTCTTGGCACTCTTGCAGTTATGATTTTTCAACTAAGCATAGTTAAGCAGTTAGTATTAACTATCACAGGCTAGCTACAGTAGCCACAGTAGCTTATATATGTAGGCAAAAAAAAATATCAATAATCATCAAGCTTGATCTCTGTAAATTCGTTCTAAGATTCTTTGAGGTTTCAGAGGAAACCTTCCAGGGTCATGCTGGAAAAATTGTTCCCGAGATTCAAGATCGCTGACAAAACTTTATCGATCGGAAAGGACGTGTGCCACAGTAAACACCAACATTGAGCGGCAGAACTAATTGTATTAGCACCTTTTCCAGCTGTGCAACTAAGGCATTTGGTTTTGCAGTGTTGTCACACTTTCACAGCAACGCCGCTGATGCCCACTTTGGAAATCAAGGATGCCGAAATGATGCGCAACTATATAATTACAGTCATACAGTAGTCTTATATATATAATTACGAACAAGTTCCAGCCATGCAACAGCAGCAAAACAATATCAACCAGCTGGAAGTGGCTTGCAAACAAAACCATTAAAGCCAATTAAAGCTCTTCGACCCAATTGCCCTTCACACCCTCATGGTCCGTGTGCATGGCCGGAAGTCTGAAAACTACCAAGCCCGAGAAACTCGAAAGCTTTCTCGCGCTCCTGGAACTTGAGCTGGATTTCTGCCAGCAGCTGCTGCTTCTCGATCTTGTGCTTCTCCTGAAACATCTTGCAGCACAAATCCGCCAATGACTGGACGTCAAGCAGTCAAGCAAACTGCTGCAAGATTCACAAAGTCATACATGTCAATAATAAATACATATTGAAAGGCCAACTGCTGGACGTGCTGGAGATATCCGGTGGGGGGCAGCGTAGCTTCCGAGGGGACAAATCAACCAATCCAACAGCTCTGCCACTCAAGAGAATTACATAGAATTACTCAAGTCTCCTCCATCTCAATACGCAATTTGTCAAGAGGATTTTGCATCCTCAGAGTAAACCCAATTGGTCAAATCATAGTGGACAATGCTGTGGAGCAGCACTGGCATCACAACAAGTGCCCCAACTCATCCGATAACAGTGCTAAATTCCACAGTCATCTGCAAGTTACGAGGTTAATATACTACATGGATATACATGGTTGCAGGCATCAACGTATCATAGAAATTCAAAGGATCATGAATTTTCGACCATGTTTATCCCAAAAAGTTTAAATGAACCAATATCATACATTATCAACGATCACAATGGTATCAAAAAGTGCAATCAACACCGCTGCCCCTCAAAATTTGACACTTTCCAAACATTTCCAAACACTGGTTTCTAAAGCATGAACAGCCCTTCCAAGAGCTGGTGGCACACGCAAGGATGACGAGTATGAATCTTAGTTAGATGCCAAGGTTCTGAAGTGTCGTGGTCGTAGACCCAGACGCTTCCGTGCTATCATCTGAGCCATCATCCTCTGAGAGATACAGTTGAAAGTTTCCGTAGCAGGCACTTGCAGCATCCTGCCACTTCGTGGCCCAGGCTTGTATTTGAGAAAACTCGACGATTCAACAGATGAGTTCCCTTCCTAGGCTGTGGGAACAAGAGCAAGAAGTACCAAGGCCAATTGTATCCAACTTGTTGTTCTGCACAAACTACACGAAGTTACAACAGTTACAGCAGAACATCTCTCGAACAGCACCACCTGTCCTGCGCAGCGAGGGTAATGGCTTCCTCATCCAGACCACTATTCAAGAGCCTGAAGATGTTGAAATGGTCCTGGGACTTGGTTGAAACGAATATGATTTCTCGTGGCTCTGTGAGGGCCTGCATGAAAACACTGTCGGTGCGTGGTCTGGCTTGAGGTTCCCATGTAGGGCTGATGGATCTATTGTACTTACCACCTTTCATGTGGTTGAGAAAAATGGCGCCCATCCAAATGTTCCAGTTTTTGATAGTTTTTGTCCTCCGCGCGACGGGTGCCAGCCACCATCGCGTTAAGTTCGGCACAGACTTTGCTGATTTGTTGTCCGAGCTGTTCCACCTGTCAAGAAAAGAGGTAAAAGCAATGCAGCAAACCTACACGTGTTATCATTAAGTGAAACAAGCATATTAATATAATATATTATATAGTACATATATTATATATTATATACTTACTTGGAAAATGTTGTGCTGCAGCAAGTGGCTGTGGCCAATGAGAGGAAATTAGTACTCCCGCCGAACCACCTTTTCGAGGTTCTTGGCCTTCCTGAGTCAAGAATGCATCAGTCAGCTTTTGACCATGCAAAGAAAACCAGGGAGAGGTCCTTCAGCTGACTCTGTGATGCCCTCTGCATGACATTGCATGACTGGACTGTGCCGTCTTGAAACTGTCTCGGGGCGACAAAAATTGGGTTCCAAGTGCCTTGGTGAGGCATGCCGAGTGGCACAGTTCGCTGTTTTTGTTTTGCAGCTTGTTCTTCGCTGTGGCGCTGCTCCTCACTACCGGCGGAGCAAACTTGTAGAGCATTGAACAGCATATACACTATAGCAGTCTAAACCTAACGGACCTGCAATGGAAAGCTGCTGGCTAGATCCGCAGATTGAATTCCACAATCCTCGCAACTTGCCCCCAGGAAAACACATCCGAAAAGTGATCGATGCATGATTTGTTTCCATGACAACCCACCTGCTGGGATAGGGTAGTTTTGGAAAGGTGAAAATAAAAACAAACACATTTTGCAATATTTCCTGGGAGGCCCTTGCTCCTCCAATAAATGGTTGTATTCTCGGCGCTTGTCGGCCACCAGGCACTTGCTAAGTTCGCATCCAAGGGCTGTATTCTTCCAAGCTTCCTGGGCAAGCGTGCAAATCTCTTTCACATGAAGAAAGATCAGCACTTGCACACCACCATCTGCAGGAATCTTAGCACCACATGCCTCCACTGCTTCTCTCGAATAAACCAACAAGCTGGCATGGGAGGCCTACCGTGCTGACACGTGCACTGCATGTGAAGGACAGAAAACACTCAAATAACAAGAACAAGAATGGCCCCCCCTGGCTGCTAGAGGTGTGAGAGCTCTGTCTATCTGCAATCAGCATCAATAAGCTATGTATCCCGCCTGGATAGTGGCTCTCACTGCTTCAAAGCAGTTGACCGCCTGATCCGACTCATGTCAGAATTCTAGATTCTTAAGGTTTTGCAAATTGGAGTTTTCAGGCAACCCCTATATACCTGGATCTTCCATATGTTTATACTTATTTCTGCCGTTGCTGGAGGAGAAAAAAAAACGCTGTTTTTTAAGGAAAAACTCCGTTCCTCAACATAAATGCTGTTGTGAACTGTCATCCACATGGTCGGCTATTTTCGCCCTTGATGGCATTTTTGCAGCTGCAAAATGGGCTTGGCATGAATATATCAGAAGAAACGCTGGTCTGCCCAAAATTTGAAAGGTCGTTCTTGTGGAAAAACAAATTCTTGCGCAAAAGGCAGAAATTAAGCATGCTTTTGAAGACGCACATATTCAGATATTCATACTGATACAGCGACCCCTGACAAAATAATAAACCGTCAATGGGATTCCAACACCAAGGCCCTAACATGTGAGCACTGCTTGGCGGGCTCGCAACCAAAATAAATTCAAACCACGCCTCCGCATCACATTGTTGGCACCGTGCTATGGTTTCTGCAAGGGCACGTCGAGCAAATTCCAACTCCTCACTGGCGCGTTCTTGAGCTTCTGCTAACTTGGCCTTCGGGAATTCATTTGAGAGACGAAGCATCGACTAGCAGTGACTAACACCCCCCAGACGAGGACCAGAGCTTGCAACGCTAAAGCATCTTCAAACAAGTATGTGACAAGAATCTTCGCACCTCAACATTTAAAATGTTCAATGTATTAAAATGGGAACTATCCAGCCTGCCTCCATGATCGTCGCGGCCTCGTTTCGAAGGTAGGCATCCTGGTACTCTTTCCAAGCGACCTGCCGCGCTTTCTCAGCTTCCTCGAGCATCTTGCGCTTGGTCTCTTCCGCACGGATGGTGACGCGACGAATCTGAGAGCACTTCTCCATCTTGTCAAGCACATCTGCCTGCTGCTGCTCCAAGCCGGCAAATAACTTGTCTGCGACATCCTTCTTGGATGTGACCAAATCGACCTTTTCTTGCAATGCTTCCTGCTCCTGCTGCCTCCGATGGACCATATCATGCACGACAGGGAGCTGGCTTCCCAACACGAGAGCTTTAACTGCACTCTGTGTTTGTTCAACATGTTTCAAATGCAGCTGTCTTTGCATCTTCTCGTACTGCTGGGCCTTTTCGTCATCATCCATGGCGTCGACTTCTTTAGGCTCTTTTTCAAGACGAAGTGCCGCTGAATAACTTTTTCCCTCCAGAGCAGAAAGTGCCATCTCGTGCGGTTCACTGCTGCTGTTTGGTTTGCATAGTTTTTCCGGTGTTTCTGTGCCATAGTTCCATGGGTACCTTCCTTGCAAGATTCCAGGAGGGAACCCAGATGCTGCTCTGCTGTTTTGACAAAAGCACTGCACTCAGCAGTGCACGCGAAAGCTGCGTCACCGAATCCACGGATGGCGTCAGCGCAGGGTTTGAGTTCATCAGGGGCCAATGCGAGGATACCATGTGGATCAGTGGCATGGCTCATCAATCCTGGAAGGTCTTTCTTGTCAATGTGCTCCGCGATGCTGGCATGAGCAGCACGGTTGGCATCCCGGTGCTCCGTGAGTTGGTCCTCGAAGTTGGACAAAAAGTCGCAAGGGCCATCGGTCATAGCAGCACGGAGGACCACTGAGGCAGTTTTAGGACCCAGAACACTTTCGGCTGCCAAGCTTCTGCAAATCAGAAAGCAAAGCAACCCTCAAAAAGGATCAAAAAGGCACACAATAATGATAACTGATGATAACCCACATGGTTCATACAGAACCGATGTCTGAAAACTACACACCAGCACTGGGTGTTCAGAAGTGTCTTTTGGCATCTTTTGGCAATAGCACACATGGATCCAATATAGATTCCAGAAGACCATACCTGAGAACTCAATTGTGTAAAATTTCTGCTGTTTCAGAAATTTCTGCTTTTTGGAGCAAACTAGGAACCCGGCGCATAGACGGCCGTGGCTCAAAATGAAGAATGAGTATCATCCAGCTTGATTTTCTGCACGTTTGTAAGGGGATTTCTCAAGTTTCAGGTGTATACACTTTTTGTGGCTGAATTCCATTGGAAAGTTAGCAAAATGGCGTTTTCGCCTCAGCGAAACGATCATTTTAATGTTTTTTTGAAATGACGTAACTACTTTGTCTATGCCAGGATTTGCTTCTGTTTTTCCTCATCTGACAGCATCAATCCTGCGGCAGGAGGTCTTCCAAGTGTTCCAAAAATTCGCAGCAGCGTAGCAGCAGCGTAGCATCCACGTATGTAGGCAAGGTACATGAACGTTAATATCCCCCCCACCCCACCCATGCCCAGTGACGTAGCAGCAGCGTAGCATCCACGTATGTAGGCAAGGTACATGAACGTTAATATCCCCCCCACCCCACCCATGCCCAGTGACGTAGCAGCAGCGTAGCATCCACGTATGTAGGCAAGGTACATGAACGTTAATATCCCCCCCACCCCACCCATGCCCAGTGACGTAGCAGCAGCGTAGCATCCACGTATGTAGGCAAGGTACATGAACGTTAATATCCCCCCCCACCCCACCCATGCCCAGTGACGTAGCAGCAGCGTAGCATCCACGTATGTAGGCAAGGTACATGAACGTTAATATCCCCCCCCACCCCACCCATGCCCAGTGACGTAGCAGCAGCATAGCATCCACGTATGTAGGCAAGGTACATGAACGTTAATATCCCCCCCCACCCCACCCATGCCCAGTGACGTAGCAGCAGCGTAGCATCCATGTATGTAGGCAAGGTACATGCGTCCCCCCCCACCCCACCCATGCCCAGTGACGTAGCAGCAGCGTATCATCCACGTATGTAGGCAAGGTACATGAACGTTAATATCCCCCCCACCCCACCCATGCCCAGTGACGTAGCAGCAGCGTAGCATCCACGTATGTAGGCAAGGTACATGAACGTTAATCTCCCCCCCACCCCTCACCCATGCCCAGTGACGTAGCAGCAGCGTAGCATCCACGTATGTAGGCAAGGTACATGAACGTTAATATCCCCCCCCACCCCACCCAACCCCGTTTTGCTAAAATATGTATTTCGGTCCACGGCCGTCTATGCGCCGGGTACCAACTACAACAATTTGTTTTCGAGCATTTTTCGGATATTTTTCGGTATTGGCAATGGTGAGATCTTGCGCCTAGGAACAGTATGATTCGCTGAATTTGTACGAAGAGCATCAGGGAAAGAGACCAAAGTGGTTTTATGGCAATCAGGGGTGTCCAAAAGGGTTCAACATTTTGAAAGGATGCAACTGTGGATTGTATACCCTCTGGTAAATTAACATAGCTATGGAAAATCACCATTTTTCATGGGAAAATCCACTATAAATGGCCATTTTCAATAGCTATTTTGACATAACCAGAGGGTAGATCCCATGATGCGGGAATCTTTTAGTCAAATCACAAACACGGCCGATGAAGCCCTGGGTGGACATGGTTCTTCTCCAACAATGGTGGAGATCGACAGGAGCCCCTAGATGTGTTTTTTCCAAAAAAGCGGCCGGAACAAAAACGGCGTAAAAAAATCCGTTGAAACGGCGTAAAAATCCGTTGAAACGGCTAGGAAACTGCGTAGACAAAACATGTAATTTTGATACTTTCAGGGTCGCATCTAGGGCCACGGTTTTGCACTTGGAACTGGATTGGTGCTCTTGGATGAACTGCTTTTCCCACTACGAGTGGTTAGCTTTCATCAATGAGGTTCCTCCAAGACGGAAAATAATTCTACTTAGGATGCAACGCTTGGGTTTCCTCTTGAAATGGGCGTCGGTCAAAGCTTGAGTCCTCCGTACATGGTATTAACATGTATTAACTGAAGATCTTGACGTGTTGTTCTGTGTGCGCATTCTCGTTGGAGGTAGCGCGAGTGTTTTTTCCCTGAAACGGCAGTTTTTCGTAGAAACAGCGTAAAATAATGCATTTCAGAAACCGGCAGAAATTTTGCACAAGTGGATTTTGCAGGTATAAGGTCTATGTGGTTCGCCAGAAGCATTGTTTGGTGAATACAAGGCGCTGGGTGCTCGATTCAGTTTTGAGCACTTTCTTTCGGCAAATGCTGTCACATCTGGCGAGGCTGTGAGCTCATGTGGCTCAACATGGCGGCTGGTGCTTCTCGCCTCAGCGATATTCAGCGATTCAGGGCTACAGGCTTTGTTCTGAAAGTGTCCCAACCATAGCGATGTCCCACCTCTAATCAATGCTTTCCTGGCCTCCAATCCGCAAATGCCAAAAAAAATGCCAAAAAATAATAGAATGATGAAAATGCCTTGGAGTTCTCGGGGGATGCGGGATGCCAGAAACATCCAATGAGCCTTGAGGTTCCACACTTCGTCAGTGTCCCGCCATGCTCTGAACCAACTCTTGACTCCTGGCGCCCAATGCGCGCAGATGCTCGTACACCTCGTACAAAAAAATCGCTGAAGATGTCAATGTCAATAAAGCATAATAAAGCTATAGGATCAAATGTTTACCTGGTGCTCATCCTGGACCTTGGGAATTCCAAAGTCGTTGACACAAATTCCATGAACTGGATGGACCAACACAGGTGCCTCACCGATAGAGAAATCTGAAGAAATTATAATTCTAATGCCACGGGTTCAGAAGAAATCCAAGATTGCCAGATCACATGTGCAAACAACATGGTTCGGATCTCTTGAAACGCAGTTGCGACACTCTAATCTCGTTCCCTCCTGGCAGCACGGCAGTTTGACTCGCAACCTTGTAAGGTGAAAACATCAACATACATCAACCATGCTGGAGAATCTACATGGCTGCGGGCAGTTCATTCCACCAGATTGCGGGCAATGAACAGAACAGCTCAACAAATCTCAACAAATGGATCTTACAAATTTGGGCTCCCTGAATCAGTTCTGCATGGACAGTGCAGGTTTGTGCGCATCTGCTTTGGGTCTAAAAACGAGTCTCCTGCGTCGTGGGCGGCTATGTTGCCATGGCGCGGCTGGGTTCATTCAGGTTCCAAGCAGCAGACCTCGCACAGCTCGTCAGTTTCTTGGACCAACGTGGCACTGGGATGCACTGGGCTATGATTATGCTATGATTGCTTCAATAGCAACAACTCCTTGAATACAATAGGGGACACATGATTGTTGCCATTCTTGATATCGGTTGATCGGCGGGGTCTTGCTACCAAGCCGCCATAATTGCAATCAAGCTCAGTTTCGAGGCTGTTGAAAGTACAAATAAAGTTCCGACCACACCGCGGCTATGAGGCTTTCCAACATCGAGCCAAGAGCAGCAAGAGAACGGCATCGAACGGCAAAAGCTAATGCTGCCATGCCCTTTGGACCTTACAATTCATCTGACAACCTTCTGGATTTCAAACCGTTCCTTTTCGGAAGAGGCGTTCAGATCACTGAAATGGAACATCCAATTGCACTTCTGGCAATTCTATCGGGCATTAGCCCACAAATAAGACGTCATGACAGCACGTGCAGATTCACACGGAAACAGGGCTCCATGTCTGAATTTCTATTTGGAACACGATGTGGAATATGCTGAGGCTAAATATCGCTGTTGCACTCAGCATCTGTCTTTCTCATCTTGAAAGCAGTCCACCAGCAGTCTGCATACAGGGTGAACTGCCAAGAGAGAAGCAAGTGTTCGTTCAAAAATTGCAAGTTCTTGTAGCTCAATGAGCCGGCACCGTGGGCGTGATCGGAGTATCAATCGCAAGTCTCTTCGATAGGTTCAAAGGAATTGAGCGAGCCTTTGTCGATCTGAAGGGAAACAACAACAACCTTTCCGCAAACTTTTTCTTCCAAAACCTTGCCCTTGCTGTGAAAAGTGGTGCATTTCTGAGGCCCCTGCTGGCGTCAGTGTCTTCGCGTCGCATTTCAGCCCTCACCTCCTGCTCTGTTTCCCACAAAAAACGTGGTCCTGTTTGGTTTGGGACCTTTGAAAACCATCATTTTCTCACGGGTGATTTCTGATATATGGATCCTGGTGATCCGAGATGCTACGCTGCTACGCCAGGCGGCAAGACAAGCGAAATCAAAAAAATGCGTTGAATGTTTAAAAAATAAAATAAAATCAACATTAATCTATGCGATTCCACACGCCCATTCAACCAAACTCCTCTCGCATGGCAAGCAGCAACTGCTGCTTTTCCAGCCTGAGTTCGTCGGCAACAGGTAACGTTAGAAATGAAAGCGGTGTGGGCATATGTGGGCATGGTTAGTTGCACTGCGAGTTTTTTTATCTACGAATAGTTGGGTATCAAATCTTTTTGCAACACAGAAGGAATGTCACCACTGCGAAGACGAGAGAAAAACAGATACAGCCCAGAGCGCAACAAAGACCTGATTTTGTAGGAGCAGATCAAGCAACAACAATCTGTTCCTAGCAGTCCTTGTGTTGCTGCTTTCCAAACACGAAAGTCAGAAACCGGGAAACTGGAATTCTGCCATCAGCTGTTGCTTCTCGATTTTGAATTTCTCCTCCAAAAAGTTGCAACGCCAAGTCGCTACTTTCACAAAAGCAACATGCTGGCATTCTTGCCGCTGAACTCTAATCAGCCATATCAAATCTGTGATTTGGCACGCGCTGGTCAAAACTACAGTGTTTGACCTCTGCAACACAAATTTCCTCCATGTCAATACGAAGTTTGTCCAACGGATTTGGAAGATGCTGCCTCAAAGACAGCAACACAGGATCCGAATGAGCACGGCCGACCTTGACCGACGAATCTTGCAATGTTGAAATCAGCACGATCACCACAGCCAACTCTGTGCCCAACTGTTTCAACTCCAACTGAAACACTTCATTAAGAGACTGGTCGAAAGATCAAAAACAGTCTGCGCAGAATGCCAGCTGAGATTCTGAATGGCCATTGTGGGTCCAGAAGCCTCTGTGCTGCCCTCTGAGTCATCATCTGAGACATATAGTTGGGAGTTTCCATAGCGAGTACTTGCAGCATCCTGCCACTTGAGGGTTGGCCCAAGTCAATTGGTCCGAGAGGATGCCTATGCTTGAGAGGTCCCAAAAAGGATGCCTTGAGTTTGCAAGAATTAGATGCCTCTTTGTTGTTCTGCTGGTGCTCGAAGAACCTCTCTCTCTCTTTATCTCTCTCCATCACCGTCTCCAAAGAGTTCAAGGACCATCTGCTATTATTTTCTGGCGACGATCCATGAGCACACCTTCTTCACAACACCACCTCTCCTGTGCTGCACGGGTAATTGCGTCCTCATTCAGCCCGCTCTTCAAGACCTTGAAGGAATTGAATTGGTCCTCCAGGTCGCTTTACACATAGATTCAGCAACTTCAGATTAAGAAACAGGCAGAAAGTCTGGCATGTTCAATGGCAATGTCGTTGATATTACTCCAGATTTACAAACTTTGTTTTGTTGGCTCCTCCGCACGAAGGGATAGGGCCTGCACGTCCGCAAGCTCCGCTGAGATTTCGGAAATCTGCACTCCGAGCCGCTCCACCTGACAAAACAAGGAAAGGAACGGGGTGTTCAAATATATAATGCCTCAACTTCTCCAGAAATCCATTAAAGATAGATCTGGATAAATGCCAGAAAGGGGAAGAGAAATGTCAACCTCCGCAATTGTATGATTCATTTGGCCGGCCTTTTCGAGGGTCAGCGCTTTCCTCGGCGGAGAAAGCACCAGCTTTATCACTATATATATAGTATAGATATAGACACTGGCTGAAGAAACCAGGCGGGCCAGAGAACCCAAAAGCAAAACGGCACACAGCACGCCTTTTTGAAAAATCTTGTGGTGTGGGCGGCTGTGCTCTGCGCGAAATCGACGTAAGATCTTTACTGAAACATCGTGCGCACTGATGGTATCAGGGGCCACAATTCACCACAGCATGCTGTGTCAGCTACGTCTACATTCTTCTAGCCGCTATTTCTGCAATTATAACTCTATCCCATCTTTCTAGTCACTATTTATTCCTGGGTTCTCGCTTTGTTTGCTTCGTCGCAGAGGGAGCGAGGACGAAGCGTGGACGGACAGAACACCGTGCGAAATGAAAACTAAACGACGGAGGGAGTTGACCAAAAGAGCGTGAAAACGAAGATATGAAGATGACAGATGGTGAAAGATCATGACAAATGAGACATGATGAAAGATGGGTAAAGACTTCTCTGTACAAAAGTTTCCGTGCGTAAAACCTACTGTGTGTAAACGCGTCTGTGCGTACAGGTTTCTTTGTGTAAAACTTCCTCTGTGTAAAGGATTTTTTTGTGAAAAAACTTCTGTGTGTAAAAGCTTCTGTGGTAAAAGTTTCTGTGCGTACAAGTTTCTGTATTTAAAAGCTTCTGTGGGTAAAAACTTCTCTGTGTAAAGTTTTTTTGCGTACTGTAAACTTCTGTGTGCAAAAACTTTTGTGTAAAACGTCCTCTGTGTTAAGGTTTTTTTGCGTAAAATGCTTCTGTGTGTAAAAGCTTCTCTGTGTAAAAGACTTCTCTATGTCAAAGCCTCTGAGTGTACAAGCTTCTCGGTGTAAAAGTTCCTCTGTGTAAAAGTTCCCCTGTGAAAAGCTGCTCTGTGTAAAAGGCTTCTCTGTGTAAAAGCCTCTGTGTGTGCAAGCTTCTCTGTGTCAAGACTTCTTTGTGTAAAGACTTCTCTGTGTAAAAACTACTCTGTGTAAAAGCTTCTGTGTGTAAAAGCTTCCCTGTGTAAACGCCTCCGTGTGTAAAGACTCCTCTGTGTAAACCCGTCTGTGTGGAAAAGCTCCTCTGTGTAAAGGTTTTTTCTGTAAAAGCTTCTGTGTGTAAAGCTTCTGTGTGTAAAAGTTTCTGTGTGTAAAAGCTTCTGTGTATGAAAAACTCTTTATGCAAAAGCTTCTGTGTATAAAAGCTCCCCTGTGTGCACAAGCTTGGCCGCATAAAAGCTGCTCTATGTAAAAGGTCGGTGCGCCGTAAAGTTGTCTGTTTGTAAAACCTTCTGTGTTTGAACGCGTCTGTGTGTACAAGATTCTGTGTGCAAAAGCTCCTCACGCGTCTGTGCGTAAAAGCTCGTCTGTGTAAGACTTCTCTGTGTAAAAGCTACTCTGTGCAAAAGGTTCTGTGCGTAAAAGGCTTCTGTGTGCAAGAGCTCCTCTGTGTAAAGGCTTCTCTGTGTAAACGCGTCTGTGCGTAAAAGCTTGTCTGTGTAAGACTTCTCTGTGTAAAAGCTACTCTGTGCAAAAGGTTCTGTGCGTAAAAGGCTTCTGTGTGCAAAAGCTCCTCTGCGTAAAGGCTTCTCTGTGTAAACGCGTCAGTACGTAAAAGCTCCTCTGTGTAAGACTTCTCGGTGTAAAAAGCTTCTGTGTGTGAAAGCTTCTGTGTGTAAAAGCTTTCCTGTGTAAGAGTTTCCTTTTGCAAAAGCTCCTGTGTGTAAAAACTTCTCTGTGTAAAGGTTCTGTGTGTGTGTAAAAGCTGCTCTGTGTAAAAGTTTCTACGCGCCGTAAGAGCCTCTATCTGTAAAACCTTCTCCGTGCCGCATTTCCAGTGCTACTCCCTCCCAGCAGAGCTCTTCCCAAGCTATTTCCCCACCTCCCCATTCACGCTGATGCATATCCTATGCTTGGGTTCTCTTTTAGTTTGCTTCGCTGCAAAGGAAGCGAAAACCAAGCATCGACGGACAGAACGCCGTGCAAAATGAAAACCCCTCCAGCAAAGAACAAATTCCCATGCATGTCCGGCATGTCCCTTTGCTCAGCGTATGCTCAGCGTTTAGACACCGTTTGAGAAGTCTTTGGCACCAGTTTTTCGGGACAATCGCATTGATTGAATGTGTCCTGAAAAATCCGTGCCAACAGCTCTGCTCTTTTCGTCTCCCTGCCAACGAAGCTATGTCCCAAGGTTTGGAAACTTTGCCAGGTCTTGGGCGCACAGTTTTTCCGAACAATGGCATTGATGAAATTTGCAGTGAAAAACCCGTGCCAACATGTATGCATTTTTAGGGTCGCTCCCTGCCAACGAAGCTATGCATGTCACATCGCCGAAACGTTGGCAAAACTCTTGAAAAGTCTTGGGCGCACAATTTTTTGGGACAATCACATTGATGGAATTTGTGTGAATTTGTCCTGAGTACACGCGCCAACAGCTCTGCTTCTCAGTATTTCTCAGTATGTCGCTTCCTCCCAACGCAGCCCAACGCAGCTCTCCCCAAGCTATTTCCCACGGCTTCCCTTCCGTCCACGGTCTCCACGCTTCCGTCTCGCTCCCTCCCAACAGACCTCTCCCCAAGCTACTTCCCACGGTTTCCCGTCCGTCCACCATGTCCACGCTTCCATCGCGCCCCCTCCTAACGGAGCTCCCCCCAAGCTATTTCCCACGGTTTCCCATCCGTCCACCCTGTCGTCGCTTCCATCTCGCTCCCTCCCAACGGAGCTCTCCCCAAGCTATTTCCCACGGTTTCCTGTCCGTCCACGATGTCCACGCTTCCGTCTCGCTCCCTCCCAACAGGGCTCTCCCCAAGCTATTTCCCACGGTTTCCCGTCCGTCCACCCTGCTGTCGCTTCCGTGTCGCTCCCCCCGTGGCAAAGTAAACAAAACGAGAACTACCCAAGCATCGGAGATGCTTTTGGGAAAAAAAAATGTAAAAAGGATGCAGAATGAAGGCTGAGGACTCACCCTGTGATACAAAGGTGAAGGGATAACGACATACAGCGGTGCAACTGCCTCAGGGGTCATCAACTTTTAGTTGTTGGCGAGTGGCACCTTCGGCTGCTTTTGCTTTTGAGCAAGTTTTTGGCATTTTTGTTTCTCCTTGGAACATTGCAGAAATGACATCGATCATCTGCAGTATATTTTGCAAACACATGCAGGCAAAGTCATGAGGTCATTGTGCTGCATGTCTTAAGACCACATTCTCATTGAAAAGGCTTAAACTTAACACCCATCGAACCAACCCGTAGAGAACACAATGCCCCTTATAGCTATACCTCTGCGCACACACTTCGAGAGGATTATCTGGCCCTATAACATCTACAAGGAATCACCTTGAAAAACCTACAGAGACTGCCCTGCAGAAGCTCCTCTAACAGGTGGTCGTGCTCTGTGCGCTTGGCAGCCACCAAACACTTGCCAAGCTCACTGGCAAAGGCAGCGGTTTTCCAGGCAGCCTGAAAGTGTGCAAGAAGGCATCTCGCGGGTTCAAGTCTCCCACAATTTGCACCCCCGCGCTCCGACGTTGGATTTCACTGGCCTCAACCGTTGGCCTGGAGTAGGCCAACAAGGTCGCATGAGCGGCCTATACCAGGCTGATATGTGCACTGCAGGTGAAGAAACAAAACTATTCAAACTCAAAGGACATTCTTTGGCTGCTACATGCCTGGATACTTGCGTTCACAGCTTCAGTGCTGGTGGCCGCCTGGCTCGCTTTCAGCCACATTCCCGTATCAGAATCAGTGCTGTCCAGGATCAGGCTCATGAGGTGAAAGAGATTGGAATGAAATGAAATCGAATGGAAAGAATGAGCAATGAACAAATCAATGAATGGATGGCAAGTTCGTCAACACGCACTAGCACTGCAAACTCAGAATTGGCCTCTAGAAAGCATTGATGACACTGCGTTCTTGTCTGTGCAAGCGCGGCTCCAGCAGCTTCCAGCTCCTCCTTGAGCGATTCGTCGGCCAATTTCAACTCCGCCTTCCGAAAGCCAAGACTGGAAGGAGTTCACGAGCACACGGAAACACCTACCACACATAACACCACCCTTAGACACAAGTTGTCAGAGCACAGGCATCCAACACTTTGATTTTGCGTGATTGTTTTCAGCATTTTCCAGCATGTCGGCCATGGCTCCCTGGCCTCTAGAATCGTCGCTGCCTCGTTTCGAAGGTAGGCATCCTGGTACTCTTTCCAAGCGACCTGCCGCGCTTTCTCAGCTTCTTCAAGCGTCTTGCGCTTGTTCTCTTCCGCACGAATGGTGAGGCGGCGAATCCGAGAGCACTTCTGGATCTTGTCCAGCACATCTGCATGCTGCTGCTCCAAGCCGGCAAACAACTTGTCCGCCACATCCTTCTTGGATGAGACTGCATCGGCCTTTCTTTTCAGCGCATCCAATAGCAGCTGCCTAGCCTCCACCTGATCATGCAAAGGCGGCAAATGGCTTTTCGACAACAGAGCGCTGACTGCACCCTTCGTTTGCTCAACATGCTCCAGGTGCAGCTGGCTTTGCATCTTCTCAAACTGCTCGGCCTTCTCTTCATCATCCATTTGGTCCACTTTTGTTTGCTCCATTTTCTGAAGCAGCGCCCCAGTCAGAGATAGCCCATCCAGTCCCTCAATGGCACTCTTGGTTCTCTCTACTGCCAATTCTTCCTGGGCGTATGCCACACGCAGGTCATCTGCCATCGCTTCATAGGTGTTTTCGCTGCAAGACTCCAGCAATGCACCCAAATCCTCCTCCGCAGCTGGAAGGAAGAACTCAAACTCAGCTGCACAGGCCATGGCTGCCTCACCGAATCCACTGACCACGTCCGCACAGGGTTCGAGTTGAGCAGGAGCGAGTGCGAGGATACCATGCGGGTCTTCCTTGTCATAAGTCATCAACCCTGGAAGGTCTTTCTTGACAATGTGCTCCGCAAGGCTGGCATGAGTGGCACGCGTGGCATCCCAGTGCTCCGCGACTTGTGCCTCAAAGGTCGACAAGAAGTCACCAGGAGCCACGGCCATGGCGGCAAAAGACAGCCGCTGATTCTGCCTGCAATGCCTGTCAAAGAACTTGAGAGCCTCAAAGCCTCAAAGACTCAAGATGCCCCATCAAATCAATGCAACATAAATCATGAAGAATTACTTTCTTCGAGTGATCCCCACCCTTATCCATTATTCTGACATAGTTTCTGACATACCATCTGGAAGTCATTCTTTTTGGCATATACTCTGACATCCTTTCTGACATTCTATCTGGTATATTTTTGGGGATTCTTTGTGGTTGAAATCCGGCAGAACACTCTGATCCTGAGTTTGCTGTTCGGGTCCCGCGGGGAACACTGCGATCTAGCGCTTGCAGTTGAGGTCCGGCGGAGGAAGAGATGAGGTCTGGCGGAGGTGAAGAAGGAGAAGGCGGGACAGCTGACATAAAATCGAACAACCCTCACCTGACAGGTGGGGAATGAAAAAGCTACAGCTACAGCCGCTCCGACTGTTCCAAAGGATTCCACTCAAAAGGCACATGATGCCTGCAGGAATGAATCCACATCCTCAGTTGAGGTGCTGAAGCCTTTTTCCAAGACCGCTCTTGGGTTGGAAGCAAGTGCCGAATCCGGCGGTTGTGCCTTCGCACCTGTACATTGATTGCTTTGGCTTGGTGATATCGGAACTGCTATAATGCCAAGCTCTTTTGGCTCAACCCGCTGGCTGCTGCTTCTCACCAAGCACATTTGACTGAGGGCCTCCGCGATTCATTGTCTGAATTGTCAAAGCATTTACACCCAAGAACCGGGAAAACCCCAACCGCTCGCTCTCACGCTCCTGAAGGATAGCACTGTTTGACTAATTATTTGACCCGGGCATCCCCAGCTTTGCAACATGACAAAACATGGACCGAGTCAACGCTGCTATCGCCTTTGAGGAACCACGCTTCGTGAAGTTCTCGCCAGTCTTGGTACCACTTCCTGGCGTTCAACGCAACCACAGCCACACCGCATTCAAAGGTGTGAATGCAAACCCCCCACACGAGACACTGACCATTCGACAGGGTTACAGTGGCAGGACAACTCAATTGAGAGTGGCTGGTACCGACTAGGTCCATCTACATGTCACATAACTTCACCGGAATTGAGATAGGGTATGAAACATCAATATATTAGTATACAGTGTCAGTGTGATATATACTTGATTCTGCAGGCAGCTGGAAACATCTCCGGATTCCCCGTTGCGCAGCCAAAGGAGCATTGCAGCGTTACTTCCACCTTTGTCAGGATGAAGCCTTAGGGCGCTCTGGCGGGCGCGACTGAACAAATCCTCCTGGACCATCTAAATTTCCGCTTGGTGGGTTTGGGAGAGGCTAAGAATTGGTGAGAGGTTCTCTCCTAGTTTGTCGGGTCTTTGGTTTGTATTTCTTTGCATGTGGTAAAGGATGTGAAGGTCCGCCACGTCGTGCCGTGTGACACACAGGCTTTTGGTGCCTTTTGCTTTTTCGCCGGCTGGCTTCAACTCAGTTAGAAACGCAAGACTCCACAGAATAGACCATTGTTGCAGAAAATAAGGTCGCGGGCCTTCCCAGCTCATAAAATGTTAAAGGTCAATGAGTGAATATGGTATCGTGAGCTATACAGAAGCAGCGGGACCGTGCTCAAAATGCCTGCAATCAAGGCTGTGGTGGAGATGCCGTGAATATCTGCAAAAAAATGGCACTGGAACTAAACGCTAAAAATTGGTATCTCAGTATTTGCATTTGCCACGCTAGCTTGCTGTAGAAATTTCGGATGTGCGGCGGTACAGTTCCAGTACCATAACTAATGTTCATCCCTAAACTCCTCGCCCCCAATCGTGCCCGCCTCAGCTGCGCAGTCTTTAAAAGTTTTAACTTCTCCTCCTGCAGAATGGAAGTTGTGTGACTCCAACCAGTTCAGTGCTTCAAGTTGGGGTGACGGCTACTGACCTGGCATGACCTGGCCAAACATCGCCAAAACCAATTCCATATTAATTCATATTAAGTCCATATAATAATACGGTGCAGATAACACTTCGTAGAAACGAGGAGCAGTTACATCAAGCTCAAACAAATAGGTGGCCACCAAGGTTCGGTCACCCATCCAGGACCCAGCTCCTTGGTAGAATTCCAACTGTTCATGAGGGTCTGCAACACCTCCTCAGTCAATTGTCTTGCCTCCTTCTCCGTCTTCTCGTCAGGATGAAGAGGATAGTGAAAGCTGATTGTGTTGCCAAGGCCGCCAAGGCCGCCAAGGCCTATGAAGCGCGATGCATATGGCGCATGCGGCGTCTGCATGGTCGATGCCTTCTCTTCTTTCGGACTGTCCATCGGCACCTCGGCTCTCCTCTCAGCCTGGGACCCAATGAACTCACTGAGCTCCACAGTGGGAGGAAAAACTGCCTGCAGCTGCTCTAGCTCCACGTCATGGAAGGCTTCCTCCACTGGAGCAGGGGCCGCAGCAGCTTCATGGCATGAATCGTTGCGCCGTGCCGAGATCTCTGGAAGGTCCTGCCATTGGCGTCCGTTTTGGCCACAAAAGCCCCTTACATGTTAGCTACAAGTAGTGAACCAAAATCTGAGGAAACAAGCGTTCATCCCAGTTCGTAGCTGGTTGTGACCAACAAAAACAACTCATAACTGGGACCTTCCTTAAGTTGAGGCATTTACTAACCAATGTCAATTATGAGCCATCTATGTGTTCAATAGACCCCAAAAAAAAAACTATATATATATATTATATATATATATTGCTATCCGTGCTTCTCGCCCACTCCTCCTTGATCTTCTTCAAGACCTCCTCTCTGATTTCTTCCGCGTCAGGCGCCCTGGCGCGGAAGTCGCTCAGCTCCCGCTTGAGCCGCTCGACGAGCCGCTCAGTGCTGCGCTTCTGGGTTTCCAGTTCGGCCTAAAAAGCAAAGAACCCATGAACTAGATGATGACGGAAAGCGCTAGAACAGCGCAAAGACTTGATGTAGCTTTGCCGTAGGGGAGGCATGGAGCGTGTGCAAATCCAATTTTTGATTTGCAAAAAATATGAGTGCAGTTTTGGCTCCGTCGGCCTCATTTTTGCCCATGCTGTGCGTTTCCGGGATGTTGGGCCAGAGTTGGGACCATGTTAGGCTTATGTTCGGCCATTTTGGGCTATATTAGCACCATATTGGGATCATGTTGAGCCATCGCTTTGCCTTTGTGTGGGGGGGAGGGCATGGAGCGTATGCAAATCCAATTTTCGACAACTTTAGGACCATATTTTGCCGAACTGGTTTGCAGATGTTTGCAGAACATGTGGGCGCAGTTTGCCTCTGTCCGCCTCGTTTGAGCCCATGTTGGGCGCTTTTGGGCCACATTGCAGACTGTTTGGCTCCGCGTTGGGTTGTGCCGGCGGCCTAATCTTGGCCCATGTTGGGCCGATGTTGGGTCATGTTGGGCAATGTTGGGCCAGCGTTGGAACCATATCGCGCTTGTCTTGAACCATGTTGGGCCGCGTTGGCACCATAGGGGGCTCACGTTGAACCATTTTGGGCTATTTTCGGGTATTTGTTGGCCTTTATCTTGGACTTGGACATTTGAGTGTTGTTGAGTTTTGGTCTTGTTAATTGATTTGAGTAACAACACCCCCAAAACAACAGAGAAATCAAACAAAGACAGCGGCACCAAGGGGCAGCGGCTGCAACCTGTTTTCGTCATGCTTGAGCCAAAAAGTTCAAAGTAAATAAGATGGACTACTGGACCTTGACCGGAAAGGATGGGTTTATAAATGAATATATATATATATAAGTGGGTATGATTTACTCCACATTTTTCAAGCCCCCCCTAACCATGAACTGTACCGTGGCGGCGCTGTCACAACCAACCTCCATTAGGCACGAATACAAGACTCGAAGACAAGACAATGAGAGTCCAATGACGCATCCACAAGAAATGACTCACCAAAATCCAATGGATGAAAAGTTCACAGATGAGACTTAGTCGCATCCATGCTGTGCTTACAGCGACTTGCCACACCCGGGTGGTGACAAATGGCAAAAGGTTGACACCTGAGAACTAACGGCGAATGACAGCTTAGCACATCATGTGCTCAAGTCCAATGGAGGATAGCAAAGCACAAGCCCATTGAACTGACAATATTGACAGATTTACCTTACAGGCTTAGCCTAAATCGTTGAATGCTTAGCAGGATCAACGAGTTTGAAGACAATGAAGTCCATGAATTGCCTCCATGATTGACCTAGGATTGACTTAACGCTAAAACTGACGAGTGCGAGAGCGGAAGAACGACAAGCACGCACTTGATGAAAGCTGCTTAGCAGATAAAGTCTGAAGACCATGCAACCACTGAGGCCTTGACGAATTGTTGGAATGAGACGATGACAAACGAAACAGGTAAAAACCCAAAAGCGGCAAAGAGGATCGGCAAAGCACAAAACTCCAATCCAACTAGGCCCGGCACAGCACAAACTTCATTGGATCGGCAAACCACAACGCTCCTATCCAACTAAGCTCGGCACAGCACAAACTTCATGGGATTTACCGACAATTGGATGGATGAAACCCCCCTGATCCTCAGGAAGGTGAGGGAGCAGGCTCATGGAGATACTGGCATCTCTCTCCATGGACGCACCCGGCAGGCATCCTATAGAAGATGCGCGCTGTTTTGGCCTTTTGCTCTGCTGTCATTGCTTTTCCCTTTCCCTGGGCTTTACCTTTTGGGGAAGTCTTCGATTCAGACGACGGAGCGATGGTAGCAGGCGCACTGGTGGGCTTGTCGGGCTGCGATTTCTTTGGCAAGCTGGACTTCAACAAGTTTTCAATTGATTTCGCATTGATGTCCTCTCTTTCCTCAAGCAAGCGTTCCTGCAACCTATTCCAAAGATGTTGAAAATCATGGAGTGGCGACTGAGCATCGCTTCTCTTGATCTCATCAATGGTCCTTTCTAACGTGCGAACTTGCCTCAACCGATGAAACAACCACTCACCCATCATGCGCTGAGACGGCCAATCTTCCTGCGGCAAACTACGCAAAGTGCGAAGGACACGACCTGAAAACTCTTGCAAATGCTTGGCACTGTTACCATCAATCCCCATTTGAAAGATCGATTGCGAAGTAAGCAACGAACCACGAGCGCGATCAATGTCAAAATGCCTGGAAACAATGTGCAACAAGTATCTGCCCCTGGGAGGGTTTGCAATTCGAGTGCATCCTTCAATGTACCCCATGATCTTGAACTGCAACTCAGGCACGTTTTCACAACCTTTTGAAATTTCAGCTGCCAACCAACAATCTAAACGCAGAACACAAGCAGAATCATGCTTGGTTACTTCATCGGAATTCACTTCATAAGCTTTGAAAAGCCAATGTGCTAAGTAATCCCTATCACTGATATCCAACTTTGCCATGATCAGCAACACTTGGTTTTCCAAGCTCTGAAATCCGAAGCACTGGAAGGAACCGGACCTAATGTGGCATACCGAAGCGAACGAGCATCCACAATGTCCCTCTCAACTAGATCCCTGTGACTGGTAAAGCTTTGGGGCAAGCGATCTCGAACTAATTCTTCATCTTCGTCCGCAATCTTCTGATGGAAACCCTGGCCCCCCTGATCCGGCAAGTGCTGGAAAAGAACGAGGTCTTGGAGGAAGACCAGAAGGTGGAAACGGAAAAGACACTGCCGAGCTATTATGGCTCTGAAATTGGTCGACATGAATCTCTTGAGCATCTTCAACCGCTGACATACGAGCCGAAAGATTTTGCAAAACTTCCATCATGGATAGCAATTGCGCTGAAACGGCCGGAGGAGGTGGAGCATCAGACCTGACTTGATCAACTGGTTGAGCGGCGCTTTGTGCAGCCCAACTCATCTCCATAGCGTTGACGAAGGGACACGTTCTGAACTTGAGATTCTTCCAAAACCAAACGTTGGGAGTCGACCGAATCCTTCAGCTGGTGGATTTCATCCATCAGTCGTGAAATTTCGCCCTCTTTGTGGTCTAACATGTTGGCAGAGCACGCAACTCTTCTACCCAATTTGTGATTCCGAGTGATTTGAAGCTCCAACTTGAGCGCGAACATTGGCCACTTCTGAATTTAATTGATGAATCTGATTTTGAAATCCTTGATTTGATAGCTGAAGGCTCTCAACAACACCAAGCAACTCCTGAATACGTGAACAAGCCTGGGTGTACACATCTTGAGCTAAGCCTTCCAACCCCTTGATTCTTTCATCAGTTTCCTGAACCACTCTCTTGGCCTCGGAGACCATGTTGGCAAAATCCATGGGATCAACACCAAGATACACTTGCTGAGTGCGGTGATCATGATACTGGACCGTTTGTGAACGATGGGTCCGGGCATCAGGCTGGCCACTAGGCTCTTGGGGAATGAAAGTCGAAGGTTGGGAGGCCGATGCGGAACTATGCACAAGAGGAACTGGTGACATTGCACGCTCATGATCTGATGGCTTTGGCAAGCGCTTGATAACTTGAGAAACTTTTCGAGGCTGATTCACGGTTGAAACTTGTTTTGTTCTTGACGACCGTCCTCCTGATTTTGGAGTCCCGGATGAACTTCGGCTACGAGATGAATGAACTGTGACTACACCTCCCTTAACATCCATGGACTCGGATGACAGGTTCAAGGATGAGGAGTTTGGATCTGACATGATTCCTGTTCCAGCCTTTTACCAACAAAGATTCACACGCAATCCAGTTGTAGGTCACGGTCGACGCAACGACATGTGTGCCAGGTTCAAGGCACCTGGCAGCCTATGAAATGAAAATCCCCAAAAAGGGGCAAACAAGAGCAAATGCGGCTGATAACCAATTGATTTGAGTAACAACACCCCAAAACAACAGAGGAGTCAAACAAAGACAGCGGCACCAAGGGGCAGCGGCTGCAACCTGTTTTCGTCGTGCTTGAGCCAAAAGTAAATAAGATGGACTACTGGACCTTGACCGGAAAGGAAGGGTCTATAAATGAATAAGTGGGTATGATTTACTCCACATTATTCAAGGTTGTTGGCCTGGATTTTGGACTTGGGCATTTCAGTGTTGTTGAGTTTGGGCCTTGTTGGTGTTTATTTTGGACTTGGGCATTTCAGTGTCGTTGAGCTTTGGTCTTGTTGGCCTTTATTTTGGACTTGGGCATTTCAGTGTCGTTGAGTTTTGGTATATTCAAGTCGTTGTCAAAAAAACAGCTTAAACACCAAGAAAAACACCATTTTTGGGTTGCATTGCTGATGTTTTTGATGCTATTTGTTGTTCCTTGTTTTCCCTTTTTCTTGGGGCATGCTGCACTTAGGCTATGCTGGTTTTATCTCAAGCTCATGTTGAGCAAAATTCGAGCCATGTTGGGTTGTTGTTGGGTCCTTTTCAGCCCATGTTGGGCCAATGTGGGGCCACCTTCATCCATCTGGAAACCATGTTGGGTCGTGTTGTTGGCTATATTGGGCCGATGTTGTGTTGAGATGTGTTGAGCCTATGTGGACGCATGTTGCATTAATATAGGGCCATCTTGGCCCATGTTGGGCAGGTGTTGAGTCATGTGGGGATATGTTGGGCCAACGGTCAACGCTGGGACCATATCTGATATTGGGCTTATCTTGAGCCATTGGGCATTTCGGTGTCGTTGAGTTTTGGGTCCATGCAAGGCGTTTGCAAAAAAATACGGTAAATAAAATACAAAGAAAAACGACTTTTTTTGGTTGTGTTGCTGATGTTTTTGATGCTATGTTTAACTATGTTTGCGAGGTATTTTTCTGGTGCTTTTGGTGGTGTATGGGTGGTCTCTTGCTGGTGGGTGTCTTGGTGGTGGTGGCATGGCATGTTGTGAGCTCTCATAATATGGGTCGATATTTCAATGGTGTGTTGCATTTGCACGCACAGACACAATACACATCAATACACAGTAATCAAACAATCCTGCACACTTGTGGCCCATGACATCTCCAGCGCTTTTCCTGTCCTGACCGGCGGAGCCGAGATAAGGAAAAAGCGGCTTGCGTCGCGTGTGATAAAGTAAACAAGTGCAAATCTCATCCAAAAAAATGAAAAACAGCCAAAACGATTTTGCATTTTCCGGGGAAAGCGCGATTTTTCCTGCGCGTTTTCTATTTGACTGAATGGTTGAAGATTTTATGCGAATTCTTCCGCATCTTCTGGCAGCTGGCAAGCCAAGTGCAAGTTACATCTATATAGAAGGATGTAATCATAGGGCATGCTCGGCATGCTCCATCTCTTCTTTAAGTTTTGTTGTCTTGGCACTGCTTCACAGCATGGTTTAACGCTGACATTAGGGTCATAATTAGGGTCATGTATGGTAATGTTTTGTTGGTGTCTTTTGGATCTGGATTCCTCCGGGCCTTTTCTAGTTTGAGAAACTCACAGAAAAGTTTTTGTATAAGATTCATCATGTTGGTATCGGGATTTGTCTGACCGTATATTTATTTGAATATCTCTTGCACCTACCTATATATTTGACAGATGAACCGTGGTAGTTTGCCACCCGGGATATTTTAATATATTTGAATGCTTTCCGTGGTTTGCCGCGCTGGTTTGCAGGAACTGTGATGCTGCGTGAAAAATATTTGTGTGTGGGTGTGAAGCACTATGATACAATATTGCGAAATCTGTTGGAATTAATATGCCTGGGAAACATGCAACCCATTGCAAAGCCGAAAGCGCCTGAAGAGCTTCCAAACCAGCACGCTGCTTTTCTACAACTTCTCCCTGTTTCATCAGAAGATCTTCTTGCTCTTTCACCAGCGTACGATGATGGACCAAATCCTGGCATTTTCATTTTGAAGATGTTTGAAGCAGTGGTTTCAACATGTTTCAATTTTTCAACATGTTCAAACATCATAGCCCAGCCCTGGTCCTCGGATTGCCTCTCAACTGTGTTCCGCAATGTCGCAAGCTCTGATTTCAGGTTGGCAAACTCCTGTTGAGCCCAGTCAGCATGAGCATAGTATCCGTGAAAGCACACCTTAGGTTTGGTCAAGTTTGGTGAATCCCCAGAAGGTCTCATGGATAATTGGCAAGGACCAAGAATCAAGGGAGGGAAGGGTCTCCTGAACCAACAGTCAATCCATGAGTAAGTATACCAAAAACTATGGCCTGGACTTGCAGGCGAGATACATAAGACCCTGGCTTCTGCACACACTCATTGTGGTTGAACTCACCATCCTTGCAAAAAGGCCCATCAGTTCCGAGGTAAGATCGATTGGCAGTGCTCTCCCACTCGGCTTCTCCGTGAGAATGTTGCCAAACATACTTGTACTCAAAGGGTCCCGGCTCCATGTCCACCAACGTGCTCCAGCGTGGGAACATATCTGGTGCAGTGGTAAGCTCCTTCGCATGGGCCATCTGCCAGCCCCCGATCTCTGGGCGGCCTGTGGCCAGCAATTTTGGCAATGCAAACAGCGGAGACAATGAGAAGAATGGATCAGCTGCTGCGAGTCATTTTCGGTCATCCATGCTTAATTCCAGTGCAAGAAAAATATCACAATCTTGGACAATCCAGGGTTCATGAAACCTCAGTCGGCCATTATATAGGGGAAAACAAGGGGATTCCCATGGATACCAGTAATTAACCACCCAACTCTCAATTAATGTGCTAATCTGGGCTTCATATTTGACATTTTCTAAGCCAGGTGATGCCTCCAACCACAAAGACCTTGTCTCCAGGCTTCGCGTTTTTTACAGAAACCTCGAAGGTCATCCGAACGCGCTTCATGACGGTTGCCAGGTTGCCGATGCAGCGCTGTACCACCGGGAGCTTGGAGGTTGAGCAATGAAACACCAGGGATCACCAATCGGAGAAATCATAGACTTTGAGACAGCAACCAACAAATATTGGCAGATGTTCACTGTCTGGCTTTCATAGGTTTTAGTAGTTGCGCATGTTCGGCTGATATAAAAACGTAGAGTAAGAATTCATCGCCCCTGATTGCAAGTGAACATGACCATCAACACAAGAAATCTGCACATCTGATAGATGCTGCCACTGAAACATTTTCTCCTACTCATACTGCACACGCATTTATGCATTTCTAGTATGGAACAGGTCTAATTATAATTATTGCAGCACATTTCCAATCCCTCCTCTTGTCTTCCGAACATGTTGTCGGAGTTGCCAAGCCTCTTTTTTTGGTGCACCGCATGGGAATGTGAGTAGCCTCCCAGAGATCTTTGCTCTGGGATTGTTGCACTCACTATGCCCCCTGCCTCAGAGAAACATGGTCCAAGCCATATGCCGCCCCTCTCCGCTGCGTCTGAGCCGGCAACCGCTGGTTTCCGGGTGACGTAGAGTTTGCACCTTGTGGAGCATGTGGGACCCCTGATCGGGATCCAACCCACAGCGATGCACGATGCGTATACTGAGGTCTGAACTGCGTCCACCCTTTGTTGTCAAAGGGCACGCTTTCCTCAGCGGAAGCGAGACACGGCTCATCTCAGACGACTTCATCTCTGAAATGTTTGGTTGTTTCAAAATGACTTGTAGATCTCCAGGACTACAATGATATCTGGGAATGCCCTAAACCTGTCCCCAAAATGGTGCCTCCAGGATCAATCGGCCCTCCTTTTGTAAGAAGGCCATCACTTGGCCTCAAGCTGGTGGGCCCCATCTTCCAATGACATGACAATGTAAATGTAGATAAAAACTCTCATTCCATCTCATTCCCATACATATCATATCACAAATGGAATAATATGGCATATACATATACATGCATATACTACCATTTCTGTTTGATGAAGCTGCAGTAGGTGTACTGCACTGAATGTGTTTCAATCATTCGTGGTGCCAAAAGCGTCGGCATTTCTGAGCCTCAGACCTTCAAAATGTTTGCTGCAAATGGTCACGACCTGGATATCATTCATCCAAAAGTGACATGACACTGTCTTGACTGTATACCAAAGTCACCCCAAATTCCACTCCTGATTGGCCACCCACAGATTTGCCTGTGAATGGAGGCGCTTAATACAAATACACCCAAACCTCCTAAACTAGGCAACTATAGCGTCTAAGAAGGCCAGGGTTTGGCAAATTCCCTTTTTGATGCAGCTGCGCCAAGGACAATGTGGTGCCTCAAATGATTGCCATTCACACTTGACAGCCATTGTCTGAGTGTGCAACTAACGCCACTCCTGGTGAAGCGAAACTGTCTAACAGTCACCAGGACGACAAAGCGTTCGCATAGATTGGTTCGCATAGATTGCTCTTTTCGTTCTGGACGCAAGTGGAAATGACAGCAAAGCATGTATCCTCACTCCTCCAAAAAAACGCATTCCAAACTGTAAGGTCTTAAAACTATCAACAGCCACAGGCATGACGACGCAGCAGCGAACCCTTTTGGTTGGCCCTGTGCGGTGGCCAATGACTCATCTGCGCAGCCTGTACAAGCGCCACCAGCGACCCTGAGCAGTGAAGAAAACTTGGACGTGGATTCCGTGGATCATTGGGAAGTGCGAAAAACAAGGAGTGTCCCAAAAACAGACCTTACCCTCTGGTAATTTAACATAGCTATGGAAAATCACCATTATTAATGGGTAAATCCACTATAAATGGCCCATTTTCAATAGCTACGTTATATTACCAGAGGGTATCAGTCTGCCGCATCACTCAGTCTGCACTTGGCTGTGCGGTTTAGCCACTTAACAAACCCAGCCTCCTCCGGAGGTGCACCGTTAAACTCAACAAAGCGCCCCACCGGCGCTTCGCGCAAAAAGCTGCGTAAAGAAGAACTCCCCGGTGCTCGCCTGTGCTACACCTTGGTGGGACCGAAAAGGTCCAATCCCAGGTGTGGCCATCCGAAAAGGTCCAAACGCCTTCAGAGGCGACCAATGGTGACTGGTGGCGCAAGATCGATCAAGAACAAACAGTTTGAAAATTTAGGGACGCCCAACCACTGATTTGTTCATAAATTCTTCCCACTGCATTGGATCACTGAAATCAAAATCCACTAATTGATTGATTATTTAAGAATTTTAAGAGTCTTATCATTATACAGTAATAAAAGATGATATACAAGTCACATAACATGATATAAGATGACTTGAAGTAGATCGATCATGGTCAATCTCAACGACCTCATGGAATAAAATGATGCGCCAAGGCGCCGATGCCACATAAATCGAAGGCGCCCTCCAGGTTCTTCCGATGCCCCGGCGACTTGATCCAGCCCTCGGAGATTGTGGAGGATTGGGGTAGCATGGAAAAGCCTGGATAAGCCATCCGAGAAATGATAGAAATGCATAGAAATGTCATGAAATGTCAGTCTGAAGGGTTTGGACATGTTGAATCTTTGAAATTTGGAAAGGTGTTGAAAGCATAGAATGGAATTTATTGCTGGTTTCAACAGGCCTTACAAATATGATGGCAGTTGAAGGGCATCGCGGATTGCATATGGGAAATTGACTTTCCGGGAAAGGTTACTGCAGCCAATCAAGTCCGAGTGGCCTCAACTGCTACGCGTGCTGTATCTGATACACCTCCATTGTACGCCAAGTTCCTTGGCGAAGCAGAGCCATCTTCTGAACTCACGCAGAGTTGCACGCAATTGCAGTGCTTTAACAATCGCAAAGGTGCGCATTCAACATCTTGACAAATCCCGACCTCTCTGAGGTATCTGAATCAACTAAGAACATGCAGTTCCCACACTGTGCAGGCACGCAAAGTCGCTCAGAGTTTTTTCCACCTTGAGTAGCCACACTGCAGAAAACAGTCTAAGCATACAGTGCGACACGCGCTGGCAATTGCCCGCTGAAATTAAAACGTTTCGTCACTCCCAGGGAATCGCCAGCTTTGGGAGACCCAACAAGGAGTGCCTAGGAAGCGCTTGTGGATACTTGTGGACACAACAAAAATCAACAAGGTTTGACCAAAATCCAGCAGCAAAACAATCACCACCACAACTGGTTGGTGGTTTCAACCTGTTTCAACCTGTTTCAACCTGTTTCAACCCCCCTGGTCCAAACATGTCCAAATATGTCCAAATATGTTGGTCAATGGGGATCATCAATGATCATCCCAGGTTGGATGGATAACAAAATGCCAAAACACACCCATCACAAATCTGCCGAGCCAAGGCACTGAAGGGGACATGGCTACAGACCATCCCATGCGCCATCGGCGCGAACCAGGGTGAGCTATGGGTGCCGAGTGACCTAGGAATAGGAGCAATGAACAAAACACATTGAAACACCAGTCCATGTGGGTGTTATACTTTGCAATCCAAAAGTTTTCTCCCTGAAAGTCCCCCCATGGCGCAAAGATGTGCAAAGGTTTGGCTCGGGACATACCCATGTTTCGGAAAGATGCAGCCGCTGCCACTGGAAAAGCAAGGAAACGCCATGAAACGCCGGAAATGCGACCAAGCAGCCACTTGGATCATCATACACATAGACGGAGCCCTTCTCCTTAGCGACAGCTTCCCGATATGGCAATGGGATGGGGCAAACACGTCACGCCAATGGTCACTGATAACATCTAAACAACGACCAAAACCCATCACGAAGACCCATCATGACTTTTCAAGCCATATCTCACTAGAGGGCATCGCTCTCCTTTCCCAGCTTTCTCGCATGCGCCATCAGCATGCCATCATTATCATATCGCATCCACATCCCTCAATCGACATCAACCAGCATGGTGATCCAACATCAACCAACATCACCATGCCATCTTCATATATCCCATGTTTATACAGAAGCAATACATGCTCTCTAGTGGACATGAACACAGCTTCATCTGTAGCTTAAGCTTTAATGTGATTACAGTTTTGACAAAAAAAACAATAAAAAAAGTGCACTCCCACAGCGTCCTGCTCTCTATTAATAATACATATCATATATTATGATATATTTAATATGCATTTATTTATTTATTTACCCTCTGGTAAACTAACATAGCTATTGAAAATGGCCATAGAAATAGTGGATTTACCCATGAAAAATGGTGGATCTTTCCATAGTTCTTGGTATGTTTACCAGGCCGGGTATACTATCCCAACATCCCATCCACCAAGGAACATCATCCCTGAAGGGTGCCCCAACTGCCAGCTGCTTTCCATTCGAGGCGATGGACCAGCCGAAGCGACCCCAGGCTTTGGCTGGGAAGCGCAGCTCCTCTGGGGCTTAAAGGCTGACCCGGTGCTGGCCCTGGCCATGTCATAACCCCAAACAAAAGATCAAACACTTATGGAAACTTGGAGGTGGTGACAATACATGACAACATATGTGACAATATATGATTAATATATACATATATGACAATATATATATATATATATATGTGAAAATATGTGACAACATATGACACTATATGACAATGTGATGTATTGAGATGTTATTTATTCTATCATGCCACACACACACACACACCAAAAAAACGGAACAACTTCTTCGTCTTTCATGATTTCTGTGGTGACAGTAGTGTGACGTTCAAAGTCAATTTGGTGGACTCGAGTCAGGGTCCCCCAATGATTACCATCTGCTGCATGCGCTCAGTACTTTTTCGCAGCTTCAAAGGCTGGAGTCGCCGTGATCTGCATCTCTCCCCACAGGAGAAACCAAAGAACCAATAGCTGGAGACATCCTCAACGCCAGAAGAGGCCAGCAGCATGCACCTGATGAAGCATAGAGGTTTCTACATTGCCGCGAGAATCACAATATGGTTTTGTCTGAAAATAATGTATACCACCAAATTTGCATTTCAATATATGATGATTAACTTTAACTATGAAATTTGGGTGCATGCTCTATTTTTTCAGCCAAACCGATAATATTGGAATGACACATTGACACATTGGAAGCACAGCCTTGTCGATCATGACTGCAGCAAATCCTTGAGAGCTCTCTCGCACCAAGGCTAAGAACTCTGCTGCAGCGCGTTCCTCGTCTTCCTCCTGGATTGTTCTTAGCGGAGCCCTGTGATTTTTGTGCATCTCAACGTGGGATGGAATTGCAACATATTGGGCAACACCTGGATCATTCAACTGATCATTCTGAATCTTCCTTACGCCTCCTGGTTTCCTGCCATAAACATCCACCTCCCGAAGTCGCCATAAATCCCAATCAATTTCCTAAAATCATTTAAAATAGTCCCATATATTCCCATAAATCATCATAAATCATCATAACCTCCATGAAATATCATGAAATGGTCACCTTTTATTCCCTTTATGACCCAGTTTTCAGCTTCGCTCCTCCACGCGCAGCCGTTCCTGGACCCCGGCCACTGCGGCCATGGGCTGCTGCGCCAGTTTGGCGCAGCCTGCGCCGCCCGAGCCCACCTGCAACAGCGCCGCAAAGAGCTGGGCGAAGGGACGCAGCGCCAAATAGGCGCGCTTTGCCAATTTGAAGCCTCCAATGGCAGAAACTCACGGCCGGAAACTCACCATAAACTTCTGGAGGTGATGATTCTTGATGATTTTTGGGCCAAAAAAAGATGGTGGGATGGGGGGTAAACTTCTTGCCAATTCAAGTGCTGAGATGAATGCTGATGAATGGTGATGGATGGGTGGTTGGGAATTCATTGCAATTGGTGATAGTTCAGGATAGCTTATGATAGTTCATAATAGTATCTGCATGTTGAAAATGGGGATTGATTAATATGCTCATATGTGCCAATTACCTGGTAAACGAAGCGAAAAAGACTGGCAAGATTAACCAATATGATCCAATATGCATTCTTGTGTGATGGTTGATGATTGGGTTTACCACTTAAGAAAGGTTGATTTCGTGGATTTGAAAGGTCTGAAAGGCTGGGAACTGGTTTATGGAACAATTGTGTGAGAACATGTGATAACTATTGACAACTCCTCTTGAAAGGTCTGAAGCCTCCAGTTGAGGGAGTTGAGTAGCCTGAGTAGCGATCAAATATATGGAATTTATGAGACAAAACTTGCCCTGAGATGTCGCATGAGAGTGGTGTTGCAAACTGGGGAGCTTACAACTGTCCGGTTCGCATCCCCAGATTCGAACCAAGAGACACTTGTTGAGTCGTTTGCTGGCGATCAAGGCTTGAGCAATCTGTGCCGGGAGCCGCACTGGTGGCGAGAGAGGTTTAGGATCATCTCCCAGGACGAAGCCAAAATCGATGTGGAAAAGATAGCCTGGCGCACGACGCAACAGGTGCCAAGAAGTTCCTTGTAGTTCTTCAAGTTCAAAGTCAAATAATTGCTTGAAACATCTTGAAAACCAGCAGTTGCTAGCTCAAACTCGCGGACATTAGAGTGGCTCCCTGTGGCTCCTTTCTGACCTTTTTCCTTGCTACCCCGTGACCAACAGCCCAGCTACGGCCCCAACCTGAAGGTGTCAAGCAGATGTTCTCCAAATGTCGGTCACCGATGCCCAGGACATAAGTCACCACGCAGGAGGCTGCAACACTTCCGCAGAGGTTGTCCATGACCTGGGTCGCCCGGAATGGGGCAAAGATCCAAACAGTCGTGCAACGCTGATCATCGAAAAGGCCGACAATAGCTGACAACTTCTCTGGTTGGTGGTTTCAACCCCTCTGAAAAATATTGGTCAGATTGGATCATCATCCCAACTATTGGGGAAAATAAAAAATGTTCCAAACCACCAACCAGTTCTGATTGATTGGAAGGCTAGGTTTTTTTGGGGCATTTTGGCGGCAAAGGCGGCCATTCGGCTCCAAGTTCTTGCAAAACTACGAAATGATGTTGAAATAATGAACCGGAAACCATCTGAAAACCAAGTCGCTGATTCCACTGTCATGGATTTGGGCTTATGCTGTGACAGCCACGCCATGACATTCCCTCTGGATTGTCGCAGAACTTCCGTCAGGCAAGTGGAGTGCGGAACAAATTTCACCTTGGCCCGGGCATGCCCAGGCAATGGTGAAACAACCAAAGAAATTGTAAAAATACCCAGCAAATACCCGGTTTCTTTGCAGGCAAAACCAGTGTACATCATAGGCTTAGAAAGAAAATGCTGATGCGAAGCAACGAAACGTCCTGTAGTTGTGTTTCTGAAAAGTCAGCAAGCAACTGCAGTTTTGCCATTGAGCCGTGTCTGATTCAGACCCTGAAGAGTATGGCAAGGGACGTAGCCAGCATTGGGCGTCACCGCCAACACTCGGAACTCTGCCAAATGCAGCAGCCTTACCTGGGGAGTGGGTCTTTCGCCGCGGGCGGATACCCTCATCAAACATGCCAATGGGAAATTCCCCATGTAGATACGTTTCCAATGAGACCTCCATTTATGGGAAATTTCCATGGATTTCCCGGGATGTAATGTTCCCTGAAGAATCCAAAAATATCGAAAAATAACACCACTGGAGGATCAAGTCTGATCAAATCACATCTTCAGGCAGCAGGTGTGCTTGCCAAACTCGCCCCATCAACGACATCAACCTCAGAAACTCAGAGTGTAAGGGATGCAGGTCAGTGCTGTTGACCAGCTTTGCAATTAAAGTGTGCAAGCGAGGATCTCAAGCATCAGCTGGTCTTGCCGCAAATCATCACCCACCTTCAGCAGGTATCCTCAGCTTGGTGGTTCCCAAACTTAAGCTTCAGGGTACCTGAAAAAGACCGAAAACATCCGAAAATGACAACTCATAACTTGATGCTTTGGGAGGAAGCTCCTGCAAACAAGCAGAATCTGATGTTTGCTGTATTCTTCTGTGAGCTGGGTGACAACATGCAACTGCTAAGACCAAGGGTCTTTCATTCACCTCGTTGTCCGCATGACTTGGAGATGCAAATTCTGCAGCTGCCAGAGGACTTTGCCTGGCTCTCTGCATTCTGCCTCGGCTCACCGGCAAATTCTTCAGCTGGGGCAGCAATTGTCTGAAGATGTCTGAAGCATCCGGAAGGGTTTGAAAGTCAGTTGGGCCGGCAAACAGCCTATGAAACGGAAGCGCTCACAGAAGAATCACAGTTACATCATGTATCATCATGTTACATCTTCAAAGATCAGCTGAAACATATGAAACATCATGGAACCCTGGACTGGTCACTCAATTTCATCACCGGATTTCATGACTGCCATTGACTGCCTGAAATTGGACACTTCGAAGCCCGGGCGCACACCAACATCACAGGCGCCTGCTTGGAAGGGAGCACTTCACTCTCCTCCACCACAGTGCCACAGAAGAGTGCCGTGGGATCCACTGGGAGGGAGACCTGGATGGCAGGTCCAACAAAGATGTGGGTTTTCCAACTGGAAAGATATGGAACCACTGAAATTCACTTGGACCTCAGGTGGGTTGTTCTTCCATCTGTCAGGTGCAGCAAAAAACTGATTTGATGGTTTCATATGGTTTCCATCCAAGCCTGCAAGCGATTCCCAAGGTCATCACGGGGTGACAGCAAACAAATAGCCTGCTGATCCGTTGTAACCTGGCACCACGGCTCCAGGGTTCAAAAGAAGGACGGGGTCTGCCTTCCCAACGCCCGGTAGAGTGTTGTCAACCCTAATTTTCAACAACATCACCCATAGGATCCATGTATGGTATATATGCTAACATTTGGGGTATATTGATGGTAAATGTCACCATATATAGCATACATGGATCCTATGGGTCATGGCATCTGTCACAGATGCAGAGATTGGAACACCCAAATCGTCATAATTTTGCCAAGTAGCATGCAAGGATGCTTCATCTTCCGCCGTGACATCATCTTTGGGCACCCGATCCCGTGGTTCTTCGCTCAAGCGTTTCAGCACTTCCCGGAGGAAGTTGGTCTTCACCGCGGCACCCCCACCGGAGCGCTGCTGCTCAGTGTAGAGCACCATGTGTTGGCGCCACACTTCGCGCTGTCGGTAGATGTCTTGCCGTGCCTGGACATAAAAATCCTCCAGAGGCTGATTTTATGGATGAGAATGGCAGAAATCTGGGGGACTTGCTGGCAAAAATGGCCTAGTTGGCGCCTGCAACCATCCACAACAGTGATAACTAGATTTGGCAGTGGGATTAAATGCCCAACGCAGCTATTTAAAGAATATTCAAACAACCAGCCATATCATTAGATCAAATATGATCAAATAATCACAAGCACACCAGTTCGAATGTCCTCTTGATGGTTTGTGCAAACCGAATGGGAGGCTGTCCTGACCCGCAGTGGCCCCAGCCAGCAGTATCTGCACCAGAGCGAAGCGAACTGAGCGATAAGTACCTTGGTCCGCACCCAGCAGGATCTGCACAAAAGTCAACAAGAACAACACATGGATGGCATAGGCAAACAGCACCAAAGAGTTCAAAGATGTTCAAAGTTTGTCCCATGCGAGGCACTTGTTTCCGACTGATGCCCCAGTTTTCTGTCGACCTCCTCATTCGAAAGACCTAAGCCCGGACAGGCGGGAGCTGAGGGAACCCGAAAGCTGAATCCAGACTGAGGAAACATGCAAATATCAAATGAAGTCTAAATGTAGGATGGAACATGCCATACATGCCAAGTATCGTCAACTAGCTCACATTATTTGAGAATAACTATTTCAGAACTTTGTGTGCAGGATACATCACTATGCATGCAGTAATTCAATGTAATTCAAACCTGCTACTCCAAGCAAGACACACACCAGGGACCAGTAGAGGTCACAAATGAAATCCCTCTGCTCCGTGATCTCCGCATATTCCACCAGAAATTCCAGCAACGGACGTCGCCATGGCCAAGTGCTGCCAGTCGAAGGCACTCTGCGCTCCATTGGCCATTCGGAGGTATGACAATCCCAGCGCAGGGCAGCTGCCAGTTGAGGCAGGATCAGCTTCAAGTCCTCGTCGATGTTGCAGGGTTCATTTGATCTATTTGGATCAACCTATTAGGCACCACAGGTGCCTGAAAATGGGATGGTTTAACAACACCACAGCTGACCAAAATCTGCGGAAACCTGAAAAAAAATTGACCTCTGGCCCAGAATAGGTGACTGGGTTGGTTCGTAGCAAGCAAGCTTTGGCTTGCTGATATTTGCAATCACTGTCCGATTGAGTACCCGTACCCGGCCGCCCAGCCTGATGCATGCCACTTTGCTCCTCAACTCTTCTCCAAATCTTGCCATCCGACCATCGAAGGATGTGACCATCGAATGTGCCATGGCGTCCATCTGACATCTCCTTGTGTGAGTGATGCAACTGTTCAACCAGCAATGCCTGACTGGTGGTTTCAACAAACCAGCAATTTAGATTTGTAAAGCGTGACTGGTGGTTTCAACATGTTTCAACATGTTTCAACCCATCCCGCCCATCCCACTCATGCAGTTCTGGCCATTCCTTGCAACGGAAAATCATAAATAGCCGAATGAAAATTAGCATGCTGTAGCAGGCTGTTTGCAACTGGAGTTCCAGGTGCCCTTTGCTCACACTTCCGAGCACATCCTCCAGTGTCTCAGCTTTGACAATGCCATGGTCGCTCACTTGCAGGCTGTGCTCTCCACCGGCTTCCTGAGGCTGTGACCCCACTACTCGTTACTCGCCACTACTTGCCCTCACAGAAGGCTTTGATTGCATCATGTTGCATCCTTTCCCCATTTTCCCCCCACATTGATGCACCCAATGTATCCCAATGTAACATGTATGGACCAAGCATTAGCCGGAGGGGCTTCAAACAAGGAAATTTGGTGGTTTGTTTTAAGAAGGAAAAACTGTCTGAAGATTTTGGGCGAGCGTCATCGGTATATATTCCCTCCCAGGGCAGGGCATGCAGCCACAGTTCATCAAGGATGGAGATGACGATCCTTGACCGATTCCTGAGGTTCGTCATCCCGGGGATGAAAATGGAATGTGTGAGACAGCTGCTGAGTTTCTCCTTGTTGGCCCTTGCAACTCGACAGAATCTTCATATGATGTGCTTTCTTGAGTGAATTGAGTGAATACTTCATGTTACAGTATCCGATTATCGAATCCCCTGGAGATTTTATTGCTATGAACTGACCCAACATGAACTCCTGGCTGACCCAATCCTTTTCCAGCCATCCCCAGCCATCCCCGAGCCAGCGCCATAGCGATGGCTAAGCCATAGGTTCTTGGGATGGTGAACTTTGCTCAGCAGCAGAAGTAGTTCGAAGATCCCTTCCAGTCCCCGCAGCTGCCGCTGATGAGTCGCATCGCCATAGTTGGATCCAACTCGGGTGGTCTCCTGGGATGTTCCCCGGCCCTCTGGTTGTGTCGGATGAGCTTGGATCCCATAATATGTTATTATCTTATATCATCATACTGTATGTATATATATATATATAATATACATATATATATATATATTATTATATATTCATATAACTGTGTATATATATATAATAATTAACATATATATTGTATACATATATGAGTGGTCATATATATATATGGTACGAGTATATGTCAGAATAAGACTATTCTGTGTGAAGGCCGGCCCTACTCATTAATCAACACCCAGCCAATGTTGACAAGACTGACTATGGATCGTGCGGAAGCTGCTCAACATTCTCACGCCTTGCCTTCTTTGGTGGAAACCTGGCATATTCTCCTTCCTGACAAGGGGAAGGGCCTCAAATTTCATCAAATTTCCACCTGCAATGTCCCAGGCTGCCCCTTAAAACAAGGCTCTCCAGCCGCGGGAGCATTGGATGCCTGCTCGCCATGGCCATGCCATGCGGGCGACGGTGAGAAATACCTTTGATCTTTCTGCCTACGACGCTCGGGCACCAGTTTCCAGACGAAAACCGCATTGAGCAGCACGAAAAACACGCAGAAGAAGAAGAGGCCATGGTACCAACCTTGCCAGCTGAGTTAGGCACTGAAAACATCAAGACTGAGATGCTGTTGGCTGTTTAGCTGAGTGTCTCCACACCCGGAATTCTGCAGAGAACACCAAGACCAAAGACTTCCAACAACTACCTGGTGGTAAAACATGGTAAAACATGCCCCACTCTCGCAGGTACCTTTGTGTCCAAAGTCCGTTTCGCACTTTGAGCAAGAATTCATGCCATCAAATGCAACACAAACCAGTTCAGCCAAGATTCCATTGGGAAGCATGGCGATCTCTTCATTCCAGCGATTGTGCGGCCTTAAAAAGCGGGCCTCCTGAATACAGCGCCACATGATCACAAACTCCAGGTACTTCATCACCTGAACAGCAGTTGATATCAGGTGGCGCATCAACTGTAGCTTCAGGATTCAACACCAACCCAAAAAACTAAGCAGAACGGACCTCAGCCAATGGCCAAGTTGGTCCAAGTTGCATAGAAAACCTGGTTGACATAAAGAAAGTGCATGCCAGGGTCGAAGAAGACAATGTTTACGAAGAAGAGCTGTGCCGAAACCTTGGGAGTTTGTGGAATTGTGTGGAGTCGGGCACATCAATTGTACCAGAATGGCTGGCTATGCCCAATGACTTCTGAGCACCAAGGAGTTGGGCAGTTGAAAGAATCAGGAAAACATCCACAGAGGTCCTGACTGCAGTGACATTTATTAATTTATAACATATCTTCTGAGCGACCACAGTTGAAAACAGGAAGTTCGCGCATCTCGATGTGGAGGTGGAGTCCAGCAAGGACTTATGTGCGCGTGCGAAGCGTAGCAGCAAAGAGGTGCCAGACACATCCAGCAGAAACAAACTCAGCAAGGGCCAGGGCCCCGTCTTACCTGAGCCAACTGGCAAGGTTTCAACCCAAGCTGGGTATCGAAGGAAACCACTGAATTTGTGGATTTTGTTGGGGAGCCCACATCCCACTGAAATGTCACGAGTTTCTTAGTTCTGCTTGAGTTGCTCTTGCAGGCATAGTGGAAAAATGCCAAGGTGGGTAATCTCGAAAGGATCTCCACACAGTAGTGAGCGGTGACCAACTTCCTCAGCTCAGTGGATTTGGCGCACTTCATCCTGATCATATTTCCACAACAACATCAACAACTTCATTAACAAATTGACTCCTTGCAGAGACCAAACTGGTCAGAGCCGGGAAGCCAGGAAGCCAGGAAGCCCAAGCCCAAGCTGTCGACAAGACTTACAAGACTTTACGTCCTTTGCTACTATTCTTGCTGAGCGAAATGGCTGTCATGGCATGCCATGGCTCTTGTTCCTCCTCACAAAGACGTCGTCCACCCAGATGTATAGCACGAAATCAGCGATGCCAAAGCTGAGGGACAAATAGCCAGCGACAAAGACCACCGTCAAATGAAATGGATTTGATGCTGTCAAAGCACCATCTATCAAGAGACCCATGTGAAACCTGAGTGACGCAGAGATTTCATAGACGGTGAAAGTTCGACCTGTAAGAGGACAACAACGCGACAAAAATGGGACAAACCTTGCTCAATCGTCCTTTACCCTCTGGTAAACTAACATAGCTATTGAAAATGGCCATTAATAGTGGATTTTCCCATTAAAAATGGTGATTTTCCATAGCTATGTTAGTTTACCAGAGGGTAACCATTTTAACCCACCAAAGCAGTTCGAACATCAAAGAAGCCTCAACCCTCTCCGCCAAGATGCCATAAGGAAACAAAGGCCTGGGCCGGTTTGCACCATGTACTGCCACCTTTCGACTTTCCAATGAGAAACCCATTGTGCTAATTTTGAAGAACACAAGCAGCTAATCAGCTAATCCAATCTACCCTCTGGTAAACGTTTACATAACTATGGACAATCACCATTTTCAATGGGAAAATCCACTATTAATGGCCATTTTCAATAGCTATTTTGACATAACCAGAGGGTAATCCATAATGATCATAATGTACTGATCCGGTTGGGTTGGCCATTCCGCGCCTGTGGGATATTGCAAATGCTCAACTTGCGCACTCCGCGCATGGCGTTCTCCCCAGGGCTGCCCTTGGGAGGGTTGGAGCTCGGATCTGGCGCAGAGGCTAGCGGCAGCAACGGCTGTGAAGCCTCTGAATCTAAAACGCGATATTTCGGCCGTGGGCGACCACCTGAAATCACTTTGTCAGCCATCCTCGGTTCGGCAAAATTGTGATTGGAGCCTGCTAGAGGCCGATGACTTCAGAGAAGAAGAGTGGGGCAATGTGCTGTAGCTGCAGAAGTTGCATGAGGAGGGAATGCCGGATCGGCGCGAGAGTCAAAATGAGTCAAAGCTCTGCCGGAAACAATCAGAAACAACCACCAACCACATCAAAACGGAAACCTAACGCACTCATTTCTTTCAAGACTTACAAAATCAGCATGATGCCTTCAGATCCTTCAGCTGCGATCTTTCCTAAACATCCTGGACACAGCCTGCCAATTCTGGCTCCAAGGGTCTCCCACACAGCTGCTATTTGCAGGAATGAGGTCACCACGGCTACAGCCGTCCCATGAGGACGATGCCGCAGACCTGACCAATGCGTCCTCATGGTCACGACCATTAGCAGCGTCGATAGCAGCCTGAGCTGTGAGGATGTGCTGATCGGGCTCATGGCGATGGTCTGCCGACGCACCACAAACATGATCAGACATGTACACATCAAGAGCTCTACAGAAGCTATTTGCACAGAACCATCCACTTGAAAACAAGCGAATTCCAATGGTATTTACAGTACTTCAAAAAAGTCGCAACGTATCATGCATCGTCAGAAGCTGAGGAAAATTTAAACAAGCCACAGGCCGAAGATCATCGGGGTGGTTGAAGGTCCTTTGCTTTCACCCGAGTACCTGGGAGGAAGCATCCAGCAACTCTCTCAGACCTAAGGGCTAATTGGCTAATTAGTCTCCCATGCCATACAGAGGAATTGATGAATGAGAAGCCCAATGAAGTACCCAAATTGATTGGCCACTAGCACAGGTGCAAAATACTTCAGAGTCCTTCACTGATTGTGGGGATCGTAAGAGTACAAGATTAAAGTAATTACGTACACTAATTACTATGCATAGATTGTGCAGTAGGCTTCATGATATGTCTTGCTGAATCTACTGTTGCCTGTGGCAAGTGACACTGGGAAAATCGTAGCCTCTCCAATATCATGCGTCCAATTTCATGGAGCCAAAGTTGGCTTTTGACACTCATGACACCGCATTTGAATCATCAACTGGGCCAAAGTGCACAACAGCTGCAACGTCCAACAGGCGTTGAGTTGTCAGGAAAATGGCACGAGAAGACAAGCCAAGGACGCGATTCCATGATTGCCACTTCATGCTGCAAGGAGCTACGAAACGCAGAAAAATCACAGTGTCGCATCTTGTGTCAAGTCTTGACTTCTATCTTATTCTTGCTTGCAAGTTAGCTTGCGATGTTGATGGTGTTTTGAATGCAAACAGTCCAATCTCGACCATTTTCTCAACGGATCTCAAATGTTTGCATGTGCAACAGTGGAGGGCCCTTCAATGTTTGCTCCTGCAGTCGTTTCCGTAGAACGGTTTGCCCTTGGTATTTCCTTCTGCTCTAGGCCCTAGGCAATCGTTCGGAGTACTCTTGTCTCATTATATAAATAATATTATATATATGTTCTTCTGAGTCCAAGCCAGAAAAGCTTGGGAGTGCAGACAGGCCAGTATGCATCCCGCGGTGATCACACAGGGACAAAACGAATAGAGCCATAGTGTTCACTCCCTGCTTTTCCATGCTTTCCAGTCTGCCCGGGAGATGCTTAAACAAATACCGTCCTCGCCTTATCACCTCACCAACAGTCCAAAAATGAATTTCTCCCCGGCTGGTCAGAACACAGTTTAAAGCCCAGCCCCTTGCCCGGTTTGGATCAAACATTGGATTTACCAAGACGGCACGGAGCCCAGCTGTCTGGCCCCGCCCTCCTGCTCGTCCCCTCGCAGAGTGCCATTGCTTTGGGCTGAAGCCATATCCAATAAAAGCACTGCACCTGCATAGGTGTCTTGGTGCAGAAAGACCTGCCGTGGAGAAACAGGCCTTCACACCAAAGCGCCAAAAATGATTCAGCTTATACATCCAAGTGCTCTGACTGCAAGTTTGGCTGCCCATCATATGCATAAAATATCATAAAATCTATTTAACTTAGGATCTAGTATCTTGACACTTCTCTTGGCTCCTTGGTCCTTGACTAAACGGAAGTGAGATGAAGTGAGGTCAAATAACTGGGAGAATGGTGATCGACTCCCATAAAATACCTGGCCTTCTTTGATTTTCCAGGTTGTCCCACAGCCAACTTGGATCCCAAGATGGCACAGGAATGACCGAAACGACCATGAGGCTCTGTCCCTGACAGCACCGATTTCAAATGCCCGCGGCTCGCAGAGTAAATGGCACCAACTGCTGCCCTGCTGGAGTTGCCACGGGCGAACTGCCCAGGGGCTCCAATGAAGAGCTCTTGACCTGTGCTGTCTCGCCCAAATGTATCCAAATATGCTATGAAAATGGCTTAATTATGCATTTTGCAAATGTCTTTTTGCAAAGTCTTGATGATGTGCAGATTGCACACCACAAAAGAGTTCCATGCAGTACTGTATGTAATTGTGGCCAAGCCTTGCGCACAAATACAGCTCCCAAACTTCTCCCCAGCTTGCCAGCCAACGTATTCTTCCTCTGCCTGTCAGGAGTCGCAAAGCACTTAATTATTACACATGACCGCTCCAAACATGATTCCACAAATTCCTTGCCAAGCAGAAACGCTTGTACCAATCAGAGAACACACATGCGTGATGCATCTGTATATGCTGCATCTGTACAGCAACATGCCTGGCTCACCGGCAGGAATATTCCTATATATTATATATTTATTATATATTTATATGTATTATACTTATATATATATATACAATATATTTATTCTTTGCTCATCTTTGTTCCTTTCTCAATTGTCCAACTCTGAAGCCCAAAATCCCCAGAATCTTATCCCATCCCACAGCTTCAGCCTCGGCCACCGTCACCGTGCGGTGGCGCCGCGGCGCAAAGACATGGACCTTCCCCGGGCGCATTTGCTCCGCATCGTCCCTGCCGAAGTAGGGCGACCCCACCGCCAGGCGCTGTGGTGTCCCTGGCGCCGCCGGCAGGGCCAACAGGGAGAAGCCGAAGAGGTCTGCGGGGCCAATGGCCGAAGCTGACCAGGATGGGTTGGTCAAACCTGCAGGGTATAGCAAACCAGGATGGGTTGAGCGAAGTTGATGCAAGTTGGTGATTGGAGTCTGGGATGATGATCCCGGGATGCTTGGGCTGAGATGGAGAATGGAGATGAATGGAGTCTTGCCGTGCATCTCAAATTCAGCACAAATGCACTTAGGTTACATCAGATCATGCGTAGGTCATGAGTCTCGTCTTTCATTTTTTAGGTGTCAATTGACCACATGATCCTTTGCTTTCCTCACCTCCTTTCGAGCCAAAGAACACGTCAACTCGCCCAGAATAGGCCTGAGCCAAGGGGGAGCATTGAAGCATCATCTTTTCAAAGCCCAGTGGCTTAGCTCTGCTGATACAAAAAAACAGTCCACTTTCCACCCGTGGAGCCCAGATCGGCCCAGCATGTCTCCGGCCTGTCTTTCAAAGACTTGATCTATGGGCCCTCTGGTGGGGGATCCCACCGCAAGGTCATCAATACCGTCAGCATCAAAATCTCCACATGCCAAGGAGTGCCCAAATCCTTAAGGTTCGCCATGGCTCGCTCACAGCTTGAAGCACCCAAATTCCACATTCCAGTGCATTCCAGCTGTATTCTCAATGATCATCAATGATCTAGGGCTAAAAGGGCCACTACAATGATCTATGTCCCAAACTCATCGTGCAGCATGCCTCTATCTCGCCCCCCGAGTGTCGACCGCCGACATGGGCATCTGGAGCGGGTAAGGACAAGGTCCCTCCGGTGGATGGTTTCCTGGCCGCACCACAGAATGATAGCAGCTGATAAAATTCCAGGGATATTGTGGTCTCTATGGTGGCATGTGTAAATCATTGTAAATCCACATGAATCAAAATCATTCCTGGCATGGCTAAATGATTTGGGATGTCAGTGTCAGCATGTCTCAGCCTATAGAGTATGGGCTCAAATCCAAGCTAAATACTGAATATAGATGTAAATTCTGCTGGCCCTCTGACCATTTTTGGGCCTCGTTAGACACTGAACCAGCGGCGCCTGATATTCACCTGTCCCAGCAATGGCTTTCCTGGTAATGACCATCCGGGAGCACCAGAAATCTCCTGGCAACAAGGGCTGGTGCGTGATTCTGAGACGAAGAGCGCGTCAGCAGTGAGATGTGGATTAATATGATATATATGATTAATACAGATACCAATACCAATCAATTCATAATTAATCCCTAACATATCCATTAAATTCAATTAATAGCCTTGGCTCTATGGTGGATTTTCCTAGGCCTGGTGGGTATCCCGCCAGGATCCGCCATCCTCTAGATCGCCGTCACCATCCACGTCGCAGAACAACACGGAGCTTCCGTCATAGCCGTACCTCACGCAGATATGCGCGGATCATGTGCGGAAATCCGACACATCCATACAAATCCAACAAAGAGTGATAGTCCCAAAAAATGAAGCTTCTTGGAGCCGCTTTTCATCAAGAAGAATCATGCCAAGACTTCAGGCTAGCTCAACATGATCAACATGGGCCATCATGGGCATCATGGGCCATCATGGGCCATCATGACCCAGCCGGTTCCCAGCTGGCAGCAGGTCACAAGCCAGTCTCGTTCGGCTGAGTCGGTTCCACGTGTCTGGTAGCTTGGGGCCCAATCAGCACCGCGCCTGTCGGGGAGGGAACCCAAGGGACACTTTGGAGCCTGAGAGCACCAAAATGATCAACCCCAACACAGTGAATGCGGCGGCATGAGAACAAAAGATGCTGCCAAAAAAATCAGGACATTTCAGGACCTATTTGATGATGTTGATAGACATGGGATTCGGAAACTGCCTTCTGGCAGCACCGCCACGTCGCTGGCATTTCGGTTCCCCAAGCTCAGCAGCTCACGCAAGCCATGCGGCTTCCTGGGAATGTATGGATGGTGAGGGGCTTCAGATGGCTTCAGGATTCATGGGGGTCCACCATGGTCCACCTCAATCAACAGCGTGTCTCATGATGTCTCATGAGCATCAGTAGGGCCGAATGACAAAGGTCCCATCAAGGAGTCATACGATGAAACTTCTAAACTTAGGTGGGTGGTCGGCAGTTTTCAAGCCTAGTCCTATCCGGCATGAATTCTGTGGATGGTTCCTTACGTATTTGAGCTCTATGAAACTCGTTCACAAACCTGCCTAGTTGGGAACATGGTAAATAAATAATACATCTGGATGATTAAAAGTGGATCAGCCAGCAAGTAACTACGTAGCAATAACTAGCGATTCAGCAAAAAAGGCGATGCCCATGATCCCATGGGCCCCGGTTCAGCTTTGCAGCGTCCTGGTGTCCAGTATCAACTCCTCAGCTACAAAAAGCCATCAAAAATCTACAGTGAGGACCTCTTTTTCAAGGATCCTTCTACCATTTGCCATGTTTCAAGGATCTATTAATGTCGTAAACCCAATAATAAACCATCCAATGGTATAGTTATGGCATTGGGTTTCCCACATTCTCCATCTTCTTTGTGTCAAACAGCTAATGCAGCTGATGGGCTGGCGGAGGAGGATCTGGTGGACCATCTAGGAGCCACTGCAGGAATTTCTGCCATGCCACTAGGCCTTTCATCCAGGTGGCGAATGGCTCTGGTCACTCTTCAATTGAAATGATTTGAAAGTCGCGGTGCACCCGCCCCAAAAAAACATTATATATAAATTATTATATTATTTTTTAATGATACGGAAAACATGGAAAGTGGTGACATGGAAGGAAACCAATCTAAGGTGCATGCTGCGGATCAGATTGCAAGATCCAATTAGAGATGTAGGGGTGCTATCCCAGATGCTAAAATGCACCATATCATCAAAACCGCCGATCCAGAAGTCCAGCAGCTGCTCCTGATGTGTTTAGAGCCCAAAGAAATCATGCAAAGGAAAAAAACATATTTTTTTTGGAAATGACCAAATTCTGACTCCACTTTCTCAACAGAAAGCATGAACTTCTATGAGCATAGAACAGCTGGTGTCCTGAAGAAACGGCCCTGGCCGCGCATATTTCGGAAATAAAAGCTCCCCGCCGAAGCGCACGGCTTCCACGGCGGCACGAAACTCCACACCACAGTCCTTGGCTCCTCACCCAACACAAGAGCCCTACCGTGGCATCTGTGGCTGCGAACAAAATGGGACGATGCACAAGCCGACTTTCATCTTCGTTAGATTTCTTTAGCAAACTGCAAGATTGTGCAAGAATCACAAGAACAACTACTATGGCATAGTATATAGGACGATCTAGGATCTATCCATTTGAACCCTTGGTCTCAAATCTACCACCCAGATTTCCGCATATGAATGAAATTCAATCTTAATGATCCTTCATGTACTCATGGAACTCACAGTAGCGTACAGATATGACACCCCTGGTCACTGGTTGTTGCGGAGCCGAGATTCGATGATCCATCTGGAGCTGACATTCGGATGCGCCTGCGGCTCCTGATGGAAGATCTCCACGAGGTCTGCTACAGGGATGAACCACTGCAGCGGCTGAATGTTCCCCGTGCGGAGCTGGTGGTGGATCACAAACCTGAGGTGGCCAAGGTAGCTCCACTTGCCCCCAAACTTCCACTTGCCATGGGATTCCAAATTGAAGGCGATGGCTGCATCTATAGCTTACTTATTTTTGGATCTGAAGGTATATAATGATATGTAATGATATGTAATGATATGTAATGATATATATACAGTATATATATACAGTATATATATATATATTATTATATGTAGTTGCAAGAGAACAGCTGGCTTCAGGGTGTGAGGATTGGCTTTTGCACAAAAGGGGAAAACTCTGAAGATCTCTGAAGATTATGATTGCTGGGTTTTCTAATAAAATCTACAGGAAACGATGGAGTAACTAGAGGGGGTTCCTGAAGATTTGTAAAATTCGGATATGTGAAGTTCTGTGTTGCGGCAAATTGTATTTCTGCTAAAATCTCTGAGGTCCTTGCTCCCCTCCGGTATCTCCTTCCGAATGTGCCTCACAACAGGGGGCAAACCACGAATCAGCAACATTCAGCTGGCCCAAAACGGGACAGTTCCAACTGGGCACCGTTTGACACAAGCGCCCTTGGCATCCATAGTCGATCTCGCCAAGGAATTGTAGAAATCCCAAGCCAAAGTTCCTCGTGATATTGTCCTTACAAGTCAGTTTCCAGGAATACGAAAACACTCGTGCATGCTGTATGCTTGATCAACCCCGCTGCCGTGACAAATCGTGACACGACAAGTGCTGACGTGCAATATATTCAAACCTTCCAAGCATCTAAAAGCTGCAAAACATTGCAAAATCAATGTTTAGATCCAAATGAAAAGCTCATGCAACATGTTGAAAGTAATATGTTCTCTACCAAGTCTCAGCCTTGACGCGCTGACCATGCCAGTTCATGTCCTTGGGCCGGAACGGTGATATTGACATCCAGGACATGTGGGATGAAGGAACAAGGGCTTGTCATTTTCGACGGTTCAATCAGATCAATCAGTTCCTGAAAAACTTTCGTGACATGTCTTGGCCAATTGTTGCTGGATCAATCTGATTCAATTGCATCCAGCGAAACGGCTTCTTCCAGCTTCCCAGCTTCTGCTTTGATTGGCTTGGCAGAAATCCGGAATTAGTGTGATAAAGCCAATCTGTTTTGGGCAGTCTCTCATGTTGCAAAGGTTTCATTTTTTAGCTGTAGAACTTACCAGTGCTAGCAAGCTGCTGCTGCATAGTGTGACACAGCCCCAAACAGAAATGCCACTAACTTTGCACCATGCTCATCACCACTCTGCCAGTTTGGATACCTCGCATGGCGATTTGAATTTGGCCCTAGCTGGAAAGGGGTCACTTCACTCTACAAGAGGTCGCCAGAGTGAGAAGCTCCCAACAACTGGCAAAGTCAGTCAAGAACTCATGCTTTCATGGATACGAATGGTGCAGCAGTACTCATGGGGACACCTACATGTCCCGTCCGATTCTTTGAAGCTAATCATAGGACCACGCAAAAGTTGCAGCATACATCAAGATCATCTTGTCTTACCTTTGATAGTTTCCTAAGAGTGCTAGTCTTAGTGGTTCAAGACCTTTCCCTTAGCACCTTGCACTACTTTTAGATCTTGGGGATGTTCAACCACTCCTTTGGGTCCGTCCTGAAACTTTGCCGCGGTGCTTTTCGCGGATGTACTTGGCGGCCTTGGCATGGAAGGTATGCCAATGAGCGTCTTCGCCTGGCGTAGTGCGCGATGTATTGGCACAATCCATGTGAAATCAATGGAAATTCGCCTGGTGTTGTTGCAAAAACATGACCAGGCGAAGCATGGAATGGCATGGAAACCCCTTTTTTCAGGGTGAAGGATCAAAAAAAAAAATTATTGGGATCAAAAAAAATATTATTTAGGGATCAAAAAAAATTATTATAGGGATCAAAAAAATATTATTAGGATTCATACTAATAGTAATAATAATGATAATAGTAATAGCAGTAGTAGTAGTAATAATAGTAGTAGTAATAGTAGTAGTAGTAGTAATAATAGTAGTAGTAAAAATAAAAATACTAATAGTAATAATAATACTAATAATAATAACAATAATAGAAATAATAATAATAGTAGTAAAATAATAATAATAATAGAAATGATAGTAGTAGGAGTAGTAGTAGTAGTAGTAGTACTAGTAGTACTAGTAGTAGTAGTACTAGTAGTACTAGTAGTCGCGGCCCCGCAAAGCGTCACATGAGTGGTGTCCACAAGATTACTCTATATCTCTCTTGAGCCTTGAGAGCGTATATAAATGTGCTCAATACTCATGCAGTACCCACGTAGGATGCAAGTTAAAGCAAAAACACGGAAGCACAGCAAGCATGCTGGGTGGTTGAGGGTTGAACGCTTGCTTGGTTGGTTTGTCGGTTAGTACATACCGCAAACAATAGCAGCACGCTCAGCAGCCCCAACCTGGAGAAGCTTCGGCCCTGCCTCAGCCCGTCCATGTCGATGGGGTTACCTTGCGAACTTTGGTTGGCGGGCCGTATCATCCACCATTGTGGCATTGTCGAGGGCAACAACAAAAACAGAACAACATATAGGTGGGCCGTATCATCCACCTTTGTGGCGTTGTCACAGCACGGAAGCACAGCAAGCATGCTGGGTGGTTGAGGGTTGAACGCTTGCTTGGTTGGTTTGTCGGGTGGTACATACCGAAAACAATAGCAGCACGCTCAGCAGCCCCAACCTGGAGAAGCTTCGGCCCTGCCTCAGCCCGTCCATGTCGATGGGGTTACCTTGCGAACTGGTTGGCGGGCCCTATCATCCACCATTGTGGCATTGTCACAGCAGGCATGGCAAAGACAGGCACGGGGAAGCAGAAGTTAACACAAGTTGCGGACGATGGTCATAGTTAGCATTCACACCATCATGTTCACCACATCATCGTGCCAACCCCAACTAATGTATTTACGAGCTTGGAATTAAATATAAAGCAGGGAGGGCAAAGCAGATTGGAAACACCTATTTTCACATGCAAGGTGCTGGTTTAGTTTAAATTTATTTGTGGTTTATCTTATGGATTTGTTTAGGGTCTATTTAGGGTTGGGTTATGGGTTATTTAGGGATGTCACATGTGCATACAAATAGCTATAATTACGTGATTATTTATAGGGGCTTTGGGATGAAAGCTGTGCCTCAAAACAACCACACATATCATATATATTATATATAGGTGTATATTATGTCTGTATATCATGCCAAGGATATGTATGTAAGGTCGATCGTTGTGCAATCTATATTCTTTTTGATCCTAATAATATTTTTTTTGATCTAGATGCCTCCTTCCTGCCTGCCTGCCTTCCTTCCTTCCTGAATATTTTTTCATTGCAATAATAGTTTTGTTTGCTTGCAATAATAACTATTTTTGACTGCATGTGCAAAGAGAAAGAGAATAGTACAAGAGAAGAAGAGCTGTAGGAGCCATAGAAGCCAAAAGCCACAGGAGCCGAAGGAGCCATAGGAGCCGAAGAAGCCAGAGGAGCCGGAGGAGCAAGACAAGAAGCCAGAAGCCAAAAAGCCACCAGGAGCCACCGGGGACACAGGAGCCGAAGGAGCCACAGAAGCCAGGAGCCGAAGGAGCCAGGAGCCGAAGGAGCCACAGAAAGCAAAAAGCCAGAAGCCAAAAAGCCAAGAAGCCACGAAGCCACCAGGAGCCACCAGGAGCCACCAGGAGCCACAGAAGCCAGGAGCCAAAGGAGCCAGGAGAAAAAAAAAAAATAATAATAAATTACCCTCCTTTCTTTACTTCAATCTTTCTTCCTTCCTTCCTTCCTTCCTTCCTTCCTTCCTTCCTTCCTTCCTTCCTTCCTTCCTTCCTTCCTTCCTTCCTTCCTTCCTTCCCCCCCTTCCTTCCTTCCCCCCCTTCCTTCTTTCCTTTACTTACAAACAGTAATATTTTTTTTTGATCCTAATAATAATTTTCTTTTGATCCTAATAATAATTTTTTTGATCCTAATAATAATTTTTTTTTGATACCCATCCCCTTTTTTCATGGAGGTCTTGCGGGATGCACTGGGCAATTCCCGAATTCTCGCTTGTTGCATTCTCCCAGAGGCAATGCACTTGGCAAATATATGCAAATATTTTTCAGATGCTGGGCGTCCTGCCATGTCCTGCCTGCTCCATGGTCCGTGCCACAAGCATACAAATAGTCTGGAAAGGGTGCGCCAGCAATCAAGGCTTCTGGATGCCGTTGAAGAATGGAAGAAACATTCGCCACCTAAAGGGACAGTCGTGTGACCTTGGGGTGATCCAAAACGGGCTTTGGTATCTTTGGTGACACAGGGACCGAACCTGGAAATGAAAAGAAGTCAATTGATCTTGATATATCCTGATAACCTCACCAATACCTCACCTATAGGACCTAGGAGGTATGTGACTCTTTGACCATGGCGGCCACAACTTTTGGGCTACAATATGCTACAGTCCCCTACCCACTACCTCAACTGCATTTTACTCACCTCTCAACTCTCTTTGGGCTACAGCTGCTCTCCCATCCCACACCACGGTTTTTGCAGCCCAACCTCGGTGGAAAACAAGCGATGGGCTTTCAAGGCCACTTCACTGTGCAGGGTCATGCCACAGCTGCACCTTAGAGCAGCCCATTTGATTCTGAATGGGCCAAGGTATGTAGCTCAGCATCACCCAGGATGAACGGGTCCCTGCATGTACTGACACTTCCGGCTTTCATCAATGTTGAAGGCTCTTCTGATTCAGAGTGTGCATGATTTGATGAATATTTGATGAATTTACAGGCGGATGGACTGGGTATGATCCCGGAAGGAGCCAAAAAAAAGATGGAACTTGCGGCATTGCATCCGGACCAACCAAGCAGTCCATTTGAATTTGCCAAGAAACACCAAGAGAGGCAGTGTTGCTACCTAGGAATCTTGGAAGAATATTGACTGACAACCAAAGCGATGTCAGGATTATTCTGGTTGGGTATCAAGGGTTGTTCGATTCTGAGAGAACGATTGTCCTATTTTGTGGTCTCACCATCGCAACTTTGCACTTGCGCAGACCATTTGAGGAATTAAAAGTGGCAACAAAAACCTGCATCGCACGTTCATCGGGAGGGCATTCACTGACCTGAAAAAATTGCCCAATTCTGTCGTTCAAGGAATTGCACGAAACTTGGTATGAATCTTCAACAGCATCAACAAGCAAGTCATCCATGTCCTTCTGCCGGGTTGCTAGCAAGCCAAAGCGCCACCAGATTTTCATGGCTCCAACACCAACAGAGGTCATGGCTGAAGTCAGAATGTGCTGACGGCTCAGTTACATTCAATTGCCCCAGTCGTTTCAACTCCATCAGTGGGTGAAGTTGTGCCAAAGATATGAGATCGTACATACGGCGTCTAAAGCGTGGACAAAGTAAATCAATATGATCTTGCGGGTGATATTAATATGATATTCCAAGCATTGCTCAAGGGGTGGCTTCCTTTTTAAACAGCAGCAATTAAGATATGTGGCGCAGGACACCCGCATTCCACGTCATTCCATGTTCATCCCTTTTCATGGGACCACTTGTTCCACTTGGCTCAAGAGCGTCTGAATCCAAAAAAACGACAGCATATAAAACTTATATAAGCATGCAAAATGCGTTTCCAGGTGATACCAAGCATGAGGCAGCGAGGCACGACATGGCACGACCACCTTCAGCAAGATGAAGGCAGGGATTCCCCCGTTGGACAAGGGGCTCCGCAGCACTAAGATGTGGAATGGGATAGCGCTTCACCCGGTCGTGAAAGCCATCGTGGCTGAATGGCATCTCACCTCGGGCCATCTGACGGGCATGCTCCGCAGCAATGTCCGCAATGCCCTGACACCACTTCCTTGGAGGCTCCAGGCTGCAGTGGTGAAAACAACTTGCAAGACTCAAAAAAAACAACTTGGAAGCTGGACTTTGAATGAATGGTTGTATCCTTAGGTGCAAGCCAAGCAGTGGAGTTCCCTATGGTTCCTTGGATACCCTCAATACAATATTCTCCCAGTAGCAGCACACACACACACACACACATATAGCACCCATCATGACATCCCTCTCGCAACTCGAGCTATCCTCAACCAACACATCCGAGTCTCAGTGGAGGAATCTTCTGGGATCCTCGGAAGATGTTGGTTTCATCCAAAGCCCGTCGTGCCAAGTACTTGGGGTCGTAGCTTCTGGACACCAACTGTCCTTGGCCGGGCTGACTGTTTAGCATGGCAAGGATCATTGGCATCTCACGTTCCACCGATGCCCATCTGCCAGTGCTTAACATGTTGCGTTGTGATCAGCCAGGAATCACTGGAACTTCCGTGTTGGTTTTCATAGTCTATTCAGTGCCGGGTTTCCATAGGTCGAGGCTTGACCCAAGCTGGTCTCGTACTCTTTGGCATACCTAAGCCGATTGGAGACCTTAGAAAACCTGAGAACCTCGATGCCTGGTTGAGCTTCCTGAGAGTCCTCGCGGTTTTTTTTGGTGCATAAATGCCAACTGACGCATGCAACATCTAAAAATGTCCGCTAGAAATTGGAGTCAACAAGACGCATGAGAGGGAATATGCATATTAATGCATATGATGTATCTGTTCCCTGGCTCATGTTACCAACAAGCTCCCCCAAGCACAATCCCAAATTGAACATGAATTTCGCCAAGCAAATCTCACCCCGGATCAATTCCGGACAAATTTCACCAGCGTCTCTTGTAGCTGCAACCAGTGACGCGGCTTTCAATGGCCTGGGTGCAAAGGCATGTTTCCAATGGCCTCTTCCACCCGCATGGCTTCCAAATCCTGGAGGTTGAACCTGGGATCACAGGCCAGCTGATCATGAGTTGATGTCCCAAGTGCCAAGAGCACCCATCCGGATACATTGTGAGGCAAGTAACTACCTGGATAATGTCTCTGTTTATCTATGTACATATATTCATTAGTTAATTATTCTGATGTATTCCGATCAATCTTCAGAATGTACATGTGGTTAAGAAAATCACCAAATTTTCATAGGTAAATGATCTATAAATGGTCCATGTTCAATAGCTATGTTAAGTTACGTCTCTATCGTATGTGGGAAGCTTTGGGGGACGAAGTCGTGGCAACACATCGCCCTTCACTGCGATGTAGATGTTGTAGGGACATTGATATATATATATATATATTATATTATTATATATATTATATATTATATATAAATTCCCGGTTCACAACATCTATTATATCCGGGAATTATAGATCATATATATATATATCAATGTCCCAAGATAATTTGGAGACAATAATCTTGGAATGGTTCATATAATGTCTCCAAGATCATTCCAGGTGCCTTGAAACCCCAAAAAGTGCTGAAATACCCACCGAAAAGCACACAGATTTGAATAGATTCAGACAAATACTGTATCACTGCCATCCTGCCATCCAATCTCATTTGATGATATTTGATTCATCAAATATCATCAAATCAATCTATTCTACACCCCAATTTCACGAAGCGTTCTTCCGGAACATGGAACTTGGATGTTTTGGAAATCATCCCATAGGATCCATGCATGCTATATATGGTAACATTTACCCTCCATATACCCCAGTCATGTTAGCATATATACCAGCACCATGGATCCTATGGGCATTGGAACAACCAGGATCCCAGGATCCCGATCGGGTCCCCATAAATTGGGTCCCCAAAAAAGGGGGAGTTTCTGCCCAGCTGCTCCCGTTTGCCCGGATAGCGCTCCGCCAAAGGTCGACTGGAGTCGATGACCCGATGCTCCAGGCGATACACGGAGGGGTTGGGACGACGACCTGGGCGACAAAGAAAGGTCCTTGGAAGCCTAGGTGTTTCTAGAACAAAGTCTATGATATGTGTATATATATATGTATATATATATATATAATGACAATATATATGTATGTATGTATGTATGTATATATATGTATATGTGTGTGTGTTAGAGAGAGAGAGAGAGAGATGTGCCTGTAGCATTTCTACATCTAATATGTATTGATATATATATGTACATATTTATGTTTATGTTCAAACATACGTAATCATACGTATATATATATATAAGTTGTTTCTTAATATATGGATCTATATATTGGCTGTGGGTCAATGGGTCAAACCTTGGCACCCTAACACCTACTGGTAGTTGGTAAATGGTGTTCATCACTCCAAAATATGATATCATGGGTCTAAATCCATCATACCCTCTGGTAATTTAACGTAACTATGGAAAATCACCATTTTTGATGGGAAAACTCACTATAAATGGCCATTTCAATAGCTATGTTAGTTTACCAGAGGGTAAATCATCATGAATCATAATCCATCCCCGGATAGTGCAACTTGTACCTTTGGAATCCCTGGAAAAATCATGTAATGTCAAAGCAGCATAAAGCAGCTGCCTTCCCAACATGCCTCAGACCTGGTCATTCGGATAATCACCAAATCTCCAAAATCCAAGTTGAATGGCTGATGGAGAACCATCGATATGGCATTTCACAACTGGGACGGTCAGGTAAAGCATTCCAGAATTGAACCATTTTGGCTTTCTGTTCCCATGGTTGGTGTTTGATCCCCTTGGCCGCCATGGCCGGTTGGAATTCCATGTCTGGTCCCGTTTTTGTTGGCACATACTCCCATGATTGGTGGCCAACTCCCAATTTCACCATTTTTTGGTGTGTTGATTCAACGTTGATCGGCTAAAAAATCTATAAATATGAAGGTGTCCAATCCATGGGGGTACCCCCAAATCATCCATTTACATCATTTATTTTTGGGATCTTCCATTATTGTTCACCATCCATTGGGGTAGCCTCATGACTATGGACAGGGCCCTGCCGGGGCCCTGCCGCCCTGCCGCCCTGCCGCCCTGCCGCCCTGCTGCCCTGCCGCCCTGCCGCCCTGCCTGCATCACGCATCGCCTCCTGAAACTTTCGCGGATCGCGAGCACGCCGAGCATGAACCTCCGCGATGAGGTCACCTGGCAGGTCTTTTTTTCTCGAAAATTCTGCTAGGAAAAAGCTGCAAGGACCTAGGGAAACCATAGTTTTGCCCACACAACAAATATAAAATTATATATATAATTATATATATAATTTACATATATAATTAATCATATAGTATAGGTAGTTCCTGTCGTCCCTTCAACCGATTCTGGGATATTGATGAACATCGGCCATGGTAAAGTAATGTAAAGTACATCCATCCGTCATTATCCCACTGTATTCTGATCTACTGCAGTACTGTCTACTCCATCCAGCGATCGCCGTTTCCGTCAATCTATCAACATCTATCAACCATATCGATTTATCGAATTTATCATGGTTTATCCATCTAAACGATTTGTACCAAAACAGACTTATGTGACATATTCGTCTGGCAGACTGGCCATGGCCATGGTTTTTTCGCATTGAAAACTTGGCACTTTCTTCAGGTGGCATCAATCCAGCCATACCCCAAATCACGGCTGCAGCTGGGATGCGTGCAGTTGTGGTAGCGGCTTCACTTAGAGGCCCATCAGGAACATCGGCCCAGTCACTCTTGACCTGTGAACACAGATTGCAAGTACCTCAGAATATCTCAGAATTATCTCAGAATTATCTCAGTATATCTCTGTATCTCCATTGGTTTTCAATGGTTTCCCACTCAACCATGCGATTGAGGGATCCCAAATTTTGTGCGGATGCCTAAGCGGACTGCATCTGCAAAATTCTGGCTCCAGTTCTGAAGAAGACTTCTGTTTGCAAAATAGCAGCAACCCTGATCCACGATCATTTCGCCAGCCCTGGGTAATCTCCCAGTCTGCTCTTGAAAACAGTGTGAAACATGCAAGTGTGAGACGTGCTGCCTTCAGCAAATTTGGATCGTTACACGGTCTTCATGTGTTACACATGATTCTGACAAAATGATACGACATGTACATTGATATCCAGCTTTCTGGAGCTCATATGTCAAAAATAAAGATTCTTGCAAGAAAAAAACAGGCTCTGTACAGGGTACGGAGTTGCCGAGCCACATGTAGTTTCACGCTCCTAAAGCTCAATGTCACAGGTCGCAAATTGGAACAATTTGATCCTGGCTGACTTTGCAAAGGGAGAACTTCCAGGCTCGTCCCCTTTTGGGAAAGGTGCTGCCAGAGGGGTTCGTTCGAGATTCCTCCTCCTGCTGGGACTTGGAGACAAAGATGTCAAGGAAACTTTGCTTTCCATTCGTTCATTCCGTTCATTCCGTTCCATGTGGCTCACAAAGGAGGTCAAAGCATCCTCCGACTCCAGTGATTGAAGAGGCAGCTCCAGCCGTGCTGAGGCTTTGGGTGTTTCCTCCAGCTTCACTGCAGAGCCGGGACGGCTCCTCCCACCACGGCTGGGCGGACGGCTGTTGGACAGCGCCCGGCCACTGGCAGGACGGCTGGAGGCACGGCTGCGGCCACTCTGCGGCCGACTCCTGGCGACGGGCAACGGGTCCTTCACCACCTCCGCCACGCTGTCAGGTTCCACATCCCCAGCCTCCATCAGGGACTCAGCGGGAGTTCGCTTCATCATCACGCGGCGGTTGGAGCGGCCCTTCTCCTGACTCGGGGTTTCGGCACGTCCCACGGTAAGAGGAAGGCACAGCAATTCACTCAGAGGCCCGGCCACCAAGGTGGCACTCTCTGCGCGGCGGACGCCTCCCAAGCCCGGTGCAGCACTGCGGGATCGAAGAATGCCACGTTGACTGGGGGACTTGTAACCACGACCTGCAACAAGGTAGTTCTCCAACAGGGCTCGAAACTGCGCATCACACGTGGGTCCCACCAGAAATCGTTCCAGCTCCGCAGCTGTCATCAACGCCAGTTTCTCCAAGGCTTGTTGACCTTCAGAACGCCTGGCTAGGGCTGGCAGAAGGCTAGCCAGGTGGATGACACTGCCATCCAAGACGGAACCATGCTCCCAGTAGAGCTTCACCAAACGGATCATTTCTGCCCTGCAAGCCATTTGCAACCGATCCACCACGGTGGTATCATCTCCGTAATTGGCCTCCCAGGGCCATGCGGTTCCCATCTTGACAGGTGTTTTTTGTTGAAATCATCCAGAAGACAAACCATTTTGACAATCAACAAAATTGCACCATGCCAAACACCAGCATGTCTTAAAAAATCACTTTCAGCACCTTTCAGCCCAGTACAAATCCTTCCAGCCAGCCTGAGATCTGATGCTGCAAAACGCATCCAGTCTGGCTGTGACCTCTGGCTGTGATGCCTTATGCCGATCGGCATGGCTCAGCCTGAGAGCGTGGCTCACCGTTTTTTTGAACGTGGCGGATGAAAGAGAACCGGAGAACCTATGCATTTTAATAATGCTGGAGCTGGCAAATAGCAGTGATCTCAGACGATCAAAATACTGCCAAATCTTGAAGAGAATCAGCTATTGAATGTAATGGGGTAAAGATTCCGGGAATCTTTCCAATGATATCACCCCTCGAACCTATTCTCCAGAAACGCTCGGTTTCACTAAGGGGTCAGCGAGCAAAGCGTCAAGTGATGTCAAGTGGCTGACTGCAGCGATTGTGGACTCTGATGAGGTACTCCAGGATTGCCAATCGACATCCGTTCTCTTGAAGGGCAGATGTCGCAGGATCCTCCCGATTCGACCGAAGCCGGGCTCCAGACTTTTCCATCTTTTCCCATCCAAGTGTGGCAACACTCCGTGCCTTGGTCCAGTGATTTCCAGTGGAAGTGACACATCAAAGATCCAGCAAATCTTACAGGAAAATTGCCCTTAGCGTAGATCAAGCATGAACAAACCTGTCTGTGACCAACGAAAAAATATTCATAAAACAACAGATCCCATTCCCATCTCCCCATCCTATCCACATCCAAATCTCTAACGATTCTCAAAACATTAAAAGACCAACGGTCGTCCCAGGTCATCGCACATCCCAGGTTGCGCGTACCACCTTGGCCCGTGCGCACGGCAACGCCTGCTGCGCCTCCTCGCCGTCCTCGCACTGCGGGTCCTCCCGCGGCCGCGCCACGGCGATGCGGCGGCAGCAGAGGATGGCGCGGCAGCGCGGCCGCGCCTCCAGTGCCGTGCCGTGACTGGGCGGAGGACCAAAGAGCAACGAGGCCAAGACCTGAAAAATGGGCATGGCATGGCATGGCATGGCCGGGCGCTGGTGGATTATGGTGGATTATGGTGGATTGATGTGGTGATGTCAAAATATCCAAAATGGGAGGTTGCATTAAATTAGAGCAAATCTTCCAATATCCTGGGAGACCGTCAAATGCGGCCAGATCCGTCCAGTGGCTTTTTTGACACAATTTGGGTCCAATGCTTTTCAACCCCAAGATGCACTGCAGAAACCTTGCAAAACCCCGTCTGGTTTGTTGAGTAGCCACCAGTGCGTCATCTACAACAAGCTGGTTTGAAGGAGGTAAAGATTTAGGTACAATTTGACAGCAATATGGTGAGGGATGGCAAATGTCATAGACTTTCACCTTAGGTAATGCAAAAGCCAGTGGCTAGTTCAAAAAAGTGTGGCAACATGTTGGATGAATTTCAGCTTCAATTGGTTGTTTCAACAGTGACGAATCCAAACGAGGAGAATATCCCCAAATGTTGCTGTTTGGATATATATAACTGATATAACACACTCCCCTGCCTTTTTATCTTTTTTGAGTATGAAAATTCTTAGATCATTCCCGGCTTTACCATGTTTTACCCACTAAAAGCATCAACGTCCCAACGAATCCAACGAACCAGGCCTGGCCTGTGAGGACGTGAGGCGCTCTGCCGGTTTTCGTCCCCGCGGCCAGGGCTTCATCGCTTCTTGACTGTCCACGATGACCGCGTAGTGCTGCACCGCACGGCTGGTGGGGAAAAGACGAATGAAGTTCCGGTTCCGGGTGCACTCCTTAAGGCGGCATTGCCAAATTTGCCAAATGATCAAGTTAGAAGGGGGTGCTGTTGATGTTGATGGTGGGTGATGTTGCTTGATGTTGGTTGATGTTGGTTGGTCTTATTTTTGTCTGGCACATGTTCAAGGCGCTGGTCTGGTAGACGCTGAAAAACTTTGAAGCCTTGAAGCCGGCAGAATCATGAAAAAACATGGACAAAAACGCTTAAGCACAAAAAAGGAGTCCCAAACACCGTTTACTGTTGCCACATCAAGATTCCAACAATGCATTGGCCGCACTCCTCAACTCTTCCAGTTCCAGGGCTCCTAGTGGTACGGATGGCAGATCATACAACTCCTCCGCGTCCGCCTCCACACTTTCCTTCGGCCTTAGCAGGGCGGAGCGCCCCCGGGTGAATTGGCGCTTGCGCCGCTCCGGTGGGCCTGGCGGTTTGCCCGGCACCTTCAACACCTTGGCCTTGGCCCGGGTGGCTTCAGCCAGGCGCTGCTTGCTGACGCGGTTGATGCCCACCAGGTTGAAGCAATCGGCCAACAAGGAGCCCTTGATCTGCCAATCCAAGGGACTATCAGCTTGCATGCTGGGGCTCAAATTCACCTCCAAGAGCCAGGGTTTCAGCTCCTTGTCCACCAGGACATCAAATCCTGAGAATGAACATGATGAATAAGGTGAGGTGGGTCAACAATCCCTTAAGCCTTAACATCCCTTGACATCCCTTAACTACCTCTAATTGGTAGCACTTGAAAATTTAGCGTCAGAAATATTCAGAAATCGTCAGAGAGGAGTTCTGAAGGGAAAGCCGAGAAGTTAGAGCTCAAAGCAGTTGTGGCTGTGACAAGCAGTTGTCTTGGTGCGAGCGCCTATGACTGGCTCTACCGCCAAGAGGGTTGATGGTGGGTGATGTTGCTTGATGTTGGTTGATGTTGGTTGGTCTTATTTTTGTCTGGCACATGTTCAAGGCGCTGGTCTGGTAGACGCTGAAAAACTTTGAAGCCTTGAAGCCGGCAGAATCATGAAAAAACATGGACAAAAACGCTTAAGCACAAAAAAGGAGTCCCAAACACCGTTTACTGTTGCCACATCAAGATTCCAACAATGCATTGGCCGCACTCCTCAACTCTTCCAGTTCCAGGGCTCCTAGTGGTACGGATGGCAGATCATACAACTCCTCCGCGTCCGCCTCCACACTTTCCTTCGGCCTTAGCAGGGCGGAGCGCCCCCGGGTGAATTGGCGCTTGCGCCGCTCCGGTGGGCCTGGCGGTTTGCCCGGCACCTTCAACACCTTGGCCTTGGCCCGGGTGGCTTCAGCCAGGCGCTGCTTGCTGACGCGGTTGATGCCCACCAGGTTGAAGCAATCGGCCAACAAGGAGCCCTTGATCTGCCAATCCAAGGGACTATCAGCTTGCATGCTGGGGCTCAAATTCACCTCCAAGAGCCAGGGTTTCAGCTCCTTGTCCACCAGGACATCAAATCCTGAGAATGAACATGATGAATAAGGTGAGGTGGGTCAACAATCCCTTAAGCCTTAACATCCCTTGACATCCCTTAACTACCTCTAATTGGTAGCACTTGAAAATTTAGCGTCAGAAATATTCAGAAATCGTCAGAGAGGAGTTCTGAAGGGAAAGCCGAGAATCCGTAGAGCTCAAAGCAGTTGTGGCTGTGACAAGCAGTTGTCTTGGTGCGAGCGCCTATGACTGGCTCTACCGCCAAGAGGGACTTCATAATCACATCCATAATCCTGGTCCACATTAGTTGGACATCCACTCCAGTGCATTTCAAATGTCGATTCAAGGCACTAAAACTCCACTTGTGTCCCACATTGTCCGCATGCACCTGGGAATTCTCCACAAAGGTTGCTGAGCCTTTGTTGATGGAGTAGTTGGTCAGATGCCGATAGGCATCCGTCAAATGCTGGGGATCATTGCTGTACGGCCGGCACGCGAAGCGCACTAGGCCTTCACGGTAGACGTAGACACGCAGGGGTTCATAACTGGTGACCAAGACATACCTGGGTTGAAAAAAATGAGAGCCAATGGGTGAAGATTGGAGATCAAGAATTTTAATCCTCGGAATTCTTCGGCTGGGAATCAGAGATGAAATATGATGAAATCACAATATATAAACCCATCAAAAAAACTCAAATCATCCGTGTCACACTCGGAGATCAAACTTGAGTCCTTGAATGAGAAGTGGATTTTTCACATATTGGGACACCACAGAGACCTCGTTCAACGGCAGGTCCGCCACATCTTTCAGGACGAAGATCCCGCGGCCACGAGAGGAGGCGTGGGGTTTGACGATCCAAAGTCCACCCTTCTTGTTGTACACCTCCAGAAACTCCTGAAGGGTGAAAAAAGGGTGAAGTCGCTGAAGTCGGGAAAGTCAACCCAAGTTTGTATATATACTTTATCTGTCATCTGTGTTCATCTCTGTTCATCTGTGTTCATCTTCATCCTTGTGTCTGACTTCATGATATCGATCTATACAGAGCAGTTGGCAATCATCAATCTACATCCAAGTGGCAAAAATCATCAAACATCATCAAACAAGTGTTTCCCCTCAACCCTCTCAGTATCTGTCCTGAACTTGCTCTGGCAACACGAAGGTCTGGGGCACAAAATCGAAGGCTTCAGACCCAAAGGTCTCAGCCATGTCACGGAAGTTCATCCACAAACGATCCTTCCGGGTGAGCTCCGTTGAGCCAGGAAAATGGTTCACTCGCTGGAACTCGTTCATCTCATGATAGGCCATGTCCCGTAGCCCCGGCCCCGACCACTGGACCAACCAGTCCCTTCCACTGGTGGCTGTCATGCCATTGCTGAGCAGTGTGTCCCGAACCACGGGCGCGTCAGTGTGCTCGATACGAAACGAAGGCGTCAAAATACTGGGGATTCGATTCTGCACATCACGAGTCTCAGCTCGTTCTGCCTTGTCTTTGCTCTTGGTCTTATAGACAGGCGGTTTGAAGTACATCACACTGAGCTCCTCCCAATCATCGCCCAATTGTTTCACCACTTCCCGCAAGCTCTCCCTGGCTTGGCCCGCAATCTTCGCCTCGCAGTCCGGATGATCATTTTCCTCATCCGACTCATAGCCTGGCACATGCGCCCAAAGATCCCGCGCCGGTAGCTGCATCCACTCCCGGTCTGCTGACCGGTCACGGGCAGAAGGCCATGGCGCATATGGCACCAGGGCGTATGAAATAAGAGGACATGCGGCAAACTCCGGACAGGGTCCCTGGTGGCTGAATCGTTCTTTTTTCAGTGATGTCTCATGTATTTCATACTTGCGTGATCTCTCTTGTGTGTGCGTTTGGCAATACATCCCGTCCTCAACTTCATGGAATTGCAAAGATTCAAAGTGTACGGTCCTGAACTTTGGCCCAGTTTTTTTCCTACAACCGCATGAATCTATGGAGCAGGAACAAGTGGAAGCCCTTGCGCGCTGCTGTACTGCTTGAATCGCGGGCGTCTATGTCTCCACATCTGTAAATCACTAACGTCAGTGTTTGAACCAACTGGCAATCGAGCAAACATCATGGAACGCCTGCATAAATGATCAAGCTCCACATAATGCATCCCAGTTGTGCACCATGTATCTGCATTCCATCTCAACAGAATCAAAAAAAAAACACAAAGTTGAATCACAAAAAAAACATGCTATAGCTACATCCAGTCTGAAAACCAGGCTCCATCCATATCATCCATTGTCCAACTGCGGATATGCCGTTAGGACCAGTTCCAGCTCCCCCAGTACCTCAGGCATGGCGGCGCCCACTGCAGGGATCCAGGCGTCGGGATTGCGCAACACTTCGTCCAACAGGGAGAAAGCACCTGGGCCATGACCACTTTGGGAAAGCAGCAAGTCATGGGTTAACATGACATATGTTAACATGGGTTAAACATGGGGTAAACCATGGGTTAAACCATAGTAAACCTATAGTTTGAAATTTGGGGATTCAAATTCTCTCTCTCTCTCTCTCTCTCTCCCTCTCTCCATCGCCTTCTCGAAGAGTTCAGCTAAGCCAAAGGCGAGTGAGAAAAAAACAGCACGTGACGTGGATTTATTGATATTCCTATTTATTGTTATTATCTTTATTATCATTATCATAATAATAATCATTATTGTTTATTTATTTATTACTATATTTCTCTCGATTTATTATTATATTGTACTTAATTTGGGTTTGCAGTGGTGTACCACATTTCCATGACATGAATGGTGGCAACATGTGGCAACCAAGGTACGCTCCATGCGCTGCGACATGGGATTGGCCGAGCCCACGGGGTATCTCCACTCCAGGCATGGTTCCCGTTGATAGGCAGAGCTCCAGAAATCACCGGCTTGGAAACCTCATGGGTTGATGGATCATTGGTAAATAAATGTAAATAACAGAAACTACTTCCTTTCTGGGAAGGTTTATGATTGGCTTTTACATATGCTTTTACCATGTTTTACCTCATTAACCGATCGTTTGGGGATATCAAAAAAAATAGGTCACCCACACGCGTAAGGTGTACTCCAGCTTCTATTTTTTATTAATTATTATGTCCTTATCTGCTGCTATAGCATTGTTGAGTACCTGTGCCGTGAGATCCTTGCAAGGTCGGTATGATTCGCCCAATTGGATGGGATACAATATGATACAATGGGATGGGAGGGATGGAAAAAGTGCCCGCATGGCGTCGTTGCTTGAGGGCAAAGAAAACATATGAAAACATGCTAGATCTGAAGAACTGCTTCCATTATCTTCCATTCTCTTCCATTCTGACAGCCATCAGCTTAACAGCAGAGCAGCCAATCTTGTTCAGCAGCGACACGGCGGCGGGAAAACGTCCGATGCGCTCTTTGAAGCGAAGATTCGTCAGTCTGATCTGCCTCTTGCAACTCGGTGAACCGGAATGATGCGTTTCCGCTTGAGTATTATCTTCAAGACCTGCAATACAGGTTTCAATCATATATATATATATTATATATATATATATGTAGGTCCATTGAGTCCATTAAGCCTATGATTCATTGGCTTGATATGGGTTGATTCAACGGAAAAATCACTGGAGATTCCAAAAAAAAGTATGCTTTCCTTCTCTCTCTCCGTTATGCTTTCCTAATTTTCATGATTCTCATGGATTTCTATGCGCAAAAATCTGGTGTCATGCGATTTAAAAATGACACGCCTCGCACCTCACCCGGCTACTTTCAGGATCCACCAAGATATTGTGTAGCACACGGTGCCTGAAATCTGGATTTTTTTGGATGAAACACCACCCAAAAAGATCCAAAATTGTGGATGTTAAGCAACTGGTGTGGCTTGTGATAGTTGGTCAATGAAGAGGTTTCATCATTCAACATCATTCAACCGTTTGTAAGTGCCAGCCATGGGAGTCTAACAGTGTACAATCTGGAACTCCCCAATTCCGAAACTGGGGCTCCCGGCACCGCTTGCAAGCACGAGAGGCGATGAAGCGCCGGGACAGTGAAGAGTCGAAGTACGGCTAAGGCAACCTCTTCCTCCTGCCGTTGCTGCCGTTGTCGTCGATTTTGTGCGAAAGACTCAAATTTTGGACGCATGATGACGCATGAAGTCATGAATATTCATGAATCCTAACCTCAATGAAACTGAATAATCTGAATATGTGGATCTGCGGATGAAATTCAGAGTTGTCTCCAAGATCCGCGTCTCCTCACGAGCGCGGAGCATCTCTGGAGAGACGTCGATGTCTTCATCGTTTTGATGGCGTTCCAACCTTCCAGGATCTTCCAGGCCATGGATGGGGAGTCAACATGGCTTTCATTGTGGGCCACGAAAAAGTGGTTAAACTGGACATATGAACCGCAATGTACTTAACAATACTTAACATACTTAACCATGTACTTTTTTTGCCCCAAAAAATGGACATGTTGATCCAAATTTGCTAGGTTTAATGTAGGTTTAGTATGGTTTAGCATGCTTTCAAGTCCATATCCCCCATTTCCCCATTGGATCCCATTGGATCCCCCATTTTTACCATGGGAAAAATGCCAAAATGATGGCCCTCCCCGGGGTCCCACTGGGATCCACTGGGCTCGCCGCACCAGGTCACGGCTTCGTCCAGATCGGCCACGTCACCCGTCTCCAGGGCCTTCCGCGCGCGCACGGCGGGGATCAGCATCTCCCGCAGCTCTGCGAAGATCTCGCGCCTAGAAACGCGCCAGTCGGACCAGCGTCCCACTTTGCAGCTGGTGAAACATAGGTTGAACTATTAAAATAGTATGATAGTGTGTGATATTATAGTTATTTATAGTTGCATATTAATCCAGTATGGATATGTATGGCGATCTATGGATGTTTATGGATATATTTATGGCTAATTATTGCACTATTGTATATAGAATTATACAGAGTTATTGTAAAATCGTATAAATAATTACCGTTCCCATTTGAAACCTGGAGCTTGAAGGAATAATTGCATTTCATCCCCAAGTGCGGGCGGTGTAAGTGCAGTTGCTCAGGGGAGCAAATACACCTGTCTGGTGAATGGAAAGATAGCATGGCTTTGGGAGGCTGTTAGTTCTCCGTTCGATGAGATGCCTGGTTGTGGAGATGATAGCCCCAATCAGGGTGACAGGGGCACTTGTGAACTCAAAACCTTCACTTATGAGATAACTGAGTCCTGCTTCTGAGCGCGCGTTCAAATTGGTGAACTACCTGCAAGAAGTGATCCAAAGTGACTGGCTAGCACTGTAGTGGTCCTATGGCTTTGGCAAGTGGCCAGTTTCGTGCAGTTTAAACCTCCCTCGAAAAACGCTACGGGTGCTTTGGGCCTACTCTACAGTATCCTGCCCCGACCTTCATTGATAAAACTCTTCGCTGAGACTTCAATGATTCACCGCTTTTTTGGCCAGAAGTTCTAGTACAGTAGTCTTGCGTTCTACCCAAATACAATGAGAAGAAGCAGTTCCCAGTTGCCAATTGGATTGGTTTCTTGGGCAGAAATGATACAAATGGGCACCCGGGGGTCACCTGCAGCAGAACCAAGATGCTGCGTGTCCGTCCAATGAGCTGGCACCTCATTGGCACAGCAAGCGGATGGCAACTGCTTGGAACGAATGCCACATCACGTCAGCTCAAAAATTGAATGGTACATAATGGTACTGACATGTTTTAAAATGCTCAATACGTCATGGAAAATTTCCATCATTCAGACCAAACAGAGACCCAACCTCCTCATCTTTCACCTCAGCCACTCCAGCATCTGCATCTGCAGATTGCTCAAAAAGTTCATCTAACTCCTGCAATGGCAGTGATGACTAGTGACAATTGGCTCTCGAAACTTCTAACATCCAAATACTTGGATTTGCGGACCGCGGATCGTCAAAATTCGCAAAATCATCCCAATAAAATTTCCCCAGAATTAAAATGGTGAAACAACCATTGGAAAAAATATATTGTATATGTGTGTGTGTTTAAAAATTATCTAATTTTTAATCGTCTTTGACAACCCCCAGGCTGTCGGAGCATCGTCCAGGCCTCTTCTCGGTCACAAGCGCCAGGATCAGCATCCACCCACTCGCCGGAGCCCGTGGCGAAGCACCTTGGTGTTCCAATGATCAGTTAGTTACCCTCTGGTAATTTAACATAGCTATTGAAAATGGCCACTTATAGTGGATTTACCCATGAAAAATGGTGATTTTCAATAGCTATGTTAAATTACCAGAGGGTACACTTCCTGATTCATGAATGTTCATGATAGTTCATGCATTTCATTGGAAATCTCCCCAACAAACGCTACAGATGCTACAGTCACAACAGGATCCCTGACAAGGTCAGGGATCCTGGCCGTTTTTCAGCCAGGTCACATCGGCGCATCTGACACCTCCACAACTGGAGCCGCTGGCTCAGCCGCAGATCCAGCTGCCTGCGGAGCCTGCGGAGCCTGCGGAGCTGGACGGATTCGAGGAATCTCCACGTACCAGTACTAAGTTACTGTATCTCCATGTATCTCCATCATATGATCATATTATGTACTATATATTATGTACTATTATCTATGTGTGTGTGAATGTGTGGGTCACTGGATGTTCTCTCTCTATTTCTGAAAGGTCTCTTCTTCTCTATTCTGAATTATGATCTATTATGATCTATTATGATCTATTTATTCCAGTGAATATGCACAACTCTCTCCAAGTCTGTTTGATTTCCTTCAAACTCCCATGGCATGGCAGAGATGCCATGCGCCTGGGAAGTCTCCGAAGTCTCCGAAGGCTCCGACGTCTTCTGCCGCTTTTGCTCGGGCACCAAGCCGGGCAGCGGCTCGCTGCCTGTGGCCTGTGAAGAATCATCTCGGCCATCGAAAGTCTACAATCATTCCATAATGTAATATTCATTAATATTCCATATCATTCCAATATCATTGAATATTCAATATTTAACGGAATTATATGGAATTAATACGGATAATTATGAATATCATCCATTCCATAATATTCCATTTATAATATGCCATATCATTCCCCAATGTTCTAGTAACAGTCGTACCATTCCATGTGCTACAATCATTCTATAGTTACAATGCGGAACAACGATGCGTTGTAATTAACACAAAACACCGAAGTCTTCACCTCCAGGAACTGGTTGAGTTGGCTTCCTTCCAGCTCCACTGCTGCTTCAGAGCCACCACCATCGCCAGCTCGCGTGACACGGAAGGCCAGCCTGTCAGCAAATGATCCGGGACTGAATATATTCCAAGAAATATCAAATCAATAGAATCATAGAAATCAGACCAAAACGCGAAACATGTGAAAACATGTCAACTCAATCCAATTCACAGATGATGTCTTGCCATATGTCAGGATGAGTCTGGATTGTGTTGCTGATATCCTTGCCGTTGACTGACTGTTTAAGCACCAGAACCATTGGGTTCCAGCCCAGGTGCTCTCCCTTGTCGAAAGCTCGAAGCAGCAAAGATCCACCATTGGGTACTCTGAAGACCTTAGATCAAGGATGATCAAGGCCAAAAATCATCAAAGATCTCTTCGAACTGTAAGGTTTTTTTTTCTCCAGTTCCAAAGCAATCTTCACGAATGAGGAAGATGTTTTTTTAAGCCAATCAGTATGGCAAATGACATGATATGACATGATCATGATGAAATATCCTCAAAAGCCCGTGTTGATTCTGCAGTTTGTCCAGGACAAGAGATGACAAGCGCCGTCACATCTAGCGACCAATCTGAGCCGCCGCACCTTTCTGACTTCAGCTCCCCAAAGAAATCGCACGCTCACTAGCACGCCGTTGGGGGAGTGACTCTCGAACTGAATCCTTGGTGTGAAAGGAAGGGCTTGTTGCACACTGTTGGTCTTGCACTGAAGAATTGTTTTACTCTGATCTATTTATTCAGCAGTTTTAAAACGTGCTCAGTGCTATCAGTAAAATCAACGTAAATCAAATGATATCAGATGTAATGTTGACATGTGTTGACATTCTGCAATACAACCCAGCATACCCTCTGGTAAATTAACATAGACCCTGGCAGATAGGGGTTGGAAGACTAGTTTCCATTAAAAATTGGTGATTTTCAGGGTCTATGTTTATTTACCAGAGGGTAATCCAGCATTGTCCTTTGCAACACCCAGAACAGTCGCCCCCGCAGCTGGTCGTCGATTTGGAGCTAAGCCACAGCTGTTCGCCCCCATGCGCCACCGTCGCGATCCGTGGCGAAGCTACGGCCGTTGGAGTCGTTGGACTCAACAGCGCATGGAGCTCAACCTCTGGGCGCGCCCGGTGTCACTGTTTATTCAAACAAGGGGAGGTGCCTACCTTTTGGAAATCTTGGAAACTTGAAAGTTGTGAAAAGTTGTCGCAACTGTTGAGGAGTTGCACAATGTTGAGAGGTAGGCTTAATCCACCTTAGTCCATCGTATTCCTGCTCAAACTTACTCAACAAATCTCGCCAAAATTCAATTCTACAGTCCCCTGGTGCTGCTAGGGTGACAGGGCATCCCAAGCGATTGCGCACTTTGCAGCCAGACGGTCCGGAAGACTGAGAGCTGCCCATTGGCCAGCAGCTTGTAACTGATCTGTTCAAGTGTCATGTGTACAGTAGCTTTTTGATGCCTTTGCCACCCAAGGAATGTTCTCTGTAAGCAATAGCCCCTGGGCTTAATGCGCTCACAATTGATATTACAACCGCTCTTTGACTCAGAAAGCCTGCACAAATACCAATTGCCAGTCTAAACTGCATGAATTTGCCAGTGTGTGCCTTGCCAGCCGTCTTGAGTATCACAAGCGGGTGATTACTTCTGATCAGTTCTCATATCTCTTCATGTTTGCACAGGCTCAAGTGTTTTTCAACAGCTGGTCAGGTGGAAGTCTATCACAGCACTCTTTTTGAGCCACATAGAGCTGCTCATCATCGACATTAGATATTTGCCTGTACCCTGCGGTAATGGAGGTTTGTACCCAGTGGTAATTTAACATAGCTATTGAAAATGACCATTTATAGTGGATTTTCATGGATTTTCCCATTGAAAATGGTGGATCGTTCCATAGTTTTGTTAGTTTACCAGATCTAGAGGGTAATGGTTCATAGCTGGGGAATTCATCGACCTTTGGGGCATTGAAACCCCGCAGTCGCCGTTGAAAACCCGAGCTCGTCCTCCAGGTCTCAGTAACCTGGCCCACTCTCGGGCCTTGGTGACGCTTGCGCCGTTGGGCCGCCAAGGAAGAATGCCATGTCCCCAAATTCAAAGGGCGTGATTTGGGATGATTTTTTATATTTTTGATGTATGTATTCACTTGGTAAGTCTCATACAGAACCTGATAAATGAATATAAATGATGCATGAACACTGGATTTCACAGGGTTTTCCTGGGTTTCAGTCATCATGCCAGTCATTTCTACATATTTCTGCTCAGCTAGGCATCATGTCGGAGCGCATTGACATGAATTTTCAACATGCCAAGGGAGTCTCCGGCCCATATGGTCATTCAAGAGCCAGACCCAAGCGTACAAATGGTGCTTCACATATGCGTGACTGCGGATCGTGAGAGCCACAAAGCCAATCACCAGTATGACCACAGATGGGTGGCATAAGATGGTATAATATGGTATAAGTATAAGCCATCCACAAATGGATGGCTTAGTTGTGTAGTTTTGTTATTGGGCGTACGGCTTACCACATTATACCAAAACCAAGTGAACTGGGAGGTAACACAATCCATGCGCTGTTGAGTTTGACTCACCAAAGAATCCGCAGAGATAATCCATTCACAGCCTGCTATGACGTTGACCCCAAGGCCTTGGCTGAGGTATTACCAACTTCAAATGCAATGCAAGTCACTTGGAAGATCTTGGAAGACACTTCACAGCAAAGAGCAGTACCAAACACATCCAAACACATTTGGCAAATACTTCACCGATGCTTCTGCAGCATCTGCAGCTGCATTTGACCACTCAGAAACTCAGCTGATCTCAGCTGCACACGGATCCACCACGATCAAATCAAAGAAGTCGCTTTTCAATGGCAACAATCCGTTCGACCTAATCCCACCGTCTGAAACGGCACCTTTTTGCATCCAAAAAATACCAAAACGGCTGATAAACGGCTGGTAATGGCACCATGCCCCAAGTCTCCAAACAGCAGTGCTTTCAATCTTTTCCCCGGCAGGGCGAATAGCTCATCGCTCACCATGCAAAGGTTTCACACCATAACTGGCAAGAATCCTGGGTAGCGAGCACTGGGGTTGCTGCGGTACCATGATGTACCAGGATAACTTTGATCTTTGAACATCATAAAGAACTGGTCGCCACAGGTCTGCCCCAAGAGACGACAAGAATTTACATGAAAAATCATCTAAGGTCGCGGACTCAATCATTGTCATCCATTTGCAAATGGTTGGGGGTGCCTTGAAGAAACATGTGTTTCGACTCGTTTATGGTTTCAACCCAGCGCGTGATCATCTCATGATGATGGAAAGTAGAGCATCGCGAATATATATATATATAATTCTATATAATGTCTAATATAATGTATATATATATATATGTGTGTATGTGTGTGTTGAATTCCTAACCTAAGAGGGATGCAATCAACAGCTCAGAGTCATCAAAAAACATGGGCCCAATGAATACAATGGTGTAGCAAAGTTGGGCGATAGACGAGAAACCACCACCCATCATGACGTGGCAAATTTATGACATTTCATCTGTTTAAGGTTGTTGAATCACGACATTTCAAAATTGGGTGCTATATCATTCATGTGGCAAGAGCAACTCTTAAATCATCCCAGTCTTACTTGAAATGGATTGTCTAAACCTATCCCAACAGGAGGTTGCCCAGTGGGCGGCCCCCCCAGTCATAAGCTGTTTTATAACCCCCATGAACTATATATAGTTATATCAATATCCTCCACAAACCCTGGTGAACCAAGTTGTGAGCTAACTTAGTTTTTTAGGGGGTATCACCTTGTATCTGTTTCATGTAATTATCGTGATTTATTTATTAATCCCCTCGTTGGTTGAAAACCCATGTTGTTCCATCAATTTCCACCAAATGAAACATTCAGAAACTATGGCAAGCCCAATAAATAGACCATCCCAAATGGACTTCGATCTTCGGTATACCGCCCATGCCATGGATGCTTTACAGTAGCCCCCAGGGATGGTTTCATGGTTTATGATTGAGTTTACCACATGATATCCACCAACTTCCACCACCAAGGATCTTTACCACCTCTGTATGGCCATGTTGGCGCGCCAGGTCCATTGCATTGTCGCCCCCCGGGCGGCTGGAGGGCGAACGCAGGCGGCCATCCGCACGGGCCAAACAAAGGGCCTGGACGACCTTCGGGTTGCCGTGAACCTCGGTTTGAGGATCTGTAAGAAACTGAGTTTCCAGTGATCTTCCAGGTTTAAGTCAAATCTTGTATGCATGTTTTATGCATTTTCAGTTCGTGCAGAGTATCCATTTTTATTCATGTTCCATCTCCAAGAAAAATAAAACAGCTGAAAATGGCCTAATATCATCCAATATCTGCTTCCAAACTCAACCAGAAGAGGTGATCTCCCAGGTATGTATCCGGTGGGGAATTTTGTTGATTACGATGACGACTACCTTGGGGGATTGAGGTGGTTGCCTACCAAGTCCATTTTTGAGCCAGCCAACACCAGATTCATGAACCCCTGGTTGGCTTGAATGGATTCCACTAGCAAATTATTATAGTTTACCACTTTTGGAGGTAACCCTCCAACTATCTGAGGGTTCGTATATAGATGTACGGGTATAACGCAGATATTGTATATATAATAATAATAATAAAAAACATAATACAAGACAATGTAATATTGGAGAATAAAGCAGAGTAGAGCAATGAATCGAATTGAATAGAATTCAGCAAAATACAAAATATGTATAGTATAAATGTTCAATTATAATGCAATAGAATATTGTCAAACACGATATAATATAACATGCACAACATATACTATAACACAATTACAATACATGAATTGCAATATAATGCAATATAATGGAGAGATATATTCATAACATATTATTTTATTGAATACACTACACTATGATGAATGAACATGTGACGTTATATATTGCAAGGTATTGTATTACAATATGAAATCACATGCATTAAAAGTAATATATTGTACTGTAATAAATGAGTGCACATTAAAACTACGATATAAGACCATATGTATATATATATATATATCATCTAATACCTGTATATGATCATATCATATCATATCAAATCAAATCATATCATGTGATATCATGCAACATCATGTAATATCATGTAATATCATGTTATACAAATCAAAAATTGTATGTTATAATCTATATATATATATATAAGTATAATATAGTATAATGTCATGTTAAAATAACATAAAATAACATAATACATGTGTTACATGACCGGTTCAGGGTTTTCAACCAAACACTGCAAGTATTTCTCCGCCACGTCACTGCAGCCACGCTGACGGCTGAGAGCCCATCATCAGTAAAGGCCTCCAACTTCGCAGCAAAGTGACACCTGGGCATTTCTCGAAATGGCGCGTTATAGTCCCCCATAGGCATCCATACCCATTTTCCGGATCCATGGTGCTGGTATATTAATGCTAACATTATATGGGGATTAATCTTGATGGTAAATCCATGGAGCACCATATATATATATATATAGCAGCACCGCATACATGGATCCGTCATGGGATAGGCTGAGTCGAAATTGATATTTTGGGTCCCTAAATGGATCCCCAAGAGCTGGATCAAGGGGCAGGAGCCGCACAATGTCTGCGCACTGACCGGCAGCAGCCATGTGCAAGGCCGTGCGAAGCTTAAAGCTTCCCAAGGGCTGAGAAGCCGCGTAGTTCACGTCCGCGCTGTAGCGACAGAGCTCCTTGGGCACAACCCGACCACCGCTAACACCAAAAGCGAAGATGAATGCATTCTCGCCAAGTTTAGGACATGCGCATCTCCTCAATCACATTATGAACATTTTGTGGGAAGAAAAAAGGCCCGATGGAAGTCCATTCTATCAACATTTTGTGATTCGTTTTGGGAATCTCTTTAAAGCAATGCTTTGTCAACTTCTCTGCAGGGTAATTTGCAAAGGACGTACCTACTGTTACTGCAAAGACTGCGCGGTCTGGCCGCAGCTCATCCATGCATCAGACAGATAGAGCAAGCATGCTGGGAACGTCACACAAAGTCCTCATAATCATCTACACTTGCAAATAGCGGCACTTACAAACTACACTACCACCTAAGGAGACCTAAGGACAATCGAGTATGTAATTTTACTTTGTAGTTTTACGGCCAGGACGGGGGTGCTGCCCGGGGAAGTAATGAAGTTTTGACTGCGCAGGGCCAGTGCTTTTTGTATTTTGGGACGTCGGCGGAATGGTCGAATGGCTGACGAGATTTGCTTCCTAAACACAAACTCTAGACCCTAAACCTATATAAATCTGACATGAAACCCCGAGTAAGCCTTGAAAGTAAAATCTCGTTTAAAAAACAAAAAAAACTAGATGAAACCCTTAATAAACCTTAAACATCCTTAAACCCCAAACGAACCTCAAGAGTTGGTGAAATATGATAAACCTCTGGGCGGCACCCCCGGCCTGGAGCTAATGTACCTGGGATTACCTAGTTCAGCTGTCAGACAGCTGTCAGAATCTGCAAGCTGTGCCCGTCCTCCACTGTTTTCGTGTGGGCATTTGAAGCCGCAAGCTGTAAAGGACTCAGGCTGTACTGATTTCTGGAATTCCTGCCAGCTGTGGAAGGTGGGGGAAGGTGGTGGGGTTCATATGACAAAACAGCATGACCCGCAAATGACCCCAAATGACCCCTATTGAATAACCAGCCCGCCCCAACCGTGGCTTTCATCATAGCCAGAAGATACTATCTAGGTTGGCAACTCAACAGTCCCGAAAAATATTAAGGGAATTGAGTAAATTTACCAATATTTAACCTTTTAGCCACCGTCGTCCACAGCAACGTGTAGAAGACGCTCTTTTCGGTTCTTGCCCTTCCACGCATAAGTTTGTCGCCGCCGCTGCAGCTGCTACCTTTGAAGACCCACCTTGGCAAGCAGAAGGCTGATGCGCTCATATGAAAATCAAACATGGGCGGATTAATCACAATGCGTGACTTCGATAATGAATGAGCATTGCAGCAGCTGCGTATTTTTGAACGTTAAGTTGTCCGGGCACTGTCGCTAGCACAGCTGGCATGGCTGGTACGGCTAAGCTAGTTCAACCATCATGAGTAAACCCCAGGCTTCCCAATCCGAACACCCCGCTTCGAAACAAGTTGGGAAGCAACCCTGCTCATGAACACTACACTAGGCATAGCAGCGGCTGGCTCCATTCAATGTGTTGGCCCACTCCATCTTCGAGAAGCAGGGTCAGGATTTAAACATTCTAAAATATGTTCTCTCCATGGTCCAGACCTCAACATACGAGCCTGCAATCTTCGAGCAGCTGGCTCTGTCATCATCCGTGCTTGGCGCAAGCCGTCCCATGAGCGGCACCATGCATTCACACTATGATTGCAGCTGCGAGCTGGAGGAAGAGGTGCCATAAGAGGGGATGCTGTAGCACACTCAAAAAGCACGCAGCCAAATGACCAAATGTCGACGCATGGGCGCAGATGCTTGCAAATGTCTCCGGAAGATGTGTTCCACAGCTCAGGTGGTCTATAGGGAGCACTAACATATCCATCGAACCTTATCGAGGCAGCTTCAATCCCCATCATCTCAGACATTCCAAAATCCGCTAGTTTCATGCATGAAGTCTCCTGGACCCACAGAATGTTGGCCGGTTTGAGATCCAAATGAAGTATGCGGATGCTGTGCAAAGCTTGCAGGGCAGCTCTAAGCTGCATGGCTAGGCGCTGCATTGCACTTCCAGTGAAAGCACCATTTTGGATGAGCACTTGGGACACGCTTGACCCAGCAAACTCCAAAGCCAAGTAGGGGAACGGCTGCGGTTTGCATTCGACTTCCAACAAGGAAGGAAAGAGTTGCCGCATTCCTTCTTGAAGCTTGTCTTTGATTTGATTGAAAATCAGAACCTCTTGCTTCAAGGAGATCATAGCTTTGCTGCCCTTGAAGATCTTCAGAGCGCAGAAGCGGCCATAGGGCATGAGGCCTTTCAGCACAGTCCCGTAAGAGCCTTCACCAACAGGAAGCTCACCTTGCATCACCGTGATCTTCCCAAATCTGAGGAGCGCCTGGTCCTGGTCTTCCACAGGTTGTGTGGATAGCTGAGACAGCTGAGACAGCTGTGACTGCTGCTTTGGCACGGTTTCATTCTGCATGCGGCGCGTGGGCAAGCCATGCCTTTTCATGGCGTCTCTTTGTGCAGTGAACTCCGATCTGCTTTTTTCCTTGTAGGTGTTCTTCTCAGACTGTGTCAATTTTGCCCAAGCTTTGGCAATGCGTTGCATTTCATGTTGGAATTCTTGTTTGCTGGCGCCTTTCTTCGCAGTGTTGTGCTGTTTCATAAAAAGTGCAAAAGCATTGCGAGCTTTGGGCACTGTCCCCTCAGAAACAGCAACTCTTCGTGACGTTGCCTTCCTTTTGCAGCACGGTCTGGAACGCTTTGCTTCTTTTGATTTGGCCAACTTCCCGCTTTGAAGAGGCTGCTTGAAGGTCAGCCGGAAGCGTGGCACCACTGCAGCCGCAGCCATTGGGCTCTGCGAGTCTTTGCTTAGAACGGCTAGGACAGCTGAGGTCTTGGGCCTTTAATTTTCAGCACAATCAAAAATGGTAGTCAATGTAGGGAATAAAATTGCATTAGACCTTTGGATGCTCACTTTTCACCCTTCAACGCAAGGAAATGGCAAGAATCTGCATTCAAAGGTAAAATTGAATCATCCAAGCATGAACCCCCCAGCAATATCCAAGCATGCAGTGTTTTGCCCGGCACCACAAAGTCTTTGCTTCTTATCTATCTTATTGTAACAAAACTGTGACGGCTAAGACAGCTAGGACGGCTGGTCTTCAAGCTGCGTCGTCATCACTGGCAGGCTCGAGTAGCTCTTCTGCACCGTCATCTGTTGGGACCAGACGCTGAAGTAGGTCAGCAAAATGATGCTTCACCAGCTTGGCCAGCTCTTCACCGAACAAAGTGGAGCCCTCAATGGAGATCAGGCCGCATGCAGCGCGGTCCGCCACTGCTTGGAGCCAAGTCATGTGGTCGCGATTGAGGCAAATCCCGTGATATTGCACTCCGCGGGTCAGGCAAGCTTCCATGAGGGCCCCTGAGCCTGCTGTGAGGTCCAAGACTGCCTGACCCTTGAATTCATCCAGCAACGCCAGATATAATTCAATCGGCTTACACTCTTGCCAAAACAATGGCACGTCTTCAGCATGTGATTCCTTCCATGTCTCTGGCACTTGGACAGCTTGGTTGGCTGGTACTAAGATCTTCTTTTTGTCATCCGCATTGATGAGTGGCAGCTCACTCACAGGGCGGAAGGTCACGCCAGAAAAGGTCCCTTGATAGGTGGTGGCTTCTCCACAAGAGGTAAAGTTCTCTTTCTTCGTTGTTCGGATCTTTGTGCGTTGAGCGGGAAACCGCAAGGCACACGTTTCCACCTTTCGGGCTGCCAAGGGCACTCGTCTCACACGCCCCGCACGCGGCAAACACCTGCCACTGTAGATGACGAACAGCTCTTCTGTCTGGGTCTGCGTCAGCACCACATCTTCCTCAGTGCCAAGCATGAGACAAGGATTATTATTGACAGTGAACTAGACGCTCCAAGTTAGTTGATAAATCAATAGGCAGGTTCAAACAGCGGAAGCTTCTTTTCATCCAAACAAGGAGCATGGATCCGCCGAATCTCTCTCATGCGCCCGTCGAAAAGGAAGGTGAAATCTGTATTGCCAGCGAGGCCCACGCAAAACCCGGCCACTGCCTTCCAAGCATCTGCCGCTGGAGCTGATGGGGTGAGCCAAGGCTCCTGAGATGTTTCTGTGACCAAATCTGCTGAGCCAACTATAAGGCGATGGGAAGTGTTGAGATCGCCCTTGTGTGCCCAAACCTTTCCACTGTTCCGGAAAGCACTGTTGAGCGCTTCTTTCGTATACTTTGGAACCACAGAGAAAGTGACAAACTTGCGGCGCTCTGATTGGACTTGCTTCCAAGCCCGCGCTCTGTCTGCAGCATCTTGTTCTGAAGAAATGCTGGGGTTGAGACTCTGAATCAAGCTAGGCGTTGGCAATGGCGCTGCCAGTGAGACACTCTTTGTGTTGGTGTCGTAAGCTTGGACCACCAAATAAAGGTTCTTCACAAAGCCTAAGGAGGAACAACTTGATGAATCTTGCTGGTCGTCGGCTGGAACAGCTTGGACGGCTACTTCAGATACTGCCTGTGCCAGTTTCACATTTTCTTTGGCTAGCGTGCGGCAGTCTGCCAGATATTCACCTCGCATCAAGTCAACCAACAGCTCAAGCAATGTGCCAGTTGCCTTGTTAAACTCAGCCTTCAACGAGTTCAACTTATTGGCCCCAAGTATAGCAGCTGGTGCTTCTTCCTGCTCTTCGCCTTCCTCCTGGAGAATCCCGGCTTCAGAAGCTTCTGGAACGAAGAAATCCAACCAGCACTGCTCTGGCTTGCAGATGTTGGCAACGACTGTGGCACACTTCTGGGCTTCTTGCTCAGGCAGCTTCTGTAGCAATGGCGCCACAAAGTCAAAGGCCTGCATGTGGCCATGTTGGCACACCAGGCAATATATAAATTATTAATAGGCATTAAAAGTAGGCACAAATCTTCACGGCAGGCAAGGTGATAGGCAAAAGCATATAGCTAGTCACAAGGGAGCAGTTTCGCTTGCCTACTGCATTCCTTTTTAATGTTAATTAAATCAATGACTGGAACATTTCAGCTGCCATGCCTCCTTGACGACCAGACACGCTTGACAGAAACCACTGCTGCCATGCTTGCGGTCACCAAAAAGCCACACTTCCGTGGCCTGCTTCGCTGAAATCAACTTCAGTCTCAGAGCTAAGTGCAGCATCCCCACCAGCCAGGCAGCCACAGCGTGAGTGGGGTTCTCCTTTGTTGCAGCTTGCTTGCAAAGCGACACCAAGCGGCTGAGCTTTGAATATGCGTTCGACAAGAACTCACGACCATAGGCCAGCTCGAGCTTGGACATAGCCTTCTGAAACAAACCTCCATCACCCTCTAGCAAGAAAATCATTCCCATGGCTGCTTTGTGCATGCTCGCGTTGTAGGGTGAGTTGTTGAATCTCAACCCGTGTGCAGCTCCATCTGCCTCTTTCTCCACGTTGAGCTGCTTCGCTAAGAGGGCAAATTGCGCAAATGTTTCTGAGAGGTTCACATCGTTGATTGCCTTCAGGCCTTCAGAGGCTTGATTGCGAGCCTTGACAAAGTCAATCATATCAGGGCAGTATCGCACCTGAATCGTTACACTGAGGCCTGCTTCCCAAAGCAATGCAAGCCAGTCCTTGTCCTGAGTTGCAGCTGTTAAATTAGTTTCTGGATGGGAGGATAGCAGGAACAGCTGGTACAGCAAAGGCAGCTGGGAAAAAAACAGAAAGCTTGCTGCGTATTGAAAGCTCATCCAAGCAACATTGTTGCGCAGAGCAGCTGCCAAAGCAACGTACCAACTCCAAAGGACAAAGTGGCAGCCAACAAGGTTGAGGCTGCCCTCAAAGAACTTCTTGTCCAGCTCAGTCAGGCATGTTCTCACAAGTGCACACCATGGGCACGGGCCACACCAGTCTGTCACGTGGCTTCTGTCTCTTGCCCTCACGTGTCACATACGTCTTCAAGCTGACAGTTTTGGAAAAATAAATGTCTGCAAACCGGGTCAAGGCGGCATAACTGACATCGCCAGGATCCACATCGCGATCCTTTGCCAAAGACCAAACGCCTGTCCGCAACCACAAGGCTAATCCAGCAGCTTCGTACATTCCGCTTGACTTCATGGCGGCCAAACATGCTTCAGCAGTCCAAGGTGCCTGCAAGTGCAATCAAGGGCACCCATAGCAACACTTTATGAATGATTCTTTCGTTTTGGACACAAGGGCACTAATAGGAAGAGAAACTTGCCGCAATTTCTGCTGCAATGAAAGTGAGCAAGGGCAAAAATATGTAAAGTCTTGCCAATCTTGCCTTATATGCTGAGGCATCCTTCTCCTTCACGTCCACAGAAATGTCCAATGGGCTAGTCTTGTGCATGTCTTTGGCAGGAGTGAACTTCTTCGGCAAGTTCGTGCGAACCTACAAGAACATCCGCAGCAGCTGCAGCTGGTGCATTCTGAAATTGGTAGAAAGAATGGGTGAAAATGCTAACATTGTGACAATTGACTTTAATTAAGGTGTTTTCAATATTGAGCGCGGGGCCCATGGAATCAACTTCTCCATGTAAGTCTTGCTACCGGCCTGCATCAAGACTAAAAATGATGCGGCGTTTCGATGCTGGTGCTGAACTGATGGAATGGCTACTACATAACAAGTTTCAAGGCATACTGGGCCCTGCACCTCAAGATCACTGGGAGGTTCAGGGCAAGCCATGACCAAGAGCTGCTAGACCGGCTGGGGCAGCTGGAACAGCTGCATCAAGGTGGTTCATTAGTGTGGGATTTATTCACATATGATTAATGATGGGTCAAAATGATGACACTGCCAACATGGCACGCATATCCATACTCGCACTCTCTGCAGTGCATGTGATTCAACTTGTGACAAAATTGGATTTTAAAGCATGCGGCGAAGAAGATGCGCGGCAGTTCATTTTCTCCTCTTTCAAGCAAAGTTTATCCTTCATCAGATGTTCATGGTGAAGAAAACCCACGAAGAGGTTTTAAAAGAAAGGCTGGTGATTCTTCAGCCCCTGCTGTCTCCTAACACTTAGGCCTCAGCGTTGCTAGGGCAGGCCGTTGGAAGAATAGGCTCAGGACAGGGCTCTTCCATGGACTTAAGGCGCCCCATAATTTCATTAATCTCCAACTTCTTGTCCCGGATGTCTGCTTCCAACTCTGTGATGTCCTCCTGGAGCTTGCGCTTCTTACTCAAAGTCCTGGCCTTCTCATTGCGCTGCAGCAAACTGGACTGAGGCTGGTACTCTGCATTCAAATTGACTTCCATGTAGAACTTCTGCACCTTCAATTTCACCTCCTCTTTGGCTATGCGCTGAATCAAGCCATTCGGCTTGAACAACCAAAAGGGGCAAAGCGGATGAGAGTTCGGCGGCTGCAAGTCAATCAAAGATTTTGCGCTAAAATGCAACAAGTGAAGAGGCTCGCTCTTTTGGGACGGCTTGGACAGCTGGGACGGCTGCTGGCACAAGCTCTGCTCTTGCTCTGTTGGGGGCTTGTAAGCAAAGAAGCCCATGATCATGGCTGTGATGGGGCTGGACACCAATGGTAAACCAATGTAGTCTCCCCTGTCTGCCATGCAGTTCTCAAGCAAGATCTTCATGTCTTCCGATTTCTCATTGTGGAGCAACAGCTTCAGCAAAGGAGCTGCTCGACTGACTGTGAGCAACTCTGGAAGGCTGATGCTCGGGTGAGCCACAGGCAGCGCAAGGAAGTAAGAGCAAGCAAACTTGGCGTCGCCTCCAAAGAACATTGTGCTGTTTGGCTTGTCGCACAGGGTGGGCAAGATTGTGGCCGGCCTTGGCAAACAGATGATTTTTTTCTTTCCAGGAAGTGCAGGTCCCATCCATACCAGTAGGGGGAAGAAAAAAGTTGCCAAGTGCTGACAAGAGACGCGTAATCAACGTGCCATTTGTCTGCTTGGCCGAAAGGCAAGAATGGCTCCAAGCCATTCCGCAGCTCAAACTTGTTCTTGCCAGCTCTCAAAAAACCCTGCGACAGAAGCTCTGCGATATTCTCCGTGGTCTGAAGGCGCCACACCACATAGTTCGGGCATTCCAAGGCTGCATCAACGACAGTCTTTCCTGGCAAGCGCTTGTTCACCTTTCCTTTTGGCGGGTCACCTGTCTCTGACAGAGACAGCCCCAACTTGCGGACATTTTCCTTCCGTGTTTGTGAGATTGCACACAAAGGCGTAGCAAACCAGCTTTGCAAAGACATGCCACAGAACCAATCTCCCTCAGACTCTTGCCGCACTGCCGCATCAAAGACTTTCTGCTCCACAGCATGGTACCCCACAGTCGCCCATGCCATCGGAAATAGAAGAAAAATATGCTGTCAGCAAGCAGGAAAAGCTGGAGCTGCGGGCAAGTTGTGCTCTCTTGGATCCACATGCGAATGCATTGAAATTTGAGAAGCTTCCAGATGGTGTGTTCTAACAACTTTGGCGCAATCTTGTGAAAAAATCTTAGATGTGCTTAGCTCCAAGCCAGTCAACGCGCACAGGAAAATGTCCCGCATCATCCTGCTCTTGGCCCAGGCAAAACATGCAAGTAAACATAAGTGGAAAATAAAAAACAATCCTCACTGAAAGGGTCACAAACAAGCTCGCTTGTTCCTATCCAATCCATGCAAATGCTTCTTGTTTTTCTTCTGGTGTATCAGGTTACACACTGTGGTAGTCCAAAAGTGAACAAATAAAGTACTACTATTGCAAACTCAGTCCAGGAAGCGACGGACTCGCGGTGCAATCTGTGGAACCTCGCTTTGCCACCAGTTACCTTGTCAAGCAGTAAAAAAAAATAGGCAAGAAATCGTCAGCACAAGGAAGCTGCTTGCCATGCAATTTTCAGTCTAGCTGCTTCTGGATTGGAAGCACCAGTTCTTCATCACGTGGACGCATTTGCATGCATTTATAAGCACCAGGGCTTCCCCACTAGAACCAGATGAAAGCTTGTCATGAAGCTCCTGAACACCTTTGAAGCGCGCAAACGGTTCTAAGTTCTGAAGCACCTCCTCGCGTACCTGATCTGGGCTCATGCCAGCCCACTTGCCAAAGAACTTGCTAAATGGACCATTCCTTGGACACAACTGCCCACTGCGGCAGTGGATTTAGAGTAGCATCAGTAAAGTTGTATGTATAGATATATAATATATATATCATGTGTATTTTATATTTATATTTTATACTTAAATATAATATTTATATAAAACATAATATATATATAATGCATATAAATGTTTATTTACTTAAATATTGATTTATTCTTTACATCATTATAGTATGTATAAATAGAGAAAATGTACATATATGTATATATATATATATGTATGTATGACTTTATATATTCGAAATATATATATTATATATATTGCCATATGTATATATATATACATAGATACATATGTGTATATATATATGTATATTCAAATATAATATTATACGTATATATCGAACTAGTTGTTCGAAAAGTTCAAAAGAAATAAGCATAACCATTTGACTCCAGCGGGAAAAAATAAATCAACAAGTCATAAAAATAGCCTTCAGAGAAAACACAGTTTAAGGTAGGCTAGGGAAACACTGACCAGAAAAGAATTGCTACTATCTTTAGTCTGAGGGCCAAGGCTGGCTTTCGACTTCTCCGTTCTCCAGCCCACCGCCCAATCTGCCAAGTTCACGCAAGCTCTCAGCAAAGTGTGGGAGCATGAGTTTGTGGCCGGGACACTGAATTTCACCAAGCCTCAACAAGAAACAAACGTGCCCAAAAAGCACCAGCAAGAATAAGTCTCTGGTGCCTTGAAAATTCAACTTTTGTAAAGCCGACGCAATCAAAAAACCGATCGACATCCACACACCAGTGCTCTTTGCTTGTACGGCTGGGACAGCTGGAACGGCTAGAGCTGGAAGGTCGCAAAATGATTTCCTGCAAGGTCCCATCAAGGAATCGCGCAGCCATCTGCAACACATCCTTAAGACGAAGCCGTGCTACATCTCGGTTGGGCCGGACACGATATTCCTGGCACAAACAATCAAATCCAAATCTCTGTTTCTGGCGCTTCTTCTTTCGTCTTCTTTCACCCTTCAGCCAGCACTATGCCAACTAATTGTTTTCGTGTCATGCTGCTGCGTCCACAGCAATGTTTAGAATCAAATTACCATGGGGGTCGCATCTGCAGTGAACAAAATAAAAAAGATCTAGAACCTCACTGGCCTTGGCCTTCTTCTTCTTCTTCACCAATCATGATGGAAGAAACGCTTTCCTGTTGCCTGGCCCCTCTGTGGCCCGGAAATATGCCACCAAACATCCCACCAATGAGAAAGCTCCGCTGGTAGGTTTGGACTCTGCAAGATGAACCAGAAACTCCGCAAACCTGCAAGGCAGGTAAAGGCGCATGGGCTAGGTAGTGGAGGTAGTAGTCATAGAAGAATGAGTAATGCTAGTAGTAGCTTAAGAAGCAGTGCTAGTAGAGAAAGAAGCAGAAGTTCAAGAAGAAGCAGTAGTAGCACTAGTTGTGGTAGTAGTAGCGTTAGTGATAGTGGCAGTGGCAATAGTAGTGGTAGTGAAACAAGAAGCAGCAGTAGCACCAGTGACAGGAGGAGGAGTAGGAGAAGAAGTAGAAGAGTCGGAGGATGAGTAGAAAAGTCAGTAGTAGCAGTCCTAGTCAAAATCAAAGTTGTATTGGCCAATATTCAATCCTAAGCTTAGCTATAGTCATCGTCGCTCTTGAAATAGTAGTCGTAGTCTTACTCGTAGTAGTCGTACTTATAGTTGTAGTCATAGTCGTAGTCGTAGTCATAGCCGTAGTCGTAGTAGTCGTAGTAGTAGAAGTAGTCGTCGTCATCGTAGTCGTCGTCGTAGAGGTAGTAGTCGCCGTCGTCGCAATAATCGTCGTAGTAGTAGTAGTAGTCGTCGTCGTCGTCGTCGTCGTCGTGGTCGTAGTAGTAGTAGTAGTAATAGGAGGAGTAGGAGTAGGAGTAGGAGTAGCAGTAGCATAGTAGTACTAGTAGTACTAGTAGTAGTAGTACTAGTAGTAGTAGTTGTTGTTGTTGTCGTCGAAGTTAGTGGTAGTACTCGAAGTTAGTCGTAGTACTTAGTTGTAGTTAGTCATCGTTAGTCGTCGTAGTTAGTCGTAGATAGTAGTTAGTGGTATAGCTAGTCATATAGCTAGTCGTTTAGCTAGTCATGGTAGTTAGTCATAGTTAGTCCTAGTTAGTTGTAGTCAGTCGTACTTGGTCGTCGTTAGTCGTCGTTAGTCGTCGTTAGTCGTCCTTAGTCGTCGTTAGTCGTTATCGTCGTCGTCGTAGTCGTAAAAGTAATCAAAGCAATAGTAGGAGTAGGAGTAGGAGTAGGAGTAGTAGTAGTAGTAGTAGTAGGAGTAGTAGTAGTAGAAGCAGTAGTAGTAGTCGTCGTAGTAGTAGTAGTAATTTTATTAGTAGTAGCAGTCATCGCCACAATAGTTGTCGCAATAATAGTAATAGTAGTAGCAGTAGTAGTAGTTGTTGTAGTTGTTGTTGTAGTAGTAGTAGTAATTAGTAGTAGTAGTAGTACTAGTAGTAGAAGCAGTAGCAGTAGAAAATAGAGCACAGCAGCAATAGCAATCAGAGTAGCAGTAGGAGTAGCAGTAGCAGTAGCAATAACAATAATAGCAGCAGCAGCAGCAGCAGCAGTAGTAGTAGTCATACTGGCACCAGTCATAGTAGCAGCCCTAGTAAAACAATCAGCAGAAGTTGCAGTCATAGTAGCAGTCAATAGTAGCAATAGCACTCTTAGAAGCAGCCATAGTAAGCATCAGTATTAGTAGCAGTCATAACAATAAACTACAAATAAAAACCAAAATTGAGTATTGGATAAAATGGTGATGGTGGTGGTGGTGGTAGCAGGAGCAATAGGTTTTTAAAACCATGCAAAACATTGTGGGAATCAGAAGCGGAAGTCCGAGCAGCGCGTGGAGCTACAGCACTGGCAGCAGTAGCAGCACCAGTGATGGATAGACCCAGAGTATAGCTTAGCAGGAATATAGTAGCAAACAACACCAACCAACCAACATCAACCAACATCAACCAACATCAACCGTAAAACAACATCAACCAACATGAACCAACATGAACCACAAAAAAAAAGCCAGCATCAACCAACATCAACCAACACCAGCCAAACAACCACAACAATAACAGCAACAACGAAGACGACAACCACAACAACAACAACAGCAACAGCAACAACAACAACAACAACAACAACAATGCCAGCAGCAGTTCTGTTGTTGTCGGGTTGGTGGTAGTCCTGTTTGTTGTTCTTGTACTTGTACTTGCTGTTGTTGCTGTAGTTGCAGTTTTGCTCTAGCTGTACTTGTTGTTGTCTTGTGGTTGTTGTTTTTGTTGTTGTTGTCGTTGTTGTTGTGGTTGCGGTCCTGTTGTTGAGTTGGAGATGCAAACTAGCTACCTACTTCGCCGGATAAAACAATGAGCCGAGCAGCTGGGGACTACGCAAATAGACGCATGTGATGAAGATGCCCAGTTGCTCACAAGCATCCAAGCGCTTGAGCGAAGCAGTCTGTTGCAAAGATGCTAGCTGAGAAGTGAGTCTGTCCTCTCCTTGCGTCATGCCGCAAACACTCTCACAAATGTACTTCTAAATTATTGCTAAATAAAAGGGTCAAAGAGCTTTCCAACCTGTGCTTTCCTTTTCTTAGCAACGCTGTCCATGGAGGAATTCCCTGCATGGCCTTAGCTGGCACAGCCTTCAGCGCAGCCTCAAGACCTTTGGATGCGCAGCTTCATGGATCTTCTGCGCTTAAGGGTTGAATACGCGCATTCAAGGGTGATGAAACGGATAGAGAAAAAAAACGGAGACACAAGCAGACCCAAGTATAAAGGGGCACTGCTGCAGTGATGGATGGGTTGACAGGAGGAAGGGGCACGGAGAACGCGGAGACAGGGAGAGAGAGAGAGAGAGAGGGGCAGAGATGAGAGATCCCCCAAAAAAGGATGTAGTCAAAAAAAGGAAGACATGAAAAACATGAAGGAAGAAGAACTGATAGATAGAGAGAGAGACGCAAAGAAAGCGCAAGATACAGAAAGAGAGAGAGAGAGAGTGTGAAGAAAGAAAGAAAGATAGAAAGAAAGAAAGAAAGAAAGAACGAAAGAAAGAACCAAAGAAAGAAAAAACGAAAGAAAGAAAGATAGAAATAAAAACAATGGCCCTGAAGTTGAAGAGATTGATTTTTCTTTAAAGGAAGGGAGCATGGAAGAATTTGCTTGGCCAAGCATGAAGAAGACGTTCTGGATCATGGGTCCATGATAATATATTAGCAGCGCTGCCACGTCTTGAGCCAACTATTTTTTGTTATTCACCATACTGGCTAAATTTTGGCCCAGGTTGGAAATGGAATCAACAGAGGAAAGTCGAATAAAACGCAATCTGATGCGCTCATACCATCTTCTATTGTGAGCGCTTCTGCCGGCCCCCTAAAGTCTAAACCTGACAAGAATCCCACTGCCTTTGACACCGGGTGCAAAAAACATCCTTGACACGTCTGCTTGAAAGTGAGCGCTGCGCCATTCATTGTCAAGAATGGGTTTGGAGCATTCAGGATACGAAGCACAATGTTGCCAGGATCCTGTCAGTTTGGCAGTGCTGGGACAGCAGGGACAGCTGTTGCAGGCAGCTATATCTTGCTGACGTCACATTGAATGTGCTTCAAAGGAAAAACTTTTCCATCACCCCAACTTGTCACATGCAAAGGCTCTGATGCCAAGGGTGGAACCACACACTTGGCCCGATACAGCAAGTATGCCGTCACCAGAGCCTAGGCGGATCATTGAACTATTCTTGTATTGTATCATAATCCAGGCAATTATGGGATATTATGGGATACACATATTGGAAATGCTTATCCGTCTGCTATTCCCCTTTGTATTTGTTGATATGTCTGTCCATCTCTCTGTCTCTCTCCATCTATTCACTTTGTATTCTCTAGCAACCTGCCTTAGTAAAAAGAACTGTAATCAGAAAGATAATATTGCATGGAATCTTCCCGCATGACTGCTTCCAATTTTGCTCATAGCCGCGCTAGGCAAACGCTGCTGAGGCAAATCTCGCAGGAGGAACTGGACCATGGGAATCAAATCCTTCTCTTGCTCGTTCCAGAAAAGCTTTGCAGCCTCATTATGACATCCAAAGTGTCACTTCCACACATCTACTTGGTAGAAAAGCAACGTGATGCAAGTCTATGAACGCGCTTATCATCACTGACCCGTGTGTCTAAAAACTTCTTTGCCATGTTGGTTGAAGTAACTGCACGTGGTTCTGTCCAGTGGCTTTGTGTGCTATCCTATCCACTCTGTTCATCTGCTGTGTTTCATAGCCAGCTTCCAGACTCTGCATCCAAAGCTTCACTGCCTTGCTTGCAGACTCTGGCACAGGAGCCATGGAGAAGCACCTGGCAAGGGAGCCAACGTGAATCAGGGTGAGTTTACCTTTGGATGCACAAAGATGACCCTTGGATGCATTGGTAGACCCTTGAATGCACTTGAACACCTTTGAATGCATACTCATGCTACATTGACCTTTGAATGTGTGAAAACAACCCTTGAATGCACATCTAAACCTTCTCCCAAGATAGCTCTTGCGAGCCATGGAATGAGCTACATAGTGTAATGAAGCAGGCTTGGCACATGCCATTACGCCCTTGGATCTTGCGAGCTTGGGGGCATAACAAAGTATGGAGATCCATCAACAATTACACACTCACAGTAAAAGTAGAAATCAATGGACAAAGCACTTGCTAATACGCTAGCAGATTTTGGTATCTTGGAGCGTATTGCTAAGGGGCATCGAAAGGCTATCCCTCGCTTTTTCTGCTCTGCTTGTGCTCCTGGGTAGAGCCAGCTATCTCTTCGGTTTGGCAAATTGACCAAACACTCCCCGAGACTGACGGAACAACCTAATGAATTTCAAGAAACTACGCATGTCTCCCATCGAACCTATCCGCTTTGTAACTCCTCTCTTCAACTTCTTGGAAGATGAATTTGTTTTGTCCTCGCCAATCAGCAACGTCCAACGCTTCCCACTACTGGCAGCACAAGACTTGAATGCTGAGGTCAGCAGAAGAGACCTGCGTATCTTCAGGCTGCATTCGGGAAACATCTTGCGAGATTAAGCCGCCCCACCATCAAAAAAAAAACTGATGGGGATGAACAAGTAACCTGGCAACACTGCCAACCAAATGTATCCTCAAGGTCTTTGCACGAATGGCCGGCTTCAACCACCAAAACTTCTCTAGGTTCCAGTGGACGCGGGATCCAGTTTCAACATCCTTGCGACGTGCCACACACAGGCCCTTGGCAAAGCAGATGAGGAAGGCTGCAGCCTCAGAACACAAGGTGGTGGCAAATGCTAAAGGAACGCTGAAACAACTGGTGAAAGATCGTGCCAGGGCTTGTTTTCTGCTTGAAAGCTGCTTGGACAATCTAGCTTAGCCAGAAACAAATTTGATCTCATTGTGGTGGCAGGGATGCTGCCACTACTAATTTCAATGCAAAATCTGCATGTTGTGCATCGAATTCACTATCACTCGTGGAAGGCAACACTAAGAATGCCAACGTGTTCCACGAAGGCAAGCTGGCCCTCTACGGGATTTGGCCTTCACATCTACTGCCTTCCTTGCTTTGGACACCTTTGTCCCTCCTTTTCTCTGGTGGAAACCAAACCGAGCTTTCAACTTCATCTCCAACATCTTCTCTGCAGTGCTCTTTCGAGGCCTTCTAGTCTTGGAGTTTCTGAGCTTTGTTGCTAATGCTGCTGGGGCTGCTGGAACGGCTGTAGGCAGCAAAGCATGTGGATGAGCCCAATCAACCAAACTCAAAGCTACAGCCATTGCGACAGCAACCGTTTGTAAGTGCATCATGTTGCCTCCCATCGACTCCAGCTCAGAATCGGAAATGCCATCTGGTAGAATCATACGATGCAAAGGCAAAGCATGTAGCAACAACTTTTCGACTGGAAGCAAGGCCCGTCCAGCACAGCCAAGCATTATATGTGCCCCAGGTGTGATTGTCGGCAAGGAACCATCTGTACGGCATGGCATCCTATCCAAGTTCTGTGAAAGATCAGCCACCACTTTGCAAGGCTCGTCAAAAGTCTGAATCAAGCTCCACCAGGCATCACGCTCCCGCGGCAAGTGTAAATGAAGTTTGTCAGGAGATAGCTCTGCCCACTGAAGATTTCCCTCAGCAACGGCTTTGAGTTCTTTACCTGCTGACCAAGCCTGGTGCCTCTGCCTCCACTTTGTTTTGCCTCGCTTGTCAGGAAAGCCAAGCTGCTTTGCATCCTCCCATTTCTGCATTCGCTCCTGACGCTTTGCAGCAACTAAGTCACTGTCATCAGGCAAAAGCCTGCACCACAGAGGCACGAGACTTGAACCAAATTCACACTTGTTGCGGTGCAAGCGCTTCTGTGTGAGGTGTGACCAAATGTGCTTGTAGAACAGCTGGGACGGCTCCTTGGACAGCTTGGCTACGTCACTTCGGACTCCCACAAAGTAGATTCGGGGTCGGTTGACGGGCTCGCCCAGCTCTGTTGGATTCAAGCTCAGAACGGAAACTTGGTAACCAACATCTTCAAGCAGGGGCAAAATCTTATCCATGCATCGGGAAATCCCCTCTACGTTCTCGAGAACGTATGCAGCAGGACGCTTTGCTTGGATTCTCTTCAGCACAGAAAAAAATACCTCTGC